GAGACGGAGCTGGTCCAATCCGGTGATGCGCATATCGGAACTCTCTTCACCCATAACGGTGGATTTTCGACAATGTGTGGCCATGCGACAATCGCCCTTGGTCGTTTTCTGGTTGACACTCAGGACTTAACCGTCTTCCCTCGAAGAAATGAATTGAAGCCCGACCTCGCAGCGCGAGAGGTGAAGGTCAATATCCATGCGCCGTGTGGACTAGTCCGGGTGGTTGTGCCTACCTCTGCTGACGGTCTGAAATCGGATGAATCTCGCCCTGTGCGCTTCCTATCTACCCCTGCATACTGCGCCGCTACCGACTTGGAGGTGCCAATCCCAAAGGAGCTGGCGTGGCCCGAACTTGGTGACAGATCTTCCATTCGTCTTGATATATCGTATGGAGGTGCTTTCTATGCACTTGTTGACGTCAAGGAACTCGGATTCAAGACTGGGCTCCGCAACTTCAGCCTGGAGGCCATTTCTGTTGCCGTGAAGAGATTGAAACGGCATTTGGTCACACTTCCCAATGTTATTGAAGCATTGCAGCATCCAGAGGACCAGAGATTATCATTCCTCTACTCAGTTATGGTGGTCGATCGCGAGCTTGGCTCAAAGCCAGATGGCGTCGATGGAACAGAAACTGGTCTTTGCTTTTATGCAGAGGACTCAATCGATCGATCCCCCACAGGCTCCTGTGTCACTGCTCGCATGGCTCTGGCGTTCTCCAAGAGGATTCGAAAGCAGGGCCAGAAATGGGCGTATAACTCTATTATCTCGAATTATTTCGACACAGGCGCTTTTATTGCAAGTATTGTCGATGATAATGTGAAGATCGAGGGACCCAATACCCAGGGTGGTAGAGACGGAGTCGTGGTCCTGGTCGAGGGCAAGGCTTACTATACTGGAACTATGGCATTTGTTGTCGAGCAGGGGGATGTCACTAGTGAGAGTGGTTTTACTTTGGATTCTTGTACATAATACGGAGTATCCGACGAGTCGCGCCTGAATTATATCCACGAATCACCCCCGATACCAAAGTTCATATCCCAATCACTACCACTGAGAACTTCCAGCTGTTGAGCAAGACTCAATATCTGTGTATGGTTCACATTAATATCCTCTGTAGTTCCAACCCATTCACCCGTGGACGGCAATGGGGAAAATGCAGGCATGATGCTTGCAGGCTCCGGTGTATGCTCTGGCATATCGATTGTGCCAGACTCTCTTGCGAGCACGGCCTGTTTCAATTGTCGTAGAAGCGTCAGTTCCTTCTGTCGTAGCCGGGCCATTGTATTTCCCTTTACGGTCATATCACTTAGCATCCGACTGACGCTCGTGACGTAGTGTTGCATATCGGGAACCAGAGAAGGATCGATAAAATGTGCCATCACAACGATAAACGCCGATGAAAAGAGATTATCCAACCCAAAGGGAAATAATGGCTCTGTTCAATGATCAGTACGTCATCTTCAACCAAGGCTGCCAACTCGGAAGTGATGGCTAGCTCACCTAAGTGCGATTGCTCGTGTAACATTATGAGTGTGCGTAGTATGAATTTCGCGGACTGCAAAGAGACTTCGAGGAGCTGTCGTAGCTGAGGTGGAGTTGGGTTTTCTCCGTCTTCTCCTGGAGTAGACTGGTTGTCAAGCCTGTGTAGGAGGAAGTATAGGAACAGTGGTCGCGTTGCTAGGATAATACACTGCAGTTTCGGTCAACATCATCGGCTCCAATGGAATTGTACGGACGGGAAGCCTCTCACTTGATGGTACGTCAGATATAAATGGCAATTGATTGTAGAGACGGTAACAAAAGGCGCAGTTTCACCCTGGGATGTGAGCTGTTCAATTTCTTGTAGCACCGGTGCCAAGTCTCTCAGAACAGACTGCACTGTTGCAATGAAGCTGCGTTGTCGGGCGTCTTCCGTGGTGTATACAGCTGGTGCTTGTTAGTGTGATTCGTGACTGCAGTAATCATGCGGATTGCCTGTAGAGCAATAGCAGCAAAATAAACTCACAATCAAGAATTTGGCCCACGATTTTAGCCAGCTTGATATGCATGGTCATATATCGAACATCTTTGGATTCGTCGTATGATGTCGGAAGAGCGCAGGTAACCTGAGAATCCTGGATGGAAGTTGGACATCCAATCACGGCAGCTAGCTGTCGGTCGAGAACATAGGCAGACCACCAGATGTCTCGACAGTGACGGGCAAATCGATGGCCAAAGAGTTCACTCGGTGGCTCTCTGTGTAAACCTTCGATGATACAAAGTCGAATGGATTGGCTGATCTGGATATAGTGAGCGAGAATTCAGCAAGGAATCAGTTGAGGCTTAAATGTAGCCCAGAGAGGCCATGGTATATACCCACATATGCATATGCGGCATCCTTCATGTCGACCGTCACCAAAAATAACGCCGTAAGATACAAGATTTGCATCGCAAGATTAGGCTTTCGATGAAGCCCAACAAAGGCAGGCATCAGAGACATCGCTCGTTGGAAGAATGATGATCCTGGAGGCGACCCAGAGCTAGTCGATGTCCCGATGCACACCTTGGCCAATGAAATGAGTAGCAGATATTGAATAAACCAAAGAGGCGATGCTTTCACCTCCTCTATTCCCTTCTGGTAGAAGGCCTCCAAGTGTGGCAAGAATTCATCTTCATCGAAGAGCGCGAGCATTTGATGGGAATGAAACTTGAGGGTGTTCAGTAAATATAAAAAGTCATTGTGAGAAGGGAGTCCCTCCAGCAGTGACGCATCAATCTGGCTCGTGCGCGTCCAGTTGAGTGTCCATGTACTGCCATCGACATGAAAGGGCAGATCTGGAGATGGGTAGTCGGGCATCACTGTCTTGAATAACAAGAATACCCGCTGCGAGAAAGCCCATGTTGAAGATGGTCCACAGAATCCTAACAGGTTAGCCACGCATTCTCCAGTTTGATCATCCAATCTTACGGTAGCGACCAGAGCTATCCTGCAGGTAGAATGATCGAGAGGACACAAGTGGGTTCGTTATCGGCGCCGCCATGGTGGTCCATGGCGTAGAATTATCTGGAGGATTGGCTAGGATGGTCAGCGGCGCGAATTGGCATCAAAACCGACTAGGTCTGCATACAGCTCAATGTTGGAGGTGGAGATGGACCCAAAGACAATCCCTCGCCATCTGACGCTGGAATCGGTTCACTGTAAGGCTGACCCACACTCCGTTTCTCAAGAGCCTGAAGGTACCTGGTCTGTGATCAGCCTAGGCGCTTAGGCATCGGAGTATTGCCTACTCTTCAGACACTGTGACCTTCTTTGGCGTTGCTTTGATCACACAAGAGATGCGGCGTGCCACACAAGACTCGCACGGGTTCTTCCCCGAGCATTTCACTTTTCTTCTCTTGCATTCATCACACCTGGCCAAGGGTTAGCAAGATTTAGGAAACTTGATATCACATGACATTACGCATTCGATACTCGACTGCCAGATTGCCGAGCATGCATCTTTGATCGTCTAGCCTGCATTTTGGGAGGAAACGAGAGAAAGAGCTCTCCGCGAGCCGGAAGGCAGTTCCGAGCAGTTTATGCCTGAAGATGCCTGATTTCGGACAGAAAACCACGAATTACCACACATGTTACTGTTACCAATATACCGTTATTCTACAAGTCACCAGCTGGTTAATTTGATGGCTTTGAAAAATTTACCTTAAAGCTCATCGTCAGGATTCTTCCACAGTACGGACTATTTTCAGATGTTCACTACAAACGCTTGTGACAATACCGGTATGGAGTGGTCTGTAATAGGGCATTTTCAGGCATCAAAAACTGTTTCTCCGCCTCGGGTGCTATGCCAGATCGTAAACTGCCGGTATGGAAAGTGTAACGGAGCCCTTATCCGAAACGGCATACATATCATTGCCCGTCTATTCCATGCTCCCATTTGTTGAGAAGGTACGGCGAGAGAAAAAGGAAGAAGAACCGATTGAATTATTCTCTGCGCGGGGGAGAGAAGAAGAAGAGAGAGGGAGAAGCTAGGGAACTATCTACTTGTTTGGGGTTGGGCGAATTCCCTACACAACACCATTCAAGGTCGAAGGTCCCTTCTCCCCAGGGTTGGATTGGGCTCCGGGTTGCCTCATCTTTCGTGACCAGTGGTTACCTTGGCCTCGTGGGCCGGAGGTTTCCCCTCCAGATTTGCGTTCTCTTGGCTCGTTGCCATTTGACTCCCACCCAGAAGGGCAGGCGGCCGGGTGGTCAGGGCAACGTTCGCAGATTCGATAGTAAATTCCGTTGCAGCCTCCTGGGACGGTGCATCTAGTCCACTCGAAATCGCAGTCGCTGGCGGTGCACTCTTTAGCATCATGGATGCCCATGGTGTGCATGCAGTCTTTGCTTGCGCAGAACACTTCTAGGCCTGGGGTGTAGGACATTTTGCCGGTCCTGGATTCTGGTTAACGCTTGTATATAGAGCTAGGATGTTGCTCAGAGGCGATCTAGAGTTAGCCCAACACTGACCTTTTTTTCCCCGGTGGAAATGGCTCGCAGTATGTTTGTATCGAGATTGAAAGTCACTGTGTGCGTCAACTGTCAGCTGGCTAACTCGTACAGGAGTTCCGGTAATCGGCCCGGACTAACGAGATATTGAGAGCTGTAGTGAGAACTCAGCTTTGGTGTGGCGTGAGGATGTGAAGATAGCATGGGAAGAAGAGAAGAAGAAAGGCTAATGAAGAGCTTTGAGCGGAAGTCTCTTCACTCTGATTCACTTGCACTTGCTTAGTTTACTTGATTATTCATTTTGATTTATTTTGATTTGTTTAGTTTACTTGATTACTTAAATACCTATATGCTCTCTCTATTTTTCTCTCTCCCCCCCCCTCTCTCTCCCACTCTTCAGTACTGTAGCGATTGAATATCGATTGACCACTAGATTTTAAACCCTATGCAAAACCAGCCCAACTGCCGCCTTTTCAGGAACAGACATGAGCTCGATGCAACCAGGACGTCTCCGGCATTCTGCTGAGCCTTTCCTTGCAGCAAGGCTGACTTTCTATTCAAATCGCCGAGGGAGACTCTGATCCTGTACACCCAAGAGCAGGCTTCATCATAGGAGGAATGTATGCAATGAGCTGGAACAGTAGAGCAAGTTCATTTGAAGTCAAAGGGTCTTATTTTACAATTTCCTATGCCATGGATATCTAACCATCAGGCGCCCACGAAGGCCTGCTATCTCCGAACAGTGCATTTGGCCTTAGTTCTTCTTCCGCTCATCTCCCGAGCTCGATCCTCCCTGCTCCTCGCTTGGGTTTGTATTGTCGATATTGCTTGTCTCCTTCCACCAGTTTGGTCCAGCAGCCGGATGGTCGGCACATCCAGTGCATAATCGTAGAATGAGCCCATTGCAGTCGGGGGCAACATTACACCGGGTCCAACGCTTTCGGCAGCCCTTGGCTTGACATTTCAAATCTTCGTGCTCGGAAATGGCGTGGCGACATTCGGGGACTTGACAAAAGCCCTTGCGGCGAGAGGTGTGCGTCATGGCTTTCGTGGTATCTGAGCGGCCTGATGATGGGTAAACTTGCATTCGCGAAGCTTGGAGGTTAGGGCTGGTCCAAAACTTACCTTGTATCGAGAGGTTCGGTGGTAATGAGGCTCAGTGCAATGATATGCACCACCTTCTCGGAGTGGGACAATGGTGATTGTGGTGGATGTGAGGGTTCGTTGGCTCGTTGGGTCTTTGAAGACGAGACGAGATGCAGATGGGAGCGATAGTAGGTAGGATGGCGCAGCAATTTGACACCGAGAATGGTAAAAGAAAGAAGAGATACTGAGAAAGAGGGAGAGAGGTCGAGATACGGTCGACTCAGAGCTGTGAGAACGAGTACCGTCGCTTTCACTCCATTCACTTCTTCATTGAGCAGAGAACTACTTGAATAAACTATTCTACATGGGAGATTCTGGGCAATTTAAGTATTTACAAAGAATTAGGTACCTTCAGTGGTATGGCATTGGTTCCATGATAATGAATCACTCTACAGAAGTCTTCAGCTTGATATCTGCCAATACACTGCGCTGGGGATCAACACGATACCTCGAGACTTGTCGAATCAACCCATGATTGGATTTGTGATTTGCGCTCACTGTCGTATTTTGGCTTGTTATCATCCTCACGACTCTCTTTATCACTTTCTTCATTCGAATCGTCACAATCCACAATTTCCTTGATCCAATCATCCTGATAGACTTTTTCGGAGGGAAAACCATCATCGCCGTCGGCCAACCATCGGAAAATTTGATGGCAAGCCTCCACAGAAGCTTCCTGTTCGGCATCCAAATCCGTCGTCTTAAGACATATGGGGTTTGCCGTCTCAAGAATGTCGGAGAGGCCTTTAGGTACGGGCGTCGTGAGCTCCCTTGAAAATCCATAGTCATCAAAGGAAGATCCATCTTCAAGATTCCACCTCCAATGGTCATAGTAGAACTCATGTCGGGGGCATTCGAAGTGTGAAGCAACTTGCAGATCACAGTTGAAGATTGAGGACTTTCCACATGGGGCCCAGCACCCAAAGGGCCTGGTGTGAAAGAACACATCATCAGGATCAGTCTTCGGGAGATGAAGCAAGCGCCAAACATCTTGTCTCGCAATGAAATCAGAACCATCAGATCGGTATGGACCTACGCCTGAAAAATCGTGGAAGCATTGAGGACTACCAGTCCAAGCAAAAGCATGCTGGTCTAGTGGGGGATGCCCGTTCTCGACCCTGCGAACTATCCTCGGGCCCAAGCCACTGATGACGGCTCCGATGCATAATGCACCAATACTGGGGCGGCGAATAGCACAGAGCAGAGCAAAGACTTCTTGGTCACGAGCACTGAGTAAGTCACTGAGCTCTTTTTCACGCGCACCGGGTACAAAATCAGCCTTTTGGTCATGGGTTGCCACTGGGAGCGAGCTGGTGATGACCTCGTTCAGAGCTGGATGTAGCCACGGGCTAACGAGGTTGCAAGGGACTTCGGATTCCCAGAAAGGTCCACACAAAGTTGAAAACATCCGCTCCGGGTCGCAGCTCAAGCTCATGTAGTATTCTATGTTGCTCAGGCATTCCTGCCACACTCGCGGTAGACTTTGGGAAGAAGAGCCTAGCGTTTCCTTGTGCTCTTCCAATCTTGGCGTTGGAAGGTGGGCAGTCCACCCGAAGTAGCGATGTACCGGAAGTGCCAAGGCCGTTGCGAGTGAAATTGGAAATTGACTTTCTAGTCCATGTAAGATTGAAAATCCAGACAGCACATCAAATGCTCTCTGTGAAGACAGAGGCACAAAGACCGAGTCAGACGCGGGCGTTTCGTGTTTGATGGAGAAAGGCCTCGCACAATCGTGGGAGACCGACCACGGACTGACAAAGTCCCGTGAATTGTGTGTCACCAGTGCCTTCCAGCCCTCTCCTGGGGCAAGTATCGCGGACCACCATCGGGCAACATCGTCTTGCACCTTTCCGATATCAAGGCTAAATGTGGTTGGGCATCTAGGCGTGCATTCATCATTGTATTGGGCCTGAGACTCTGTGTACTGAAGAGTTGCACCCTTTCCTCGAAGCTCAATGAGGCGTGCAGAAAGGATATAGCTCCAGCCAAGAGTGAGGATGCCGATGTAATTCGCATTGGCACGTGCCTCAACTGTAGTTCCGATCCATGTATTAAACGCTTGACCGTCAAGTTCAACCGATACGGACTTATCGACTGCGAGGTTCATAAACGCACGCCTTGACACTTCTGGTTTGAGTCCATCGCAGTCTCCATGGTTTGACACTTTCCAGATGGACGAGGCTTCCATGGCGAGGTTTCTTCCACGGGTGAATACCTTTTTCGGCCGTGCTTGAAATTTGGGGACCCTGCGCAGGGAATTGCGAGGGTCTGTGAAATTTGGTAGAATCCCATGATCTCGTTGGGCATTGGCCACTGATGCGAGGAGAGACCAGTATTCTCGGCTTTTTCCCAGAGCCTCATCCAGTTCAATTTGGCTTGGCTGAGCGACATCGCCCTTCACTATCTTTTTATCAAAGTTGAGTCAATACTTGTTCCTTGAATGTCGGAGTATACTCACCGAGAATAGCTGCGGGGGCTGCAAAGCCTCGTGATGTATCCCCATCTTGACAAATGCGCTGCGGTTGAGGCAGTGAGAGAGATGTAGAGGATAAAAGAGATCTCTGAGTTCAAATAATAAGGAAAGTGAATTTGACGCAGGCAGGCTCGAGGATATGCGGAAACGCAGGAGCAGTCCAAGTCCGAGGCTCAAGTTGATGCCACAACTTGGTGTCTGGGTTAAAACTCGCTGAAAACCACCGTACTAGTTGAAGGGTTGAGAAGATATGAAGCCAAGACTGGAGAAGAGAAGAGAAGAGAGGAGAGTCAAAAGATTAAGAGAGGAAGAGAGGTCTACACAGGCCGTGTTTGCCTGATTCCCGAGGCACGGTTCTCCCATGTCTTCCGCTGCGCGACTAGAGAAATCATTTACATTTGCATTTACTTCACTTCAAATAATCTGATCTTTTGATCTTCTGCATTACTACCATATTTCTGTATGCAATGTTCGAAACCTCCAGGACATCCCTCTATTTCTCGTTCGCCACGCATATCGGCCAAAACGAGTAAGAGAGGCGTATATAGATGAGATGACAACATATCACGAGCGCTCACCTTCTCAGGAGATCAGAGCTTCAGGTGGTTATACCCTGTGCTAAACCGACAGTCATGGCTACAGTTTCGATTCTGTTATTTCTGATGCCGCTGTCGTCTCCAACCACAACACCGGAAGTCACTGCTATTGTCAGTGAGTTCCACATCAACTCATCTGGGACTGGACCCTTGAACCCCATGGTTGCCAGTCCTATACTTCACGATGCCCAGTCTACTAGGGCCGTTCGGTGAGTTTCATGGCCGCTGGCCAGTACTGCAAGCTGGAAGTGTCTTCTACCTCGCTTTCAGCATTGGTGCAGGTAAAAGATGAAACCATTGGCCAGCTCTCAATTACTCAGAACTCTGGACCGAACGTCATCATATGGGAGCCAGCCCGGGCAGTTTGAACTACATTACACCCTTTATCGGTGGAGCTTTAGGTGCTCCGGTCCGTACCCTTTTGACTGACCGCGCGTACCGGTACCTTCCAATTGTTTAGCCCAGAAATGTGACCTACGCCAAGCTCAGATACGGTTGGGGGAACAGTCGGCCGGCATTTTTAGGCTTGCTGATCAAATGTCTCATTCCTTATATTTGCTTGGAGGCGTGGAAAGAGATCATAAGCCGTGATCAGCTTAGCAGATCAATCAAAGTAGAAATATTAACTTTCGTTATAATTTTTGGAATAATCAAATCGGGCTGACATGCTTTCCATCTAGGGTTGTTCATTCATCCGCACAATTTCCTGCATCATGTCGTAGCAGATCTTCTCACTCATATAGCTGTCCTGTTGATAATCCTCGTGTGAACGTACGAAATCTCTCATCCAAGTCGCTGGCGTCGGGCTTTCGCCACTGGCTCGTTTGCTAATCAAATCCAAATAGGGTTCGATCCTCGCCTGCTCCATGGGAGTCATCTTGCTGTGATCCAAGTAGTATCGGACAATGGGAACTAATCCCGGGAATTCGTTGTAGTCTTCCTCCCCGTTGAAGATCTCATTGGCCGTCATGAGGGCAACGTCTGCAGTCTTCGCATCATTGCCATCCACACACACATTCTCTTTGCACATTGTTCGACGAGGTCGAATTGAGTGCGTTTGGCCGGAAAGCCATCCACGGCGACGGAACCACATTTTCGATTGGCGGACGGCGTCACGGTTCTTTGCGATATCCATTGATTCGCCCACCTTGTCGATCGGGATATAGAAGTTCAGCTTGAGCGTGAGGATGGCTCTAGACAGCAGGTATGTGAAGATTGCGAATGCAGCGTTTGCCTTGTCTGTGAGCTGTGATTCCATAGTGCGGAGCTCTACACACCAGCCTGGCCCGTTGTCGGTGGTTGGCGGTTTCAACCGGACTGCATACCATGTGAACCCATGAAGGAGCTCGAACAATCTTGTGTTGCAAGTGTTGTCTTTGGTCAAGTCCTCCGGTGTCATGATCAGAGGGTCGCGAGACAAAATGGACGCAAAATGCGTTGCCAAGGATTCATCCATATCTCCATCCAGTAGACGTTGTCTGATGGCTTGATCTATCAACTGAGTCGGACAACAATCAAATCCTGACGGCTTTTCTGGAGACAGATAGGTCCGGTTCCAAGTCCAGCGCGGGGGCTTTCGTGAATCAGGTTAACTGAATATTCGATCTTCTGATGAAAGTCACTTACAATGGTTTCCAGCTCCTCTTGGCGGCGATCGTCCACCACGTCGCCAAATCGTTGCCATCGGACATCTGTATCGGTCAAATAGCCTTTCCAAATGGGGACTGCGGCAGTCATGGCTAAGAAAATAGGTGCCAGGGGCACTGTTTGATCATGCAGCCACCGCGCATCTGTGAGGTTCGGTGCCTGAACGGTTACCTGGAGACTACAGCAACCGATTCCAACATCCAATTCATCCAGACAGAGGTGATTCTCGATGTTTTCCCCTGATGAGATATCGTGAAATGGAGTTGGTGTTTTGGAATCCCGATAAATGGGAATATTTGTCTTCTTGCCTCCCCTACCTCGAGAATGGATATTATGGGGCAAAGTTTGGTATCGCGGTAAAGAGGAAAGCAAGTGTCCTTCTGCTCCTTGGCTCATCGGCGTCGTCCATTGACAATCAGCTCCTGCCCGAGGGAAGGAAGTCAGGGAAAGAGTGTGCTGATTCGAAGACAAATGATTGTTGATGATTTGACGTCTGTGTTTGTTAGAAGAGTTGGCCTCGTATAGATTTCACACACCTACCGTCGTTTCATGTTCTTCTCGACTGCCATGAGGTCTTGGATGGCTCCTGTATATGGCTTTGCTGGGGTAGCTTCCACAACATATTTCGCCCCCTCATATTGAAGAGTGACGCTGTGGTCAGTCAGTAAATTGAACTTGCGCACCGGGTAGACTGGCAACTGACGGATCGCTTTGGCTGGCGGCACTTTTCTCCCATTGCTGAACCACTTTCTCCTGGTCCAATAGACAGGTCGCCCGCTGGGTATCGGGGTTCACATCAACCAGGTAGTATTCGACCTGCGTTGACTTAGCAGTGTTCATTGTGAGCATGGACTAAACATACCTCATCGCCCCACGTTGCGATATTGTCACTTCGATCCCGTTGTTGGCGCCAAAGGCAGAGCAATTGCTGCATGCATCAGCGACAGGTCTGTTTAATCCATGGATTGCTGAGAATACTTACTTCGGTAGCCCATTTCCTCACATTGGGCGCGACTTGTTCAGTCTCAGCCCAGCCAATCGAATGTCCCTCAACCCTAAGATATCGAGTTAGATCCTGATTCCAAGGTTAAAGCATCGCGAATCTCACTCACGGAAGTCCCATGTTTTGTTCAATGTGAGAAGATTAAACTCTCCAATGCCCTTTTTCTCATAGAAGATCGAGCTATTTAAGATAGGACCATCTCTAGAGCTGATCTAGAAAAACGAACATAGCGTCATGGTTTCACCCTCAATGATCCACGGCGATCTTCCACCAGAATGCAACTACAGACATAGTGTACTCGCAGTTCGGTACATTCAAAGAGGCCACGCGGCGTTTGCCGTTGCCTCTTATCGTTTATACAAACATCGTAGGGCCGAATCTCCATGCAAGGAGCGGCATGACGCGTATTCAGTCCCGGAAGGGGCAAAACCATGAGTTTGTATTCGTGCTTGGTACCCATAACTGAATCCAGGACTCGTAACTGGATAGCTCAGACATCTCAGATGGGCAATGAGGCTGTAGAGCACACCGTATCCCCCGTCTTGGCTACATATCCCCGACTTCAGGAACATTAAATGTTGTCTCACCACCTCAGCTGGAATGTAGCCAAGCACTTGGGGGCTGTGATGAGCGTTTAGCTTACACATACATGGCATTCTTTGGAACGTTTAACGGGCAGATACTTAACTGCCGTAGCCTCAAGGTATACAAACCATTGCGCAATCCTGAAGTCGGACAGCTTTTGCCTGCAGATGATTCCTTTCTCCAAGACATTGAATGTGATATACCTCAGAATGGAGTGGAAGATCATGAAACTCAGGACACCCGACCAACCATGTAGATCTCCCGAGGTTGTACAAATCAGATTGATATCACTGTTTCCGATTTCCAGGACTGGCTGAAACGAGCTCAACCTTTAATCTGCGAGTGATTCATGTCCAAAAAAATTGAAAAACAAAGTACCTCCATTGCCCAAACACACATGAGCAAGCCTTTATTGTGCATTAGTACGGAATAGTGGCTGGGAGACTTGCACGAGAGCTGCAATTAATCTTGGGCTGCGGAATAGTCGAGTGTGATGGCTTGCTACCATCATCATCTTTGCTCCCATGTGTTTGCATCTTTGCTTGCTTTCAGCTATTAAAGCCAGCTCTCTCCATAGGCCTATAGTCTTCTTCTCCTCCTTCTGCATCATTGATCTCATAGTCGAATTGGACCTTTTTTTGAAGCATTACCTGCCACACTGAGAGCCAAAATAAGGGAAACAAAAAACACAAGATCGGGTAATAGTTAAGACTACCTAGGCCAGATCTACGATCTTGAAAACTAGAAATCATTTGTACTTCGCTTTTCTTGCTATGCCCTATGCGAGAAGCGAACCTGAGCAACAATGAGTGTGAGGCCTAGAAACAGGGGAATATTTATAAGAATAGAATCGACGACAACGGGATCATGGAAGGGGGAAAAAACTAAAGCAAGACCGTTTCACCTCAGCGATCATCTGCAGTACAACATGGATTGTGCAAGATGCTACACGCAGACCTGGTGAACCTACCCTACCAGCCCCAAAATTATTCCAAGGACTGCCGGCTGAAAGAGGGAAAAAAAAAGAAACGAGAGCTTCATGAGTAATGGGTTACATTGAACAAAAAACAAGACCAAGGATCCATAAACAGGAGAGGGAATAAACCCTGCAGAGAAAGGTGCAGGAGGTAGAATGAGGGGAAGTACAAAAAAGCACAGAGAAAATACTCTATTCTTGTCCAAAGCCAAGTGTTTCCTCCACCGCGATAGACATTTTGTGCTCGAGGGCGTCGTGCGTCTTGTAAGGAGGGAGATCAAGACGGTTGAAGCTGTATAGACGTTAGTGATTTGAACATGGAGTGTGATAGTAAATACATACCAGGTATGTGACTTGGGCAGTGCGTTGGGATCACCCGACTTCTCGATGGTAAAGCGTCTGGGGCCATCGGAACCTTGCAGATCCTTGAAACCGTTGACGGGAATACGCGAGGTACCAGTAGTGAACTGGAGCAGACGAGACTTCTGTTCGGCATCCCAGGTGCGGACGATCTTCCAGAAGTTCTGGATGACCTCATCTTGCTCCTGGTAACCACGGTAGTCGGTGTGCTTCTTCCAGTCGTCAACATCGATATCAGCGATACCACCAATGAGCAACTCGAGTTCACGCTCATCGAAAACGTTAACAAGATCGGGGGGAATCAGCTCGTTGAAGCCGGACATGAAAGCGTTGAACTGCTCCTCAACTCGCTTCACAATTTTCCATTCGGTAACCAACCTAGGAATTGTCAGTGGGTGTTCGGAAGACAAATCGAACAGCAATCACTTACTCGATGTATTGCGGCTTGTTTTCGTTGGTGACGGTAATATCCCGACCACCGGGTATTAAATCAATAGTGGTACGCTCGCCAAACTTCTCATCATCCACCGAGAATGTAAGTTCCACGATTCCGTCGATGTCATTATCCCTTATGCGTTGTTAGTCTGGAACATGAAAAAAGGACAAGATTCGAAGATAACTCACAGGGTCCATGCCAAGTTACGGTGCAGGTCCTCGTCCACACCCTCCATATCTTGAAGAGTAACCTTCTTCCGCAACATCATCTTATAGAAAGCTCCGATGAAGAAGGAATCCAAGAAGCGACGGTGGAAGATAGCCAGACCAACCACTCGGCCAATGAACTTGAAGTAATTGAGATGCTCGGGGTTCACGCCCGAGTGGGGATTAATCTGCAAGGTATAATTATCGTGGGCGGAATATTCGAAGAGACAGTAGAAAGGATTGAACATTTCGTGAGAGAGCAGGAAGAAGAATTCACTAGAAAGGTTAGAATCGACGAATAAAGCCATAAGTGTCAAAACATACCGTGAGAGACCACCGTAATCGAGACCATCCTCGCCATCAAACTTAATCATTAGGCGCTTCTTGAGGTCGGATGCGCTCTGCCGCATAATCTCGGCGTATGAGTCTTCGAAAATGTTATTACGGCGAACCTTGACGTGACACTGGCCGGACATGATCCGCAGCGCAGGCTGGGATCGGAAGTAGATCAGCTTGCGGCGGAAGTCACGCTTGTACTGTGGAACGCCCTGGTCCAACGATGAAGGCAGACGAGGGTCATCCCAAGTAGTCGTTTTGGTGTTGTGGTCCACGAAGTATACTCGGGCGGTGTTGGTGAGACGCATTTCCCAGCCGCTGGGCAATGGGCCGAGCTGAGATACGGGCTGTTGCTGGATGGTAGTGTTGTTGGCGCCTCCGCTAGTCTGGCCCTGTCCATACATGCGGATGTACTGCTGTCGACGAGGATCAACCCATGTCGTTGTACGGGTGTTGTGGTCCACGAAGTAAGGCCGTCCCTCGGGTGTCACACGTCTTTCCCATCCTGGCGGAAGCTCCCCTGTGCCTGCAGTGGTGGCTCCTGTCGCCATCATGGAAACCGCAGCAGCGTTCGAGCCCGCTGGGGCTCCACTTGCGACGGAGGTTCCTGCGGTCGGCCCTGGAGGTGGCGTCGGTATTTGCTGGGCATCTGGCAGGTTGGGCGAGCTTGCGCCGGTTCGGTCTTCCGGAAGCATTCGGCTCTGGTGGGCGCGGCGTTCGAGCTGCATGTTAGCTTCGCGCTGCGAACGCTGGGTGTGCTCGTTGTAGTTGGCCGCGGGCCTTGACCAAGTCGTTGTTCGGGTATTGTGGTCCACGTAGTATGTCCGTCCCAGGTTATCCTCTCGCCGTTCCCAGCCTGCAGGGAGTCGGCCCTGGCTATCCTCGAAGGAGCTTAGATTGGCACGCGATGGGACGCCCGGTCCGGGTGGGTTGGCGGGAGCGCCATTCAAAGGGGGCGGGGGTCCGGTCGGCGGCCCTGTCGTCGAGGTGCGCTGGTTCAGAGAGGAACTGGATGCGGCGGCGGGGGATGGATCGAGATTGCTGGGGCCTGCTTGGGACTGACTTGAGGCTGCCACTTGGGGCACCAGGCCGCTCGACGTGGAGGTCTGCGGCTGTTGGCGCTGGCTGCCATTCTGGTTTGGATGCGGGGCACTCAGGTTGGAAGACAAGTTAATGATCAACTTTCCGTGCACCACCAGATTATCGTTGGATTTTTTCAGATCCCGGGTCAGCATTTCTGCACGACATCGTCAGTTCAGCCCACGGATGACAAACGTGATCGGCGTTCTTCGGACGTACCATCACCACCCATGGAGAGATCAATAACATCTCCAATCCGAACATTGATGACACCGAGGAAACCTTGATCCTTCTTCTTGAACTTCTTCTGGTCGAAAATCTGGATTGCCAGAATGCTGTCCTCGTTGACCCTCCTATAGCGACCAACCCCGTTAGAGAACCGTAGAGAAGAGCCTTCATTCCGGCGGGGGATTCCACGTACAAGTCGAATGGCTCATTCCAGTAGGGATTCAAAGTTTTCTTGATGACCGAAGTTGTATGCGTCTGTTCTCCTCCCACAGTAGCCACGGCGAACGGATCGGGGAATCCTGCCAGAGGTCAGCTCAGCTCTCCATTCCACCCCGCAGTCAAGGACTGCTCCAGCGATGAGACATACGGAAAACATCGCGTTTGTACAGCCCGTCAGCCGCGATGACTAGAGATGGAAGTGTTAGTCTCGTGCCGAATGGGAACCCCGCAGAGGTCATCTCGACTCCCCACGACTCTGGCGATCCTTACTGGTAACCCGAAGGTTTGGCTGACTGCAATGGGGTCAGTGGATGATTCTCACATGTACTTAAGTATGCCCATGGGGAACCTCGTAGGAATATCATAGGGGGGGAGTCGGGGACTTACGCGGGGAGATTTGACGCCATGATGGCTACCTGCCGATCAATCACGCCCAATAAACAGCGCGGGCGCGCACATTAAGCACAAAGGCCAAACCAAGTCCAGGGAGTGATCCTGGAGTGAAGCGGTAAAATTGACGGGGAGGTGATGTGCAGGTTGAGAAAGAGGAGGAGGGAAGAGAAAGGAAGGGTTAGGGCGATAGGTGCGCCCGGTTGTATGGCGCAGGTACTCGGACTACGTATTCACTATGGACCAGGTACCCGGACAGTACTTCCAGCAGATCAAATTTTTTTGTTTTCTCAATTTTGTTTTTTTCTCACAGTTACTCACTAAATTCCATTGTCCCTACATACAGAATATACAGAATATACTTAAGTAAATGGCTAGAGAATTCAAACGGGTGCGGGCGGAGTGGCAACCTCTTTCTGGCCTAGGCAACCGGATTATATACGACTTATGTTAGAACATATAGTACTTAAGTATACATATATACTACTTAAAAGTATAGAGTATATTTACTCTAATGCATACCCAGGGAAAGTAATATGCTTATGATCTCGAGATCTCGAGATCTCGATTTACAGATGTGTACTTATCCATGGCCAAGGCGGTATCGTGGATGCGGCGGTATTCTGGATGAGGCGGTAGCGTAGTGAACTAGAAGAGCATCCTACGAAAGATCATTTCTTTTTTTTTTGGTGGATTGTTTTCTGCAATATCCCTCGGATTGCCAATTATTGTACATCCAAATCCCCAAACTCCAAAGCCACAGAGGGAGAAAATGAGATCAGTTCAACACTAATATCAACCCAGGGCAAGATTCAACAGCGAGATGCCTAGTAGGGCGAGAAACCACGGCCACGGCCACCGCGGTAACCACCACGGTAGCCACCACCACGAGGGAAGCCACGGCCACGACCGCGAGGGAAGCCACCTCGTCCACGACCGCGGTGCATACCGGGCAAGTTGGTACGCTTGGGAACCACCTGCGAGACAGTGAGCAATCTCGAAATGCAAAGATGGAAGCATTTGCCAGAGAGACATACCTTGAGATTACGACCACGGAACACACTCTCATTCAAGACCAGAGCCTGACCGACCAGACTGGGCTCCGAGAACTCAACGTACGCATAACTGCACAGATCAGCATTATGCCTGGAGAAACTTCCTCAGCAGTCCAAACTCACCCTTTGGGTTGACCAGAGAACTTGTCAAGCAAGATCGTCACCCGGTTGATAGAGCCGCAGCTCTGGAAGTGAGCCTGAATCTCCTCTGGGGAAGCACCGTAATCGACATTTCCCACGAAAATGCTCCGCGCATCAATATCTTCCTTGTTTTCCTGGAGGTTCTCCGTCTGCTGGTCGAGGGTAGCTTGCATCTCGCGCAGCTTGGCAGCCTCGGACTCCATCTCAGCAACGCGGCGCTTCATGGCTGCAATTTCTTCCTGCGCGATTCAATCCCGTTAGCAAAAGTTCTAAGATGTACGGAGCAAAGGGAATTATGCGACACAGGGATCAAAGAAATGATTCAAAGATCGCAGAACAAAGAGCTGCTCTCTGTGAAAGACAACCACACCTACCTCATCATCATGTCCTTCCTGGGCAGGCACCTGCTCGGCCTTAATCTCCTCCGGGATCTCCTGTCCTTCAGCAGCCATGTTGTGGATAAAGGTGGGAATGGGTCGGTGGGTTGGAACTCGAAGGGTGAAAGCGCCGGGGAAATCGATGAGGGGAGCACTCAGAGCTCTCCGAGGACCACTTTAATGCTCGCCAACGAAACTCGATAAAGAGGGGGGAGTTATGCGTATGGACACAATTGTTGGATATTATCAGAACACAATCAGAAGATATTTCTTCACCACAAACCGCGGGATCAGAATAGAAGTTCGTTTTAGGATGATGAGGTTCCATAATAGGCATAGCGTCATCTTCAGCCTTGAACAATATTGCCAGGCGGTGAAACTACAAACATCATGGCTCAAGTCGATTGAAGTATGACTTGGGCTACTTCCATAGCAATTTATGGCAGATTGACGGGCAAGTGAAAATGGCTCGATTTAAGGTATCATGTATCAAGTTGGAGCAGCAAAAAAGAAAGCACGAGGCCTGCAATGGAACGCATGAGAGTGGAAAGCTAAGCATCCATGCAGGCAGGGAACTATGTACAAGGTGAGGGGAATCAAGGTACAACGCAAGTAGGCGCGAGGAATTCGTCAATGCTTATTCGGCAGGGGGGTGGTTCTTGCGGAAGGAGACCTTTTCAACAGCCACGTTCTCAACCCCATTGGCATCTGTCTTCAGCTGGTATACATACAGCACGAGAACATCACCTTGGATCTAGTGATTGTGAGCATTGATGCGGGCTTGCAGAAAGGGTAGAATCTACTCACGTCCATCAGACAGAAGCTCGGTGTGGGCTCCTCGTTGTCTGGCCAAAAGCCCGAGCTCATTGCACCAGTCGCACTTCCTGGGTTGATGAAGAAACGGCCCTCCATCTCGAATGCCTCAAAGCGATGTGTGCCACCCCACAGCAAAACATCCACATCCATCTGGCGGGCCGCAATCAGGAGCGCGTCTGCATCGGCGGGTGGGACGATGGTATGGCCGTGGGTGAAGCCAATCCGTAGGCTGCCGTGGGTAACGATCTTGGAGAGTGGAAGATTGGGTGAATCGACATCAAAGTCGCCCTTGACCATCTGCAGGTCTGGAGCTACATCGCGGAGGAAGTCATAGGTCTCACGATCGGTCAGATTGCCCAGGCATAGGGTTTGGCCGATCTTGCCGGGTGTCAGGAGTTTGCGGAACTATTGGAGAGTTAGAGCACTCGAGTGAAGGTGCATTGCTTTCAAGAGCGACCAACCTTCGTTGGCAGATCCTAGATAACGGGTTAGCGGGGGATCGATGCGATAGGCTGGAGACCACTTGCAGGAGCTCGGTCAGGAATAAAAAGGTCACCAATGACCAAGACCAAGCGGGCAGTCATCTTGAAAGATATGTGTGGGGTAGTCCGATAAGTCAAAGATGCAGAGCAACAGCTGTCAACTGCTTCCGCCTGAAATGCCATTATGTCATCTCTATGTTTCTGCCTTTCAATACCGCCCATGTTTATAGTTCCAACTTATTGACGGTGTTAAGGGATATCAGTTAACATCACATAGATCTACCTCTCTCTATCCCCTCTTCTGTGTTTCTCCGCTCTACGATGCAACTGGAAGTTCACAGCAGAAAGTATCCTCTCTTCAATGGGGCTTGATCACCCCCCTTCATAGAGACACTAACTCAAATCCTATCTCATACTATCCTAAATGACCATTATAGCGACGATTTACCCGCAGGCCTTCCAGACTGAGGAATGAAATGACCACTGCCAGCCACATGCTCGTTGCGAAGTGTATCCTCGCCTGAGCCTACCCTCTGATCAGGCATATCGTTTAGGTGGTGTTTTCCCGCACGGTTTCCGGACTGAGGCATATAGGGGGTGCTCGCAGCTATATCTTCCCGGTGACGATCCTTTTCATCTGAGAATTTCATTCAATTAGTGCATATAATTTCCGAAAGCGTGGATGAACTATACCGGTATCGGTGTCGACGCGAGGGTCGAGCTTATTGGCAAGCTTGAAGCTGCGGGGTTGTCTGCATGGATGATCAGACATTTTCAAATACAATGCTCAGTAAATGTTTGAAGAATTGAGGAAGTCGATGGGCAATAGAGCATATACTTAAGTACTTAAGTATACTTCAAGCAGGTCTGTCCATTGCGTATTTGTGACGTCGGTATATCCAAAGGGTTGAATTCCCGTCGGATACTTACTTAAGTAAGTAGAACTGATTCAGAAGTATCAGAAATCTTGTTCCGAGAAATAACTTATTTCATTCATGTTTCTGCATCTGTGGATGGTTCCTATGTGGTTTTAAGTGTTCATACTGGCAGAAAGCCAGAATTCGTTCACATCAAATCCACAACACATCATTTGGACAATTTTTTTCCAACTAAACACTGTGAGAGAGGCTTGCTAATAGCAAGTGAGAAACGCAAACAAGGCTTAATATTCTCGAAACGCCACAAGGAACTGTTTTCAAAGAGAAGAAGATGGTACGGCCATATTTATAAGGTGTGGGAAGGAGAATAAGAGAAGACAATCTGGGTGCTCTAGTAAAACAAACGGGCGAAGAAACCAGCGGAAAGTCCGTAGATTGGACAAAATAGTTTTTGAGTGTGAAAGCAACCAATCCAAGACTGTTGGCTAGAGTGATAACAGCATAACTCTTAGTAGCACTGTCAAAAAGACTAAGTGCTCTTTCGAGAATGCTCGGAGGTAATTCAATGGATTCAACAGCATAAAGAAGACTGTCAGCCGATTGGAATGTTCCATCCCAACAACGTTCAATAATATCACCAAGCCAAATATGATCTGTTGATGGGAACTTTAGAATGTTTTCCTGTCTGGCCAATGTGCTCGACCATCATAGCGAGCGTCATCTTTAAATATATCGATCTCACATTTTGTACCTGCGATAACCTCATACATAACTGCAGCAAGAAGTCCGATATCAATTTGAGTAGTGAATTCATGATCATCCACTTGATTCATATCTAAGTTTAGTGGGAGTAAGGACGCATCTGAAAAATCACAAAATTTTATCGAAAGGCGAGAATCGAGGAGAAAGTTCCGGCTAGCAACATCGGCGACAAGTATACGTCTTTCATGAATAAAGCCAAGTGTGCGGGCTAAGTCACGAAGCCATACAAGTTGTATATGGCGAGGTATTTGTGAATGGCTTATGTATGATCGTAGATCACCATTTGCCATATAGGTCAATGTTGTAGTATCACTTGTGGTCTCAACACAACGGATGATACCATCAGAGCGCTTATCTTCAATGCTTTGTAGACGTTGATGAACCGCTTGTTCGTGTCGTAAGCTCTGGCGGTTCCGCTTCACATCTGACTCCGAGCTCCAAAGATATCCGGTGGCGGCTATCGTCTGCCGTATGGGAAGGGATCGTCGCCGAACCGGTTGGGGCCAAAACACGTGAACGAGATCAGATTCCATGAAGCGGGTCTCACACTGATTCTCATGAGCAGATCTATTCACGACAAATCCTCATTTTTGACGGGGAAGATATGAGCAGAGGCTAACCATTTCACTATCAAAAACTATCGTCATGTCTTCCTGTCGTACGAATTGCTCGGAGCGACCGCCCCCCTTGTCTCCCGATAATGATATCACTGGACCTGGAGTTCGTCCCCTAAAGTATGTCACAGTTCTAATTCTTACAAAATCAGGTTATCATCAACTATGTTGCATCTGCAGGAATTGCTATCTTCGTAATCATGCTTTACTTCTTGGTGGCTTTTGACCCAGCCCGTGATCCATTCGCGAAGGATAAAAAGCCCTCAGAGGACCCGCCATTCCGTCCCAATGCGATTGACCTGCTTGTTACGCGCAAGTTGAGAGGCTGGGGCCCGGGAGGTATGAGTCGATGCCTCAAAGACAGACTAGAGAAATCATTTGTCAAGGTACACCTGACCACTCATCTGTTTGGCGCTTCCTGGGCGCGAGATCTTCGCTGATTCATACTAGTGTGTCGTTGCAATGGGCGACCTTCAACTTGTCACGGGATTCTCAATCCTGATCAGCGGTGCTGTTCAACTGGATTGTGGCCTCACTGTCTATGAATGGCAAATTGTCGTCTATCTGGCATGGTTCTCTTGTCTGACTCATTTGTCTTGTCTTATGGTCATGCGAAGCTACCTTCACGTCCACACCGTTGGAAGGACCTGGAGGCTGGTCGCGATGGGTGTACTTGCCATACTGCTGATAGTCGGGCTACTTCCCACAGCTAATTATGGCCATCTTTATAATCAACGCCCTGGCCCTTCAGATTATGCCAAGTGCTATTTGAAAGTTCGGCGCTCCTCGGGTATAACACTTTGCTCAATGATCCTTTCGGTCTTGACCATAGCCATTGGGTTCATTTCTCGCGTGATGAAGTTACACAAAATGCTGTCCGTCACGCTTTGGGGAGGGCTTAGAATTCGGACCAGTCATAGGAGTCGAGCTATACTGCGTGTCATCTACCGGTGGAGTGTCAAAAGTGGCCCCGCGCAAGGATTGAGCTTCTCTCTGGTATATCGACCTCTGTTGGCAGTGTTCCTTGCAGCACGTTTCTTATTAGACGCATGGGTTTCCATGTTTGTAGAGGTATGCTCACGTGTTATCATTGGCCTCAACATTGATGATCTGATTCGGATAGGCGCTGTGGCTGTTCATTGCTTTTTTCTGGGGTGTTGTCCGTCTTCTGACTGCACTCAACGATACTCCCAAGGATCAAGATTTGTGGACAAAGACCACAGGGCAGAAAGAAGGTAATTGGACTTTCGGACAAGTTGTGTCCTTGGTGCTACTGGTGGCACCTCTCATGAGCTTGTTGGAATATTTCGACCAGGGTATGTCTCTTTCGACGCTGTAGTGCCTTTCAGCGGAGAGTTAATTGGTCTTTAACAAATAGATCATCCTATTGTTGCCCGAACATCGCTGCCTGGGGGTGTTTCTGAACCCCACGAGCGGATAGGACATTCTTCCAATCCTGTTCTGCCTCCATTTATGGAAGCAATTCCAATTCCCGAAGATCTGGATGGGAACTGGTCTAACGATTCCGAGACTCTCGGGGTGACCATTGTCTACGGTCTTATCTCAATGATAATTTTCATCATACAGATATTTTTGCCCTCTATGACCAAATCTCTGTTTGAGATATTGTTCAGTCTAGAATGGGGTATCAAGGTGGTTCTTGCGTTGACGGGCACCTATGGAGTCGTTCTGTTTTCTTTGCTTATTCAGTCGGAATTGAGCAACGACAGAAAGGGGACTCGTCGCTGTCTGCAAGTTTTGAACATTGCATTCTATGTGCTCAGTTTTAACTTCGGGGGTGCGAATTCCGCGGGTGCGAACTTCGCGGGCGTGTATTCGATTGATGATAAAAAGCGCATTTGGTTCAATTCCTTGCAACTTTTTGCACTCTGCTTTTACGGGCTATTGGCTGTCGTGTTTCGATGGATTCCGAGTAATGAGCAAACGGTATCGAACGCATAGGTGGCTTATATTAATATCTTACAATGCAAAGTCATACACCCTGGGCTATTGTCTCTGTTTACCACTGGATTGATCATTGTGAGAAAGGAAAACCCACAGTTTACAATTAGGAGCTACCTTATTCTAGACGCGGGTTACCACAAGTATGTAGAACGCGAACCATCAGCTTCTTCATTCTAGCTCATTTCCCGGAATTCAAGGCCGGAAATGTCTTTCTGGAATTAACATTGGGTATGTATTGGGTTCCATTTCACGGGGATTTCGGCTTTTGAGATGTAGCTCTATAACTCACGGCAGAATACAGTAATATTGTGGCCTCACTTCCCGGGCCACAATCCACATTCTGGCCAATCATATGCCCCAAAACACTTAAGGAAAGAAAAGGAAGGTACACTAAGCGCTACGCCCGCCTGCTATCTGGGGCCCAAAGGTCCCCAAGTCCCTACCTAGGTAGTAAATTAGGACTGGTATCATGAATGCTAGTATCGTCCATGAAACTGATTTTTTTAGCTTCTATTGATTGTCTTAGTTTCTAAAAAGGAAAATTCAGGCACATACGACCACAGGGTGTGGAGAACAGGGCTTCCCGTCCGCTCAGCCGTACTTAAGCCACACGCCGGTGAGTTAGTAGTTGGGTGGGTGACCACCAGCGAATCCTCACTGTTGTATGTTTTTTGCTTTTTGAAGCTCGGAAGCCGCCAACATCAAGCTAGCTTATAGGGCATTCCCACAAATCTGTCAAGCTGGTACGACAACACAGGTTCCATTCGGCTTTTCGCTTTTGAGACAGCAAATCAACAAGTACTGTCGCATTGACACTTGTTCAAGTGAAGTTAAGATGAAGTACGGGGAGTACAGACCTGGACTCCTCACCGCCCAGATCTCACCGCCCACAGTCCTGCCGGACTTATGTGACACTTTCTGGAGTCAACGATTCACTTCCATTCGCATTGGCTGATGAGGCCGAACTTTTCGCTCGAGACCCCTTCGGAATCATTGATCCAGTGCCTCGTTTTCTCCAATTCTCGAAAGTTTCCTACTTTTGTACGGAGCTCGCCGTCCGAAGACCAGGAAGCGCGCTGCGGCGCATACTCCAGCACAAGGGGATTCCACTTCCACAAATGGAGTATTCGTTTCCGAGCTCAATTGCAATACGAGAAGAATGGGTGATTGACTGCCAGTGGTATTTGCTCGGGGAATTACATGGAGCGTACTACACCACATAGAGGACCTTGTTTACTAGGGAGTACATTGGAGTACTGGAGTACTGGAATGGCAATTGGCTTTGAGGTTCACATTTTCACTAATACTTAAGTATTGACATACTACTCGGAGTATACATGCATTGACAGTAGGGGAATCTGATACCCCAGTGCAGAACATAGAACATGCAGTAGACTATAGTCCTGTCGGTAGGGTCCGCCCGCTACTTTTCGCCCGAGAGAACTTTTGAAAGAAAAAAATAATAATCCAACAGGATTGATGAATCCATAAATACCTTAAGACCCTGCTATCCTCTTCGGTGTTATCATCCGAGTCTGCAAATAATCACATCGCCATCGGTAACTCATCCGACCTTTTCACCTTCTACCGGCGGCTATCCCCGATATCACAAGCCAAGTTTCCCTCGGGAACGTTCGCTCGTCCAATCCCATTCACCCGAATTTTGACCCCGCGGTTCGCCGCAATCGGAAAGCTGGCTTCTAAGTCGACGACGCAGCGTTTGAGCCTGATCTCCAGACACCTGGACCAGCGCCTTCCGTTGCCTGACCTCAATACCCCTTTCTCGACCGAGAGAGACTCGCTTGTTCCTGACGACGTCGAATATAAACCCATCGATCGCTCCATTCCTCCTGCCCCTCTCCCTGAACCAACTCCCAACATGTCTGCTCAAGCCCCTCACAACACTCTCCTGATCCCAGGACCTATCGAGTTCGACGATGCCGTTCTCCAGTCCATGTCCCACTATGCGTGAGTCACCCCTCAATTGCCAATGCCATCAAGCTAATCTATCCCTCAGTGAGAGCCACGTCGCTCCCGGCTTCGTCAAGACCTTTGGCGAGACCTTGACTCTCACCCGCAAGCTGTTCCAATCCACCTCCCCCACCGCCCAGCCCTTCATCATCGCCGGTAGCGGAACCCTCGGATGGGATCTGGTTGCCTCCAACCTGATCGAGCGGGGTGAGAACGCCCTCGTCCTCAACACCGGTTACTTCGGCGACTCCTTCGGCCAGTGCCTCGAGACCTACGGCGCCAACGTCACACACTTCACCACTCCCATTGGCGAGCGTGCTTCCCTCGAGGAAGTAGAGCAGGCCCTCAAGCAGAAGCCCTACAAGCTCATCACACTCACCCACGTTGACACCTCAACCGGTGTCCTCTCCGATGTCAAGGGTGTAGCCCAATTGGTCCGCCGCGTCAGCCCCGAGACCCTCGTGATCGTGGACGGTGTCTGCTCCGTGGGATCGGAGGAGATCGCCTTCGACGAGTGGGATCTCGATGCCGTCGTGACTGCCTCCCAAAAGGCCATCGGCTGCCCACCTGGTCTGAGCATCGTCATGACCTCCGGCCGCGCCATCCAGGTCTCCAAGACCCGCAAGACCCCCGCCACCTCCTACTACGCCTCCATCGCCAACTGGCTCCCCATCATGGTGAACTACGAAAACCACAAGCCTTCCTACTTCGCCACTCCCCCCACCCAGCTCGTCCACGCCCTGCACACCACCCTCACCCAGATCACCGCCGATGTCCCCGGCCGCTTCGCTCAACACACTCAGGTCTCTGACAAGGTCAAGGCTGCCGTTGCTGAGCTTGGTCTCAAGCAGATCGCTTCCCAGCCTGAGGCTCAGGCCCACGGCATGACTGCCATGTACCTCCCTGAGGGTCTTACCCCTCCCGATGTCCTGCCCGGTCTGCTGAAGCGTGGTGTCATCTTCGCAGCTGGTCTGCACAAGGCGATTGCCACCAAGTACATTCGGTTCGGTCACATGGGTGTCAGTGTCACTGACCCCAAGCGCAATGACGTCGATCATGCCCTGGCGGCGCTCAAGGAGGCTCTTGCCGAGGCTAAGCAGGCCAAGGGTCTGTAAATGTTTGGATTTTGATGTATATAGCAACAGATTGGGCCAAAGTAGCCTTGTTAGGTCGATCTTTGGATAGAACTACTGCAATGAATTATTGACGATAGACAACCTCTTGAGCAAATGCTGTTCTTACTGCCTTTTGGCTGCTGGATATGGCCCATGGTCGGTTTTCCAAGGCAAATGGCCTTCCCCTCATATGTATGATTGAGTCAAGCAAGGGATAAACCCAACCTCCTCTCACATTCCCGACCACACGACAGAGTCAACATGCAGGTACCCGCCAGGGGCATTGACTTGCCAACAGCAAGCGTTTTCATTGGTGTTTTCCCCTGGACTGATGGCCTAAGCTTGCCCTACAGGGGTTTTTCTATCCAGGGCAACCACTCAGAGGACAAAAATGTAATCTTGCATATTCCGATTTGACAAGCCGAGATTTCCAGATTGATTTGACAGATCGTCCATCCCCAAACGCCTAGCTAGTGCTCATCAGAAATCTTGGACTCTATATCGATTTGTCGCGCCGGGATGTGAGCCACTATAAATACTCTTTGCAGATTTCACCTTGAGTATTTCAATGAAATATGTGACTAGCCCTGGAAGTCCCAGCTGCTTCGGGGATGGAATGCTATGTCTTTGAAAGATATGCCTTGGTGTTCTTTCTTTTTCCCCCATTATTATATCAATTGACGCTTTTTCCATCGTGGACCATACTGACTCTCGAATTTTCTCACTTGACTAAACTCCACGTGCATATATCTTCCAAAATGCACTACTTTAAATCCACTCTTCCATTCATTTTAGCAACTTCCATTGCCTCCGCACAAAATTTAGGCACAGCCGCCAGTACCACCGCGCTCGCGGAAGAAAGTCCACACTGTGTGCCCAAGTAAGTCAAAAAACTCGGTACTAAGATTTCATGCTAACAATACTTCAGTTATCATAACAAGTGCCCAGATGATTTTACTGGAGCCAGCCCATATATAAACAATCAGGATTATGCCAACTCCCAATTACCTGTCTCCACCATATCTGGCACACTGCCAAGCTCGACATCAACCATAACAATCCCCGGCATTGGATCTCGCATTGTTGCAAAAGACACCGCAGATAACAGAGAGGATGATTCAGACTCCACGGCCGATCATCAATTCAACCAAGGCCACCCGACTGAGTCTTTCAGTGGACTGAAGTCTAATAATGATGAAGAAGGCGCAGCTTCTATGCTGAGGGCAAGGAATTGGATTGGCTTGCTGGGACTGGGACTGGGACTGGGTGTTGCCTTGTAACTCAACGCCGCTTGGCAGATATGCCGATACGCCAGAATATATATTAATGATACTAATTTGACCCTGAATTTGTCTCATCCTTCCGCGACACCACTTAGATTAGACTAAGGTTATCTCCATGCGATACTCAGTACCCCACGCTCACATGGCCATGGATAGAGTTTGAAGACCCGCGGAACCAGCTCCGGGCCCCCACTCATAGTCATCGTTCAACTGCGACATTCTAAAGTTTCACCTCAAAGTACGGACTCCATTCTTGCTTCATCACGTTTTGTTATCGCAGCCGGTGCACCACTGTCCGGGTCAGAAATGATGGCATCCAGGTCCTGATGATAAAAAGACAAACAGTCAAGTTCGACAAATAAAAAAAAGCATTTTGCAGACTGTGGGGTTCGAACCCACGCCACTTTCGTGAGCAGAACTTAAGTCTTGGGGAAAGGTTAGTGGAATTTCGGGACATTTGGAAAGGCATAACTTGCCTGCCGCCTTAAACCACTCGGCCAAATCTGCAGGTGTAAGGTTTTTGGCCCTTTTGAGGCATTCTGAGGATGATGCAATAGTGCTCTTTTCATATTGTCATTCAAAAGTCAAGTTTTGATCAGCGGCCAATATGATATTTATCGGAAGTAAGTGGAATGGGTCAAAAGGAAATCAGGTGATATCCTCGATAAAGCAACTTCCCCTGTCCCTCTCTCGCGACGTTGAAATGTTGACGAAAATATCACCTGAGTGCGCCGGAATTTGGCCGATAGTTGTGACGCCCAGCTACCCGGGCCCACCTTATCCCTTGGGGGCCGTGTTGCCGCCCGCTGGTTGGTGATCATCGGCGTCATGATGCCTATCTTATTCCATATTTGGCATGTTCCTGAAGAACGGGCTCTGCGCCTCTGCAGATCATGTCAGCCTCGAGATCCATAAGTGCGGGATTCGTGGGGGTCGTTGTTTGACAGCTCCATAATCGGGTACTCATGAAGTAGACCTTTACGCCTCATCTGCCTGCACTTTGCCCCGGATTTCGAAATTAAGACCTGGCAAGTTAGAGTATAAATCATTTGGGGTACAATGCCTACTCATTCTTATGCTTGCTTTCTGAGCAATTGTTCCTCCCATTCACTTGGTCTATAGTTCAACCTTGGCCTCCACAAATCCGCCCCCAAGCACTTCTCTCGTATCTGACATCCGATCATATCCCTTTTTGCGGAGAGTATGCGGGGTTTTCGGGGTGATGCTTCCACTTGACCTGATTCAACGTCTGAGTCGATCTCTGCCATACTTGTCAGCCCATCTAGGTCAAACTATGACATCTCAACACCCGAGCCGTCCAGCTGTGATGGTATAAAGAGCCCTGTCCTTCCCTTCAAAGCACCCATCCTTCACCACACTCAAGCCCGAACAAGATGCATTTCTCCTCCCTCACTATCCTGACCCTCCTATCCGCCCTGGCGGCCGCCAAACCGGGCAAGGTCGTCCTCTACGACACCGCCGGCTGCGAAGGCAAAGAACTTTGGACCGGCGAGGTCGACCACGACCCTATCTCCCCATCCAACGACGAGATCAACGCAGCCCGCTCCTTCAAGTATGAGGGCTACTTCTCCCTCCTTGTTGCCAAGAACCACCTCCTCAATGATCATACATGTGGCTACTGCAGCAACTACCATGAAGATCATTCTGGTGGTGGTTGCCAGGATATCAACACTGGCTGGCCGTTGAATGAGGGCCGAATCGTGCCCGAGACAAATGATCCCAGCGATATTCCTTGTCGCAACTACTTGATCAACTGTCCTTTCCCTGTTCCTCCTGGTAATGGACTTGAGGATCAGGGCGAGTGATTTATATTTCTTGACCTTGGTTGGAATGTACTATGCATTGTTTCGTTTCGAATGTCTTTCTGTGTATATAGTACTCAAGTATGAGATTTGTGGTATGACAACTCCATCGATCAATCACTTCATTCCATTCCCCCCCCCCTCCCACATGTAGAAGACGGGGGACGATATCAGGCTTAGCTACTTAAGTAGCGTTCGGCCAAGAGTTGCAATCGGTGGCGGAACTTTTTCTATATAATTCCATTTCGCAAAATGTAATTACCTATCCGTTGAATCAGAAGGATCACTTTGATGTTGGGAGACAGGGATCAAGATAACAGTCATCGATTGGCGAACAAAGCGCGTACTCAACCACTAACCCTAAAAGAGTATAGCCATCTGTGTCGAGGCGATTTTTCGTGAGACATCGCACCATTGATTTTTTTTTTCTTGATCTGTGGGAATTTGTTTGCTCTGCTCGCCGCGGGGAGGTTTGAATCCGTGCGACTTAAATCATGTCGATCGGGAACGTTTTCGAACGTCGGGAGATCGAACTGATATTTCCCCGACAGCACAAGTCAAACCTAATTTTGGTGTGGTTGGGTATATTTATCATCTTTCTCACAGGCATAGCATTTATCCTTGCAATTTTATGGGTGAGTCACTCCCAACACTGTATTGACCACCACCCTAATCTACGATCTCAAAATAGGTTCACTACACCAGTACCGTGCTTGCGATTTTAGCCGCAGTAGAAGATGTGAACGCTGCTACCTACATTAGCCTTGACGATGAAGGCCCCAAAGATCCCGAGACTGGCGAGCCAATCCATGCAAAGCCCATCACCAGCGGACTACGTTCATCCATTAGACACCTGCGTGCCCGCGGCGGCCTGAGGGAGTGCTTCCGGGGCCTGCGCATGTCCATAGATGTTGGAATGGCGGAGTTTGGTATCAGAATTATGATAAGCCTTGTGCTCCCGGTTAGCATGAGATCTTTTCTCGGCTTCCTTGTTCTGGACTTTATCGCCCGCATGCCCTTGGCAACATGGCAGATGGCCTGGGTCCATCGTGTGATCGCCGACAAGTCCCCTCAACACAGGCACCGGCGAATACTTGGGTATCGAAATTGGCCGAGGATTGCCCCCGCAGCTGCTTTGTACAATTTCGCCATGTCTATGACCATTTCACTTACTCCTGCGGTGTTTATTGCTGTCTGGAGCATGTTGGGCATTGTAAGGCCGTTTGAGGATTGGGAACTTTGGCAATATATTGCTTTTGTCTTGCGGATACTCTTCGGTATTGCCTTGTCTGTGCCTGCTAAGATTATTTTCGCTCGTGTCGCTGCCTCTATGCTGCCGGAAGAAGATGTGCCTATCTTGCCTTTTGACCGTTCATTCGATGGTAAGGTGGCTGGCGTGAGTGGAAGGGGGGAACTCGGCCTTTCGGATGCCTGGACCACTTTTGGATGGTCTGCGCGCATTCGCTTTGCGAAGATTCTCTTCAAGGGTCTTGGTATTGAGATTGCCCTTGTTTGTATAGGGTTCATTTTGATCTTTTTCGAGTGTTGGGCTATCTCATTGATCTAAAATACCATTTCAATCTGGATATATTCGGTTTTCTCTTCATTGCTCTGGCCATGGCTAGTAACAAGATCATTTGGATGAACGATCTAATACCTGATATTTCTTTCAGCGTTGCAAATGCCAACTTCAACTCTTGGTGGCTTCCTTGGTGATAGAGAGATAAAACAGACCAAAACAAAACAAAGATTGAGGGTAGATGCAACTCATTTACTAAGGGTATAACCTTGGGACTATCTTTCACATTCGCGCTGATCCCAATTTCGAATTGTTTTGTTTCCAACTGTTGAACGAATTGGGTTCTTGAATTGATCCTCCAAAAATATGATTGTCAAGGTCTCTTGAAACCAAAGTCCGGGTAAAATGGAATTTGACTTCAAAGCCTCGGTATATGCGACTCGGTTGCCTGTGAGCTTTAGCTCCTGGTAGGAGATGTCTCCCTTATCTTTGTATAGTGCCTCAATTTTTTTTCTTGTCCCCATGAATCTATCTTGTCAATCAGCTTCATTTCTGTGTGTTTATAGATGCAATCCCGAAAGGGTCTGAGATGAGTCAATTCCTGCGCCAATGTAGGGTATGTTTTCTATGCGGAGGGATGTGAGCAAGCCAAGGTATTGAGTCACCAAAGACAGGATATATGTGACCTCCAAGTAGATACGAAGTGCATAGAGCATTTTGAATTATTGTTTTCGATTAATCGAGCTGACAGAGAAGAGGAGTATTTGAAATCATACCTGATATCCCATCTCGCTCTCGTTCTCGCTCTCGGCTTCGGTCCCGGTCCCGGTCCCCCTTTTTTGTATGGGAATTCGCTCTCGCTCTCGCTCATCAGATACTTCGTTTTCGCTCTGCAGTGCGTTTGGCTGATCAAAACTCCGATGCTCCAAGCACCCCCCGCTTATCCACCTGTCCACTGCTCCGAACCCAATAGATCGGTCCATCGACTTCCGTCAACCCCGGATTGATCCACCAGAATGGTCCCTGCAGCTCATATCTCGTGGAAACTAGTACAATTGGGCATCCCCCATGCTCCTCGGAGACATTGTCATCTCCACCCGGGCTCTGCACTCCCGTGAATTGGGCAACCCGATTCGGACGACCCATTGTTGATCCCAATCTAGATTCTTTAAACAACGAGATATCAGAAAAAAGAGTTCATTCACAAACAAGGATGGAAATGACTAGTTTCGCTTGGCCTATCCGAATCTACGCTCGAGCTCATCCCATGCATCCAGGGCTCGGATTCGCAAATTGCCGACATGAGAGCTATAAAAGACTCGTCGTTGGCCCGGGAAAATGCCTGATCATTCTTCATCAAGCTAATCTTCCGACTTTCGTCTCAAAGCTTCCTACCTTTTCACAATGAAGTTCTCCAAGATTGCCCTCACTGCCGCTGCGCTCGGTGCTGCCAATGCCGGCCCCGTCTCCAAGCCTAAGATCACCGACGGTTCGTACATTCATTGATTGAAGTAATCAGCAACTAACATTCAATTCTCAGCCGACGTCCTCAACTATGCTCTGACCCTTGAGCATCTCGAGGCCGCTTTCTACGAACAGGGATTGAAGAACTACACCCAGGCCGACTTTGTCAAGGCTGGTCTGGCCGACCCCTTCTATGCCAACCTGAAGGAGGTTGCGTCCGACGAGATTGAGCACGAGACTTTCCTCACCTCCGCTCTGAAGGGTATGTTTCTATCTGGAATCATGAACTCAGCAATTCTAACTTCATCCACAGCTGCCGGTGCCAACCCCGTTGCCCGTTGCACCTACAACTTCCCCGCCACCGATGTCAAGGGCTTCCTGGCTCTCGCCAGTGTCCTCGAGGGTAAATAAACCATCCACTGCTCAATATAGACTCTTTCTAACATCGAACACAGGTGTCGGAGTCAGCGCTTACCTCGGTGCCGCCGCACACATCATGAACGACACCTACCTCACTGCGGCTGGCAGCATCCTCACCACCGAAGCCCGCCACAGCGCTTACCTGCGCGCCGCCCTCGGCGAGGTCCCCTTCGCCCAGGCCTTCGACAACCCCCTCGACTTCAACGAGGTGTACACCGTCGCCTCCCCCTTCATCGGCGAATGCCCCTCCAGCAACGGCATGCTCCCCGTCAAGGCATTCCCCTCCCTCACCATGGAGTCCATGGACGCCGTCATGACCGGTGCCAAGGTCCCTGTCACCGTCGGCAAGGGCTTCGACACCAAGGCCACCGATATCCACGCTGCCTTCATCACCGTCACCGGACCCGTCTGGGCCCCCATTGAATCCATGGGCGAGGGCAAGTACACTGTCACCGTCCCCAAGGGCGTTGCTGGACAGAGCTACTTCGTCCTGACCAAGGGCAACACCCAGGCGACTGATGACAACATTGTCGCTGGTCCCGCCATCGTCGAGGTAAATTAAATTACCAAATTTGTTCGATTGGGGTGCCTATCCCCCTTTCTTTTTTCTTTTGCAGGGCTGATACTTGATTTGATAGGTTGGCAAGAAGGGCGTGATGGGTACCCCCACTGGTATGGCTGCCATGGGTATGGGTAAGCACAGCAGCATGGCTATGCCCACTCCTTCCTCTTCCAAGTCTGGTGCCTGGAGCAGCACTTCTGCCACTTCTTCTCCCTCTGCTTCCCCCATGTACACTAGTGCTGCTCAAAAAATGACTGGTAGCATTGTCGGTGTTGTTGGTGCGGGACTGGCTGTTGCTGCCCTCATCTAAGCCGACAGGTATTGTGATATGCTCCAGGACTGTGTATTTATCCTTGTTGCTGGGGTCTAATATTTGTTATAATAATAGCCATTCACTTGGCAGAATATGTTTACATCATTAATGCATGAAGGATCAATTTCAACAATTTCCAAGGTCATGAGAATGTGAGTCCAACTTGCAAAGTTGGAACAGGAATCTGGGACCTGCACTCTGCAGTTCGGAAAATACTTTCAAGATTAGTCTTAGGTATCTCCTAAAGTTCCCTTGTTCGTAAATGAAATCTTGCAATGAATTAATTGAAGTGCGTATGACCTGTCAAGGTGTATCTGCGGATATGATATACTCCGCTGATCTATATGTTTTTCAGCCCAACACGAAATTGTGAGACTTCCAACCTTTGAAAACCTGATTCCGACGCCTACATTCAAGTAGTATGAAGTGTCTCAGCTATCACAAAAGATCAATTCTATCGGTGAAGTATCAAAAATGTGACATAGCCAACTTTTCTCTCCAGGGCTAGACCCGAGTCACATGATACCAAAACCTCTTTTCTTCTCGTGTTTCACTTCACTCCAACTCCTGATCCCCCCTTCTCCCTGATTGGACATCGGCGAGCATGGTAACCTAAATTCAAGGATGCCCCCTCTCCGAGCGCACACCAAATCCCGCAACGGGTGCGACCAATGCAGAACTAGGCGGGTCAAATGTGACGAGCAGGGTCCACCATGCACCAATTGCACAAATCGCGGACTAGAGTGCACCTATTTGAAAGTGGCTGCTCGTTCCAACCGCACTCCACCATCAAATCCTGAACGGTCGGCTCGTTCACCAGGGGCAGGGGTGAATCCACCACAGGCCAATTCCTTCAACATCGACAATCTAGAATTGATGCACAAATTCTCCACAGACACTTTTCAAAGCCTGTGTGTAAGCGATTCAGAGACCCAAATCTGGCAAATCACCATCCCCCGACTAGCCCTCAAACATGATTATCTGATGAATGGCATTCTCGCCCTGGCTTCCATGCATATCGCCACTTCGGCCGAACCCGATGCCCCGCGGTACCACGATGCCGGGTTACAATACTACAACCGTAGTCTGACGCCCTTCCGCAATGCGATCGACAGTATCACCCCGCAGAACTGCGATGCAGTCTTTGCGCACTCGATTGTCATGATTGCCATTACGATTGCCTCGCCACGACTCACAGCCACCAAAGATGATGGCACAACCATCACCGAGAATATCGTGATTCTCTTCGAACTCCTCCAAGGCGTCCGAAAGATCATGATGGTCAGTCAATCATGGATCAAGCTAGAATTATTCTCCAAAGGCGAATTCTGGAAGAAAACACCCGAAGAACTAGACCCAGACACCGAATCCGCATTAGCTCGCCTATCAGCCTTAAACGACGAAGTCATGATAGGCATCTATGCCCAACAGCACCGAATCAACCGCGAAGTGATCTCGCACCTGCGCCATTGCTACGCGAAGTTTGCACGGTCGGCCGATCCCGCGCCTGTTCTTGCATGGCTTGCGCGTGTCGAGAAAGATTTTGTCGATAGCCTGAGATGTCGACAGCCATTCTCTCTGCTCATTCTTACCTACTGGGGTGTTTTGTTGACCGAGCTGGATGGGCAGCGGTGGTGGGCGAGGAATTCGGGCAGAGCGCTGGTCGCCGAGTTGCTTGATGCTTTGCGATCTGGGGATCCACGTTGGGAAAGTGCGCTTTCGTGGGTGCAGAGGAAAATGTCTTGAATTTTAGTATGGCAGTTGGCCTCTGGGTGGCAGTATACGGGCCTTGACTCGAGCTGATTGTATATATAGCATTTTTTGAAGCGATTTTACTTGGGAATATCTAGATAGGCGTCCAGATACTCTAGGGCTTTTTCCCCTTTCTTTTCTACTCTTCTCTTTTCCCCCCCTTTTAACTCGACTTAAGAAATTGGCCAAGAGTCGAATATAGATCAGAATCAGCCGCATTTTGTTCTTCAATTGCAACCGATGGAGTTCCAGACACCTTGGGGACAATAGGATGAACACCAAATGCCTATTTGGTCAGAAATGGGCAAACTGGAGCAGGGCAGATCAATCCATAGGCGCGACACTGCGTACAGCAACGGGGAAAACAAGGCTAGCCATGCATGTTTCTATGCAAGGCGCAGGATCATCAAAGTACCCAGCCACATGCTTGATATCCTCCCTTGTATGCTTTCCGAAGTTCTGCGTCCTTTGTAACAATTTACGTGCTTTGCAACCTTTAATAAGATCTCATTGCGCAACAATTGGTTATACTTCCCGACTATGAAATTCTCTCGAAACTCACCGGGACAACTTCGGTGGATATGGGGGCGGAAACAAGCCCCGCAGCGCAGCACAGTAAACCTAAGTCTTTACGGACTCCAGCCGAGGATGTACGGCGGTATCCCTCGCGGCTCGGCTTCTCAGGCTGTAATCAATTGTTCTGGCGATCATTGTGGTTCTAAAGTTCGAGTATTGGGACGCCTATCGAGGCGTTGTCCTCAGAGTGGCTTAGTTATGTTTCAGGCCTCCACGCTTATGCAGCCCGTGCAGCTTGACAGCGTACGCGAGGCTGCAAATCTTTATCAGTGGTACAGAGTACGGAGTACTGTGTACTCTTTACTCTTCGTACTCTCTGTAGATGTTGCGTTGAGGATATCCGCAGATCTTCCCCGCATTCTACGGAGTATACCGCCAGCCTCAAAATTGAGATCGAAAAACCCGGGGTTGCACCGGGTCTGAAGTCGAGAAGACCAGAATGGGTCCGCTAACTTTTGCCATTGCCAAGTCGAATAATTCGTATACGAAGTAACTGCGTACTCCATACAAGTACTCCAGATGTCCCCGCACGGCCGTCAGAAATTAGGGCAATTGTACTACTGCATATTTCGTATTCCGAACTATTTAATCTACAAAGTACCCCCCATATTTCAAACCAATTAATCATCCTAAGTCATGGCCCAACCAACTTGCTCCGTGGAGGAATTTACCCGCACAACATTCGACTATGTCATCTGCGGGGGTGGCACCGCGGGACTAACCATTGCGTCGCGTCTGAGTGAGAATCCCGCCGTGACCGTCGGTGTCATTGAAGCGGGCAAGTATCGCATTGGTGATCCCCTGATCGATACACCAGCTGCATTTCCCCAGATGCTCGAGCACCCCGATTACGATTGGTGCATGTATACGACGCCTCAGGTACGTGTCTGAAAGAAGTGAGGTCGAATCGCATTAACGGAGGTCCAGGAAGGAAACAATGGCAGGGTCCAGCATATCCCACGAGGCAAAGTGCTTGGTGGATCGAGTGCGATTAACTATATGATGTACGTGCGTGGATCGTTGCAGGATTATGATGACTGGGCGGAACTGGTGGGGGATGAGGGGTGGTCTGCGGAGACTATGCAGGGGTATATGCGGAAGCATCAGGTGTGTTATTCTCTGTTGAATGTGTTGGGCATCTGCTAATGGCAGATAGACACTTGAGCCTGTGGATCCAGCGATCACGGATCGTTCGACGATGCCTTTAGTCGGCCACTTCCATGGAACCAGTGGGCCTGTTCGTACTGGATTCAACGATACGCTCATGCCTGTCGAGAACGAGATTATCAAAGCGTGCGAAGAAGTCACTGGCATCCCGAACAAGCCTGCTGATCCATGGAGCGGAGACCACATTGGATTCTACCACACCCTAGGCTCTGTGGTTCGGTCAGGGCCAAACAAGGGCAAGCGCAGCTATGCAGCACGGGGATACTATGAGGCACACCGGGCGACACGGCCGAACCTGAAAGTTCTGTGTGAGGCCCTGGTGAATAGAGTCGTGTTGGACGGCACCAGGGCAACTGGCGTCAGTTTCACGCACAATGAAGTCGAGTACCAGGTCTCTGGGCGACGGGAGATCATTGTGAGTGGTGGAACGATCAAGTCTCCACAGATTCTGGAGTTGTCAGGAATTGGTAACCCCGATGTTCTCAAAGCCGCGGGCGTGGAGTGCAAGGTGGCCAATACGGGCGTGGGTGCGAACGTGCAAGACCACGCTATTACCCTTGCTACGTTCGATGTGAACCCTGGTGTTGTGACGCTGGATACCTTCGCCCAGGTGCCTGATGCCATGGCGGCCGCGGCGAAGCAGTACGAGACAGAGCAGGGTGGGCCTCTTAGCTGCATTGCTAGTATGCAGGGCTTTTTCCCTGCGAAGAAAGTCTTGTCTGAGGCCGAGCTGGAGGAAGTAGTTCAAAGTATTCGCGACGTGAAGCCAACCAGTGCATTCCACGAAAAGCAACTTGCACAGATCATTGCACACATCCAGAATGACCACTCTGCCAATCTCCAACTTGTGACTGTTCCCGCTACAATGGAACCCGAAGGAATTGAACATCAGAGCAAGTTGATTCCACCCCGGTCTGCAGACAAGCCCACCGGCTTGACCCTGGCCTTGTGTCTGCAATATCCCGTAGCAAGGGGATCGATCCACATCGGCAGCGCCGGTAAGTGAACAACCCTATATCCAAGACACAAGACTAACAAATCCAGATCCCACCAAATCACCCAACATCAACCCCAACTACGGCGGCCACGCCGCAGATGTCTCCCTACTAGCCGCCATGCTGCGTTGGGGCGACAAAGTGGGCGAGAACAAGAACCTGAAACCATCCATCATGCGTCGCTCCGTTCCAGAAGCATCAATCAACCTTCAGGACCTGAACACTGCCCGCAAAGCAGTCCACGACCTGGTCGGTGGCGAATACCACATCTGTGGCTCTGTTGCGATGGGTGATGCGCTGGATAGCAGACTTCGGGTGAAGGGTGTTGAAGGTCTGCGTGTTGCTGATGCATCTGTGTTCCCCAACAATGTCTCTGGCAATATCGTGAGCAGTGTCTATGCCGTTGCTGAGAAGGCGGCCGATCTCATCCGTGAGGATTGGGATTCCAGTGCTTCCAAGTTGTAGGCACTGGGGAATTTTATGATAACGCATCAGCCTTGATATTCCAATGAAGTTTTGTTTCAGAATGTGTCTTGTGGCAGTTCTCTTGTGTTTACCCGTCGATGAGGCTGGAATTTAAACTGAGTCCACATGGAGACAGATTCCAAACTGTCCTACACTGCTTTGTGGGGACGGTCTGGCCCATTCTGGTGGGTCTAAGGGATTTCCTGTACGAGTAATTGTGCAGTCGAGTTGGACATTGTAAGGGCAATGCTCTTGCCGGAAATCCAGTAGTATGAGCTATCATCCGACTCATCAATCCGTAGATAGATATGCTGCGGCTCAGAACCCAAGCTTAACTTGCTCGGGTGATAATCGGCTGATATACTAGCAGGACAAGCCAGTAAGGGGCCCAAGGAGCTTCAATTGCCGGGACATTGAGGGTACTCGTAGTACAGTGGAGATTCGAAAGTGCTAGTTGTAGCCAACCTTGGAATCTCCACCATGCTCGTACTCGTAGTCAATAAATCAAGAAGCAAAGAAAGCAAGAAGAAAACAAGAGTGGGTCACCTGATCCTCTCATCGAATTGAAGACGCACGTGCGTCGAGCTCCCAGCGCTAATCCCAATCCGGATAAACGACGTCCCAGCTCTCCTCGCTTCTCTCGACCATTTTCCTCTCATTGAAACAACCGGATAATTTCCCAACCTCCAAGAAAGAGACGAATTGCAAAATGTCCAGCCAACCTCTCCTCCAAACCGCGCCCGGTAAGCCAAAACCCACATTCCAAAGGTCACACCCGCTAACAAGCCCAGGCAAGCGAATTGCCCTGCCCACCCGAGTCGAACCCAAAGTCTTCTTCGCGAACGAGCGAACCTTCCTCTCCTGGTTGAACTTCACCGTCATCCTGGGCGGATTGGCAGTTGGTCTACTGAACTTCGGTGACCGCATCGGTCGGATCTCCGCAGCCCTGTTCACCGTCATTGCTATGGGCGCGATGATCTACGCACTTGTCACATTCCACTGGCGAGCACAGAGTATTCGGCGTCGGGGGCAGAGTGGGATTGATGACAGATTTGGTCCTACCATCTTGGCCATTGCGCTTCTTGCGGCTGTGGTGGTGAACTTCATTTTGCGTATTAAGGATGGGCAGATGGATTGAATGAGATAAGTCCTGGAGAGGTGGATGAAATATGGCTGGATTTATGTGCTTGGCACGAGGTACACGCTTTGGTTACGAGTGCTGTCAGTATATCTCATGGGTATTCCGGCGTATATGGCTTCGGTGTGAGGCCGTGCTTTTTTTTCTGTTCATATTGAATCGAGCGTCTGTTTTGATTGCATTGGCGTTTTTGTTCGGGGTTTCATTTAAAAAATCACAAGAATTGAATTCTATCTACTGTCTACTGAACGATCATGAACGGTACTTAAGTACTGAAGTAGGTCTTCCAATCGCTCGTCCTGAACATCATTTATATATACATATCATATCAATCGTTTCAACAATAATCCTTCGTCACAACCTCCCCATCCAGATAACCTGCCTGGATAAACTCGGAGAAGTTCCAGTAATGATCCTTCGTGCCTTGTCCCGCGGCAGTGACATTGCTAGAGAACTTGGCCGTCCAGAACGTGCTACCCTGCGTATATTGAGCCCAGGCGGAAATTCCAGCTCTAAGATTCTCTCCACGCAATGCGAGGGTGTTATTCCCACCCGCTTCAATCGACCACTCACCAACAAAGACAGGGAACTTTGCATCCCCCTCTGTATCTTTGGCATCCTTGCAGATAAAAGTAGGCAAATTGACAGAAGTCGCATTGGGATATTGGAAGTAATAATGATGGGCGTCGAAAACGAGATTCCTCTCCTTCTCGAAGAAACCACTCCAGTAGGTCTCGGGCTTGAAACTGCCCTGGAACATCACTGGGATGCGGGCATCCACCTTCTCCACACGATCAAGGACAGCACGGATGTATTTCACTAGCCATTTTGCGCCTTTGTCGGAGAGGGCGGCTGGGGTGCCGAATGTTGAAAAGTCCCTGTTATCCACTGGCTCGTTGATGGGCTCGATGGTATAGCTCCATGGGTTTGGAGAGGTGGCCACGAAATCCACCAGGGCATCCACAGCCTTCAAACTCCAGTCCAAGGCTGTGCTGTTGTAATACCAGCCATAGTGACCGACTGCTTCACCGATATCAAGTCCATTGGTGCCAGCAGGGAGACTATGGATATCGATGACGACATGCATATTGTGCTTGGTGATGGCATGCTGGGCAATGCGGCGAAGGTACTTCTGCTGGTTGCCATGGTAGTGCTGAGACCCGGGTAGATCGATCCAGGCGGCATATGTAGTTGGGATGCGGAGGATAGTGACACCTGCCTCGGCAAGTGTATCGATGTCGGAGGGTGTGATGTAAGTTTTGTACCGGGCTTCGAGGACAGATGCACAGGCAGCCCCTAGCTTGGCGCACATGGTCCATTCATCGGCTGCGCCGTGGGAATATTTCGCCCACCATGCTGTGTCGATGGTGGATTCTTGTATCAGCCACCCACCGAGGTTCACGCCGTAACCAGTGAAGGTCCGCCAGTCTACATATTTCTCGGTGTGGTTGGATTGGGATGAGTGGGTGGTTGGCAATGCTGCTCCGAGCTGAAGCAGAGCAGCGATTGACAATGAGAGGAAGGAGCGCATATTGGGTATCGCACCGCTGCGGGAATATTCAATGAACAGAAGACTGGTTGAATGTCAATTGGGGCCTTCCAGGATCTCTTTATATATTGCAAACTCCGTAGTAGTATATGAAAGCACTCGACTACGAGGCGAACCGACCGCGCAGATTGCAGAAGCACCCCGCTCGTCTCCGCAGTGTGGGGTGCAGGCGCCTGCCAGACTGGTGACTCGGATATCCCAGCACGATGAACAATGTTAATCTCGGAGGTTGGTCCTCGGAACCGTTAGATTCGATGGGGAAGTTCAATTTGCTCGGGGTAATTCCTGCAATGCTGCATGGTGGCGCGCATTGGCGCGGGACGGCCAAGGATGCCAGGGACCGCTAACCGTTCCTCCGGTCCACCGAGTTCCCCAGGATAGGGAGGATATTCAGAAATATATGGGGCGGGAGAGTGGACAAGACTAGCGAGGTCCGGTGAGTGGTGAGGCCTGTGGAGAGTCTACCGAACACACTGCCGTCCTGAACATCATCGATGATCGGGGGGAGATTGTCCGAGGGTCGGGAAGTCCGAGATGGGAGTAAAAGCATATAAAGTATAGAAGAACTACGGAGTACAGTAAGTACGGAGTACCGTGACTACTGGGGACTGCCGATCATTTCCGGGGTACGAGTACGGTGGGCAGAGGAACCAACGATGCATATCACGTGATGTTATGATTCCATGAGATTCTATGATCTTCCAGCATGATTACCTCACCCTCCAAAGTTGGCAGTTCAACTTGGCGACAAAAGTACCTGTTTGCCCATCGCCCAGTTTATTGAGGCGCAGCGATCCCCCCCGCTAATTGGTGTTTGTGAGGACTCTAACCCGGTCTAGGCATTGGGTTCAATTGGGTAGCCGCAAACATCCGACTTGTTTAGGTAGCTATTAGGAATACTACTTACTACAGAGTATTGAATTAAAAGGTAGTCTATACAGAATATAAATAATATAAAATAAGAGAACATGTCAAAATCAAAAGTGAATACTAACTACTATGCGAATATATCACAAATCAAGAACAATATGATAGATCTAGATCTATAAGTGTATGACGTGGAATGTTTGAGACTGGTCCAATAGCCCCGGCATCGGTACTTGGTGATCTGCTACTAATTATATGGTGGCCACAAGTATCCCTGATCCACCACCCTCCAGGGCCCCATTCCCAACTTCCCTTTTGTTTCCCCCTTTCTTTTTTCCCCTTTATTGTGTTCTCTATTCTACTTCCCTACTTCCCTTTTTTCCTTCTACTCCTTCTTCCCTCTCCGCCCTTATTAATAGATTGTTTTTTTGATTATTTGCAAGTAATATCGGGTCGCCAGTCGACGTCCATTCCTTTTTACCCGTAATAACAACGCATGGACCACCGATCGACTTATATGCAATCTCATGGCATGTTTCGCTTGCTCCCTTGGCCTTCGACCATAGGCGGGAACAAGGTGATGGAGGAAGTCAAGATGCTCGCCCCGACCAACTGCACCAGTCTGACCGTGACAAAACGCAAACGAGCTGACTCTACCGCCGATGCGCCCGCGACAAAACTGTGCACCGAAGCGACCCGACCGCGCCCGGTCATCGCGACGGACACCGTTCCTCTCACACCCGCGCCAGCAACCCCTTCAAATCCCTCAGAACCCTCAACTCCCCCGGTCGCATCGCGTCCACCGGCGCAGGACGCCGCCCCCGGTGTGGCCCGACTTCGGGAAACCATTTCCGCCCAACTGAGCTTGGAAGTGCTGCTCAAGCACAACGAACTCCGTCTGATCGACCAAGAGATCGCCAAGTGTCAGGTCGCTCTGGAACAGCTGCGACGGTGTGGCGAAATTCCCTTCCCGGGCTCCCAGGCGGCACCCTCCACGGATGTCAGCTCCGGCACCGGCGCGTCGCTGTTGGTACCTGGAAATGGTCCAGCCGTCTCGCCGGCGCCCTGGGGAGTCACCGACGGGCCTTATTCGCGACACTATGCCCGGTGGCTGCTACCGGATCCGCGCTTCGATGGCGACTCTGGGATGTTGGCTGGCACTGTTCCGGAGGGTCGTTCGACGCGTGGAAATCCCGATGTGACGATGTTTGGAAACACCCGCCCCCAGCGCGGGTCTACCGGCGCGAAGCATACAGCCCTGCCCAGCGGGTATCCCATGGTCAAGGAGAAGTCAGGTCCCATGCTCATCCGCCGCAAGTCGGATGGAGTGTTGGTCAAGCTGGTTTGTTTGGATTGCCGTCGCGACAACTTTTCGAGCACCCAAGGATTTATCAACCACTGCCGTATCGCGCACAATCGAAACTTCGCCAGTCACGATGCCGCTGCCATGGCGTGTGGTCAATCGGTTCAAGTGGACGACGCTGGCCTGGTGGTCGGCAATTCGGCTGAACCAACTGCCAACCCAACCACCCCGGGCTACGTTCACCCACTGATTCGCTCCGACATCAATACTCCTTCTAAATCGCTTCCCACTCCTGCCAAAGACGTCGTTACTCCTTGCAAACCCCCAACCACTGCCTCCGTTGCTACTCCTCCCGCTACCGACCCGACCCGCCGACAATCTGCGCCCGTCAAGCTGCCGCCCAACCCCAGCTTCTTGGCCTCTCCCGCAACTCCTCACCTGTCCGCCCTGGTGAAATCGCGAGGCGCTGGCCTTGACATGAGCAAGTTAGTGCAAGAGTTCCAGCAGCCTGTGGACCTGGGCGCCTTCTCCGATGGCGACTCCGACACGGACGACAATCGGAACCAGATTCAGGACGTGAGCGCCCGCGCAGGTCGCCAGCCAATGCGCATGCCCGCTGGACAAGCGCCCGAGCCCGAGAGCCGAAAGGCCCTTGATCGCGCCCATCCAATGGAGCAGCCTACTCCCTCGCGGCCCCACTCCTTCCTGGACATTTCCCTCGCCAGCCAAGCTCACGCCTTGGGACCTCACTCTGACCTGGACCACGCCAACCTGAGTCCTCATGCTGTTGAATCCAACCAAGCCCCGAGCTTGGTCAGTGACGACGAAGACGACTATGAGGCAGCCTCTGATTCCGACAGCCCTCCCTCCTCAGAGGCAGACGAAGAAGAACAAGCCTTCCGCCACATCCAAGTCGAAGACGACGAGCGTGCCGCCGCAGCCCCTGCCGCCGCCGAAGCCAAACCAGGTCCTTCCCTGGCGAACCCTGCACCCCAACCCGGACCCCCAGTCCAACCCATTAAGCGCTCCCGCTCCAAGAAGATCTCGGGTATGCCGTTTGACGACGGCGTCGGCTATGTCCACCCAGATCAGCGCGATCGCAAATGATAACCCCAAAAGGCTATCTATGTCTATTATCTCTCCTCTCTGTCAGATCTATTTCTGATCCTTCTCCTTTGTCTGTCATGTCGATGCTTCGGACTATCTTGACGATGTCCGGGCGGGACGATGATGTGATACGACCCTTTTACTATTCTTTGTGATGCATGCGTCTCTCCTGTATCTTGATATCTGATTTTTAATGAAGACTTTACGGCCGCGAATGTTGTACATAGCGATGAGATTGAAAAACAAAAAATGCGACTGGTTTAGCATAGATATCGACTCAAAATCAAAATCTCTTGGTGCATTCTTCCAGTTCCTGTACTGTGTCGTATTGATTGGTCGTCCTGTCTATGATCCTGCCTATCGTTCTTTCGTTCTGGCTGTTGTTCTAGCTGTTGCCTGCTGGTCGTCCTACTGGTCGTCTTGCTTATCGTCCCATCTATAGTCCCATCTATAGTCCCATCTCTTGTCTCGATTCTCGTCCGTGGTCTTCATACAATGCATATTCGTCTTCATGCCGAGTCATATTGTCGTACTATTGTCTTGTTGTCTCATTCGTATCGAAAAAAAAGGAAGGAACAATACTCTGTCTCATTCCTATCTTGATGACTGAGGGAAGGAAGGGAAGGAGGAAGGTCGGGCCTTCCGAGTCTATCTATAGGTCATCCCAACAGTCTGTCCTTCCATCTGTCGTCTGTATGCTTCGTCGTCTTGCAATCCCACAATCCTCTCCTCGCACTTCATTGTCAATCATCCTATAGAAAGAATACAACAGCTACACCCTATCCCACGGATTGGGTGGTTGACGTATCTACATTGCGCAAGGCAGTCAAGCAGTTTATACAATCGACGCTACCTAAAAGCACACGAACGAGACCCCTCAAGATGTCACAATTTTCAACAGTTGAAAAGGCCATGGCTCCCCGTGCGATCGACGAAGCAAACGATCACCATGAAGAGCACATTCACTGAGAATGTTTCATGCCGCGACATGGGTTCGGTGGTTGGCTACCACCAACCTCGATTGTACGGGCAAAGTACCATCCCTCCAGTTCTACAGATACTATGATTTGCTGACCCATAATTTAGTGAGCTAATCCTGAAATTGGCCCCATGCAAACACTCACAGCCGTGGCCAAAGAATCCCCTGCCAACTCCTCTATGACAATATTGGAGGATTTGAATAAGCTTCTTCAAAGTGAAGACGTAAAAGTCCTCTGCCAGTACCCGGAGGCAAAAAGCTTCGAAAATGTTGTGGCGTTCTGTTCCCTGCTTTCTTTGGGTATGTTCAACTCAGCGCCCCTACCAGGGATGTTAATGTTTTGAACTGACTTGAGATTTAAACTTAGAAGAAAAAAAAAAAAAACAATTGCTTCAAATGCATCCATGACAGCAACTTTGCCGAAAGACTACAAAGTCTATTTCTCTTGGGGCACATGGATAACAACTCTTTTTATGGAGCTGCTAAAGCCCATGGTAAACAATTTCCGCCAGAAATTCTTGGAGGCAATTCGAACTTGGACGAAGCCATCAGCGGATAAATGTTGGTGGTTGTTGGCAATCATCTGGTGGGTGATCAGGAAGCCGGAAAACCCAGAGACCGAGCGATTGGCTGCACGGCTGAGGGAGATTAAAGAAGAAATCAAAGGTGAAATGAAACAGGAGCTGAAAGAAAGCAACGATGAGCTCCTCGAACGAGTTTCTGCCTTGGAAGAAGCACTCGAGACAGGTCGGGGCTACCTGTGAGAAGCTCTGAGCTTGTGTGTATGCGTTGTTTGTCGATCCGTTATTTTTAGATGTATATTAGTTACCACATCAATGCTGATTCTGAAGTTCATGCTCACCACTATGCTGAAGATGACCTGTTCATGACCACTTGTAGACCGACACCGATCCTGGCCATGAAGCAACTTTAGAAATAGTGATGATCACGTTGAGTCCGAAACCTCAATGCCATCAACCCGAACGTCAACCGAGTTGTCATCAACGGCGACCTTTACCTGAATCCACCAGAACCCAAACCAGCCACCTTCTCTCCCGCCAATTTTAGCTACGTCCTGGAAGAATACGGACAAGGATCTTCGTCTACAATTGAGGACCCGGGTCATCTTCAGGGAACTAGTGCTTTCATTCGTCATTCATGGATACCTTCTAGCCAAAACCCAAGAAATGAGGAACAGTCTCAACAAGTTCCAACCATCCCTCCATAGCACGCAGAACCCACTTAAATCTTCCCCGTATCAACTAACCTCCTCAAAACCGCAATAGTCCCCTCAACAGCCATCCTACTCATCTTCTTCTCCTTCTTCAGCAGAGCCGGGTTCTCCTCATCAGTGACATCAGGATGCCTCCACTCAAAAGTATAAGTCATAAACAGCTCCCCATGAGCATCCTCACTGATAATATTCGAAATCGTACTACCATCCTGCTGCTTGAAGATAACTCTCGAAGGCTCAAATGCCTCAACAGTCTCTTGGGCTTTGCGTTGGGATTCAACGAACACGACTTCCCGGACGGTGATTTCGTTTCCGGTATTGGGATCGGTGGACTCGGAGAGGACAGTGGTGGATGAAATGGCATTTGGGACGAAGGTTTCGGCAGATCGGATCTTGAGCTTGAGACCGGTCCAGATTTGGTTTTGGTGGAGTCTTAGACTTGTCCCTGTGGGATTGATGGGTGCGGTGTAGGCGAGGTTGTTTGTAGGCATTGTATTAGGTGTGGTTTGAGTGAATTCAGAGTAAGTTACTCTGTACAGTGCGTTAGGTAGATTTGAATCAAGATGTGTTGTGACGTCAAGAAGACCGAATTGGATTTCGGCTTTGGGTGTCCGATGCCAGTGACAGGGCCATATTATTTGTTCAGTATTCGATACATCGGAATCTTGTCCCCAAATGCATGGAAACGTGTTTGGTAAGATGCTTAGAAGAATTTGAAAACTCCCATCAATTCATTTTCGGAGTCGTTTGTTTTCTCGCCTTGGGGCTTGTTTCGCCTCGACTTCGGTCCTGAGCTTGCGTTTTGAGCTGGGTTCAGTGTCTTGCGACTTCTCTGCCGACATTTGCATGCCACTTGACTGAGTGGACTCGACCTCAGGATCTCTGGCAATGAAACCAGACAAAGCAATATTCCGAATCACATATGCAACCTTCTCAATATCAAAGAGCGACACCGGCGCAAGGTTACCGACTTCGGCATTCAGACGCGCGCGCAGCTGTTGCACAGCATTCCACAAATCACGATACTCATTCACATTATATTTAGCAATCAACTCCCCGCTTGGTTTCCTATGAATCGAAGATTTCTCCTCTTGATCCGCGGATTCAGGGAGATCGTTCAACACCAGCCAGAGATAAACGTCATCACTGTAAAAAGGCACCTGAATCTCGCTGTCCCCGGATCCTGTACCAATGGACAGAATCAGCGATGCCGTAGCTGGGCCGACACCTCGAAGCGGGGCCGTGAGAGCATCCAGACTGGATTTGGGAAATGGTTCAAGTGGCGCATTTGGATCCGCATTTGGGAGCGAGGCGAATGCAGATGATGTGGCTTGCTTGACAGATTTATCAGGAATACCTTTTATCATTCCCATGAGTGCAGGACGGAAGACTCCATGTTTCCTGGGATGGTCAGTGTTGTTCGAAATCCTCAATGCAGAAATCGGGACTACCCACATCTTCCAATCCATGATTGAAATAAGCTCATCCTTGAGGATGAAAGCCCCTTCCATGCCCGGCCATCCATCAGATTTGCGCTCGAGGACAGTCTTAGGCAAAGATTCATAACGCCAGCGATCGAGTTCGAGGAACTTGTCCGTCTGCTCGCGAACCTGTGCCTCCTGCGAAGCATTGAGGTCTATCTTGGTGACTGGCGTGCTGGATTTGCCTTTTGATCCTTTTGATTGCTTTGGTTGGAGCTTTAGTATGGATTTCCGTCGATGCACTTGTGACACGGTTGCTTCGTAGCATGATAATAGGCGGTGGAATGTTCCAAGGCTGATTCCCTGGGGGGTAAGGGATGCGGTAGACATGTCTTTTTTTGATTGGTGTTCAAACTGAGTGGTCTTTTGGTTGTCCATTATGTATGACCACAGCCTTAATTGCAGTTTCGTGTTTTGGAGGTTGATGACTGGAAGAACAGACAATTGGAATGTTTTGGGAGGTTCCAATGTTGTCGATAATTACCAGCCGTAACATACGGTATGGCCCAGCCGAAAGTGGGTATTTTACCGTTTCCCAATACATATAGTTATTGAGCTCCAACTTCGAGAATGATGGTTCTACAATCCACGAGGCTGTTGTAATGTGTTGAGGATATCTCGATACACTTGTCTGAACTTGAGAAACTTAAGTAATTGCCTGAGGTCACAAATTCTGGGTGTGCAGAGTCTTCAAAGGGCATAGCACTGACATTCCCAGTAATGAGGTTTCAGAGTAATAAAACAGAGCTATGGCTCTCAACCTTGGAGTAGGTATAAACCAGCTCAATCATAGAAAGCCCTTGGGATTAAACGACGAATGGAAACATCGGCTATCAAGGCTCCATTTAGCTTCAGCACATCTGATTGATCCCCTCATTGATTCATTGATGTCCGAGGACAAGCCCTTAACCGCTCTCGGCGTGGTGGATCCGACAGCCTGGCAGCGCAAAGATGGAAAACTTCCACGGTTGTTCAAGGTTGTTTCTAGTTCTTTTGGGCAGTTCTTGTGTGCTATGAATAGTCATATTATCCTGAAGGACATCTGCGGATGTATAGAAGTATGCACAATAACCCCCTTGCTCCTATAAGTAGTTGCGAACTCCGAAGCGGACCTCCAGGGCTAGACTTTCGCCACAGTTACATTCACGTCGTTTAATTCGACGAGTCATAGTCATACACTCACGTGTACAGTGGCCTGGGCACTGATCATTGGGCTCAATTCTCGAATCAAACGTCTTTAATGTCTGCCGAAGACTAAATACTCCAACGACAGTACGGAGTACTCGTACTCCGTAGGTACTCGCAATTGCTAAAGGCTAATGACAATTTTCTCTGATTCTCAAATTATCAGAAATACAACCTTGGAAGTTATACGATGAGGCCATGGTACATATCAATATCGCCTTTATAGGTGACTTGAAGAAGGTTGCATGTCCTCCGTACTCTCTACTCCGGAGTAGATAGGGAATGGCTCGCTAAAAAGCAGCCAAAATAGCCGTGTCAAAAATGAAATCAAATGCAATGGAGCCGCGGCTCTCCTTTCCAACCTATCAAAGTAACGGTAAACGGGGGCATTCTGGGCCTCGACAGTCGTGGGGCGACTCCCGTGTGGACCCCCAGATCTACGATTGCTTTGAACCACTTTTTTTTTCTCTTTCGTTTTTCGTTCTCGACACTTGAGCCATGAGAAATGACTCGGAAACCTGTCGACGAGGAGCGCGAGCGCGAGCGCATCCGTGACCTGTCGAGGTATGTGTTCCGTATGTCGAGCCTAAGATCGGGACACTGAAACGCCCATAGATACTACTGCACGGTCCTAAAATCAACGCCCGCAGGGGTCACCGCGCCCACCGGCGACGACCAACCGTCGAGTTGCGAATTGGCCCAGGATATCACTCTCACCGCCCTAGCCCAACTCGGAGTCTTGCGCTTTAATGCCAATCGCTCCTTTGTCTCCATCATCGACGGCGACACTCAGCATATCATCGCCGAAGCCACCGGATCGGTCTCCCTCCGAAACAAGGATCGACATGCGACGGGGGATGGGATATACCTCGGGGCGCGTTCCCTAGATCTGACATGGGGGGTGTGCCCCCACACTATCCGCCTGTTCACAGGCCGGGAATCCAACGACATCGAATCGGGCAATGTGACAGCCAATAAGTCGCGCTACATCATTCGGGATTTCACCAAGGAAGACTGCTTCAAGGACAGACCGTATGTGAAGGATTGGCCGCATATGCGCTTCTACGCCGAGGTGCCCCTGTTTAGTGCATCGGGATACGTTTTGGGCTCTTACTGCATTGTCGACGACAAGCCGTGGACCGAGTTCGGCGACGACCAGGTCAGGGATTTACAAGAAGTGGCGGATGCAATTGGACATCATTTGGAGAACGTGCGAATGGGCGAGATACATTTGCGAACCGAGCGACTGGTCAAGGGCCTGACGAATTTCGCCAAAGAACACGCCAACTTCAACCCGACCGAAGTTTCAAACGGGGGGCGGATCGAACTCAGTGCAAATGCTGCACACGTGGTGTGCAGCGAAGATTCAGAGACCCATGTCCCTACTCCGGCTGTGATTACGACCCTGCCTTCGAACGATGATATTTCGAGCTCTGGGAAATCCTCCATGTCTACAGTTACTGGTGAGGAATTGGGGTCAATCCCACAGGATCAGCAATCTGTAACCGATCCTTCATCTCTCTTTTCGATTCCAGACCCAACAGCTTCGAGTTCGCGGGAGGAAAAGACCCTCGGGGACGCCATGAATCCACGGGATATGGGGACCCAGGGCATCGAAAAAGAAATCTCACAATTAACGATTGCGGACAGCATACCGGTACATGAAAAGCTTGCCGCAATCTACTCCCGTGCAAGTGTTTTACTACGAGAGTCTATGGACCTTGACGGTGTGGTACTGCTTGATGCTTGCCCGACCAATTTCGCTTTGTACGTTGGAACTCCTAATTCATTGGTGGCTAAAGCTCACATTATTCTTATCCAGTGTCCCTGATAATGCGGAAGAGTGGGAACTATTACCGAAAATCATGGGTGCTAGGTTCCCGATTGTGCCGTTGCCCAGTCCACTCGGATTGCCCCAGGTCGTGTCGCATGAATTCAACCACCCCAGTGATATTCTCAGCTGTGCATTGAAGCCAAACGGCGACAAAGTTGAATCTAATCCCGCCCCGAAAATTCCAAAAGGACTATTGCATCGCCTTCTCAGGGCTTGCCCGCAGGGCCAGGTAATAGTTTTCGACAACATTGCCGAGGAAGACTATTGGACCTACGGCTGCACAAACCCTTCCAAGCCGATATCCGACCCTGTCAGTTTGCCGTTGCTATCCAAGCAATTATCACAACATATTCCCGATGCCAAATCGGCTATTTTCTTGCCTCTGTGGGATTGGAACAAATCCCGTTGGCTTTCTGGTGTGTTGGCGTGGACGAAGAGTAGTTTCCGAGCATTGGGGCTTGAGGAGCTGCACTACTTTAATGTCTTTGGCGACTCAATCATCTCCGAAGTTGCCCGTATTCACTGGGCAACCGACGAGCGATCCAAGTTCGACTTCATTTCCTCTGTCAGTCACGAGCTGAGGTCTCCGTTGCATGGAATCCTGGCAAGTGCAGAGTTACTGAATGCAACCTCTCTCGACGGAGTGCAAAGCGACATGGTCAGTATGATTGAAAAGTCTGGACTGACTCTACTCGATACAACAAATCACATGTAAGTGCAACCGGTCTGTCTATCTTATCATTGCTGATTCCATCTAGGCTGGACTTTTGCAAGGTCACCAATCTACGCCATTCGAGAAAGGTTAGCCTTGGGTCTGACAGCGAGGGCGCCAACCTTGTTTCCGATTTAGACCTCAGTGAATTGGTGGAAGAGGTCGCGAACATAATGTATACCGGCCATCGAGCACCAGTGAGAGTCACTCAAAACTCCCGCAAGATGTCATCCGACGCGGATGTGGCAGACTCAAACCCTACGCAAATCAGTCCCACTGGCCAGGTCTCTGTCGTCGTACGCATTGGTGAATTCAACGACTGGAAGATTCGATCGCTCGCAGGGGCCTGGAGAAGAATCGTCATGAATCTCCTCGGCAATGCAACCAAGTGGACTGAGATTGGATTCATTGAGCTATCTTTATCAAAGATCAAAAATTCGGCTGACTCCCGGCCTCTTGCCCACTTGTCCATCACAGACACCGGTCGAGGAATTGCGGCCGACTTCCTCAAGCACAAGTTGTTTGTCCCATTCTCACAAGAAGATCCACTATCCGAGGGCGTGGGACTGGGTCTCAGCACTGTCCATCAATTGGTGACGTCTTTGGGGGGCCACATTAATATTCGGAGTGAGATCGGCATTGGAACACAAGCAGATGTCTATATTCCCGTTGAAAATCTTGACACCGAGACCGATGGACATCTGATTCCCACTCCAGAATGTCCCAGCAAAGTACCAGGCCCCATCCACGCGTGCTTGGTCGGCTTCAACGATTACCCCGATCTCACCGAACCGCCGACCGGAATACTCACTATTGAGGAGAAACGGAAACTCTGCATACAAAGCACACTGAGCAGTATATTCACCAAGAATCTCGGATGGGACATCTCCCTCGCTGATTCTATTGAAAAAGCACAAGGTCAAGTCATCGTCATCGAAGAAGATTCCTTCGGTCGCTTAATGACACAGCGCCAACAAGACGTCACGGAAATGGCGGCTGAACTCGGAGTGAACTTTTTCATCGTACTTTGTGACAGCGTGCCAGTCACCCCAGAAATCCCATCAGCGAACCTCATTTGTGTTTCTCAACCGTACATTCGCCCCTCCCATCTGCGTTTGTGATGTAAGCTAACGATTAATTATCTGACAGACTTGGACCACAGAAAGTCTCAAATGCCGTCCAGCGAATCATTACTTTGCGCGAACAAACGTCGTTAGCTACTTCACTCGAAATATCCGACCTCACCCAGTCGGCGGTTTCTCATCCTACGGAAAATAACACGTCGCATGCTATCTTGGATACGGATGAGCCAATATTGCTTGCTCCTGCGAAAGAAACCATGAACATTGTCGCACCTCCGGCCGTATCTGTACCCCGCTCATTCAGCAAGCAAGCTCTAGCGCATGTTCTCATTGTGGATGACAACGACATAAATCTGAAGGTGAGTGTTCCCATTTAGCCTATGAGTCTCTGTTGTGAACTCTACTTGCTACATTACCCTTTCTTGATCATCAGCTAAACCTCACAGATTATGGCCACCTATATGACAAGAATAAACTGCACCTTCGAGACAGCCAGCAACGGTCTCATCGCATTCGAGAAATTCAAGTCATCCCCATCTCGATTCGATTTTGTCTTGATGGACATCTCAATGCCAGTAATGGATGGTCTGGTCTCCACCAGCAAAATTCGCGAATACGAACGAGCAGCAGGCCTCGTACCCACTTGCATCATGGCCTTGACGGGGGTTTCCTCTGCAGGCTTCCAGCATCAGGCGTACTCTGTTGGCGTTGACAATTACCTCATCAAGCCCCTCTCTCTTCACGAACTCAGAACTCTTATGAATCTTGCATGATACCAATTTTGTACTTTTTACGAAAAAAAAATTTCCCGGACGCATAGCAGGGCGTTGGTTGCTTCTTCATTTACTTTCATTTATTCAAATTCTTTTCTTCATTCGATTCGTGATCTTGACTTCCTCGGGACATCACAGCGGAAACAACACACCCGATCCACTGAGTTTTCAATTTAGCCAACCGCATTTCAATCCCTGTCATTTTGATGGACATCATTTGGACCGGATGCCTCTGCCCCGCCATTTCACATGCTGGCATGCGCGCACTGACGCCTTGTGCGTACACTTAAGGATATTCGGGCTCAGGACATACTGGCCAAGTCAGTCATTGGCTTGTCAATGGGATTCTGTGAACAGTAGCCAGAAGTCCTTGGATCCCTCGGTTTGATTTAGTTTCATTTATGGGCGTTTATTTATTTTCTAATAACTTGCTTCGCACTGGACCCGGTGATTGTCGCATTGGATGAGGATGTTGAGATCCTTCTTTCGTCGCATTGGGAGGGTGTTGAGAACCCATGGATCCAAAGGTCAAGGCAGATGTCGCAGGGGCAGTGAGTCGCTTTGGGTTGTTCAGGCGCGGTCGATCTTCTCTAAAATAAGCAGCACGGCCTTGTCGCCGTGACCTTTTACATAGTCTATAAGTTCCTCGGTGACAACCTCAACCAATCCCTCCCTCTTGAGCTTCTCAACCTCAGCCTGGAACCCACCAGACACCCAAATCTCCTCCAAAATCGTCGAAACCACAATACCCCCCGTCTTGGCCACTCGCACAAGCTCTCGCAATGCAGGGTCCGGTCCCACATGCCCAAGAGTGAACGTGCCCACACAAGAAACAACATCATACGTCTCATCGTCTTTCGGAATCGGGGCATTCATATCCGCTACCGAGAGATCCCGGTAAACGCCCGTTCGCCGGGCAATGTTCAGCATAGGCTCAGACAAGTCGATTCCGTCAATTGCCTTCGCCTTTGCGAGTCCAAGTGCCACGCCCACCAGACCTGTCCCGCAGCCGGCATCAAGGATAATGCTGTTTGTTGCTCCGGATCCAGATAATCCGTATCTGATGGCTGCTTGAGCGACGAGGACTGGTGCAACGTAGTTTTGGGCTTCGTCGGTGACTTCATCGTCGTATGTTTCGGCCCAGCGGTCGTAGAGGGCCATGCAGTCTTTTGTGCTGCCGCTTGCGCGGGCTTGTCCTAGGTAGAGCTCGTTCACTGTGTTTGGGGCCAACATTTTGTATATTGATTTCGGGATCGAGTTTGGGGCCGTGGAAGTGGAAGATGTTCGATTGTTGCTTGGGCTTTGTTGCGTGGGGCTTGATAATATTCGCAGATAGTATATCGTATATCGTATATCGTATAGTCTGGCTCAAAATCCTGTGGGGGTATAAGGTCCAGCACCCCATTTATATACTAATCCTGGCCCTATATAGGCCCGGCTATAGCAATAGCCTCAGGATATCCCGGATATGGCGTGATGCGGGGTCACTGACGAATTAATCCGGAAACACAGTGACGTCCGGTGGAACGATGATGTCGGTGGGTTATACTTCACGAAGGCTGGACCTCTGCCACTCCAAACGCGCTACCCTCAAACGCCCATTAGGTGGACCCCTCTTCCAGAAACTTTCAACTGACGTCCTGGCATTCCAATTCACCCGTCTCAAATGTTGAAACCTGTTCAATAACACACAAACCTTGAACCCGGAGCTCCCTTCCCCACCAGTCAGCCCACGCCAAGGGAATCACCCATTCGCCAATTCAGACGCTACTCCATGCAAACCAAGATGAGATCCATAGATCGACTGAGATTGACACTCTCTGCGGGGGGGACCTGCCCCACCATACTGCCCTAGACCGAGTTGCGACTAGAGTGAATATCTTCTTCTGTATTGGGCAAGGGCTTTGGTTAGCGTCTGGTGTTTCCAAGTCTTTTTGGTGGAGTAACTGCCTCAGCATGCACGTCTATGTACCTGCACTGAATTCAACTTCTCACGGACCACCTGGGCACTTCGGTCGAGGTCAAAGCCCGCTTATGGGTACCTTTCTCTTGCCCCTGTTTGCGGCGCGTTAGGCACTGGAATATTTTTGTTGTAGTTTGTGTTAGTATTTTCGTACTAATTTCAGAAATAATATTGCGTAGTATTACAATGCTGGATTCATGGGTATGAACTAGGTAACCTACTTAAGTAGATGAGTGTATACTACGTGCGACCTGCCATGAATCGAAGTGAGAGTGACTTCAGGATATGATGGCACGGGTCAAATCAATTGGTCTTAGTCTTGCCTTAAGTTTGCCAGTGATTCAAGGACGGCTCAACTACTACGATTTGACGCACAGATATCAACGCATGGACTGAATTATATTCTAAGGTTGATTCCAAGGTTTAAACACTATGTCAAGATATGGTGTTACAGGAAATCAGATGCGTTTCGCATTCAATCTGATCCCAGTCTCGCGGCTATAGGAAGGGACACGGTCGCTAGAATAACAGACGCTTAGCTCAGACAGCGCAAAGCGCCCCCTCAAAAGAGGGGTAATCAACGAAATCACCTCCTCGCATGTTCCTTAGTTCCTGGGCGGTGGTACTGAATGTGGGACTCCAGGGCTAGCTTATACTGACAGATCCGTGTTACTACATTCAATTAACCTTAAAAAAACTAGCTTACATCGCACTCATGTTTTATGAAGTATTTTCTTGACACTTTTGAGTAACAAAGCCTAGGAAGATCTCTGATTCCGACAAAAGTCGGGGGCCGAAACGTAAATAGTACTTCACAAGGGCGCGGTGATGTAGGCAGCTACTTATCACATCCAGAATGCCAAGTCTTTGAGCTTACAGTTCGAAAAAGAGAATGAGACGCAAGCAAACAGTTTGACAAGTCAACATTTCTGGAGAGAGACAACAAGAAGAACCTTGGAAGAGAGATCTATCCAGTCTGGGGCCGCACAGCCCACTACACATTTCTGCCCTTGCCTCAATAGAAAAACACTTGGCAAAGCATCTTCTGTGCTTCAAAGAAATGTTGACCAAGCGACCACGTCGAAGCATGCCCAAGGTCCGAACAGGATGTTCCACCTGCAAGTGAGTAAAATCAAAATGGTGACCGATCTTAAGACTGACCCAGCAGGATCCGTCGAGTGAAATGCGACGAGGAACAGCCAAAATGCCGGAGATGTGTATCTACCGGCCGTACCTGTCCAGGGTATCCGGGAAAGCCATCGGCGACCACAATCGAAATATACAACCTTCCTTTCAAGGTCCCAGGAAGCCGTACAGACCGAGAGATGTTGCACTTTTACCACAGCCATGTGGCTGAGAGTATCTCCAAGCTATCCGACTCGTCGATCTGGTTAGAGCTCATTATGCGGCAAAGCCAGTACCACTCGGTTGTTCGCAATGCCTTGGTCTCTCTTAGTTCTGTGTACAAGGACTATTCACAACTGCGACCATCGACAAAAGGCACATCAACCGGTTATCTCGAAATTATCAACAAGGCACACAAACAGTTGAAACTACATCTTTCATCACGCGGCGCATCAGTCATGGCCGCGCTGATTTGCAGTCTCATCTTTTATATTCTCGAATGTCTCGTTGGAAATACAGCACATGCGATGTTGCATCTGGATCAAGGATTGATTCTTCTGCAGCGTTATCGAGATGAATCTTTGGGCCTTGATTTCGTCCCAGGATTTGATCAGTTATTGGCTGTTTTTTCCCGACTTGACATCCATGCCAGTGTCTTCGATGACGAGCGACGTCCAATTTTACGATTATCTCCACCAGCAGATCATACCCCATTACCCGAAGTCTTCAATCTAGCACCAGTCAGCCCCAGAGACCTTGCTGGCACCGAGAGAGAACTGACTATGCTCCAAAACTCAGTGATGCACCATCTTATATCACATGCCGAATACAACCAAAAACCGCGAGATCATGTCCCTCCATGGATGATTGACGAGAGTCATTACCTCGAGCAAGAAATGCAAAGATTTGAATTAGATCTTGAGAATTTGGTTTTCTCTCCGTTGGCAGACCCTTACAGCCAGCTGCAGCAACGAAAGACCCTCATACAAGTGGAAGCATCGGTATTCCATGGCGCGTTATTAGAGGTAATCGACTCTTCAAAGGAAAAAGCAGCTAGCTCGACAGCAGCCGATCGCAGATTTAATCTTGCCCTTTCGCGAATACGCACCCTACTGCCATCTCGTCCCAAATCTACCAGCGATTACCCGACTCGGGAGTTCACATTGTCTACGAACCTCATTGCAATATTGTACTACATCTGCATGAAGAGTGCAAGCCGTGAGATAGTGGAGTCTGCACTTTCGATAATGCAGGACAGTCTATCTTCTACGCATGATGGTCTTTGGGATGCCAGTATGGCTGTTGTTGTTGTCCAATCACTTCTTTTACAAAAGGAATATCCCAAATGTGATCCAAAGGAAACTAGACTGGAAGATTTGGGGTCAGGGATAGTGGATACAAGTGGTGGATTGGAGGAGGCTTTCAGAAAACTCTCGTTAAAGAACCCTGGAATTGAACCCGCAGATGCAGCTTGTCTTCAGTTCATCGGATGATGTTGAATTTCAGTATCTGATGTGCGAGTCAAGAAAGTTCTGGGAGGTAACTATAAAACGGATCGTCCAACAAGCATCAACTCCAGGGTAACACGGGCTCAGAATCTGTTCGTTACAAATATCCCCGGCCCATCTCCATCATTTCCTCCAAAACTGCAACTTTCCTGGCAAGTCCACCGAGACGTGCTTTTAAGTCATCCGTCTCTTTATTCGCCGGCTTCCGTAGAAGCCACCAAATTACTGCAAAGAACCAACCCCGTGGCAACAACGACTTGATCCATTCTCGGAAAACCTCAAGGATCTTGATCCTCCAGTTATTTACCATAGGCTTGAGGACAACTCCAGTTTTGGGCTTCCCCGCCTAACAGGCTGGTTCCGTTGAAGACTGCAACGAACGGGATGCCAAAAGCGTAGGCTATGACAGGGCGTCCTGCTGGTAGCCGCTGCGGGCGGGCCTCGCCGTTCTGTGCGAAGTCTCTGCCGTGGCAAGCTCTCGTATTCACGCTTGTTCGGTGATACATCTCGAAAAAGTAGGGGTCGGACAATCGTGTAAACAAAGGAGGAGCCACGAAGTCGTCTGTGAACCTTGTCTCAGCGCCGACCCAGAGGCCTGTGTCTTCCATGTAATTTTCGATGTTTGCGGGGTAGGGTAGGTGTCGTGGCCGAGACTCCTTCCATCGGTCGCAGGGCTTTATTCCATCGAGGTCTCGTCGAGCGTTTGTGTGATGCGTTATCAGAGCGTCCGTCATCTGGCTTGAGCAGCTCCATGCAGAGAGTTGTGATCCAAGTGTTCCAAGAGAAATATACTTAGTAGCCCTTTGGCTGGGCATTTGAGCAGGATTTCTTCGATTGCAATGGAGTGCTTTCTAATCAATGTGAACCTCAGGTTAGCTCAGAGCATCATCATCCCTGGCAAGAGCACTGAGTTGAACATACCAGGAGGAGGAATGAGAGAGCAAAGGGCGGCAACAGTTTGCCACTTCAGACTGAAAACGTGTAGAGGGATAGAAAGCTTGGTCACCTTCCTTTTGGCGCGATGAGGATTGGTGTTTTGTTGCTCTCCCACAAGAATACACCATGTCCTGCACCAGCTGGGCATATGACTCTGACAATCCGACTTCCATCACGAGAGAGGGCCTCTCGCTGGCTCCCAGGGCCAGAACATCCAGCAGGCAAAATGTGTAGTCCTGTTCTTTCGAGGTCTGATATCCGTGTATACGAGAAGAGCCCATTGGAGAGAAGTCTTCTTTGGAGACACTGAGATTCATGTTGAAGAGGTGCTCGTACAGGATGCTTTCAAACTGATTTCGGACGGATTCATGCTGTAGTCGGTCCGCTTTGGTTCCCAAAACGTTGCTGTGACCCCGGAAAACAAGTTGCAGACTGTCCCCAGTCTGTCCACAGACGATCGTCGAATCCCGTGGGATTCAGTTGACGATCAACGTTTGATATTTGCCTCTGTTTTATTGCAGAAGACTTCTTTGTCTTGGTTTTGAAGAAGTTTATTTAAATCCTCGAGGATTGTCATAGAGGAGTTGGCAGGGGATTCTTCTTTGGCAACGGTTGTGAGTGTTTGGATGGGGCCTATTTCAGGATTGGCTCACTAAATGATGGGTCAGTACAGTCCCCTTTCAGCTACCTGCTGGTAGTATAGTATCTGTAGACCTGTATAGATGGTGCTTTGTCCGTACAATCGGGGCAGGTGGTAGCCAACTGCAGGGTAAATCATGTCGCAGAAGGATCAATAGATCCACGGGAAATGCTCAGATAAGCTTACTTACTTGAAAAGACAGAGAGCAAACTGAATCATTTTGAAGATTTCGATGGACTTGGATGGCTTTTAAGAGCTTGGAGGAAAGTTGAATATGGGAATAGAAGTTTACATTTTCGAAGCATTCTCCTGGAAGGAAACACCCAGAAGGCAAGTATGACCTTACACATTATGTACTTAAGTACATGGTAATCTAACCTTAGAAGGAGCATTGTCAAAAGCTATAACCTTGGAACGTTTCCCGACTTCATTTTTGGAAGGTCTACAATAAGGTGTTCATATCTCTCTCTCTCTCTCTCTCTCTTCTTGCTCTCTTCTTGCTCTCTTCTTGCTCTCTTCCCATTTCTAGGTCCATCATCGCACAGATCTCAGCCTCCAGCCTTGTTGTTTTTTTATTTCTTTCTTTTTTAACTGAAACCGAACCAGTTATCCAGGTATATTTTCACTAAATACAGCCCACAGGATCAGGGTCGGATAATCGATTTCACCAAACCCCAGAACCGCCGGGATCTCCCTCCTCGATGCCTTGATTTCGAGAAAGTTGAGACAACCAGCGAATCGCCCTCTTCCCAAACTTGCTCGCTGTACTCCCCGTCGAGCGTATTCTATAAATAGCGAATTTCATGCAGACCATTGATGTGTTTTACTTTTCATTGTGTGATCACCAAATTCTCTCCTTACTACGCGAAAGACAGGATCCACGCTAAGAGAAATCCGCAGAACTTGAATTTCTGCAGCGGTTGGAATGTGATCTTAGTTGTTTCTATAAATGTGTTTCCAAGCTTCAGAATGGTTGTTTGCTATTTTACTACTTAAAGTAAAAGAACCTTATAAGAGATCAAAATGATATCATGAAAGACCTAGAGTCCAAGAGAAACTCAGAATGAAGGCAAATGCAGCGTAGCCCCAAGAGGGAATCGAACTTCCCCGTGCAGCAATTGAGAATTCCGGAGACTGAGTCTCATTACCAGGAAGTCTTGTGCCATTCTCATTGACTTCTAGTAACTTTGCAAACCTCACCTCGTCATTTCCAAAGTCAAAGACAGTAAGCACGTTTTTCAAAAAGGGTACACCCAGAATATTCACTGTAATGTCTCCAAGGGAGACTTTGTCGGAAGGAAACAGGCTCGACACGCATACATCGTCAACCCGAAATATGAGATCAGAACCATTATGGAAGAAGGTTTGGTTTCCAAGTTTCAATCCAAACTGCGGAGGTTGCGAGGAACAGTCAACGACATATGCCTCTAAGTCCTTGTTGTATATGGCAGGAGGCGAGAAGAGAGCATTGATTGGCTCCACAACGGCAGATGGAAGATAAGTCACGTAGTTTCCAGAGTCAATGAATGCCTGGAATTTTGTGGAATTTGTGGTGAGATTGTTGGACGAAGGGCCAAATGTGACTTCCTCGATTGTTGTCGTCCAGTATGAGAGTACACGTTTGCCGGAGGTAAAATTAAGCGGGATATCTGTGAACTCGACGGGAGTCACCGCAAATTCAGGGTCGGACTTGACGGGGGGAAGACCACCCAGGGTCAAGTAGCCCCCGAAAGAGGTAGATTGGTTTTGCGGAGATCTTGCCAATGCAAGGCTGAAGTTGGGCTCGATTTTACCCTCTTTGTGCATTGTGTTGACCAAGGGATCATAAGGCAGACGATTGTACCAGTATGTGGTATTGTCTGAGCTGTTTCCCGGGTGCGCCGACGTGATAGAGGGATAAGCCAGGCCTAGAAGACCGCTGTTCACCCCATCGCCCATTGGATTGGACCTGTCTGCAATGCCAAATTTCTGCTTCTTGACGGTGATGTTGCCTAGTGAAACTTCCTCGTATGCTAGATAGCCACTGGCAATACCCGCGCCATATTCAATCCCGAAGTTCTGGCCTGAAATCCGGCGTAGTGTATTGGAGGGGTGGTAGGACTTCGCGTACTTGCAGTCTTCTCTGGGGACTGCTAAGGTGCCGGTGCGGTTAATGCAGGTATAGCCGTCCTGCATCACGTATGTATCGCTGCTGCCAGTATCGACCAACATATGAAAACTTTGATTTCCAATTGTCATGGGAGCATCAAACACTGTCCCATATTCTGCCGAGATGAGTGGGATGGTAGTACTCGCTGAGGCGATGCAGGCGAAAGCCATCGGAACACCGACGAGGGATTGTGAAACGCGCATGTTGAGCTCGAGAAGCTTGAGATGATTGCTATGTCAAATAATTCCAGTACGATGCCATCTATTTATGTCCAGGATCATGTTCAATCGCCAACTTGAATTCCATAGCTGCCAAGCCTCGTATATTTTAGCGCCAGGCATCACAGGTGCTCAAGTGTCAGATCATTACTTGGCAACATTAAATTCCTAAAAGAGTGTCAACTGTATCCACTGAACATATGCAATTGGTCAATTGAACAACTGGGTATCCTTGTAAAAACTATAAGTCGACTTAAGTAGAGATGGGCACCGGGGGCAGATCGAACTAGCGAGTTTGGCCCCCGGGGCCAGTGACGATGAAGACAGCTAATCCAAATTTAGAACCAAAAGCTTTCCCGTTCTGTTTTTGGCCCCAAGAATGACGGAAATCTTTGATGCGATGTATTTGTTGGTCGGACGTCATGAATTCTGATCAGGTTTTGAATGGCTCATTTGCCCTAGAAATCCATGCACTAGTATTGAAAGCCATCATATATAGAGGCTGAAGTTTTCTGGTCAGGCAAACGACTTTCTTTCCTCCAAAACTTCTTTTAGGTAGGGAGCGTCGCCCTTCTCAAAGGGATGTTTCCGCTCAAACTCAAGCACAAGTTCCCGGTGCCCAGTGCTTCGCGGTGAAAACACGCACTCATAATCCTCAGGGTGACTGATGATGCCTGGTGTGAAGTCGACAGAGGACTTAACCTCCTGACCGTCTTCGTTGATTGGCTTTGTGATGTTGAAAACAGCGAGGGTGTGAGATATAGTAAGGAAAAGGGAGATATCTGCGACTAGACGACCAGGGCATATGCGTCGTCCGAATCCGAAGCTCACATCATATGGATCGGGGGCAGAGTTGGAAGCTGAGTCGTCCAAAAATCGCTCAGGGCTGAACACTGAAGGGTCCTTATAAACCTCAGGGTCATTGTTGTAGGACCTGGGGGTTTGTTAGTCAGAGTTATCATTGATTGTGGAAGTTAGAAGAAATTCTGACCAGATGTTCGCAAGCAATAATGCTCCCTTTGGTATCAGATAACCATCAATCACATCATCCTGGTCAGTCTTGTGAGGCAAGCCAAGAGGTGCAACCGTGTGCCAACGAAGAGCCTCTTTCACAACGGCGTTAATGTACGGCAACCTGTCTCTGTCTGCAACTGAAGGGAAAACGTTGACTCCAAGGACTTGATCAAGTTCAGCCTGTGCTTTTCGCTGAACATCTGGGTGAAGCATCATTGCAAGATAGAAACCCTTCAGGGCCGAAACAGTCTGATGGAAGTTAGCATGGGAAAAAGAAACGACCACGATGTCATAGGAGTGCTGACCGTATCTGCCCCAGCACTGTAAAGTGCGACCGATGACCATTTCACGATTTCTTCGTCTTCTCCTTGCCGGAGGAGGTTTGCAGTAAATGAATTGTGATGCTCTTCTTGCACCATCTGCGATTTAGTGAATGCAAATGGCTCTTCAACAAGACGTCTCAGAGTGTGAGAGTAAAAACGAGCCGTCTTCTTGAACGCGGCCCCTGGAGCCCACTCCGGGAGATGCTTCACTGTTTACCGCAAAGGATAATATGATGAGAACGGAATATTCTTTTGGTGGTTGATACTTTGGTGAAACTTACATGCCGGTACCATATCAACCAACCAAGCACCAGGAACGACAGAGGCTGAAAATTGTTGAAGTGCCAGATCAGCCAAGTTGACGAGAGGATCGTCATGGTGCGGCTCAATGTTGTATCCATAAGTGATTTTCAATATGAAAGCACCGGCGGCACTAGCATTCTGCCGTCAGCTGAAATTTCGATAAATCTGATTAATAAAGAGATACTGACGTTCTAGTGTGCTTCACGAATTCTTTCGGGTGGTTAAGCACACGCCAAAGGAAACGTTGCGCTTCAACCTCCAGCATATCGTCGAATTTGGACATGGAGCTGCGAGATCCAATGATACGCGCCATAGCCTTGCGATATAAGCGTAAGAGACTTGTGTTGTCTTGACTTGAGGGCGCTTTGCCCCATCCAACTCTGTTCGAATTGCATCAATATTCAGACCATAAAATAGTCGCCTCGCCCCGCAATGAAGACTCGGCAAACATGATATGCTTACATTTCATCTGCAAACACCAGATTAGGTCGAGATGAGTGCTTAGCAGATCGCTTTTCCAAGATCTCAACAGCCAGTTTGCGATCGTTGATGATCACCAGGGTGGTCCCAAATATCGAAATCGAACTCAAAGGCCCTAGCAGCAGTTAGAAAATGATTTCCAGTGTCCACAGACATGTCGAAAAAATTTTCAATACCGTAAAGCTCTTTGTGCTTGAGCCAGTGCTGCCATTCTTGCTTTCCTGCAGCAGGTAGATCCAACAAATTTCCGATTATGGGCTTTCCTTTTGGACCGGGGGGTAACCGTAGGCCTGCTTCAGGCCGCAAGAAGAAGTAAAGAATAAAAACTACCACTAGGGCAGCAAGTAGAACTTGCAACTCCATGGGTCAAGATGATATGAGAAAATGCGAGGCCTGACAGAATTTGGGAGCCGGACTTTCACTTTTAACAAGCGTCGAGATACATGTCAGCGAAGACAGACAAAACTTCCTGCCATCAGGGTATTGTGGGTCACTCTTAGCTGTCTTGGTGTTAGTATATCTTTTTCCGAGTGTGGTAAGTAGTCTTTGGCCACCACAGTGGCGCTTTTATTCAAGTATTCACGAGGCTAATGCACAGAGTGAGGGCTAGCGGAGGTAAGTGGATCCACACGGGAAGGAAGACCTCGGAGGTGACGAGAGATGAGAGACCGTAACACAGTGCGGAAGCATCGGGAGCATAATTGCACTGCATGGAGTGATTGAATATTGTAGAAGAAAGCCATGCTACTCGTAAATAAGGACATTGAATCCGAAAGGAAAGTAGTGTGATGAAGCTCTCGGGCGTCAAGAGTAGCTTATCCACTCCCTAAGCCTAGGCTGTACGGTGATATGCGGGCTGTGGAGATTAGTATTGCTTGGCCTTGAAGCAACCCGTGCTGACTTAGGCATTGCCCAATCACATCGGTTGTATTTACACAGCGGATCCCGTAGGGATGATTACTCCGTGCGAATTGGTGCAACAGGAGAATTCGGATGTAAGACTTTCAAAGCAAGCAGGTTCCCACGTCTGGACACATCAGGGTGTACATATGGTGCGGTGCCAGTTGAGGCATCCAAGAATGACGCATTCCGGAATACGATCACGATTAGCTAGGCTCAGAGTCCTTGTTGCCTCTAGTCAATTTGAACAACGACACGGTATGCATTATGGTTGAGTGCTGGCGGACTGGGCTTCATTGGTCGTCCCATTAGGTGATGATGTATCGCAGTCATCGACATCGGTCAGAGCCGCACAAATCGGTGCGTGGGCACTGGTGTGAAAGGTCATGTAGGGTGTAGGCCTCCGCGCCAGACAAAAAAACCCATGACCCAACCCTACCCAGGCCGCCCCTACTCGTATATGGGCTGGGCTTTGGGCCTGGTGCTCGGGTCCACTAGGGATTTTCGGACTCGGGGGCCAGGCCCGTGGGGGCTGTGGGGGCTCATTTGCGCCCTTGGTAGTAAGCTGGGGGCCAGGCCGGGCTTCAAAGATAGGGCCCAGAGTCCACTGAGTGAGGGCTGGATCATGGGTCTGAGATCCGGGCCCTACCTGAACCATCGCGGAGGTCTATCCCACTAGAGTGAGTGTCTTGGTTTGGCGAACCCCGCGTCCAAGTTGCGCCATAATCGTCAGCGAAGGTGATTTGGACGCTAAGAATAATATTGGCGGAACATATATTACCGCGGGGACATGTTGGCCCACGACAACATTCTCAGTGGTGCAAAGCAAAGGAAAAATTCCCGCGCAATACTGTATGAGTTCTCACTGAAAGGGCCGCTGAATTTTCACTTGGAAGTAGGAATCCGCCCTGACCTGGCGCACTGATACCGTGTAGATCGATTTACCCGAGAACACATATCGACATGACTGCGAATGTGCGGTGGGTGATGGGAAAACATCCGAAGGCGCTGAGCAATGGAGTGTCGTTTGGAATGCCCTGGCCGCGGGGCGCCTATTTCCCCGGTCAACATTTTGATCTCAAAGGCCACGACAAAACTTACCCGGTTGACTCCCGTGAAATCGCCTACTGGGCAGATGGGAGCTTGAAATGGACTGTCCATTCCATCAGCAGTCATGTTGAGTACGAAGACGAATATGTGTTGGAAGGCTCGAAACGAACCCAAAATACCCCCGAAGGGGTGTGGGTTGAGCGAAGAGAAGAAAGAATTGTTGTGAGATCCCGTCACAGCCTGGAGCTTTGTTTCCAAACGGGAAGTAAATCGGTTTTGGACAGTATGAGATTGCACAAGGGGGTGATTTGCACTGGTGCAACTGTGGTGGCATCCATCGATGGACTCGCATACCAAACAAATGTCACATCAGTGGAAGTTGAGAATCAAACCTCACACAGAGTTGTCATCAAAGTTTCTGGAGTGACGGTGACTGACAACTCGCGTTCTGATTCACATCTCCCATTCGACCTGCGCTTCTATGTTTACTCAGACTCACCTTCGGTCAAATTGGTACATTCTTTCATTCACGACTTGAATGCGGATCAACCGCTGACATCACTCGGTCTTCGGTTTTCGATCCCACTGTCACGATCGAAATTTTACAACCGCCATGTCAGGGTTGGAGGATCAAATGGAGGAAGCTGGAAAGAGGAGGTTCAGGGCCTCTCCGGTCTGCGACATGGCCCAACAGACCAGACACGAGCTAACCAAGCCTGTGGCAGACCTGTTATTCTACGTGGGGATGAATGGAATGGGAATGATCTCAATCGGGATCTTTCGTACGTTCCATCTTGGGCAGACTACTCACTTGCCCAACTTTCCTCCGACGGGTTCACACTCAAAAAGAGAACGAAGCCCGGCTGCTCGTGGGTGAAAACAATCGGGGGTGGCCGTGCAGATGGAACAGCTTACGTGGGCTCTGCAGAGTACGGCGGATTAGCAGTTGGGATGTTGGACTTTTGGGAACGCTATCCTACGCAAATCGATCTCAGTGACCTTGACTCTCACAACGGAGTAATAACGCAGTGGATTTACTCGCCGCTAGCTGAGCCGTTGGACACATCGCCATACCACGATGGCTTATCTTTAAACTCCTATTCCGATCAGCTGGGGGCATTGAATATAACCTACGAAGATTATGAGCCCGGATTCGCGACTGCCAATGGAATCGGACGAACGAATGTATTTTTTTTGAAGGCCTACGAGTCCACACCTTCAGCCGAGGAATTTAGTCTCTTCTCTTCTTTCGTGCGCGACCCACCACGCCTCCTACCCATACCAACGGATATGCACAACGCTGGGGTGTTTCATGGTTACTGGGCACCTGAATTCCATGCCATTGGGAATAAAGTAACACAGAAAGAGCTGGATATAGAGAGGAGGCTGGAATTTCTGTTTAACTTCTATCACAAACAAATCGAACAGAATCGATGGTACGGGTTCTGGGATCATGGAGACTTCCAACACAGCTACGACCCCTTTCGACACGCATGGAGATATGACGTGGGCGGCTTTGCATGGGATAACTCAGAGCTGTCTACAGATTTGTGGCTTTGGAAATACTTTCTCCATACTGGGAGATCCGATGTGTTCAAGGTGGCAGAGGCGATGACCAGGCACACTGGTGAAGTCGATGTTTACCATGCTGGAAAATTCAAAGGCTTTGGGACGAGACATGGCGTGCAACACTTCAGCGATAGTTCGAAACAGCTTCGCATTTCCAACGTTCTCTATCGTTGGTTTTACTTTTTTCTCACTGGGGATGAGCGTACTGGCGACCTCATCACCCAGCAGCGAGACGTTCAAAACTCTCTTCTCACTCTGGACTCACACCGGAAGGTACAGGCACATGGGGAAATCCCGGATGGATTCGCTATGGCCAATATTGGGTTAGACTGTGGCTCACTGGCTGCCACTTGGTTGACAAACTGGGAGAGAAGAACAAACGGATGGGCCCATTCAGAGCAGCTTTTGGTGAAGCTTCTTGAGGGGATATCTGACCTTGAACACGGAATTGCTACGAATGCGATTCTTCTAAATCCATCCAATGGTGAAATCCGACCATGCCCACCACCAACGCCTCAATATGCCATCTCCCATTTATCCATGTTGTTCGGCTTTCCGGAAATCATTGCTGAGCTACTCGACTACATACGGGAGAAGTACCCCTTGACGATCCAGCGTTTTATAGAAGTATGGATACCATATTGTCGTGCATACAACGGCGGCCATGAAATCCAGCAGCAGGAGTATGGGTTCGTCTTTCCACCGCGGGCAACATGGAGACAAAGCCATTCCACACTAACGGCATTTGCTGCAAATTGGACAGGTGATGAATCACTAGCAAAATCAGCATGGGAGCAATTCTTCCATAGCGATGGATTTGTTCAATCGCACGAGTGGTCAATTACACAAATTGGGCCGCCAGACTCCCCCAGTGAGGCGGAGGAGGCTAAATGGATTAGTACCAATGAGGCCGCTCGCTATGGGGTTTCTGCGATTTCAAACCTTGCCAATATTCGCAGCTATCTGGCTTAGAGATGTTGAAGTCTGGTGATCTTAGGGCCAGACTGCCTAGCGTAAATAGTTCCAACTGGGGTAATTTGTTTAATTTGACATCTATCGTAGTGATTAAGATATTTTAATTTTTCGCTGGCATGAAACCAGGCCGATTCAAGCCTCAAGGACAAAGTCGTTGATTGATACTCTAGACTCTAAGTACTCTACAACAGACTTCACACAGGACTCAAAACGCCAAAGCGAAAGAGTCTACCGTGCTCAAGTCACACGCTGGTGAGCTAATAGTTGGATGGGCGACCACCAGCGAATCCTCACTGTTGCATGTTTCTATGTTTTTAGCGCTTTCATTTTGCGATTTGCACAGTCCACGTCAACATTGGAAAAGAAACATTGGAAAAAAGAAAGAAAAACTTGATACTCATATAAAATATGCTTAACTAGAATACACAAGCGAATTTGGACTTGATGGCCGTGGACCAATCTAGACACTGGATTATGCGCCGATGTTGACCTGTAAAACTCAGTTGCTCTATCTTGAAGGGTTCGCATCCTCGTACTCCAAGAAGTTTCAAGTCTGGGCCTTGGATACACTCCGCGGGTGGCACATGGTGTGGGGTACAACAGAAAACAACTGAACACTTAGTTCTTGTGGCTCCAGGTTCTCATCTGTGCACAAATTTCCACTTGTGTCCACGGGCCTTTCGCTGGGTATATTGTTCTGGTAATTTCCAAGGCAGATTTTTCGACATCGGCTTACACTCTGGCAATCATTGGAGACAAATGGCAACAATGATAAGAATCTTGCCTCACAGCACTGGTGAGTAGATAAAATGTTGAGAATTCAAGAAAGTCAGGTGCAAAAAGAACCTTGGAAACAAAACACTTTGTCGACTCCTGGAGAAGTCTGACAGTGATTGATTTCTGAATGACCTTTTTTAGTCGTTATACTTGCTGCGATTATCTTGATATGCCGATCTGCGAAAGGAATAGGCTTGAACGGCGGTTGGCCGCTGCATAACACCCAAGCTGCCCAATATCCGTGTGATACTGTAAGTAATCATCACCAAGCTAATTGATATATTACCAGCCTGGGTAACAATCTGTGATGAGATCTTGATACTGACCTCAAATTAAACAGAACACATATGGCGGATCACCTTACGATAGTGCGGAAGGAGATATTCAAATCTTCAATTCCCCAAGAGCAACGTGCGAACCTCCTGTATGACCCTGATTTTCAACAAAATCTCCAGTCTGATTCGAACAACTCACTGAATCTCAATCGTATCAGTGCGCAGGTGCAGATGCAGTCTGTTGCAATGGGATTTGCGTGAATGATATCAGCAGCAACCTGAGCTACTGTGGGTCTTGCGGCAACTCATGCACTAATCGACTATGTCCTGCACCGCCAGCTTGGGCTCAGTGTTGCTCTGGCAATTGTGTCGACCTCGCTATCAATGCCAGTCATTGTGGCAATTGTTCTAACAGCGTACGGTTCTGTGATATTGTCACCAATTGGCTCGAGCTGCTAACTCACCCTTTGACCTTTCAATAGTGCACAGGTTCGTCAAGTTGGTGCTGTTCAGGGGCCTGTTATGATCTGAGAAGTAGCCCATCGAAATGTGGCTCCTGTGAAAAATCACCAGTAAGCGCGACAATCATTGTCTCTCGCCTATCATGCTTTGGCGGCTTCTTCCTCTAATGAAACAGGGTATGATTTCATTCAACTGAAAGTTTCTTAGTGCCCAGGTACTATTCCTGGCTGTTGTGCCGGCAGATGCCGTGACTTTGGTGTTGATACCCTCAACTGCGGCTTCTGCAACAACATTGTAAGTCACTCGGTTCAGTTTGAATCACTCATTCCTCGTATATTCATTGAATAATTTTGCTCCTGTATCGGCGGGAGGGGGCGGTGGCTTTTTCTGGGGAGCTGCAAGCCTGAAAAATCCTAGAAACCACGCTCCCTCCATGGTTGACTATTGTTGTTAGGGCATTACTGAATTGTCTTTTTCAAGTGCAACTCGACCAATCCACTATGTTGCTCGGGCAACTGCACCAATCCAGCCACGGATCATAACCACTGTGGTGGCTGCGATGCGTCTCCATGCACCGGCAACGTACCAGCCTGCTGTGCAGGGGTCTGCACAGACTTAAGCTCCAATATCTCACATTGTGGAAGTTGCAATGCTTCTCCGTGTACTGGGGGCACGCCTGCCTGCTGTTCGGGTACTTGTGCAGACTTAAGTTCAGACAAATTGCACTGTGGCTCATGTAATACCACTGTGAGTTTGAAATATCCCACACAATCAACTCGAAGTAAACATATGATCACATACTTACGATACTAGTGCTCCCCTTCTGCCAACCAGGGTTGCTGCTCAGGATCCTGCACCAATTTGATGACGAGCCAAACGAACTGTGGAAGTTGTAACAATACCGTGAGTTTTCAAAAGCCCGATTCTTACAGAGTCAACTCTTGGCTACCGATGCTCTCACTTAAGCAAAAATGCGGTACTCATGTGAATGCAGTGCCCTTCGGTCCAGAGCTGCGGTGGTGGTGTTTGCAAATGTCCCGGAAATGGGACTTATTGCGCCCTCACTAGTTCTTGTGTAAGCCGAGCCTCCCGTATGTTCAGGGATATAAGGAGCTGATGAGTGAAAAGTGCGCTGGTGGTTCGACGTGTGTTACGGCAGGATCCGTTGTCGGCTGTTGCCCTAACAATCGCGTTTGCCCACCACTTCTCAATCCCACTGGCGCCCCGATATGTGTAAGTCTTACTGTATGTCCAGAGGCTTCAACTTCTAACTATCAAGTGTAACATCTGCGTACTCGGATTATGTCTCCTCTAGGACAATGGGTTGTCAGAAGACTTGGCTGGGTTCGCGTCAGCTCTTGAGCACAAAGCTTAAATCCCAATTTACCTGGTATTGTCAATTCATTTTTATTTGCTTTGTCTCGAAAGTAAAAGAGAAATCAGCAGTGCAATCCAGCAGATTAAACCGGGTAGGGCAGATCGGCTTCCGGTTCACGGAGCCTGAAGTGGAGTTCGGAGATCGGAAATGTGTCGGTGGTTACCCCTTTAATTGGCCGAAAACACTCCAAACAGACTGTTTAGGTGCAATTCCCCCATCAGGTTTAGATCGGACAGAAGTCCCATGATCGCCCACCGAATCAGGACCCCAAAGCTTGCCATTCCTCTAACATCATCGAGGTGTTTGGTTCTAACTGCGTTTCTGACATACAGGAGCTTTCTTCAGCGTCGCATTCACTGTTGGGGGCCGAATTACCAGCTCAACTGATATAAGAAGCAAAGCTACAGCAGACACAGCATCAACAATTCAAATTGAGACTGCCTTCGACCGGACTTAATTGAAATCATGCAGTTCGCTCTCACTTGGACTTTACTGGCTACCGCTGGTCTGGCGGCAGCAGCTTCCCCTACTGTTTATTTGATTCGCCATGGAGAAAAGCCTAGTGATGGCGGGACCGGCTTGAACGCACAAGGTCTTGAGCGTGCGCAGTGCCTCCGATCCGTCTTCGACAAGAGCTCCGAATATAACATTGGACATATCATGGCGCAAACGCCAAAGAAGAGTATGATCATGACGATATCCCCATGTCAAGCGCGTCAGAGTGCGTTATGAACGGAAAGCTGATCCGATCAACAGGTGGCAAGCGGGCCCGCCCATACGACACAGTCAAACCACTGGCAGATGATTTGGGTCTCACTATTGATACATCGTGCGACCGTGATGACTCAAGTTGCGTCAAGGACGTGGTGGACGAATATAGCGGAGAAGGCAATATTCTGATCTGCTGGGAGCATGATGCTCTGACTGATATTGTGAAGGAGCTTGGTGATAAGAATGCACCCTCATATCCTGACGATAGGTTAGTTTTCTCAATGATCCCCCTTGATCCTGAGTCAGTGCTGATCTTTTTCTAGCTTTAACATCATCTGGACCGACCCGTCGCCCTACTCCGATATCACTGCGGAGACTAGTGAGAACTGCGCGGGATTGGATAACTGAATGCGCAAGATCACTCAACATCAATATACTTCCTATCTAGATGAAAACCTGATTCATACTTAAGTATCAGCTAGACAGAACTTGGATCGGTATTCATATCTCAATAGATAAATGAGATGACTATGATGAAACCTTCAAATCATACTCAGAGCTGGAAGCACCAATAAGACATCAATCCCTTGCAGGACTCATACTACGGCACTTGGCCAAAGACTTATTCAACTTTATGGGTGTAATGGGCAAAAACATTCAATTAATTCGGCAAAGGCCGTGATGGGTATTGCGCAACAATTATGGCCAATTTAACATAGCCCCGGGTAACTGGGTAACTCAAACTAACTAGATCAAGCCAATCTAGCCAATACTGGCATTGTTCTCAGTTCAGGTCAGTTCACAACCTCAAACAGTGGCCTCCTTCTCGCCAGACTTGGGAACGACGTTTCCTTCCTCTGCATGAATAGCTCCGAGTTTGTCGGACTGGATTTCTCCCTGCTCAAGCTTGCGCACATGCTGGAATTCCACGGTGGTCCTCCATGGCCTGAGGCCAGGGGTAGTGAACATAGTTTCAACGTCTTCAAGGGTCTTGCCGGCTGTTTCGGGGAAGGCAAAGAAGACGTGCACAGTCATTGCAAAGCAGAAAACGCCGAATACTAAGTATACCTTCCATTGGATATTTTCAAAAGCCGGAGGGACGAAGTAGGACAAAGCGAAGTTGAATATCCAGTTGGAGGAGGTCGAAAGAGCAACAGCCTTACCGCGCAGGCGGAGGGGGTATAGCTCGGGAGGGTAGATCCAGCTGACGGGCCCCCAGGTCGGTGCGTAACTGGCGACGAAGAGGTATGTGCAGGCGATGACACCCTTAGCTGCCATTGGGGCTTCGGAAAGATCCCACGATTGTTCGGGGGTGTTGTTGAGGCCGCCGGGTGGAGCAGGTTTGCCGTGGGTTGCCATGATGCCACCATTGGCGAACATGAAGATCATCATGAGGGTGGATCCAACTAGAAGGGGAGTGCGGCGGCCCCAGCGATCGATGAATAGCAGGGCTAGAATCGTCATCACGACGTTGATCACGTACTGAATTGACGAGGCGACGAGGTTGGCATTTCCACTCAAGCCTGCCATACCAAAGACGTAGGTGATGTAGAGCATCATTACGTTCATGCCTGTGAGCTGTGACCAGATCTGGGTGAACATTCCCAGATGGGTGCGATAGAGCATGGGGCCCTTGAATAAGTCCAGGTATGAGGCGTCCTTATTCTGGCGCTCGAACTCCACCATTTCGCGGATCTCCTGCAGCTCAGTCTGCACAAACGGTGCGTTGTGATCACCCTTGGCGTGGACGGAGGCTAGAACATCGTGTGCCTCCTCCCAGCGATCTTTCTTGGCTAACCAACGCGGGCTCTCCGGTAGAAGGAAAGTCAAGGCAAAGAGCAGACCGGCGGGGACCATCTGCAAGCCCCATGGGGTACGCCAGGCCTTGACACCTTCCATGAAGCTGCAGCCGTATGACACGTAGAACATGATCAAGATACCCCAAGTGATCGCCCACTGCTGGGCTCCAACCACCTGGCCACGCTTACTGGGCTGAGCCAGCTCGGCGACGTATACGGGGACCTGGGCACTGAGAATTCCGACCGAGACGCCGTTGATGAACCGGCCAACGACGAGCTGGGCAATACCGAAGGAGGAACAAACGATCGCACTGCCGATACACCAAATGACGGACCCGGATTGGATGGCGCCACGTCGGCCCATCCAGTCAGTCACAAATCCTGACAACAGGGCCCCAACCCAGGAGCCACCGGGCATGGCTGCCGAGATACCACCTTGGTTGGCAGAGGTAGGGCCACCACATTCTCCTTTTTCGTTGATTCCGGTTTGGTTGAAGAAGCACTTGTATTGTTGGGTACCAAGGCTGACATGGAATTAGTAACATCACTTTACTTTTTCTTCGGGCTAAACTTACATGGCAGACATGGACGCGATGTCAAAACCAAACAGTGCGCCGCCGATGACGGCCACCGTGGTGATGACATAGATGTTGGTAATCTTATAGCCCATGATGATCGATGGGCTTGAGGCCAGGGTTACAGACAAGAAAAGAAAAAGAAAATGAGAGACCCTTGGAAGGAAAAGATTAATTTATACAAAGACCATCAAACACGACAGTGCGGGGGCCTTGTAAAGATGAATTACCCCGTATAGTGTACCCTGTTCCCCGGATACTACATAGCATTAACTCCGTATAATCCCCAGGTTTTGACCAAACACTAAATGACACTAGCCCCAGCACTAAATAAACCCTGAAGCCGTGGATCCAATCAGACTTCAAGAGCCCCAAAGCGGCCAGCATCGTGTTGCTGGATAAATCGACATGAGCTCGACCACACCAATTATGACTGGTCTGCTAAATTACCCAGACGGTTGGTCATATGCTAATCCTTTCCATGCAACTTGAAGTGTTGTGTTGCAAGCCACATGGTTCCATCGTGCCCGTGCGGGCCCGGACATTTTCCTAATTAGTTCGTTGGTTTAGAGGGCGTTTTTCAACATCTTTCTCTACAGAGTATAAAGTCAAGGATAAGAGAAAAGAGACTTTCCACAAGGAGGACCAAGCATCGCGCAGCCGATATCCGTTCTGCCACGGGCTTAACTATGGCTTACCACGGCTGACCTTGGCTTTTTTGAGGGGTATATTCCTCCTTGGCAATGTCCCCCTTTATGATTTGACGGCCCATGTCTACAAAATACGAGAAAGGTTTCCGGATACCCGTCTCATACGGATATTTGCCTAGTCACAATTCTAGTTTTGGCCAGATGATGTGAGCGAGCCGAAGGATTCGTTTTGACACAATATACCTTGCGCCATGGCTGTTATTAGCGTGCGCCTTTCCGAGGAGCGGAGTAAAGACGCAAACAATGTGCTCGGCGGTTGTCAGCTATACAGGGGTTAATCATACGCCTTCACTTTCTTTGTTTTGGATCGCGTTGGTTTGTTTTTCCCCAGACAAACGCATGGCAGGAAGACTAGTGAGGCAGGTCCCCGGTACTGAATGACAACCAATGAGACATTTTGTTGGATGTGTCCCGTTCAATCCCTGGCATGATGCCGTGTTTCTTTGCATTGTCACACCCTGACACGCGTTCACCGACTCCATGGCTGCAAAGGGGAGATCAAAATCTATGGTCTTTTTGTGTGGCTCTGTGGTGTCGGCTTTGCTGTTCTGTTGTTTTCCTATGCCTCGATGCTTTATGGAAATTACTTGAGTTCTGGGGAGATAACCCAGGCCATTCGGGGTTATTTCGCTGTAACCCTATATTTCCTACTGGTTTGGACCCCATGTAGTATCCTGGGCTAACAGACCAGGCCGAGTGCCATTCACCCAAACCTCTCGAACTTGGCATTTTCTTTATTATTCGCGCTTCATGTATATATTTCGAAGTAATATGAGTATTGATGGAGCATTTCAGCTCTAGAGGTCCCAAGATCAACAAGTCTTCGTGCTAAGCACAGATAAACTCTAGGGCTTTCTAAAGTTTGTCTCGCTCCGGGACCGTCAAATAACGTGTCAAATTTCCCTTGCTACCACCTAGTATCTCCTCGTATATCGGCATCCCTTGACCGGTCGTTTGACATTGTCCGATTTATCTGATTCCAGAGATATTTAGTTCCAAGTGATCTTGGCCGACTCTTCTAAAGATGTGGCTTTGCCCAGGCCCCGGGGTGCGATGCTGTATTACGTCGATGGCTTCGTGGCTGCGCCATTAATGGGAATTTAGTCCGTACTTAAGCAGCTTATGCAAGCTCATGATTCTGGTTCTAAGGTTCCTCAAGGCTCGGCCTTAATTACAGCGAGCTGTGGGTCGTGATGTATATTGTTTCAAACATCGACGGCAGCCGCATGTGCAGCGTCCCCAATTCAGTTTCAACTTCTAAAGTTGTAGAAGAAGATATACCTAAGTATTTTCATAACACCATTCTAGCTTTGAAAATGTTTCTACTTCGTGTCCAAATCCAAAGGACTATCCAGCACAACCACCGTCGTATTGAAGCAATGAAAAAGTGCCAACACAAAACTAACCAGTTTCACTTGATTTCTTCCTGATATCTTCAAATACTCCAAAAACCACGTCAAATAGCATGTGAAGATAATACGGACTATCGACAGATTCTCCGCTGACGCTGAATACGAGAAATCTGACGTGGCGGATCGCGCAGTGGGGGCCGAAGATCCAAGGGGCTCCTGAGTTTGATCTTGCAATTCCTGAAGTCCTCCTTGATCGCATCCCTTCAAAATGGGGAATCCTGAGTTTCTGGCTACATCTGATGCATCACCGCCGCCATATACAGAAAGCGACCCACACGCGCAGGTCCCAGGGTATGAAACAGCTGGACCTAGCGCGGTCGCTGCCACCATCAAATTTCCCCCAGCTCTGAACGGCTACTACCAATGGAAGTTCACCACGACATTTCACCTGGGGCCGACCGCAGAGCAAAAGCTCTTCGCGGTCTCAACACACACCCCCGTCTTCCACAATAAACCATCTGTGGTCCTGCACGATGGGCCAACTAACCAGCACCCGGTGATGGCAACAGCCCTGGCTGATAGGTGGGGAAGAACCAGGCCGATTGAACTTACTCTACCCCCGCGCCTAGATGCTTCCTACGCGACGGAAATTGTGGAATCGCTCGTTCCCAGCTCGTCAAAACTTTCAACACCAACCTGGACATTCGAAGCATCTGTCGGTCCGAAAGGAACCATGCGGGAAAAGTTCCAGTGGCGCTCTAGCCATGGCGCTGAAATCAAAAACCTGGCCGGTCACTCATGCGGTTGGAAGCTGGTGCGTCTGGCGGAATCAACAAGTGTAGGGGGGAGTAGGAAAGAGCGTGATGTCGGATCTACAAGTGATGGCCTCGAGGTCGTGGCTATCATCGCGCACAATGCCTCATGGAGCATGACGAAGGGTCTCCGATTCGCGTTTTTGGGCAGCGGGCTGACGGGGACCATGGGGGAGACGTGGGAGATACTCGTGCTCACTTCGGCTCTTCAGCTGTGGTACATAGATGTGCAAAACAATACCGCTGCCGCGTCTGCAGCTGCGGCGGCTTGAGATGGGTTGAACCGATGATACTGTGTTTTCATTTTTGGTTCAATCAAGTGAATTCACTCTTTGGTTTGAAGGGTTCCCTTTCTAGCTCAGTTCTTGTCTCGGGCTCATGAGCGTCGGAAGGAAAGCTTTGACATCTGCAGCCTGCAGAAAATCGACCCAAGGTGTCGACTTCAATGTCAGTGCGCAGAGTCCGGTCTCATGAATATTCGGAGAACCTGCCCCTAGAAGTCACGAGGCTGTGGGAGTCAAATCACAGCAAGTTTGCCGATTCGAGTCAGTCGCTCGTATTGCACCAGAACCTTTGAACCTAATATAGCGGTGCAAGTATCTTTAGAGCCATTCAAATGATTGACGCAGGAACCTGTGGAAGTTTTTGGGAGCGCATTTTGTTCAACTAGTAAACCCCTCTCATCTCCGGCCAAGAAAGACACAAGAAAATGGCGCTATACGCGGGTGTGAGCATAAAGAACCTAAAGCAGACTCATTCCTCTTGCTACTCTCTCGTTTTCCGCTCTACGTGCAACCTTGACAAGTCCAGGTCAATCTGACTGCGACAACATTTGAATTATACGGAGTGCTCGTATTGAGGTCGCCTTAGTTAGAGCAGGGCTGCATTCCACACCGTTGTACCGTGAACTCACCCCAATATCCAATTGATCGACGACGGAAATCACTTCCAATCTACTGTGCATATGCAAGTGCGCTCTTTGATGTCAATGGCGCCAATAATGTCTAAAACACAGCCCAGGACGTCATTGGTGATTCACCCGCTATGTACACGGATGTTTCGATCTAAATAGGAGCTTAATAGGACCATGTAAACTAAATCATCCCAAGTTCTCTTTTCTGCAGCACATTTGTGTCCCCTGAGGCGAATATTGTATAAAAACGCCCCCGCATGGAGATTGGCCACCGGAGTGGATCGGATCAAATTTGATCTTCAAAACCAGAATTGCGTTACGCCCGCGATCAACGGTTTCTATTTCATCTTTTCCATCTCCACGATTGAGTTCGTCGGTTTTCGTCTCCGTTGAATTCGAGGGATTTTCCAACTGAATGCCTCAACATGGCGGCACTGCCCAATGACGTACTCGTCTTGATAGGAGAAGAACTACAACGCAAGACGGATCGTTGGAGTCTCATCTTTGTATCGAGGCATTTTCACGACTTGTTCCTTCCCCTGGTCTACAGAAAAGTCTCACTCCAAGGTTGGAGGGATGCGGCTTCATTCTTCTACGCCGTCGTTAAACAACCAACCCTCGCTCGCGCTGTGCGCGAGTTAGATTTTACAAAATGGCATGCAGAAGGCGTGCGGGAATATGAACACGATAATATCACGAGCTGCACCCTATTGACTGAGTGGGTGTCATCTGTATCACACTCGCAGGCCGAGAGTGATCGATGGATTCAATCCCTCGCTCAAGGGTCGAGTGATGCCTGGATTGCGACTATTCTCCCCCTTCTCACTCAGTTACGGAGGCTTCACCTGGTTTATTCAACAAGCTCGCCTCACCTCGATCGAATGATGCAAAGGGTAGTGAGCGGTGAAACTCCATTCACCGCCCCAACGTTCCGTCATTTGGATCTGGTTTCACTGCATCACCGGGAAGATCTCGACCAAGGCGATAGTTCAGAGAACCAAGAGCCATCAAGTTCCCAACTGCTCCTACCTTTCTTCCAATTGCCCTCTGTCCGTGTAATCACAGCTAGTTCTGTGGTGGACAAACCTCCAAGCCTGGACCCCGACAACCTATCAGGAACCGATAGCCCCAAGGCTGGCTTTTCATCTGTCACCGAAATCGACCTCCGCGCAAGCAGCGGGAATCACGGAATGGAGATGCTGATTGCGTCCTGTGCCGAATTGAAATCTTTCAAATACCAACATTCAGATGCCCACGTCTTGTCGCACGGGTATCGACCATCAGCCTTTCATCGGTCCCTGAGCAGCAGCAAAAAGACACTACAAACACTATGGCTGGACCATTTTGGAAGCCACTACCCATTCACAGCAGCCGGGCTAAATCAGTCTCACGATGAATGGTTCGGTTCTCTGGCCGATTTCACTGCTCTCCGTGAAGTGCGCGTGCGACTGACGAATCTCCTGGATATCCGACTGCTGGATGAGCCGGTGATTCCTCTGGTAGATTGCCTGCCGTCATCGCTGGAGACATTGTATATCGAAGGGTGCGAGGAAAGATATTTCGGTATGCTCGTTTCGCAACTGCAGACGGTGATGAAGACTCGCGGTCGGTTCCCCAAGCTCCAGCGTGTTGAGATTGAAGGCGCATTCCACAATGCCTCGGATGAAAACAGTCATAGCTCGGGTGCCGTTCTCGAATCTGCGATCAAGAACAAGGTTCTTCAGGCTGCGGAGCCGTTGCATATTGATTGTGTCAATGCTGGTATGGAATTGCGCATTCATGACCGGGCTTTGTCGCATTTTTGATATGACACTAGCCTTGGGCCAGCCATTTGCACATTTTGAGCTTTGTTAGATTTGATGATACCACCTTGCATACCAGACATGTTAATAGACCTGCTCTTGAAGAGTCCGTACTTATTGTGATCGTAATATGAGTTCTATTTCTCAGATGTATCGAGCTTGAGTCGCGGTTGTCCGGGCTATTGACAGATTTACTATTTCCAAAGCATTCCGCCCGATCGTATTCGAAGCACCGAATAGCACAGCGCCCTTTCACGCCGGTAGGCTGGATATTTGCATTATCTAAAGGGAAGCAAGAACGGCATCGGCGCCAGATTTCTAAACAAACATCAGCATTAGCTCCGCACCAGTCGAAGAGTAGAGATCATACCTTGACAGCTCCCTTTTCAGTCTCAATCTGAGCATAGCGGACCTTGCCATGGTCAATGACAATAGCATACCGACCAGTGCGCCCGGAAGCCTCATCCGCCCACCCAATGCTCTTGGAGAACTTGGCCTCAGGATCCGAAAGGAAAAGCTAGTCAAGTTAATATGGGTCCGAAACAGCGGTGTGGGGATCTCACAATCTCATCCCCGCGCACACGGTTTGCCTTGCCCCAGGCGCTCATGACGAAGGGATCATTGAAAGCCAGGACGGCAACAATGTCCACTCCTTTCTCGCGGAGGTTGGGGAGGTTCTGAATGTATCCGGGGACGTGGTTCACGGAGCAGGTGGGGGTGAATGCGCCTAGATGACCCCGCGTTAGCTGGAGCTCCCCAGATGTCCCTTTGGAAACTGAATTGATTTACCGGGCACGGAGAAGAGGACGACTTTCTTGTCGGCCCAGTTTTTGGAGGCATTGTAGTCGATTGGGATGCCGCAGGAGGTAATTTCGTCACTCTCCTCGCTCCAGGGGATGTACCTTCACTGTGTTAATATAAACTGGCATTAGACCGAGGTTACTTACTTGAAGACGACGTTGTCGGGGAAGCTGTCACCGGATTTGAGAGACATGATGAAGATGAAGAGGAGAAGAAGAGAGAGCGCGGGGTTATAAAGCTGAATAATATGCAATGAGGTGATCGGAGCCCGCCGATAGATCGTGATCTCTAAGCTGCCTCGGACTTTAGGAGCTTAGCTGTCAACGGTTTTTGCTATTCTTACATTCTTATTTCTATTTCTATTTGTTCTCTCTGTAAAGCGATGCATATTAAATATTTCAATACTGGCATTGGAATTACTCCGTACTACAGAATCAATTGCATCGATTCCACAAGGTCCCGATGAAGTCAGACCTCCCAAGGTCCTCGACACTTGACCATCCCTGGGCTTCTTCTTTTCAGTCTTCTCACACTTGTCCCATATCATATCTCAAATCATAGACTGAAATTCATCCATGTGGAACATTGTCTGACATCGTCACGCTCGACGCTGTTGGCTCAATGGTTATACTATGTATACTAAGGAAATATCTATGCCACCAGCACACCGCGGTAACGCATCTTTCCGTCCTCCAAAGTCTTCAGACTCTCCTCCACACCCTCCAATGTCAAGGGGAAGGTCATCTTGACAGGCTTGATGTTGTGGAAAGCCGCAAAGTCGAGCATATCCCGGTGAACCTGGCGCGAAGAAACGATGCCACCCTGGATACGCAGGCCATTGACCAACAAGGGCATGTAAGGGATCTTCAGGTCATTGGAATCCACCGAGAGGGGAGAGATGACTCCATTGGGACTCATGTTTTGCAGATACAAGGGCCAATCGGGTTGACTGCTGGTGGTCACGATCAGGTTGTCGATGGGCGCCTTGATCTTGAGCTCTTTGGCTCCCTTGGTGGCATAGAACTCAGAAGCACCGAGCTTCTTTGCTTCTTGCTCTTTGCTAATATTTTCAAATCCGTTAGGTCTCATTTTACTGGAACGAGGAAGTTTGGCTTCTCACCTGTTGGAACCCGAGAACACAATCACTTGACAGCCCATCTTCGCGGCGAATTGGATGGCGAGATGACCCAGGCCACCCACTCCGACAATACCAACGCGAGCTGTTGGCCGAACGCCGGCGACGTGAAGGGCATTGAAGACGGCTGTGAATCGAGTTAACGACATGAATTCATCCACAAGCAGAGACACATACTGGATCCACCACACATCAAGGGACCTGCGTCCTCGCTGCTCAAGCTCTCGGGGACCTTGAACAAGAAAGCTTCGCGCCACACGCCATGGCTGGCAAACGAGCCTTGGTCCAGATCGGCGCCTCCGTACATCTTACGCTCCCTGCACATGGTTTCCCAACCAGTCAGACACGATCGGCAGTGACCACAGCCTAGATGCGACTCGAATTAATTCTCCGAAACATGACTTGGTGTGGAAATATACTCACAGTCGTGCTCATAGCCCCATCCCACGCGATCGCCTTTCTTCAAAATATGGGCATCAGGACCAACTGCTTCCACCACACCAGTTCCTTCGTGTCCAAGGCCCATATCGGCGCCCTTGTAGTGAAGGTCCGTTCCGCAGACACCTGAGTGTGTCACACGAACCAGCACATCGTCTCTCTTCAGATCATCGCGCTGAGTCTTGACTTCCTTGATGGCTCCCTCCTTCGAGCCCTTGAATACGGTGAATGTGATGGTCATTTTGGGTAAGATTATATGGTTTGCAAGATGTATGAAGTGGGATTCCAGACTCCTTCGTCGAGTATTTTAAAGGCCCTTTCACCAGGTAACGTCACATCCTTATCCCCCCGCGGTGGACATCCAAGCAGCATTGACATGTTATTGGCTCTTGAGAAGAGTTCAAGCTGAACACCAAACACAATGTGATGCAATGAGTGGGGTGCTGTGGATCGTCGGGTTCACCGATCTGATGCGAACGGATCACAAGCTTTGGGCTAAGAGACTTCTTTGACTTCCAAGGCAGGTTAGTATCCTAGCATGTTACTCGTGTTGCCGAAGCCGAATTCCAAGTCCAAGTCCAAGTCCAAAATTCATCTCCAAAGTAATGACATCATCCATCCGGTCTGCTTCAAAACCGTCGTCAATCCTGATTGGGTCGAAATGGATGTCACGATAGTGCATTCTGTCCAAGGAACTGCACAAAACTATGCACACTGCTGTAAGGAGAGTTGCGAACACACGTGTGCGAGTCGATCACAATGTGATGGATCTGATCTCGGAGGCTCCGAAGTCATGGCGAGTGGGGTTATAGGGCTCAATTTAGCCTGAGCTGCATCTGTCTCTGCTGGGCTCCAATACCAGGGATTCAAGTTCCCATACTCGTATATCTTCGTAGACTCTCAAGTATTGTAGTTTCAAATGTCCAATGTCCAATTGTCCAAGTGCTTCAGGTGATGGAAAACCCGGCATTCTGCCGCAAGGCGGTGGACAGGCGATATCGGACAGCCTAATTTGGCAGTTTGAAGTTAAAAAAAAAAAAAACAGAATTCTCCCGTGTTTTTGCTATTTCTTTTGCTGTGTACATTTTCGAGTTGAGAATTATTGCTCTGCCATCTTTTGTTGCTTGACAACAATAAAGTGAGGGCTGGTGAATATGATTCAAGTTCATCCCGTCAGTGACGGAGCCCCGCATACCTCGGAGAAAGATGCAGCATTAGCTGTGGTGAGCGATGTAGCCCAGGAGATCGTCCCTGCGGTGGAGAGGAGAGTCGTGCGAAAGATCGATCTTTACTTGATGCCTGCTATGCTCATAGGTGAAGCAACCTCCATGCTTACTGAGAAACCGTGGACTGACCAAATGCACAGGATATGGAATGGTGTATTATGACAAGGCCATTTTGGGAAGTGCCGCTCTGTTTGGTATGACTTCTGACTTGCAGTTGTCTGTGAAAGACCTTTCCACTTCGCCTCCAACAGTCGACACCTCCCGTCTCAGCTGGGCGACGTCGGTCTTTTATTTCGGTATGTTGGCGGGCCTTTACCCAATGACATTCATCCTTCAAAGATTCAACATTCGAACTGTTCTCGGCCCTGTTGTGCTACTTTGGGCTATCATTTGTGCTGCCACAGCGGGTGTCACAACTTGGCAAGGCCTGTATGTGCAGCGGTTCTTCCTAGGTCAGTATTCCTTGAAATCCTGGGCGGTTTCGTCGCTAACTGTAATACAGGATTCATTGAGAGTGTGATTCCCACGGGCTTCATGACTATAGTCAGTGGTTATTACACCCAGGAAGAACAGGCTTTGAGACAGGCTTGGTGGTTCTCAGGAACCGGTTGGTTCACAATCATCGGAAGCGCTCTGAACTACGGATTTGGCCAGATTACGTCCGGGGCTTTGAAAAGATGGCAATACATCTACATTCTTGCGGGAGCTTTGACCTTCCTGTTTGGCTTGTGGTGTTGCACTATGCCAAACTCCCCCGTCTCGGCCTGGTTCTTGACACCCGAAGAACGGACAGTCGCTGTGGAGAGATTGCGAAAGGGCCAAACTGGAGTGAGATGCCAAAAGATCAAGTTCGATCAGATCAAGGAATCGTTCACCGATGTCAAACTCTATCTGGTGGCTATCATGATGGCTGCAGCGTGAGTTCCCTCTGGATAATGAAGCTGGAATCGCTCTTCTAACAATGATACCATCAGTTACACTATTAACGGAGCCATCTCTGGTTTTGGTCCATTGATCGTGTCAACCTTTGGCTACGACACTCTCGATTCGATTCTGTTCCAGTTCCCCGTCGGAGGTGTTTGCGTCATCTTCATCCCCCTCTGCGGCTACATCTCCACCGTCGTACCCAACACACGCATTCCGATGCTTATTGCATGCTGTTTACCTGTCATTGCCGGCTGCGTGATGATTTGGAAATCACAGTGGGGCTACCATCCCGTCACGCCAGTCGTCGGTTACGCACTGACCGGGTTCTTTGGACCTGTGGTCAGCTTGATCATCACAGTTGGTGCTAGTAATGTTGCTGGTGCCACCAAGAAAACAGTCATGGCGGCCACTGTGTTCGTGGCTTACACAGTGGGCAACATTATCGGACCGCAGTTGATCAAAAGCAATACCAAGGCACAGCACTATCCTGAGTTGTGGACTGGTATGATTATCTGGTAAGTCTAACCTGCGCTATCCTTTAAAAGAGATTCTCATAGTCTGCAGTTACTGTATCACGATCGCTGCCGCAGTTGTACTATATCTCGTCCTTCGTCGGGAGAACCGAATCAGGGAGACTTTGGAGTTGGATGAAGTTCAGCGAGACAAGATTGCGTTCGATGATCTTACCGACAAGCAAAATCCTTTCTTCCGCTATGCATTGTAGCGGATTAGGCGCGGGTATCTCCATGTTTTCGTGGCCCATCGTTTGACTCGACACTTCGCACTTCGACACAATGAAACCCTTCCACAGGGGCTCGACATAAATATTATACAAGCTGGTCATCATCTTCGACACTTTCGCCCCATACTCAGCTAATTAATTTTCCAAGCTCTGTCTCTTGAAGCATAACTAGACTTTATACAGCCCTTCATGCATTTCCGCAAGGCAAATATTATCACAGAATTTCACAGATTTCATCTCAATTTACATCAAAAAAAATATCTGCGCCAGTCAGAATGAAAGGAATTCTTTGATTTTGTTTGATTTTGCTTGATTTCGCGCCGATCACACCTGTGCTCAGGCTTCCGACACGGAATCTTCAAGATTCCGATGTTCGACCCCCGCAGCCGAAATAATAAATAGATCATCCAATTTCCCCGACAAGGAAAGCTGATCTGGTCTGATAATCAAACTAATATGGTGGAGAGCAAGAAGGGTCCTGTGCTTCAAGATCCTGACATTATTAATGTCACTCGAGATCCACAATACGAAGTGACCTGGGATCCCGTCGACTCAGAGAACCCGCGAACATGGTCAGTATGGTATCGAGCATTCATTGTGGCGGCTATGTCATTTTCAACAACAATCGTGTAAGTTTTAACGTCAAATTTCAGCCTGCTCTGAATTGATATGTATTTTTCCAGTCCTCTCGATTGACAACTGACCTCCGCAGAGTGATTTATACAACAATGTACACTTCGGGCATTGATGGAATCCAGAACGAATTCAACGTCTCATCCAAATTGGTAGTACTGCTCGGTCTTACGACAAATCTTTTCGGCCTGGCAATAGGATCTGTCATCCTGTCCTCGTTGTCAGAAATCTTCGGGCGACGTCCTATTTATCTCATCTCGGTCTTGTTATTTGGACTCCTCATACTGCCTGTCGCTCTGGCAAAGAACATTGAGACTATTCTGATATGTCGCTTTTTCGGTGGATTCTTTGGCGGCACTATGATTGCAAGTGCCCCGGGCAGTGTGACCGATGTAACAGATGATCAATATCGTGCTTTGGCATTGAGTTGCTGGAGTCTGGGTACAATGAATGGGCCTGTGCTTGGTGAGGAAACTCATATCTTCTAAAGTTCCATGTAACTTCGTGTTTCTTCTCAAACAACTGACAGCTATGTAAATTAGGGCCCATCATTGGTGGCTTCGTGTACCAATATCTTGGGTGGCGCTGGATCAATTGGCTTGTACTCATATGCACTGGGGTCTCATTATGTCTCATGTTCCTGGTCAAAGAGACATATGCCCCTGCCTTGCTTCGACAAAAGACCAAGAAGAGACAGAAGATGACTGGAGATTCTCGGTGGTGGTGTCGTTTCGACCATGAAGAAACTGGCTCTCAAATATTGAAAACTAATCTCATTCGGCCCTTGCGAATGCTGGTCTCTGAGCCAATCTGGTTAGTAAAACTTATATCCCATATTCGAGTACCCATGAAGCAACTAATCTTGCTTTTCTTAGCGTCTTTTGGAATCTATACGTCGGAGTTGTATATTCCGTCCTGTTTCTCTGCTTCGTCGCTTACCCAATAGTCTTCGAAGGCGATCGCGGCTGGACACCAGGCCTAGCCGGACTAAGTTACTGCGGCATCGGCACAGGAACAGCAATTGCAGTCTGCCTCGAACCGCTGATCCGACGGATAATTTCCATGCACCCACGCGATCCGACAACCGGCCGACCAGCACCAGAAGCAGCAGTGATCGCCGTCTGCATCGGCAGTGTATTGATACCAATCGGTGAATTCTGGTTTTCATGGACTGCAAAACCATCCATACATTGGATTTCTCCCATCCTGGCCGGTGTGCCATTTGGCTTGGGCAATGGATTGGTATTCATCTATTCGACGAACTACATGGCCGGCAGCTATACTGTTTATGCTGCTTCTGCTTTGGCGGGAAACTCGATTGTGCGATATGGATTGGCTGGTGTTTTGCCTCTTGCTGGAGATAAGTTGTATAGTACGCTTGGGGCTAATTGGGCTGGGACAATGTTGGCATTGATTGAGGTTGTGCTCATTCCGATTCCTTTCATCTTCTATAAGTTTGGTCATCACATTCGGCTAAGAAGCCCGATGATTGTTAAAACACAAGATTACTAGTTGCGTGGACTGATTTTCATCGCGATTTCTGCAAGGACACCATGAGGCCCAGAGTCACAAAAGTTTTCTTGGAATAGTTTCTAGTTTCGCCGTCATGACTTCATTATGCATATCCATCTCAATATCACTGCTGACTTGTCGTCTACTTTTTCACTTCACTCTTGTTACATATCTCCTCATTCACCACTACTCTGGCATCTTGAGAAAGTACACCGTATCTCCCAGCTAGCGGGATTCAATTGGTCGTGGTCTGAAGGAGCAAAAAGTTTGTTCTCTGCTACGCAGAGTGAACCTCGATTTGGGAGCGGTTTCATGAGTTGGAGACCATTTTGGACTGCATAAGGTAACTCCGAATCATTCGTTGGATATTTCAGTCTTACACCATACCGTCCCCCTTCGTTGTTTTCACTAGGAAATGGATGAGCAGAAGTCGCTGTATATGCTCCCATTTCAAGATTATCCACGAATCTGAAGCGTCGGGCTACCAGTGCATATCCAACGGAACATGGGAATCCAAATCGCTTGCATACAATCCTTGCAACCATTCCATCCCACCATCTATAATTTCTCCAGGGAACCAGGCATTTGCATCTGATCCCACCACATCTGCTCCCAGGATAGGCAATTGGGCCGATGGAATACTCCATACGTTGGGGCTGTCGTCAACCGGGATACTGGACACACCTCCTGTTTCCATGTTATGTGATATTCCGGCTGCGACGCTAGAGCGTGGTCCCTGGTGAAGAAAAGACGTTGAAAGGTGATCTGTTGATATAAAATGATCGTGTCCCAAGGGAACAGACTGACTGGTTTGCATTTGATGGCACACATGGGTTGCATCTGAAAATATTTGATTTTGCGCGCTCCGAACATCCTGCTGAGATGTTTTAGAACGGGGCACATTGTTCAGATATGGCGAATCAACAGTTGGCGCGGTTGGTAAGTTCTGATTGCGGTTTCCTGGGGTTTCATGTGAACGGGTGCTGGGATTCAGGATTGCTTCTGCCATTTGATTCAATTTCCAGACAGCTCGGGCCATTTTTCCTGACACCCAGGTCCTTCGGCAGTGCTTTTTCAGGGACCGCGCAGCTTCCAGTGTTAAGTCCCCGTATGTGTTCTTGAAAGAGGTTTGCTTGATGATCAATCCGAGGGCAGTTATGATCGCACTTGTGAGATAGTGAAGGAATGGGAATGTGTACTTTGGGTGGTCTTCTGGTATATTAGTGAAGTCTTTTATAGTACTCTGTGCCAGCCGCATGCAGACAACTTCGTTCTCCATTGTTTCCGGTGCGGACAACGATGGGTTTCCTTTATTGTGAAGCATCGGCTTTCTAATGAGAAGGTATAATGAAGACCACCGCTGCATGGCAGTTAGCAAATATTCAAAGGTTTTAACACAAGAGCTCGCGATGGTTCTTACAATTCTCATCATCAATTGTTGTTTGATCTGCCACCATGCCAATCCATTTGCTTTATAACTCCCAGGACTCTGTGGGTCATATGTAAATTCCGGCTGTAGATCACCTTGGGATTGCGTTGCGAGGAGCTCCAGGTATTCTTTGAGAAGCGGACTGGGGGTCGAATCTGAGGTCGAAGCGCCGTACAGTGCCTCCCAGACTTTGCCTATCACTCTCGAGTAGCTAACCATAGCAATGAGATAAGGTACTGTGGTGGGAGAGGACCCAGTATCAAAGTCATCTGGTTCCGAAGAGTGCGCAACTCCTCGGTATTTGGAAAGTAATTCATCGCTCATCCCTTGAGGAAGGCCTATGTCAACATTCAAGTCCTGGATGAGGAATGGACGGCCAGTCTCAATTGCCAGTCTTCTGTCCATGAGATATGTGCACCACCACAGGCGACGAGCCATTTCGCCATCGAATTTGTTCATAGACTCGACAACTTGGCGGCGTTGGAGCCCGATGTGATGTGAATGGGATATCGCAAGAGCCAGGAGCTTTTCAGCCGGTCCGTGTGCATCAAGTCGAAACAGGTAGATAACCTGGATGTGAAGGTAAAAGGTTAGTCCAGTCATCGCGCAATGGAAAGATTCATTATGAAACCGACCATCAAAATGATGTTTTGGAGTAAGAGTATCTGATTAGTGCACTGACCAAAAACATCCAAAAGATCTCCGAATATGTCTCTCGCCGCTCGATACAAACTCCAACCAGCGGAGTACTGCACCTCTTGGTCATTCACTCGTGAAGATTCAACACATGTCCCATTCGCCAGACACAGTAGAACATACGAGGACGTGAATCTCCACTCTGCACGAGGGGAGCCAGGCACTGAAGGGGTAACAAGTTTGTCGTCCCACATACTTTCGTATGCCTCCCATACCGAGGGCAGATGCAAGAAAGGAACCAAAATCAGAACCTCATCACAGAATGTATTCATGACACGGTCCCACTGTGCCCGATCGGGTACGATTTTGTGGGAATCGAGAACCTGGAATAGTAAGTGTCTCTTAGATTGCTGACGTGGAACCTCTTTAGGAGATGCTGGCGGCGACGGTGTAAAACGCGATGAGAAGGATTGATGGGGGGACTCAGATCGCAGTCTCGGATATCTCACGCCCATCTGCTCTAGTCTGCCTTCGACGACGGTGATGTTGTGCGTCAGTGATGTTTCACCGGAGAAAGGCGTTATGCTTTCATCTGCAACGCTCTTTTGTCCGCTTCGAGTTGCATGGAAATCCTTCTCGTGGCCCTTGGGATATGATCTCGAGGAATGTGAGCTATTGAGATCTTGCTCATCTCGAGCTTCTCCAATTTTGGAGTTTTGTACTCTGGCTTGTCGTCAGCACTCATTCATTCGAGCCTCATGCACAAGGCCATCTTATACCTTTTATTTGTCTTTTCCCGGTCAGCTTCCCGCCACCTTCCCCTCATATCAGTTCCATTTTGTTGACAGTCGCGTTTATTTGAAATGCACGCCTTGCACGGAACATTCCCATCGCACTGTAAGTGAGGAAATTCGATATTCAGTATGGTTCACTATCATGGCTACTCACAACATACCTTGATTTTTCGACGCTTACACTGGCCGCTAACGTTTTGGGACTTTTCAGTATTGAAGGTTTTCACCAAATCAAGGTATTCCTACCATGCTTTCGAGGCATATCTTTCTCTTTTTCCGCGTTTGACACGCCCGACCGTATGTCTATCAGATTCCATTTCTTAGATCGGAATCAATGTGAAAAGCGGGCTGAGGAAAACGGAATCTACTGAACATCAGGGGCGACGTCGGAATCTTCGGCAAATCGATTCTCTTGGCATTGGAGACCATGTGGGGTCATAGTTCAAAGCATTCAAGGCCGCTGTCAACTACTTGCTGATATAGCCATTCCCTCCACGATTGATTGGCCAGAATTGATCTCACACGAGCCTCCAGCCACTCAGTATTACCCCAGAATCCCCACGAAGCTTGGAATCTGCACCAGTCGACAAGAGCCGTCTCCCAGTGTCGAGTGAACGTCACCCAGTCGTATTCCTGGTCCTGGAGACTTTTACGGTATCGCTCTAACAGTCGCCTTTCTCCTTCGCACATTGCTAGTTCTTCCGGTAGACCAGATTCATCAGTGAGCAAATTCAATGGGACCGAGCAGGTGAAGAGTTTGGCAAGATCACAAACACCCAGTCCAACCCCAACATACTGGAAGTCGAAGAATGCCACTTGGTCCCCAGTTTCATTCGTGAACAGGTTCTCTGACTTCACGTCGCCGTGGATATATGATTCGACAGATCTCCCACGAGGTGTCAATACCAGAGCAGCCATCTCGGCAACAGAGAGGGAAGAGCCTTCTGGCGCTCTGCACATGGCATCTGTCCACTCGGAGTCATCCTCGACAAGGGACGCGTACTCTTTTCGCCTCGTTGCAAGATATGTATAACCCCCATTGAGCCAGAGCCCAGCTCCAACAGTATCTGCACTTTTTCTCCTTTTTGATTCTTCCAAGGGTGGCAGTACACAACTTTCAAGACTCTTCGGCAGCAAACTCCTTGACCGGCTGTGAAATCTAGCCAGCCAGTCCAAAGCTCCGCACACCTGGGTATGACTCAGGACACTCCTCTTTTCGCCCGCAACGGGGTATTTCGGCCGCAGATCTACCATGATGGTGGCCATGAGACCTTTCAACTGGTCTTCGTCCTTTCGACCATCCACGCCCCGCGTCGAGGTAAGACATTGCGCAATACCAATATCTTCGTCTAGAAGCGGGACCACATTACTATAAAAGTATTGCTCTACTTCATAGCTCAGCATCTTTCGCAGATGACCCTCATCGGCATTGCTGTTGCTTTTTCTCGGTGGTGAGATAAGTTTCAAAATCAAAGGAAAAGTTGATCCAGCATTCCCGTGCTCTACACCGCACAGTTTGCTTAAATTCTCTGCTGCTGCAGTGGTAGTTGCCCGGGAGGTGATGGCACAGATCTGGCCATACCCTGCCCATAGGGTCTGCAGGGAGGCGCAAGTGACGAGTTCGAGTGAGTGCCATGCTAGCATGATTCGGGCAACACGCTCGGGGTCATGATGGGCCATTTTGATTGGTTAATGATTGCCCATGAGGGAGTGAAATGAATGTCGCGTCGGTTGGGGACATATGTGGATGGCCGGATAAAGAGATTATCCGAAGTAGTGATGCGAATGTGCGTTGCTTCGACTCTACTCTCTTCGCTTTACTGTCAACTTTTGGGGTGATTTACTAAGTCTGGCCTCCCAAATAGATTCCTTCATTTTCATTTATTCCAAATTCTGAGCGCTGCCAAATACACAAAAAAAAAGAACAAATATCACGCCAATCACGCCAGTATGCTCCGCCCGCCAGGATTGCTGGGGTATTGCCTGGTTTTTTCTGGCCCCGAATAAGTGTGGGGTGTTGTATTCAGTGCTGTCAGAGAAACTGGGATCTCAAAATGCTTGTTTATGGCGGCGATTCGCTCCGAGGAGTCCGGCTCCCACGGTGTGTTCAATATGTTGACCGTTGCTCGTCGTGCCACCAGTTGCGGTTGATCTGTCGATCGATATCAGCGTGAAATCAAGGCTCATTTTGCGAGAACTTACCTTCCGGTGGAGAAACTAGCATCGGCTGCCCTTGACCATCGCCTTGAGGGGACCTTTCCGCTTTGTCTCGCATATCCCACCTCCGTCTTGACTGTGGTGGAATCGATTCTTTGACTGGTTTCTGTGCGCCCGTGTACTTCCCTCTAGATGCAATACCAGCACCCCACCGCAGGCGGATCTCGTATCCCCCACAAACTAAACCCCTTGAGGTGCACCTTGTGCATGCTGGCCGGGATTCATCGCATTGAACCCGCTTTTTCTTACAGGTCCAGCAACCCTTGAAGGATCGATGCCGGGAAGCATACTCGTGTTTCTCTGTTTGAACCATTGTGAGGATTTAGGACAAATGTGAAAAACCAGGAAATTCGATTGCGAGGTCGACCTCATATATGGTCGCGCAAGGGCTACATTTGCGGGCTCTGATTGGCCGAACAAAGATCTCAATGAGCGACATAACGAGGGGTCTATTCTCCTATAAGAAGTCTGTTGCGCACATATATCGCAAATTCCCTCAGGTAGGTCCAAGAAGAATCTCATGATACCCTCCAGGGCTCTTGATAGAAGCCGTCGTTGTCTCCTAACAGTCGTCATCCGCGCTTGTACGCTTCGGGTAGGTACAGCCACGAAACAAGCATACATGGATGTATATGCGAGAGGCCGATCTTGAAGGCAGAAACATTATACACTCTTGACCATCAGTTCTGCAGGCTGTTGTAATGCTAAATTCATCGTGATACCGCATTTGCATGCAAGTAGCCCCTTGAAAGCCCTGCAGTCGCCACTCCATTCCGCTCCGTGGTTCCCGATTGTCACAAAATCGGGAAGATTCTAAAGTTCGACCGGAAATCTTGGAAGTCTTCAACAAAATTGATCGCCAGGAACTAAGTGAATCTCCGCATCGACCTTCCAGAGATGGAAGCTTCAGGCTACGGAGGTATCATTGTGGGGAAAACCGGATCTCGACTGTGTCGCCTATGTCTGAAAGGCCCTATGTAAAGCTCGGTTTCCACTTTGTGGGCCCTCGGTGAGTTCTTCTGCCCCAAGTGCCCCTCTCTATGGCCACAGCTGCCGACGCCCATGGGGTTGATTCCCCGGACAAAATGTCAAAACCCCAGGTCTCGATGTGGGATATTAATGCAATTGCTCGCCTTTGAGCAAGTATACAATCGCAATCTATTTTATTTTTTACTGTCATCATTTTTGATATTGCCTTTTCTTGGGAATGAGCTCAAATCAACTCTCTATCCCTGTCACTTAACATTATCCCTAGTATGGACCTTGAAATCGACCCAACCCTCAAACCCCGCGATCAAAAATCCCAAGATGCAGACGACCTCGCCGAGTTCGGACATGAGCAGATTCTCGCTCGCAAATTCAATATTTGGAGCATGCTAGCCTTGGCTTTCTGCGTACTGGGAACCTGGTCTACTTTCGCACAAGACCTGTCTGACGGATTGATCAATGGCGGTCCAGTCTCTATCCTCTGGGGCCTCTGCCTTGTCACATTCTGCAATACATGTGTTGCACTTTCGCTGGGCGAAATCTGCAGTAGTATGCCTACTGCTCTGGGTCAGGCATACTGGGTTTATCGTCTGTGGGATTCTCGCTTTGGACGATTCCTGTCATATATGTGTGCGTGGATCAATGTCTTTGGTTGGTGGACTTTGGCTGCGTCTCAAGTGGCTTTCATGACGAATTTTCTGTTGGGCATGAAAGTTATGTTTTATCCTGATTGGACGGGTGCTTCTAAAGGGTGGTTGGAATTCGTTGTTTATATTGGATGTGTTTTTGTCCTCACATTGATTAATGTGGTGGGTTGTCGGAAGGAAAAGTTCCTCCCGTGGATGAACAACTTTGTTGGAATTTGGTTTTTCGGACTGTTTTTCGTCTTCTGTCTTGCTTTACTTATTTCCGTGGGGTCGAGAGATGGTCTTACGTTCCAGCCTGCCACTTTCACTTTTGGAAAATGGATCAATCAGACAGGGTGGCCAGATGGTGTTGTCTGGTTCATTGGTCTGGTCCAGGCTGCTTATGGATTGACGGCTTTCGACGCTGTCATCCATTTGGTGGAAGAGATACCTGCCCCTCGCAAGAATGCCCCAAAGGTCATCTATCTCGCCGTGATATCTGGAGCAATCAGTGGATTTATCTTGATGATGGTCTGTCTTTTCTGTATCCAGGATGTCTATTCCGTGGTCAATTCAGCCAGTGGCCTTCCATTTATGGAGCTCGTCCAGCAGACAGTCGGTCAAACCGGAGGCGCAGTACTGATCGCCCTGTTCGTGACAAACGGTCTCGGCCAAGGCATCAGCATTGTAACCACAGCATCCCGTCTGACATGGGGCTTCGCACGCGATGGCGGACTCCCATTCAGCACATACCTATCCGAAGTCAGTCCATACTGGAAAGCCCCCGTCAGAGCACTATGGTTCCAAGGCGCGATCATCGCCTTAGTCGGCGTTCTGTTCTTGTTCGCCGAAACGGTTTTGAATGCCATTCTCAGCGTCAGCACCATCGCACTCACCATATCTTACGGCCTTCCCATCATGACTGTGCTATTGATGGGTCGGGACAAGCTCCCACATGGAGGCCAGTTTCACCTTGGGAAGTTTGGTGCACCCGCAAACTGGATTTCGCTGGTCTATTGCTGCGTGACTACTGTCTTCTTCTTTTTCCCCAGCGCCCCCAACCCATCCGGAGGGGATATGAACTACGCTATTGGCGTATTTGGTGTGATGCTGGTTATTGCTGTGACTTTCTGGTTTGTCCAGGGGAGTCGGACCTATTTGAATACAGAGGAGTCAATGCCGCATGTGCTTCAGGCTCATGCAGTTGCTCAGGAAGTTGCACCACCGGAGCCTAAGAAGGAGGACCGATAAGTGCCCAGGTGCGCTTTCGTGGTGTTGATGCTGAAGTCAGTCCTGAAGTCGAAGAAAGTGCCCAGGCGGCAAGGTGTATATATGTGAACTGCGGGTGCAAAAGACCAATTTTAAATAGTTGAGTATATCAATGATCGTTGGTCAGATTGTATATAGAATGAATATCGAATGTCTCATGCTTGAATTCCATTCGACTCGGCTTTCTGTCGTTTCATCTCCTTCTGCACACCGCGCGCATACTTCACGCCGAAGCCATGGTTGAAGATTTCTCTGATATCCTCCAATGTCATTCCTTTGACCTCTGGGTAGCAGAAATAGACTCCACTGTATCATATTCCACATTAGCTTAGTGACTATTGCCTAGAAGGAAAGAACTTACACCCATCCAATAAAGCACAGAGCAGCGTAGAACCCGAAGGCTCCCGACGGGGTCGTATTCTCCACCTGAGTCAGGAAAGTCGAAGCGACCACGATATTCCCACCCCAACAAGTGCATGTCATCTGTATACTTTTGTTAGAGCAATTCCCATCATCCTACATTGAAGTGACCTACCATCATGGTCCCAAGCGCACGTATCTCGATCGGGAAGAATTCGCTGGAAACCCAGGCCAGGTTACCAATTCCCAAGGAATAAAATACCACAAATATGATCATAGCGGCCAGAACCAGGTAGCCGGACCATCCAACGAAACTTTTGTCCAGTGTCAGGTCATGCTTGACCGGAATCCAGTGAAACCCAACAGCGACAAGAGCGAGGAACAATGCCTATTCATGTCAGAAGTGAAGAATAAATGCAATCTCGAGCGATATACCATGCCCCACATGGTGGACAGGAGGATAAATCGTCTTCCAAATCGATCAATGATAACAAAATATATCAAAGTGCACCCGAATCCAGTCCCTGCTATGATTGTTCCAACGGCAATCGGGTTCCCAAACCCAACCAGTCCAAAGAGCGTACTGGAGTAGTACATCAGTGTATTGTAACCTGTGAATTGTTGCATGGCCATTAGTCCACAGGCAACAAGCAATGCTCTGAAGTTGCTAGGAACAGTGTACAGCATTTTCATTTGGCGCCAGATGCCGCCCTGGTCTGTCATTGCTAGAGCTTCCTCAATATGGATTGTTAGATGTTGCACTTTCTCCTGGACCTGGATTTCTGTTGCATTTGGGAAAATCTTCGAGAGCACTCGGGCTGCTTCCTCTGTTTTGCCATGGAATATTAGCTGTCGTGGTGACTCGGGACAAAAGCGAAGACAAATAGCCAGGACTATGGCAGGTACAGCTCCCAATCCGACCATGTATCGTCATCCGTGAGAGACGTCGGCGCGTCCTGCCCCTAAGCCATAGGCTACAAGCTGCCCTCCGGTAATGGATATGTTGTCAAGACCTATCATGCCACCTCGGTATTTTGCTGGGGATACTTCGGCGATGTACAACTGCTCAACTGTTAGACAGGAGTACTTTAAAGGCAATTCTTACCCACGGGAATGATCATTGCAGCAGATCCGACTCCAACTCCAATCACGAAACGCCCGACAGTCATCTGGGCGAAGCTGTACGAGCATGCCTGGACGATAGCCCCGGTGATGAACACCACGCAGCCCATATCTATAGCGAGTTTTCTTCCGAATCGATCAGCCGAGAAGCCGGCTGCCAGAGCGCCCAAGAAAGCTCCGCCGGATGTGATGGATGTGATGAGCTCTTTCTCGCTTGAAATAAGAACGTGTCCCAGATCATCGTCGAGTACTACCAGCACTGCGGAGATGATGCCTGTGTCATAACCTAGTAGACTCCATCAGTCAAGCAACAAACTGTTCAAAGTCAGATCCTACCAAAGAGAAAACCACCAACTCCCACTGTGATTGCAACCAGCCAAATGTAGTAGTCTGTCTTTGTGGACTCAATTGAGTCCAAAGTAGAGACAAAGGTCACATCTTTGTGAGTTGCATCCTCAACGTGTTGAGTGTCTTCTTCTGTCTGCTTGACCGGTATATCCAACGTATTTGACTCCATGATCGAGGCCAAGTTGATTCCCAACTCTGAACTGGCTTCGATGAGGGGAAAAAGCTGGCTTTAAGCCCTGAATCAGAACTCTGATACATTCTGTCATCACATACAAAGTTCACAGACGAGTGAGTGTTGAAATGACTCCCAGCCAGTTAAAATGCGGAGTAAGCCACTTGACGTGAGATTGTGGGGAAAATCCGGGGAAGGGAGGGGTTTTTTGCCCAAAATCTTCACTCCGGGCAATAATCCCCGATGCGGGGTTATGAGCCCTGAAGCAACATTTTATATCACTCATACCCTAGACTATGGATCATTCTTCAGTTATCGCCTATTCTTGACTGTTCTGACCTGAAGGGAATCTTAAGCCAAAATCCCCGCTGCGACACTGGAAATCATCATGCCGCGACTTACAATTAATTACCCCATGGTGAGATCTGTTGGGGCTATTTTTTGTGATATACACTGACAAAAGGATGGACATGGTAGTAAAGCCTGCCAGGGTACGTTGTTTCCAAGATTTGAATCCCGCAGTTGCTGATTTATCAATTCGTAGAGCGTCATATCAAGTGTAAGCAAATGGATTTCAGTGTGAAACCACAGTTCGGTTGTTAAAAGTCACTCACATATCCAGGCGATGGAAAGAAGCCAGCCTGCTCAAGGTGTAAGCGGTTGAACAAGAAGTGTACCTCCATCGGTCTCATTGTACGCGGCACGCGTGGGTTCAAATTCCCTCAAGGGCAGCAATGGCTCGAAACATCCAAAATACGTCAGTGCTTGCATTCATGTTTGTGGCAGCTGCTCACTTGATTCGCTGACTCCTTTCTAGTGCTACAATTTGTTGATGAATCTCCCGATTTGGCAAGTCATTATGGACATACCTTGTAGCCAGACCACCCGGAGTCATGGACTCAAGACACTGGTATCATTTTCCTTGTCTGCAGACATGGCATTGGACTAATCAGAATCCACTTAGATAAAACCGAGGAAGATCCTTGCGCTGCAGATGCACAAAGCGTGGTTTTGAGTCCCTCGCATTCGACAACTTTATCCCACGACCAAGAATCAAGACACAACAGCGCATCAAGCCTTACGCATTGTCAAATTAAACCATCTACACCTCCCTCGACTGATATATGGGTCCAAAAGAATTTCCGCGAGGCATTCCTAATGCGATATTTTATCGAAGAGCTCGCACAATGGGTAAGCCGCCACGAGAATCGTCCTGAAAATAAAGCTAAAGCTTGTTACAGTTTGACTCTTGCGATTCTGCTCGACACTTTGCATTGATGGTACCCCAAAAAGCAACAGATTGCCCTGCACTTCTATACGCTATCTTCTCTACTTCAGCAAGACACCTCAGTCGACATCAACCTCGCCACTCCAAGCTTATGCAACGACCTTCGAGCTAGCCGATGCTGCACTGGAATATCAAAATCTATGCATCTCACATTAACCTCCCTTTCGGATGATCCTACCGAAGTCCAAGACGAGAATCTCCTAGCTGCAGCTGTGATACTTCGATTTTATGAAGAGATCGATGGTTTGTTCTACCCTCCTTTTTCTTTTCCATTATTAATTGACCTATATAGCTCCCTTAGCAGGCGTCGACGAAGAAACATACCTCCGAGGAATCCAAATCTTCCTAGAAGCCCAAGCCGAAACAGCAATCCACGATAGCGGACTCCGCTGCGCTGCATTCTGGATAGGATGTCGTCAGGAGTTCCATACAGCATTGATCAACCAGCGGAGTTTCAGATTCGACCTTAGCTGCTGTGCTGACTCTATATACAGGACATTCGAGCCTGCGAATGATCTCACATGGGCGAATCGTGTGGTTCTACACTGTGCCGATGCCTTGATGTATTGTTATGGTGAGGAGATGCAGGGTATGAAGCGTTTTGAAGAGTTGTGGAGATATAAAGAGGCATGGAATGCACATAAGCCTTCTTCGTTTGAGCCTATGTTTTACCAAGATCCGGATCTGGGGGCTGTTTTCCCTGAGATTTGGTATTTGGATGATTGTAAAGGTGAGTGGATTTGGGCTTTGATTGGCTTGGACATTAACGTTGGCAGTCACTGCAGTTCAGCACTGGCTTCTTGCGAGGATATTGCTTGAGGTATTTGACCCGAGGATTCCACGTTTAGGTCCGACTCAGCGGGCTGCTAGTTCACTCCGTGAGGTATTGATGTCAAAATCATTTAAAAAAAAAAGAATCTTGGGAGGGATACATAGGCTAAGCTTCACAGGCGGAAATCAAGAGCAATATGTTCAAGCTGCGTGGGATAGGTCTGTCTAACAAGACTGCCCCGGCGCTGATCACCTCTTGCATGGGTGTTTCGATGTGTGAGTCTTTCACATTACTGCAGAGAAGGCGATCTAATACGCAGTTCATACAGGCGGGGATCGAATCACGAATGCTGCAGAGCAGGAAGCACTCCTTGGTGTCTTGGAGAGGACGGAAGAAAGACATTCACTGTCGACTGCGAAGATCCAACTTCAGCTTAAGGAAGCTTGGATTCTGGAGGGTTTCGAGAATACCCTTCGATGAGGCAACATTAGTACGTTTCTAAAGTGGCATGAGGGCCTACGAGTTCAGAGTCAATATTCAATCACACCCATGTGGATGTGGATGTATTCGCTAATCGACAGGTTCCTTTTTGTTCCCTTTTTTTGGTTTTTTTGGTTTTCTGTTTCCACAAAGTATTCTCCATCCATGAATTTCAATTAGCAGATGATTAATTCTTCACAGGCTTCGCAAGATCCTGCAAAACCTCCTCAATCACATCATACAAATCCAAAGCTTGTTCCTTGTTTGCGAGCTATGTTCATGGTTAGCATCCGTCAGTGGGGAGAATTGGGAGAAAACTTACGCGAAGCAGGAGATGTCCGACTTTGCCATCTTCATTGCTTGCCAGGAAGATATCACGGGTGGTGGGTCGTGTTTTGTCCTGGCCGCCGAAGTTCATGTCATGGAACATGGCGCTGTTCAGGGTAACGCGCAGAGCGCCATCAGCGCGCATAATCATGCGAGCAGAGAGCTTTCCGTCAGAGTCAGTCGTGGTGTTGACCTTGAAAGTACCGACACCGCGTTCTTTCCAGCGGCCTTCGTCGAAGTAGAAAAGCTTGCCCTTGGCAGAGAACTTGGTGGTTTCGTTTTCCTCGCCGGTTTCAACTTTGGGGGTGAGTAAGGGAGTGTCCAGGTTGGCAGGGCCAGAGCGGGTGATCCGGGGGGTCCCGATAAAAGAGCACGTACCAGTCTTGGCGTGGAAACGCTCGTCGGTTTTTTCGGCCACAAAGGTATCATTGGTGTCGCCCTTGGGCTCGGCGTCGGTTTCTTTGGTGGGTTCGGCCTTGTCAGTCTTGGGGGCACCGAATGCAGTATCCTTGTCCTTGGGATCACTGAGTGAGGAGGGGAGGTTAGGAGAGGCAAAGCTGGTGACCTTGCCAGAAGTTCCAGCGAGAGGGGTGGCAAAGGATGATCCGGACGGGAGGCCTCCAAAGCCGAAACCTGAAGTGCCCTTAAGGGAAAAGGCTGAGCCGGTAGCAGCCGAGTTGAAAGCGGAGTTAGAGAAGGATGATGGGACGGGCGCAGTTGGGTCGGTGCTGGCGGAGAATGCAGCAGCTGGGGTTGCGGTTTTGAAACCAAAGGGTGAGGCAGCTGGGTTAGCGCTGCTCAAGGCAAAGGGTGAGGCAGCTGGGTTAGCGTTGTTCAAGGCAAAAGGCGAGCCAGCGGAGGCTTGTCCAAAAGCGCTGGCAGTGAAAGCCTAAGAAAATGTTAGCAAACTAGAAGCTCGAAGGGGGTGGTAGCAAAGTTACTTGGTCAGTGCTGTTTTGCTCCTCGGTGCTCTTAGGCTCCTCGGTGCTCTTCTCCTGAGGGCTCTTGGGCTCCTCGGTGCTCTTCTCCTCGGGAGTTTCGGCGGGTTCTTCGTCATCGTCCTGGGATTCCGGGATGGGGGTGTGCTGTGGGGTTTGAGCGTCAGAATCAGTGAACGGAGAAAGGGAAAAATCACGACGGGTGGCATAGTCCTCGGGGCGCTCGTCAACCTCCATGCTGGGCATGGGCTCCTCTTCCTCTGAGCCAACGTAACCAGAGACCAGGGATTCGGAACGAGCGGGGGGAGAGAGTGTGGGACCGGGGGTGATTTGAGTAAAGCAAGTGATGGGGTAACCAGGAGTCCGCACGGTGGAGCCAGGATCCAGTGGAGGGAGAATAGGAGCAGGATAGGAATCAGGAGTCTGCGCGATGAAGCTGGCCCGCAGTGGAGGGAGTTCAAGACCGGGATGATAACCGGGAGTCCGCGCGGTGAAGCCAGGATGCAGTGGTGGGGAAACAGGAGCAGAATGAGAATCAGGAGTCCGCGGGGTGAAGCCAGGACCCAGTGGAGGGAAAACAGGAGCAGGATAGGAATCAGGAGTCCGCGGGGTGAAGCCAGGACGCAGTGGAGGGAGTCTAAGACCGGGATTGTAACCAAGAGTCGGCTCTAAGACGGTATGCAGGGGTGGAAGGTTATTTCCAGGAGGATAGTCAAGATCCCGCATGGTGTTCAGATTGCGCTCATAGATCGCGTCGTGTGGTCCGAAGGATGGATGAAAGCCGGGGTGGTAGGCATCAAAGACAGGTCCGGGGCAAGTGTAAAGGCCAGAGGGACGATCGAAATCCAGCATGCTGCACGCATTGTGCGCATAGGTCGGGGCAGGTGGCACGGAGTTGAGACACACGCGGGGGTGGTAAGTATCAACAGCAGGTGCGAGGCCAGGGAAAGTGCTAGGCGCATAATCGGGAGTCCGCTCCTTGTACACAACCCGCGGGGGAGAAGCGCGAGGGCTGTGGAAGTAGTCGGGAGCCCGCTCGTCGTACACAACCCGCTGGGGGGAAGCATAAGAAGCCCCGGGAGAACGGTCGGCGGTGACATTTGCATCCGCCTCCTGGTTCATGGGGCCGGCCGTCGCATTGGCCGGAAGGCCGAATCCAACATCCCCGCCGGACTTGATATCAACGACGGGGATGTTGGCTGTGACCACGAAAGGGAAAGACCGGTGCTCGGTGGTCTTGAATCCACCGCAGGAGAAGGTGATGTCGATCTCCATGGGGAGGGTGAGCTTGGCCGCGATCGGGCCGCAGGCCGTTCCATCCGGGATCCTGGTTCCTTGTCCTGGGCAGTTTGGGGAGAGGGGGATTGGGTAGGGGCCCCGGGGAGAGTGGGAGGGTCCGAGGGGATCTCGGAGAGGTCTTTGGCACTCACCGTGTAGCCGTTGCCTGTCGGCTCAACCTCGATGGGAGGGGAACCCCCGGCCTCGGGGGTCCCCTCCCGCGACCGCTTCGTTGGGTGCTCGGCCGCGGCGTCTGCGTCCTCGAGGGAACGCTTTCGGTTGATGCGGGCGCCCGCATCGATGTTGGCCGCTTGGAGTTGGCGGCGGGCGCCCAGTTCGCCGTCGTCGGAGGGCGGCGCGGCCACTGTTGCGAGTCAGAGATTGAAGGTTTGAGGCGGGCAGAGCAGGGATAGGAAAATAGGAAACAAAGATCGAAAGAAAGCACAGATAACGTACCTCCAGGTTCCATCTTGATGTTGACTGTAAAGTGGTTAGAAGAAATCAGAATTTGGGGAAGTTGAGCCTAAACAATGACATACTGGGGGGGCTCTGCTCACGTGCAGCCATAGTTTACGTTGGGTGAAGAGAAGAGAAATTGGGACAAGACCTTTTATTTATACCTTGACCGCCGCAAACATCTCTCTAGTCTCGAATTTCTACAATTGAAAATAAAACAATAGAATAGGAATGCAAAATAGCTGAATAGCTGAATAGCTCAATACAGCTCTGTTCAAGGTCATTGCCTAATAAGGAAGAGGTGAAGATCATTTGATTGGTGAATAAACCAGCATTCACACTAGTCTGAGGTTCCCTATTGGGTGAGATGGCTTTAAACAATGGAAAACAATAAGAGGACAAGAGGACAATAGGAGAATAGCCTGGTGATCAATAGCACCGGAGCACACTAGTGTACAATACTCAACTGATGAAGCAGAGGCAACCAATCGCAACGTAGAACACGAGCAATGGGTATACTGCAATGCCGACTCGGTTGCGCACCACTCCTGATCCTCCCAGAATACTGACTCCCGCGGCTAATGACCAAGCTACAAGCACAAGATAAACCGGTATCCGAGCAATTGTAGGGAGTCCCAGAGCACTCAGCATAGCGGCAATGACCAGAGGGAATAGAGTATAGCCAATGATGCAAATCGACTGGAAAAAGGAGCTGTAGCAGAGTCAGTATACTGCAACAAGACATTGACACGGAGGGAGAATAATACATCTTTCCACCCAGAAGCTTGATCTGAAGAGTCACAGCGGCTTGTCCAATCCAAACCATACAGAAGACACCCGAGAATACCACGGAAGATTGATCACCCTTGGCAATTGAGAGGAACAGACTCAAAACAAGACAGAACACAAGCGGGCCCCTAGACCAGATTAGCAAGATGTCCCCCCAACCATGGTGTGGTGTGTACTTACCAGAGATCCCAGTCGCGTAGCCCATCGCTCATTCCACCCTGCAAGACCACGTCGGCATCCGGCCAGCGGCCAACGAGTCCCCGAAGATTGCGACCAAATCCTGCGGCGCCTCCTTGTTCCGCGTCAGCTGTACCACTGCCTCCCCGCTGCATCATTCCTCCCAGAAGGTACTTGGGCCACAGCACCTGGCGCATCTTTTCCCAGACGGCAACCAAGTCGCGTGACAATGTGTCCCAGACACTCTCATCAATGGTGTTTTGGGTCGCGCGACGGTCCTCGCCACCAATCGAGGAGGTGAGGTAGTTGCCATAGCCCGAGGCCTGAGCCCGGCTGCCTGAGTCGGATTGGATGTTGCCCCGTAGCGGCGCGGTGTCGGAGGTATCGTGTAGGGGGTCGTCCGCATCGATGGCTATGATCAGGTTAGTTTCGCAACTCCTGGGTCCTCGATCAGTGGCAGATCGGAGTCCTACCATCGTCGGCTTCAATCAGATCATCCCCGAGCAGGGAGTCGTCGTCATGGGGGTCTCCATGAGGATTGCTGTGTACAGTAGCCATGGCGCTAGTATTTTGAATGTGTTAGATACTAAAAACAGGAGTATCACGTCCCCGTGCGCTAAGCAAGACAATGTTGACAGTGGAAGTGTCAAGCTGGAGGCTACAGAGTGGCATTATGGGCATTACGCCATGGGGTCACCGCCTAGTAGCACGTTCCACGCGCAGGTCCACTTTACTGCACTTCACTATAACAACTATAACAACTATAACACTGACTATAATACTGACACTGACATTGACACTGAACAGCTGAACGACTCCTTTGCTAGCATATATCACATTCAATCTCAATCACTACCAACATATGGCGCATCCTCTTGATACACATCGTACTTATACTGAGTGCCAACATGATCAGCCCGAAGCTCTTTCTGACCCTTGCCAAACACCTTCTCTCGTGCAGTAAGAGGTGGCTCTGAAGGAGAAGGAAGCTCTGGGTATAGACCACGCCGTCTCAACTCAGGAATCAGCAAGTCCACCACATCTTCAAAGGTACCCGGGGTCGTGACATAGGCCAGATTGAAACCATCAAGGTCTGCCTCGCGAATCCAGCGCTCCATCTCATCAGCAACCGTAGCAGGGCTTCCAATACCCACAGGGCCGAGGCCACCGATCGCAGCCTTCTCAGCTACAATTCGAGGCGTCCATCGCGGCACATCCTTGCTGGTCTTCAGCAACGAGTCCAGCAGACTGGTCACTTTATTGGCTTCCAATGAGTCTTCTGCCGTCAGGTCCTGGTCTAAGGGGATCTTGGAAATGTCAATCCCAGTCCATCCACTGAAAAGTACCAGACCGCCAACAACCGATGCATACTTCTTCAACTCTTCGTATTTGGCCCATGCTTCTTCGTCTGTCTCGCCCACGATCGGTGTGAAGGTGCCAAAGAACTTGATAGATTGCGGGTCGCGACCTCTTTCGGCGGCAAGCTTGCGAATGTTTGCGACCTTGGGTCGCAGCACCTCTGGCGAGTGAGAAGAGACAAAGATGGCCTCTGCGTGAGTCGAAGCAAATTCAGATCCTGCCGGTGAGGTTCCGGCTTGGAACAGGAATGGTGTCCGCTGCGGGGATGGGTCGACGATGTGTCGTGTGTTCAGTGCAAAGTATTTGCCCTTGTGGTTGATTTGGCGGACCTTATCCGGGTCTATGTACGAATCGGCTTCGGGGTTGGGTGACAATGCGTCGGGGGACCAAGAACCCTCCCACAGTCTATATTCATCAAGCGGTCAATTTTCCGAACTATCTCTGTGATGGACCATGGGTATGACTTACTTATAAAGTACCCTCAGGTACTCATCCGCCTGGCGGTATCGCTCGTCATGCTCGATGGGCGAATCGACTCCAATGGCTTTGAAAGCTGCCTTCTTGTATGAAGTCACGATGTTCCAACCCAGTCGACCATTGGTCAAGTGGTCCAAGGTGGAAAATCGCTTGGCCAGCAGAAAAGGCTGCTCGAATGATGTTGACGCAGTGATGCCGAACGCCAGATTCTTGGTCACAGCAGCCATAGCAGAAATGGGCTAAAGAGTCAGGTAAGAAGATCCCGAGGGCTTTCCAATAATACTTACAATAGTTGGATCTGTGACTGGCCACTGGGCCGCCCGCCGAATACACTCATCTAGCTTTCCTTCATAAGTATCGTGGCCGCCGGTCGTGTCTGCCAAGAACAGCGCATTGATTCCTCCGCGCTCCAACAGCTTAGCCAACTCTATCCAATATTCCAGTGTTCGCTTCGTTGCCGACTTGTCTTTGGGGTTCTATATGAATTGTTAAGATATTTCTCATACAAAGTCAATGCCAATCCTTAGAACTTACCCTCCACTGTCCTGGAGACAAGTGCCCCACAGTTGACATGTCAAACGCATTGAGCAAGATATGTTTCTTGACATTGGCGTTCGCTGCGCCATTCTGGCTTGTCGCGTCGGAGTCTCCCATGGCTTTCTATACACCTGAGCACTTGCCTTTGTAGTTCTCGGTCTTCGGCAGTGAAAAAAGTCGATCTCACGGCTATAAACACAGTCAATGTTCTCGGAAGGTTTTATACTATCGCGCCGTGCATTTGCATATTCCGCGCATATTCCGCGCGTATCTCACGCCATCGATAGAGTGAGGGGTGTTCTTTCATGTTAATGCTCCGGTCTTCTACTTATGTTACCATCAGTTCCTAAATTGCGTGATATATCCCACCCATCGGAACGTTTATATCTTGGACTCAACAAAGACTCGGGAGAATTACTCCATGCCTGCAGGCGTAATATGTGTGCCTTTTGACTTCAAAATGTTATCTGAATACGAGTAATTCTCCTGTCAGAATAATAAGACCAAATCAGGGTATGCGCAGCCCTTCATAGTTCCAATGTTTCTGACGAATTGTCTCTATAGATACGGAGTACATCAAAGAAATACTTATGTACTATGTCTGTGTATCAACTTTCCCCTGCACATTATCACGCTGAACACTAGGCTCAATATAACTGGAGACGCCTACACTTTCCGAGTCAGAGTTCTCCCGGCTCGCCTCAAGCCTCCTGCAAAAAACATTAGATTATATCACAGCACCAAGATGGGAATCAACTTACTCTTCTCGAGAAATAAAATACTGAACCACATGCGAGAAAATAATCAAGCAAATCGCATTCCCAAGAATGAAAGAGTAACCTTTCATAAACCGGGGTGCCTCGACAGTTGGGAGAACCAAAAGCGGCGTCCAAGCCGTGGTCGATTGGGCAATTGTATTGACGATGATAAGAGTCAGAGCACGTTCGACCGGAGAAGCCCGCAGTTGACTATTGATCCAACCGTAGAGAACACTCGACATAGCGACGGAAGAGTAAGTAGTCAAGAAAGCGAACCAAAGCGCAGACTCAGAGACATTCCAGACGATAAGAATGATCAGTCCGATGATATTCCACACATGGGCGATAGTGATTGCCCAGGCAGGGCCGAAGAACAAGTCTGATGAGAAACAGATGAACAATGTATAAAAGATGCCCAGGGCAGGCGAGATGGCAGCTAACTCATTCAATCGACTGGTGGGGTATCTGTCCAGACTCTTCAGCCATAGCTGGTAGCCACCGGCACTGGTATTCAGACAAGCGTTCCAGAAGAGGATATCGAGTGAGAGGAGAGCCCAGAATTTCCAATTTCTCGCAACTCCCAGTACGGTGCGCCAGGAGAGGGCGCGTTCTTTTGTTGCGTGTGAGACTCGGGCTAAGCGCGCTTTGGCGAGATAGACGTCTTTCTCGTTCAGGACGAACTTGTTTGGTTTGTCTGGTGAGCCTGGGAGGATGAAATATCCGAGGATGGCGACTGGGAGGGTTATGATTGCGCAGATGATGTACATCCATCGCCATCCTGCGAGTCCGTTGACGCCGTCCAGTCGGCTGGAGGCTCCTGCTTGGATTAGACTGGCTGTTAATGTGCCGAATGTTAGACCGACGTAGAAAAAACCTCCGCGGCGGGCGATCTCGTCGCCTCGGTACCATGAGCCTATAGGATTAGTTGAGAAGATAGAGATGGGAGCAGATGGCAATCTTACCGAAGATGTAGTGCATTCCAGGGAAGAAACCAGCCTGGTCATGTTAGTCTGTAACAATAAAAACACACTTGAAGGAACTGACCTCAAACCAGCCCACCAAGAAACGATATGCAGCCAGCTCTGCAAAGGAGTTTGCACGGTATTGCACCAGTGTGAAGATTCCCCACATAACGTCCATGAAGGGAATCATCCAGGACATTGGGAGTCTGGTGAAGAGGAATATAAAGGGAAGTTGTCCAACCACTGCTCCCACCGTATACATGGTTTGCAATTGGACAAGCTCGTTGCCATGAAGGCCCAAATCATCTTTCAGCCCTGAGACATAGGCATTGTCTGATATATGTTAGAGAAGAACTCGCAATGGTGACAGGGCTCTTACTGATATTTGTCTGGTCGATATACTTAGTCCAATATGCGAGAAACGCATAAGGGACAATCAAAAGATCGAGCTTGGTAATGAGTCGCCTTTCTTCCTTGGTGTCCTGGTCTGCAAACCATTGCACTTTCCACCATTTGCGCCGTGCCTGAGGGACATTCATCTTTGCTCGAATACTGTAGAATACAGGGCCTGTCAAACATTATATAGTTAAGGTTCCCGGCTAGAGCTTCGGGCATTGGCCGAGAATTTTGCTTCAGGCGTTAAGCCAAGCAAGATGTCAGTGGAGACGGCAATTGCGTGCTGGAAAGTAGTTATGACAGCTATTGCGACACATGAGGAGATGATGAGAGGACCGATCGTCGAACATGAGATAGCATTTCACTCTAGACTCAAACAAATATGGCAAAGCCGGGATGTTTCAGCCTAGGCTCGGCAGGTAATGCAAAGATTGACGATCTCAAATATTTAAAGTAGAGAATGTACCAGTGGTATTATGTACATGCAAAATAAAACGCCGTCTATAGCCCCAAGATGTGTGATGTACAAGAGTTATAGTTATACAATGGAGATGCTGCCGTCGAAATTGCAGGATCTGGGGATATCTCAAGCCTCAGCCTGGATCTTATTTTGACGGGGAGAATCCATCTGCTCGTCGGATCCTTCTGCTTTTGATTCAAGTTCCTTGACTCGGCACTCCTCCCGATAGTTGGCGATGCGTTCCCTGGCCGCCTCCTTTTGCTCAGAGGTGGGGTAGATGAGCACTTTCTTGAAGCTATCACGGACCCCTGCGTCAGAGAACTTCTTCAACATTTTCGATTCGGCAGAAAGGATTCCACGCTGCTCCTTTGTGAGATATTTCTTGTTGTAAGGCTGGAGGGCATCATCGGTAATCAGACGCACTCGCGCCATGAATGTAGCAGCCGCAAGGCCCTTGATCGGGTCAGCAAGCTGATTTTGAGCATGACTCCAACGGGTGTTTGCCTCGGCTTTGCCTTTCTCCATTGATTGGCACAGATCGGTAACATATGGCCGCAGTGTGTCAAGGACGTTAACGCGTAGCAATGCCTGAAGCTTTGTGCCCACGTCCCGGAGTTTGCTGGATTGTCGGCGGAATGTAGCATTGGGTTCTGTTTCAAGACCTCGCAGACCCAGGAGAAGGGAGGAGTCTGCAGAGATGTTTCTGTATATCTCCAGGTAGCCATCCAAAACGCGGATGTCTGGTTGAATAAAGGCCTTACGCATAAGACCAACCAATTCATTTGCGTGGAGGAGCACTGAATGGTTTTTGCGATCGCGACGGCAGACACTGAGAGCAACGTGGAAAGCTGTTCCGCTTGCGATACCGGCAGGGACCATCTGCTCTCGCAAGGTCCTGACGGCGATTTTGCTGGAGCGAGAAACGCGGAGGAGGCGGAAGTATTGGATAAATGTGAACGCGTCGGGCTTGATCCGGTGCTCGTTATCTTCCAGTGTCATGTGTTTCCAGTAGTTCATACCACCTTCAGTACCTTGAGTCATGGTGAAGCATGCATTCAGAAGAAGTGTCAGCTCTTTGCTTGTGGGTTGAAGGAATGACATCTCTTCTGATCCCGGAACCACATGTTTGAAAAGATCTTCGAAGGATTCCTCAACCTCCTCTTCATGTTCTTCCACCTCTGAGCTTTCTTCGGCGAGCTCTTCTGCGAGCTCTGCGGTTTCTCCATTCAGCGCTGCTTCCCCCAAAGGTTGGTTGTTTTCGTCTACAAACGGAAGATCCTCCATCTTTTCTTGTCGTTGGGCTTCAGCTACCTCGATGGCCTGGCTTTCCTCGGGGGTGATCCGGCGGCGCGTTGTCTTGTCACTTTCAGTGGGCTTCTTCGCGAGGATAGGAATCCCCATAGTCTGCTTGTATAACTCCATCACATGATAACAGTCGAAGTCACTGGCACCGTCCAAGAGCAAACCGGCCATGCCGTTAACAACGTCATTATCAATCTCGAGTGTCTGGTTCTTCCAGCGGTAAATGATATCGGCCCAAATGCGCTTGCCTTCAGTGACAGCCTGGCTTTTCCGCTCAAGGATCTTGTCAATCTGATCAGGAGACATCTCCTGAATATCTCTGCGAGCAGCAAATTGAACAGCGTTCAAAATGATGGTGTATGTAGTAGCATCGGGAGCTCCATGGCCCTCCTCGGGCAGGTCGCCAGCAATTTTCCATAATCTGTCCATATCACCGTGCCGATGGCAGACTGTGAGCATCGCATTGGTGTGAATAATACTGAGATCGACGCCGGAGTTTGGTGCGGAAATCGAGCGGTAAACGGAAGCTGCCGTTTTCACAATAGATTGTGACTTTGGGGCCGCGCTGAATCCTTTCAGCATGATGGTGTATGTGGTCGCTTTAGGTCTTCGGCCTCGTTTTTTCATCTAAACTTGTCAAATCAAACACTTTCCGGAACCCAGCAGTCAACTTACATCATTATAGAACTTGAATGCAGCTTGCGGATGTCCCTGTTCCATGCAATATTGTAAGAGGAGGTTCCACGCGACAGTAGTATTCAGGCCCTGTTTCGTTCCGGCGCGCACGATCGCAGCCGCCAAAGCCGGCTGGTCACTCCGCAAAATACGGTCAATCCGATCTGCCATTTTTCGAGGATCATTTAACCATCTCAATTCCATGTTGACGATAGTAGGTGTGATCTTAGGGCCTTGCGAGACGCGTGGCGTGAAATCTTGCTGAGTATGATCGTTATTTGTCTCCTCCTCAGCGGTCTCCTTTTCAGAAGCATCTTCGGCTGGAGATGACTCCTGCTCTTCTTGCTCATTGTGTTGTCCGTCCTCTTGCGCAGCTGCGGCGTCGAGAGCCTCGCTCTCAGCGATCTCGGTCTCGTTGTCATACTGTGTGGTTCGGGAGTTCGAGGCAACAGCCATCAGCATTTCTCTTTGGCCTGGTGTCAGAGCATTTCGCTTGATCTTTTTGCTTCGTGCTTGGTGAGACCTGGGCCGTCCCGGCTCGTCGAAAGGACGGGTGTTGTAGGTATATTGAGAACGGGAGGGCTGTTCGGAGGTTCGTGCGGAGAGGGAGAACGCGGCTCTGGGGGCACCAATTGCGCTCCGTGTGACTGGCAGGTTAAGGGCTGCGGTTGCTGCACGACATTGTTGCGCAGAGAGAAGTCGACTGCGCAAAGCTCTATTGACGAGCGACCCCGGTAGCCGGAGGGTCATGACCGGGTTAATCTCCCAGTGAAAGTGCTCGGGTTTATAAGATAAAGTGCACAGATAAAAGCAACCAAAAGAGCGGCAAGATGAAGAATCGCTCCAAAGCAGAGAGTGTATGCAATGCAAAGTCTTGATTAGACGCCAGATTTGGTTATCGAAACAATTTCGCAGATAAAAGCACACTAGTCCTGATGTGGGCTAGTCTGTTGCCTTCTGATGCCTCAGGTGTCTGGGGTATTCTACTAAGCCTAGAGGGGATTAGCGCCCGCTCCGCTCCGCTTCAAACGAGGTCATTGGCACAGATGAAGATATTACAACCTTATAATCGCAACTTGGGACCATATGTTCTATGACTGTCTCAGACTCGACCTGGGGAGAACTGCCAGTGCCTTAATATGATCTGGGGTAAGAAGCATATCGGCATTCTACTACCCGTAGGTAGCGTCCAAGTCTAAAGTTGGTCTTTTGGACAGAAATAGAGTCCTAGAAGAAATCCAAAAGAAGTTGAGAAATACAGATGTGGCTGCACAGGCCTATATCGAAGACTTCGGAGTTAAAAGTACGTAGCATATCGGAACAAATCTTGCAGCCTTTGCTTCCGCTGAGTAATCTGCTTCCGATCTAGCGTCCATATACTTACCAAGTAGGGTTCGAATCATGCACATCAAGCCCCGGAGTGGGGTACTGAAGAAAAGCGTCCACGAATTGTCGTTAACTCAAACAAGTTTCGAGACAAATCAATTCTCCTCAGATGTCTACTTGCATTGTAAGCGGTTTATCTGGACCGCGAGAGAGCGAGACTGCGTCGATCAATTACTGGAAAGGCCTTGAGAGAGCTCAAGGTTATGGAAATCCCCGGAATCCTAGGTATAAAAGGTGCTAGAACTCCCAGTAGGCAGTATTTGAGTAGCACTTGAGTAGTGATGGATAAAAACAGTCTTGGACTATAATCACCATGCTGCTCCTCTCGCTATCTCTCATAGACTGTTTTTACGTCGGCATTGCCGCTCTTTTGATTCGTTTTCTAATCACCTTGATCAAATCCCCTCGTTTGGCTATACCAGGGCCAATTCTAGGCCGATTCACAAATTTATGGTATCTGTGGCAGATGAAACGGGGTGACTTCCACTATACCAATATCAAACTCCATGAGAAGAATGGCAAGTACGGAGGCATTCCAATGTCGACACACACTGACCATGTTCTTCACAGGAAGCGTCGTTCGCATTGCTCCCAACTACTACAGTATCTCCGACGCCTCGGCCGTCAAGACCATCTATGGCCATGGAGCCAAGTTCGAAAAGTCCGCCTGGTACGACGCATGGAACTTCGGTCCTACAGCCACCATGACGAATCTCTTCTCGGAGCGCAATTCCAAGAAGCATGCCGAGAGTCGCAGGAAGGTCGCTTCGATGTATTCCATGACTTCGCTGGTGGCTTACGAGCCAGCAGTGGACAATTGCATTGAGATTTTCAAAGAGCGGCTCCTCGAGTTTTCGAAACAAGGATCCATCATTGATATGGCGCATTGGATGCAATGTTATGCATTTGATGTTATTGGGGAAATCACTGTACGATCATCCCAACTGTCTTGAATTCAGGGAAACTAATTCCAACAATAGTTCGGCAGTCGATTCGGCTTCCTGGAAGCAGGAAACGACATCGGAGGTGTGATGGAGTCGATCGATTCTGGCCTCACATCTAGTTCCTACCTCGGGCTCTATAGCTGGCTCTACCCTTTCTTCCTCTGGGCTTCACAGCGTCTCCAAGGCGCAGGCCCGTCATACGCTACTCAGTTCACTTTCCAACATATCCAACAAACAAAAGCGACTATGAAGAATCATCGCGCAGATCTCCCGTCGCATATGGCTATGAAACTCGTTCAAAAACAGGCTCAGAATCCGCATGACATGTCTGATTGGGATATTCTCGCCACTGCAGCATCGAATGTTGGGGCTGGCAGTGATACGACTGCAATCAGTCTGTCTTCGACTCTATACTATCTTATCCGGGCCCCTGGTTGTCTGGAGAAACTGCGGAAAGAGATTGAAGAGTCAGGTGTCGGTCCCAATCCCACGTTCAAAGAGACGCAGGCAATGCCGTATCTTCAGGCAGTTTTGAAGGAAGCATTCCGGGTTCATCCTGGAACAGGATATCCGCTTTTCCGGGTTGTTCCCAGCGGTGGCGAGGTGATAGCTGGGCAATTCTTCCCAGCAGGAGTAAGTTGTTCAACTATCTTCGAGGTAGCATGTTTTAGCTAACCGTGTGATGTAGGTCAACGTCGGGATAAACAGCTGGGTCTCACACTATGATAAAGAGATCTATGGTCATGATGCAGATGTCTTCAGGCCTGAACGATGGCTTGAATCCAGCAAAGAACAGCTCACTGTCATGGAACAAAGCTTCATGCCATTTGGAGCTGGCTCCAGGACTTGTATCGGCAAGAATATCTCTTTGCTGGAGATGGCAAAATTGATACCCATTTTGGTAAGGGACTTTGACTTTGAACTGAGCCAGACTGTGCAGAGAAGCTGGACAACAAGGGCGCGATGGTTCGTAAAGCCCATGGATTTCGAGGTCAAGATTCGGGAAAGAAATTAGGGGATAATATGGTGTGTGCAATGTCGGCTCTAGAAGGAACAATGCGTCCCTGGAATGGTGCACACCGATGAAAGGCTCGCTAGGAATTCATAACAAGTTATGGAAAGCCTCGGTGGTTCGGGTGAATCTTCGCTCACATGTAACGCCCCGCGGTCGTTCTGAACAAGACAGCAGTCACACTTCGAAAAAGCGCGCAAGCTTCATATCTACAAATCAGGGCAGAACCTCCTTCAACCTGAACGATTTGAGGTTGGTAAACCCAGCTAATTCCAAGGCTCTTCCCTTACCACCCATGACTTGTGAATGTGTATAAGAAAAGGTTCAATTCATCGCTTCCACGCTGAAAAATCGCATCTTCCGCCGAAATTATGATACAAGACCAGTGAACACGAGTCATGGAAAGTAGCATGCATTTGTATTCGTAAATTGAGCTCCACAGGCTTCAAAAGTGAGGTTGTCTTCCCAAGAATAATCTCCGCAAACCAAATCAACGGATATTTATGGTCGTATCGTAACGCTCAGCGATCAATATCCCGTCTCGTTTAGTTGTCGACAGTGCCGTACTTGACAATCAAAGAGGTAACGTGCTCGATGTAGCGCTGGTTAGCCTTGGCGACGCTGTAGTCCTTAACACCCTCCCAGGCGCTGTAGAGCTGCTTCTTCTGTATTGCGAAAGTGGTCAGCTACCAATCAACAAAATCGAGAGCTCTTTCTAGCTGGTGACATAGACAGTTTTACATACCTGGATATCGAACATGCCGGGCTTCTCCATGGCCTCGCCCTTGCTGACCTTGAAGTAGATGTAGAGGTCCTTCTTCTCCAAAAGACCGGGCTGCTTCTGCAGCATCATGACGGCCTTGGCGGCGAACTCGAAGCCCTTGGAGAGAGCCTCAGCTTCGGCGGCATCGTCGAGCTTCTCGAACTCGCCCTGCTCGGCGACCTTGGCGAAAGCGGCCTTCAGGACCTCGACGTTGATGCCCTCAGCGGCGGCCTGGACCTCCGGAGTGAACTTCTCCTTCTTCTGGGCAGCCTCCAGGACAGTGATAAAGGGGGTGATGTCGGACATGGTGTGTTTGGATAGTGAACAAGAACAAAAAAAAGCTCAGGGTATGATTGTTGAGGAAGTTGGAGATGGTTGAGGGAGGGGTTGTTTAGTGGGGTTCGCTGACACAACAGTCTCGCCAGTTGGCGGTACTTAAAGTAGATATTTGAAGAACGCCCTGTAGATGCGCCATTTACTCGCTATGCAAAAGAAAATATGTATCTAAACTCTTTACCAATCGACTGCCCAACCATTGTGAGTCAAGAACTCCTCGCAGGCTGCCTTGAGCGCGTAATTATTCCGCAAATCCTTAACTGTCATGGGAGCTCGCGTCAAGGGATCAACACCCGCCTTCTCCACATACTTGGTGATAGGAATGCGATCGAAGCTGCTGCCAGACGGGGTAATCACGGGATCATGCATGATCTCAAAGGTGATACCGTCGATAAGATGATCAGGCACAACCTACAGTAGTCAGCAATCAGCAAGGGATACCACTTACCCCATACGTGGTATGGAGTACAGAGCACAGAGCACAGAGTACGAAGGACCAGGGTGACATACCCGTGTCTGAACCTCCCCGTTTGAAGCAATTCGGAAAGCCTCCCTCAGATTATGCACCTTCAACTCGGCATCCTCACGCAGCGCCCTCTGGTCCTCCCCGAATCCAATCTCCCCGATCTCACCGCGGTCCAAGCGACCCTGCAGCTCAGCCAGGGCGCGGGTGACATCAGCCTCGACCAGCGCCTCCACCGCACCAAGCGTCTCATTCAGCTCCCGAACCCGTGAAGTCTCCCGCGCAGCCCAGATATGCTGTTTCGCCCGCAACACTATGCCGGACAGGTTCTCTGACTGGGGGTTCTTTGCTGCCAGACTCTGTTTGTATGCTTCGGATGCCACATCGTGTGCTTCCTGGGGGCGCTGCAGGCTGAGGAGGGCTTGGGCGAGGTAGAAGCAGCTCTTGAGGGCGGTGGGGTTCTTCAGGCCGTAGATGTCGATTGCGGCGCGGGCGTCATGTTCGACGTCGGCCCACTTGGCTAGTTTGATTCGGGTGATGGCGCGGTTTGTGAAGAAGGTTGCGTCGTGGGGGTTCTTTTGGATTCTGTATGTGTTAGTCGCTCGCTGAATGGTTTGGCGGAGGTGATTTACGCTTGGGAGAAGAGATCTTCGGCGCCACTGTAGTCGCCCGCTTTGAAGAGCTCGTTGCCTTTGGCTTTGAGTTCTTGGGCCATATTGGATTGTCGGGGAAATTCAAATTAGAATGGATATAAAATCATACAATTGACTCGGAAGCCCGGAATACTAAAAGAACATCTTCGATCTCCGCAGAAGCTCTGAGTCAGCTATGTGATCGACTGAACTATACTTTATTCTTCTCAGTACTTTGTACGATATTCTTCATCAATATTAAATTATCTATTATACATTCCGGAATTGAATCTCATAATCGGTGATGGCCTGGATCTTGGCCGCGGAAGCACTCTTAGGGTCAAACCGGTAATTCAGCCAGTCGGCAACGAGCTTCTTCGCCAACTCAACCCCAATGACCCGTTGACCCATACACAAAACTTGAGCATCATTACTGAGAATCGATCGTTCCACAGAGAAGGGGTCATGGGCAGTCACGGCCCGGATTCCAGGGACTTTGTTCGCGGCAATGGCGACCCCAAGTCCGGTGCCACAGATGAACAGGCCTCGGTCTGCCTTGCCTTCTCGGATCAGGGTGGCACCTTCGACGGCTGGGTGGGCGTAGGCGGTTTTGTCAGAGGAGGAGTTCACGCCCACGTCAATGATCTCGGCGACGAGAGGGTTTGTGGAGAGGGTGGCTTTGATGGCTTCTTTGTAGGGGACGCCGGCCTCGTCGCAGGCCATGACAATGCGGAGGGGGGTAGACATTATTGAGTGGATAGAGATATGGATATAGAGAGAGAGAGAGAGAGAGAGTTATAGAGGTCAATGGTAGTTTTGATAGAGAGGAACCAGGAGGCTTGGGTGTCCGGCTTTTATAACCTATTCTCCCCTGTCCTGCCATGACTATACTTCAACAGTTCCTAGGTTTCTGGGAAATATGCCAACCCTGATGTTACGCGTAGCCGGGACCAATGGCTCCTATGGCTGTTTCGGAGGCATACGTGCGCTATACCTCGTATTACGGGATGTTACGCTATGCAATCTTCCAAGAACTTGTCCAGAACCTTGATCGACAACATGTTTACTTGGAACAGGACCTACGTGTAGAGGACCTGCATGTACTTGTACTTCTCTATTCTCGTTAGCAAAGATATACTCAGTACCTCACCCACCTATACATAGTGGGAATAGAACTTAGAAGTAGACCTCTATACTCCGGGGCTACCAACCATGCTTTTGACAAAGTGGCTATGGCCTCGGCACTACACCAGTGCCCAGATGCCTAGACTCACTGGGAAATGAAGCGGTTCGTATTGTCAAGCTCTGACCTCATTGAATTCGACTTGAAAAAACTTGGTCATGAATGTGAAAACCCTCACTTTGTTATCTCAAATCTTCGATCTAAATATGATGTCTCGTCTCCACTATAGTTGTACCCGCTGTTCTCCAGATTCACAAATAGATCGGCAGAATAGAACAATCTTCAATTGGACCTGATTGATCCCAAAACTTGATATTTAAGTCTCAAAAAGTGTATGGCAAAGTGTATGGCAAAGACCAGGTTCAGGCAGGTTTTCCCCCTTGTCTCTGCTTTGACATCATCCGGCTAACTTCGAAAGTTCCCTAGCGGGGCGCTAACCGGCCTATACTCATACCCCATACTCTCTAGAGCTTTCCCCCATACCTTTACATCCTCCTTCTAAGTTCATATCACCTTCACCAATCATCAAAAATCAAAATGACCTACCCATCCCTTCCCGAAAAACTCCTCCTCATCTCCCTAAAGATGTACTTCACCCCAGAGCAAACCCAAAACTACCTCCGCTCCCTCCTAAACCCCAGCAACAAAATAATCAACCCAACCAACCCAAACCTCCTCCTAGCCCTAATCCCCGACTTCCTCAGCATCCACCCCTGCTCCCAAATAATCCAATCCAGCACCTCCCTCCACACACCCACACCCCCCCTCCTCCTCGGCGCCCAAGACTGTTTCTGGGAAAACGCAGGCGCATACACAGGCGAGATCTCACCATCCTCCCTCCACAGCCTGGGCTGCAGTATAGTCGAGCTAGGGCATGCCGAGCGCCGCGCCCTCTTCAACGAGAGCATATCCCAAACAGCACGCAAGGCTCAAGCCGTCTGCGCCAATGCTATGATTCCCCTCGTTTGCGTGGGCGAGATTACACCGCCTGGTGCTGTTGCTTCGGAGGCTGTTGGCAATGCTGTTGCGGAGTGTTCGGAGATGGTTAGGGCGGTTCTGGCTGCGATCCCGGGTGATGCTCCTGTGATTTTTGCTTATGAGCCTGTTTGGGCGATTGGGAAGCCTGCTCCTGCGGGTGTGGATCATGTTGCGGGTGTTGTGGGGGGTATTCGGGGGGTGGTGGGGGAGAGGGTGGGGGCTGTGAGGGTGTTGTATGGGGGGAGTGCGGGGCCGGGGCTTTGGGGGGAGTTGGGGTGGGCTGTTGATGGGATGTTTTTGGGGAGGTTTGCGCATGAGATTAAGGGGGTTAGGGATGTTGTTAGGGAGGTGGAGGTTTCGATGGGGATTTGAAGGGCTCTCACCTTGGAATGGTTATTTGGGTCTTTGTTGTTCTCAAGTTTTGGTCTGTGGTTGGGATGTCTACGACTTCAGTAAGTGTGAAGTGCGCATACTACGGAGCTGTATTGATGGGCATGGAGCTGTATTGTCATCATACGAAGACTTGTTTTGGTTATACAGATAACATACATTGAAGAATACATATTCGGGTCTAGAAAGAGGCAAAACAGCTAAGCTTAACGGGAAGCCTATCTGGGGGAAGCCGAGAGCCAACGCATATTTCCCCGGTTTTTTCAGGTCAGCCGATCTGCTCAGATGACCTGACGATTTGTTATTTTTTTTTTTGTTTTTTTGTTTTCAATTTTTTATATTTGGCTATTTGGCTATTTGGCCACTGGCTTGGCTTTCAGGCACTACACCTTAATTGACTCCTTCGAGTAATCCCGAGTTCGGCACTTCCGCAATAGGTATATCGCTGAGCTCATTCGGAAACTCCATATGCTATTTACAAGGTACCTGGAACAAAAGTTCACCGCTTATTTCGTAAGCTCCTTACGCAGCTCCTGCTTGACTCGCGTGATGGTGCCAATGCCACCGTAGGTCAGACCAGTGTACATCATGGCCACGGAAGCGCCAGCCTGGAGGGCGGCCTGCGCCTGCTGGCCGGTGGTGATACCCCCCGAGGCAAAGATCACCTTCCGGGCTACATTGGACGCGGGACCCTCGGCAGCGGACTCGGAGGGGCCCTTGTCGAGAAGAGCTCGGTAGCGGCCAACCAGCGAAACGGTGCCGTCAAACAATTGAGGACCAGAGTATCCACCTGTCTCAGTGAGGGTCTTCTGCTCTTCCTCGGGGAGGACGAAGCCCTTGGGCAGGGCGTCAGGTCGGCGGTTGGTGGTGTTACCCACGATCACACCGTCGACGCCGGAGTTCCAGACAGCTTCGCAGATGCCAGAGATCTGCTCGTCGGAGTCTTCGTCGGGACTGACCTTCACCATCACGTAGGGCTTGGTCTTGCGCTCGACGCTCTGGGCAGAGCCCACGACGGCCGTGAGGATGGCGGTGAGAGGCGCAGTGGCTTGCAGGTCACGGAGACCGGGGGTGTTGGGGCTCGAGACGTTCACGACCAGAATATCCGCATACCGCGCTACCCGGTCGACGCAGTACACGTAGTCGCGCTTGATGGCCTCGATGTCCGAGTCTGGGGTGACCTTGTTCTTGGCAACTTGCACGGCAAGGAGCTTGCCGGGGACCAGACTTCCAGGAGGAACGTTGGCCTCGCCGTCGAGCACCCGCTGCTCGGAGTGGTCGTGCTGGCCGAATCCGACGGCGTAGGCGAAGTCAACGACACGCTGCTTCAGGACCGCTGCCATGTGGTCTGCTCCCTTGGAGTTCAGGCCGTAGCGGTTGATCATGGCATTCTGTGAGGGCACGCGGAACACACGCGGCTTGGGGTTTCCGTCCTGTGGCAGTGGGGTGGTGCCGCCAACTTCCACAATGGCCGGACCCAGGTCGAAGAGCGCATCAGGCACGTCAGCGTGCTTGTCCAGACCCGCAGAGATACCAATGGGGTTGGACAGGTTGTATCCAAAGACCTGGATATCTCGTTAGCAACTGGCTAGTTAGCGAAACTGACGAAATCGTACCTCGGTTGACAAGGCACCGTCGCGATCCGGCTCTCCACGCTCCCGCGGGTGAAGACCAAACTGGTAGAGTGTTTTCAAGTTCTCGACACCCATGTGGTGCGCATCTTCCGCATCCGGGTACAGCATGCGAATCAAAGGCACAATGCCGTACCTGTGAATGCTGGCTCTGGTATCGGTTCCGTAGACATAGCCCACCAACAAGGTGAAGGCCAGAGAGGTAGCATACAGGGCCTTCCTGGAGCCGCGGCCTGCCTTTCGGGGAATTTCCTTCGCAGTCTCTTTGGTTTCCTTGGCTGTCTCTTGGGCAGACTCCTTGGCAGCGTCTTTGACAACTTCGGCCGCGGGTGCAGCCGAGTCTGAGGCATATCTCGCGCCGTGGCGCTCGACTCGCTGTTGGAGAATTGCGGGCCGTTGGGTCCAGCGGGAGGTCGGAAGGGCACGAGCCCGGACGCTGGCTCTCCAGGCCATTGCTGCAGAGCTACAGGCCATTTTTGACAAGGTGTGTGGGTCTGATTGTCGTCGGCGGAGCAAGGCCCGATCCTATACAGCGGTTAATTTTTGCGATCAGAGTGTCATGAGCAATAGAGAGCATATAGCTGCAAGCTCCCAGAATTGGAATATTGCATAAAGATCTGCAGGAACAAGCTTACAATTGGAATTGAGCACGGTCCGAGGTTCCTCGTCCCTTGCACTGTCCGAGGGCGAAATCGGGTTCTGCTGCATGTCCGGGCGGTGAATGTGATGCCAGCAGAATTGTGTCAGGGCGGTAGACATTCGCCAATCAGTTCTCGGAGTATATGATCGTCCCTTTTGCTTTCAATGTTGCTGTGTCTACTCTGTAGTGCCCGAAGACATCTCAATCTCTTCAAGTCTGAATATCCGAGGCTAGCTCTTTCGCATAATACCATGCAATATAGCCAAGATGGAATGATGTCAGCCACCTCGTGTCCGCTGCTATGACCAACTCTACTTCCACTGCACATCAGGATCGCTGCTCAGCCCCTGATCTTCACAGATAAAGAAACAAGACCCCTTTCTTTCTATTGCTTGTTGTTACCTCGTAGTCCATCGCTTCACCAGTTCAAACCCCCAAACTCCAAGCCCAACCAGCCCGTCAAGATGCACAAACGAACAACCTCCTCCACCTCCGTGGGGTTCGACCATGTGTGTTTCGACGAATCCGATCAAGAGACCATTCCCGAAGTTCCGCAGTCCCGCGCAGTCAAACCTTATCGCTCATTCAACGTCTTCAAAGATGTACGTTGACACTCTACCATCCTGATCAACGCTCATCTTTTCCAGGTGGCCCTGGGTACAAACGCCTTCAGCTTCTGTCTCCAAGTCCATCCATCAGGAGGACTTGCCCAATCTCCAAGCCCAGTATATCACACACTGCGCATCCCCTGGTATAAACAGGGTCTGTATCTCCCAGCATCATTCGACCTATACGCCGGCGGCAATGTCGTGAGTCGCAAAGATCCAGCTCCCAAGTCCGAAGATCACCGTGCACACATCCACTACCGTGGATTCGAGGGGCTGTTGAGTCTCCGTGCATCGATCGATTTAGTTCTGGCTGAACCGGGCTCGGGTAATGCTTCGGTGAATGTTGCTAGGAGGGGAATTGGTAGGACGTATCGTGTTGATATTGACCATGGGTCTGTTAGGACTTTCTACTGGAAAGGTTCTAAGACTGCTTTGTCGCTGCTGGAGAGTGGGGAGAGTGAGAGTGGGAATGGGAATTTGAAGTTCTTTGCTGCGGATGCGCCGGGGGATATTCTTGCTGTATGGCAGAATAGAACTGATCGGCAGATCTTGGGGTCTTTGTTTGTTATTGCTGAGCTGGATGCTGGGACTGATGGGGTGCTTGAGGGCTTGGTGGCCAGTTGTTTGGGTGTAGTGGTTGCTGAAAGGGTTTCTGGGCGAGGGTGGGTAGGTGGGTTAGGCAAGTCCAGAGGTATTTAGCGGAACACAACTTGAGAATGTATCATCTTGAGTTGCAAGGTTATGGGGTGTGTACCAAGTACATGCTCAATTCGTCATTGCGAGGTGCATTCCAAGGTTATTGAAGAGCAGATATTTTGCCAATGGCTATTTCAAATCAAGATATTGGTACAATTGTTTCTTTGCAAAACCTAGACTCCAAACCGGAATTCCCGGACCTTCTTCTGGTAGTAGAAAGATGCCAACAAACCAGTGGCACCGAGTGCTAGAGGCATAGCGGCCCGAGCCTTAGTCTTGATGATACGAGGAATAGCAGAACCAAGCAAGAGGAGACTGTTTCCCAGTGCAAGCTCCGTGCCATAGTCTTTGTTTTCCTTGATCAGATATCCTGGGAACAGGGTTAGCGTGGAAGATCCGGGAAATCTGTGGGTTGACACTTACCAGAGTAGGCATATGAGACACCCAGACCAACACCGGCGATCAGAGAGGGAGCAGATCGGGTTTTCAGGAATCCAATAGTGCCTCCGACGGGCACTAATTGTGGTTAGCAGGTCATGCTGGTACTTAGCGCGGGGACTTACGAAGAGCCGCAAGGGTGAAAGAAGGATGTTCAGCCATGTTGAGAGATGGAATCTGGAAGTTGAAGCAATGCTATCAGATTTAAGTACACTGGACCGGGTGCCAGGGGTGCGCTAGCGGATCACTGGCTCCACATCTCGGGGCTCGGAGTCCGATGAGTCAGCGGAAATTACTTGGCTTCGTTGAGTAGAGAGCTAGACCTAGGTGCTAGAGAATGGCATAAATTGATTCAGGAATATGAGGGTTGAAGAGGAGAGGGAAAGACAGTGAGGCAAAGGTCCAGGATCACGGGTGTGGTGTGACCCTAAAGCCCGGTCACCCTAGACTTCTAAAGTTAGAAACACAGTCTTCAAAGATGCTGCTCATTCTAGCTTAATCGAACTATGGAGAAGTGAAGATGATTCATTTCTTTTGCCCATTCACAAATTGCCTGACGCCTCACATGTTTTGCACGGACCGGGCCTTCTTGGTCTATATCAGAGGTTTAGATCGATGGATACTGTGTAGCGATTTCGTTCCACCTACTTAAGTGCGTTGAAAAAGCCTGTCTGAATGCCTCTTTCCCAGACACATACTTTGAGACCGGAATGGAACTACTCAGGAATCCTCAGTACCACTCTTCCATCTATATCCGAGCGCTCCAGACGATCCAGAACAGCATTGATCTCATGCAACTCAAAAACCTCGATATGAGCCTTAACATCACCGTTAACTGCCATAGCCAGCAACTCATCCATTTCATCTACTGTTCCTGCCGAGTTACCAACAAGAGTAAGACCTGCACGGTGTTAGTTATTATTCCCTGTGTACGGAGTAACGCCCAGCGAAACAAACCTTTCACGATCATGTCAAATGGCGTAGCTGGAAGCCGGAAAGGCACACTAGGAATCCCAACGCAGACAAGAGTTCCGAGGGGACGGAGCATCTGCATGCTTTGCTCGTATGCTCGCTCACCATTGGCGGTGCAGATGACAGCATGCACACCCAGTCCGGTCCTGGCTTTGGTTGCTTGGACAATGTCGACTTCTCGATAATCCAAGAATTCGATGGCACCGAGGGATAGACATAGTTGTTTTTTCTTTTCTCCGCTGTGGAGTAGTGATACTGTCAGTTTGATATGCACGATTTGCCTTGGATATATTGCGTACCTATCGATCGCAATAACTTGCAGCCCTTTCTTGGTAGCAATTTGGATCCCCCTGCGAGATAGATTTAGTAGAAATTGGCAATAAAGCCCATCAACATACATATGACCGAGTCCCCCTCCAGCACCGATGATGGCAAGGTAATCTCCAGGGCGGGATTTGGTCTTCATGATGGAAGAGTACATGGCGATCCCAGCTGATACAGTATATAAGTATGGTTTTTTGCGGCAAATGACAGCGAACATACCACAGAGGAGAGGAGCTGCGCTGTCTGGGGATAGTTGCTCGGGTATCTTCGTAACATGCAGTGCCGGACTCACGATGTACTCTATATAGCATGTTAAACGTGCAACATTCAACATTCGCGGGTAGCCTCACGTTGGAAAGTGCCCGGTGTGTTCTGCGAAATATAGGTTTGCGTATGAGACACTTCCGACAAAGCGAAGACACAAGTGTCTGACTTACCGCACCGGCATTCTTCTGATTCGGACACGCTGTATGATTGATTTCGCAAATCTCGCACTGCCGACAAGAGCTATAGAGCCACCTGATCTTGTCAGTCAATCATACAGGAATACACGATGGATGCAGATGGCAATTAACAACCCGGGCAATGAGAAAAACAAACCTGATACCAACCCGTGTCCCCAGCCAATGCTCTTCGATTCCTTCGCCAACTGGAAAACATGAGTATATTGTCGTGATACATCTCCACGCAACTCAGACCTTGGACCACCTTTCCCACACCTTCATGACCAGCCACGTCGGTCAACATAGGCGTGTCTCCGCGAATGCTGTGCAAGTCTGAATGACACACCCCCGAGAACTCAAGCTTCACAAGAACCTCGCCTTCTCCTGGACTTGGCACTGGGTGATCACTCTTCATCGCCACAGAAGAGTTCTGGGTGGATGCCACCACGGCAGCAGTTTGGATTTGAGGAACCGTCATTTTGAGCTTTCAACAAAGTACAAGAACGGCTGTCGAAGACTTCAGATTTATTCCAAGATGAATCCAAGAGGTGAAGTTCTGCTGTTAAGGTGATAGCAGATGCGGGGTCCAACTTCAGAAGATAAGCAAAGTATGCAGAACTGTTTACAGCGTCAGAATTCAATTAAACATTTATTGGTGAGCGAGAGACCGCTACAATCATGAATATGGAACAGGGACTCCGGCTTCAGGAGAGTCGAAGAGAAGAAGCAATGCAAAGGCGAAACTCCGCCAAGGTATATGAATAACTAGAACCTGAAACCACCTATGCTTCCTCGGCTTGGATTGTTTGCTGTAGAAAGTGATTAGTTTAGGAACCCAATTCCAAAATGATTTCAGAGAACGAACCACTAGCCAATCCATTCCTTCGTTGATACCCTTTCCATCAATGGCCGAGCAAGCGACAATGCTCCAGTTTCGGTCCCGCAGCTCTCCAAGCTTCAAAGCCTCTGAAATCTCGCCAGCACCCTTGGCACCGGGTTGGTCCTGTTTATTGGCAAACACCAGCAACGCCGCATCGGAGAGTTCTTCCTCACTCAGCATAGCTGCCAGTTCATCTGCCGCGGTCCCCAGCCGCTCGATATCTGTGGAGTCGATGACGAAGACCACTGCGGCGGTGTTGGCATAGTAGCATCGCCAATATGGGCGAATAGAGGTTTGACCACCGAGGTCCTAGACGGGTATTAGCCTGGGCCGGAGGGCCTGGGAGGGTATACGGACCCAAACGTTCAGATTCAGATTCTTATATGTGACCGATTCGACATTGAAACCGATTGTGGGTATCGTGGTGACGACCTCGCCGATCTAGTGCAAGCTCCAAGGTTAGTTCAAATCCTGTAGATATCTCCGCATTGCGATCACACACCTTCAGTCTGTACAGTAGAGTGGTCTTTCCAGCATTATCCTATCGAGGAAGTGGTAATCAGCTTGGCCCCAATAAGTCCCCCCGACCTTCCCCAGATAGGACTGAACATACAAGTCCCAGAATGAGGATTCGGATTTCCTTCTTGGACCAGAGAAGGGACCAGATGCGTGATAGTGAGCCTCCCATCGTTATCGTTTTTTCGTTTCAGGTTCGTGTGTGATTAGGTAGAACGTGTCGTCTCATACACAGAGAGACAAGCTGGGGGGTATATTGTACAAGATGCAAGAGTGAAGGAGAGTGGCAACCGCATTGTTTCCAAGTTGTGTCCACAGGTGTGGGCGGTCAATCGGGGGGATCATCGCGCGGGAATGAGCTCCCTCATTGAACTTAAGAATTCCCTGTCCGTCAGCGTTTCACGGGGTGTTTGGTTTTATAAATATATATTTTCCGGGATTTCATTTCTTTCGTCGTCGATTGCACACATCGCAACCGGCAGAACCGTTGCGCTCACCTTCAGCGCACTCCTAGATTGATCGCGATCAGTCCCAAATCACCGGACATTGGGATACACCATGGTCGGAAAGAAATCGGGCAAGGCCCTTCGGGATGAGGGTAAGTTACTCTACCAGTGCTGTGAATCAGTAACTCACAATGACAGGCCTGGAACGGACCGACAACAACATGGACCTATCCAGCTGGCCGCAGATCCCAGCAATCAACCAGAAGAACTACTACACGTATGAAGGGATTCATTGCGAACCCAAGAAGCTAGGCTGACCCTCCACAGAGATTATTTGAAACGAGACGACCAGAACCTGGCATACCGACTCCAAAATGAGGAGAACAGGGCGAGAATGGCCAAGAAGGCTAAGGACCACGACCGAGAGCAGGCGATGAAGAATGAGGCTGCGGAAGGGGATGCTGAAGCAGATGGTGATGCCAACATGGAAGATGCAGAGGAGGCACCTGCCGAAGTCATTGGCTCCAAGGTCATCGTGGTTCACATGGGAAGTCAGAATCTCCGCATCGGCCTTGCCAGCGATGCATTGCCCAAAACGCTACCGATGGTGATTGCGAGGAAATCCAAGACAAATGAGTCGGAGGACCATGAGGAGTCCAAGCCCAAGCGGTTCAAGCATGAGGACGGTTCTGAAATGGAGCCGGAGAAGGAGTTTGGCCCTGAGGTATGTGGACCGAGAGTTGTATGAGAAACCAGGCTAATAAGCTACAGTGGTCGGCGCACTTTGGTCGGATGTCTGCGGATTTGAAGGTACACATGCGACTGAATAAGCGAAGGATGCTTCCCAACTCCAAGGAAATGGTGGTCAACTATAATCGCAGAACTGTCCCCGAAATCATTTCCGAGCACAATGACCCCATGCGTGCGGAATGGACTGAGTTGTCTAGCCCACCACCAGAGTATATCGTTGGTCAACCGGCATTGAGGGTACCGGACGAGTCAAAGCCCCGATACAAACTATACTGGCCAATCCGGAATGGCTGGTGCAATGAGAAAGACTACGCAAGCAAGAGAGCACTGTTCCTGGATATCTCGTTGATCCTCGAGGATGCTATCAAAAACCAACTGCACTTGACCAGTAAGAAGGAATGGACCCAATACTCATGCGTATTTGTGATTCCGGATCTTTATGACAAGTCATACGTGACTTCCATCCTAGAGATGTTGATGCGTGAATTCGCATTCGCTCGAGTTTGTTTCATCCAAGAGAGTCTTGCGGCCACCTTCGGTGCTGGATTTACTTCGGCTTGTGTTGTTGATATTGGAGCGCAGAAGACATCTATCTGCTGTGTGGAAGAAGGCATGTGTGTCGAGAACTCGCGCGTCAACCTCAAGTACGGCGGGCAAGACATGACCGAAACCTTTGTCAAAATGATGCTCCATGATCACTTCCCTTACGCGGATATCAACCTGCACCGCAGACACGACTTCCTTTTGGCCGAAGAGCTAAAGAAGAACATCTGCACCATGGTTGAAGCGAGTGTTTCGCCTCAAGTCTTCGATTTCCACCTTCGTGTAGCAGGACAGGATACACGAAAGTATACCTTCAAGGCTTTCGATGAAGTTCATCTTGCGCCTATGGGCGTATTTGAACCCGCTATCTTTGACAACGAGAACAAGATCGACGGAAGACGCACGCTGATTGATCGTTCCGTTGACATATACGAATCGTCCCCCAACGATCCAACTTCTGCTGCCCAGTCAGAGATCCTGACAGCTATCGCCCCTCCCCTCAAAAACGACAAAACCAATTCCGAAAGCGAGGCACAAGCCCCGATCCGCCCTCCAGCATTGAAAGTCGAGGCTACACCACGGTCCTCCGCCGCCGGCTCACCAGCACCTGAACCCACCAGCACACCCCAGCCAGCCGGTGCAACTACTACAGCTGCCCCCGCTGCGGCTCCCCGTCCACCCGCTGTGGAATACCGCGACGACATCGTGCCTGTCTTTGGTCTGGACAATGCCATCCTGACCTCCATCGCCCACGCCGCTCGTTCCGACGATAAGAAGATGCGAGACTTTATCGGTGGTATCATGGTTGTTGGTGGTGGCAGCTTGACCCAAGGCTTCCATGCTTTCCTCGAGGAACGACTCCAGACCCTTCGTCCTGGCTTTGCAAAGGAAATCATGATCGGAACACCGCCCCGAGAGCTGGATCCGCAGGTTGTCGTCTGGAAGGGAGCCAGTATCTTTGGCAAACTCAGCACCACAAACGACAGCTGGATCGGTAGAGTCGAATTCGACCGACTTGGTCCCCGACTGATGGCATACAAGTGTATGTGGGCCTATTAGCTTAATTTTGCAAGAATGCGTGATGTTCTTATGAGAGTTTGGCGTGGGAGTTGCATGTTTATGGTTCATGGGGAGTCATTAATCCAGAGTAGTTTGAATATGTTCTATGATTCGAAAGGTTGTGCTCTTGAAATGTAGAAATTAGCAGAATACTAAACGCTATACAGAGTAAACAGAGAGTGTGTAGCCACTGGAGCGTACTGTATTCCACAGGGCGGTGTGAGCTGGCAAAAGGATCACCTCCGGAGTCTCGCATCACAGCTCATCTTTCCCAGATTTGTCGCATTTGGAGTAGAGCTCTCAACCTGGGGATTTTTGTACCCGAGAGTATATTACAAGCATCTACTTGGTGACCACGTTACTACTGACTAAACCTACCACAAGCAATTGTGCCCGTTCTGCTCTGAGCAACGGATTGAGCTTGCTTGCGATACCTCCCATCTCTGCTCGACTTCTCCTCTTCTCTTCTCGCAATTCTCTCTTAGTTGGCCTACTGGGTCTAACAGTGAGTTAAGACCTTCAGTCGCAATATGCAGATGCTAACCGCACCAGAACGCAAAATGTCCAAGTCCAAGGAATCCTCCGGTGGTTTCCACCAGGAGTACATCGCGTCCCTGCGCTATCGCAATGACCTTCCCCCTCCTCACATGCCCCCCAAGCTCCTTGACATCCCCCACGAAGGTCTGAGCCGCTACCTTACTCCTGGATTTGCCTCCAACCTGGCCCGTCGAGAGGAGCCCAACATCGATGTCGACGCCGAGGGTGGTTTGCCAATTGACCTTGTTGGTCTTCCAGGATTACATTTGGGCGATGAGAGTGGTATGCTCACTTCTTTTTCGATTGATTCGCACAAGGCTAAAACGTTCCAGCTATCATGGCCCCCGAAAACCCTCAACCCATAGACCCCGCCGATCTCCCACTTCTGATGACCATTGACCAACTACGAAACCCCGCCCCGAAGAATGCCAACGTCAGTTTCTTACGGCGCACCCAGCACATTGGTGTCGATCGCACCGCTGGAAGTGAGGCCCATTCCACTCCTTTCTTGAAACCATCGCGCAGCACAAAGAAGAAGCCTGCCGTGGACGACCCCAACTATGTCAAGAAGTTTGTCCAGAAGGGATTCGACATTGCTTACCCGGAGAGCAAGCACACTGGACCGGACACCGACAGTCAGGTCCGCGGACTGACCGCCACCAAGGCCGAGGCGGACGCCTGGGCCAATCCTGTCAACCCAGAAAAAGCCAAGTTGAAGCCTGTTGGATTCTTCCCGGTTTTGCCTGATCTCGAGGGATTCCCAGACCCCGGTGGTTACCTTCAATTCAAATTCGATAAGGCGCCACTGGCAGCTGTGGGAGGCAAGCGCGACAAGCGCATGGACGTCGGTGTTCTATCACCCGTTGCCCCGGAGCAGCGCATCTGCCAGGAGCACGAGTCGAAGATGAAACTCCACTCACAAAATCCCAACCTATACCCACACCCCGGTCCAGTGCCTTACGACTACCAACTCTTCCTCCCCGAGAAGCCCCACTCCGCCCAAAAAGTGCATTCGAGCATGGATCTGACAAATGCTCATCGCGACAGCGAAGATCTCTACACCAACGAGAGCGCAGAAGGCAGTAAATTCCACCGCTACGACCGTGTCCGCACATACGCCACAAGTACCCAAGTCTTCAACACTGAACAGAAAGACCTCGCCTTGACCCTCTTCCAACCCAAGGACGGTGACACCAGACAGCTAGCCGCGTACTACTACACGATCCTCGGCAAGACACGCCTCAAGCCCGAGCGAGCTCGAACCATCGCTCAAGCCGGTCTGGCTCCCACCTCTACGCAGCAAGAAGAGCGCGAAGAGCAAGTGGACCAGATGCAAGTCATTGTGCGTGATCCCAATGAAGCAGAAGTATACAAGCGTGCCTTGGCCCGTCTTCGTATCGATCCGAAGTTCGAGAGCAGTATGCCCCCTGAACCGGTTCAGGATGAGGTGGAAGAGGAGAGGCCTGAAGAGGATACTCATATGAGTGATGATGAGTAGGCCCTGGACTAATGTACTTAAGTATTTGTTTTGATACTCTGAATCTTGAATCTTGAGCTAGGGAGTAGATTATCATGGGTCTGGCGCAGGAAAATGGCGTTTTCACAAGATCTATTACATATATACCGGATGATGTCTGGCACTTGAGACCATTTTCCATTCTTGAAGTTCATTTTAGTGCTCACCTCTTCTAAAGTTGCCGCTTTCTGATCTCAGAGTAGAATTGAGCCCTCGAACACACTGACTTGCTCACAGATCATTACCTCAGTATATAAGCTGACCTCGGATTAAGCATCTCCTGACTCTCACATGAGCAATCTGATCCACTTAATATACTATTCCAAGTCTCTATATAAGTGAATTTCCTATGTTTTGACCAGCAATATTTCTCCCAGTGGCCTGGTTTACCACAATAGTGGCAAATTTCTTTCGTTGTTGATTCTTCAGCGAGTCGGGAGCTCTTGTTTCTAAAGGTTTTGCTTTGGGGGAAGGTTTTGTTGGGTTGACTGGTTCTGTCATCCTTCTGGCTCTTCGACGAAGGCTTTTTGCCAAATCCTCGGCCGAACTGCTTCTTTGCCGGAGTGGGCTTAAGCTTGGGGGAGTGTTTCCCTTTTGTAGACTCTTCGCCGCTGCTGTCGCTAAGTATCCGCTTCCCGGACGATTCCTTTTGGGCTCGGAATTGTGCTTTCTTGTCGAAGAGCCAGAAGGATAACAGAGTAATCTTGGCGCACCTCTGTGCTCAACTCTAACCTGAGGCCTTACAGCTTGGATACACGACCAAACAATCCAATCCCAATCATGCAAGGTGTTATAGGGAAGGACTCAAGCTGGCTGCGTTGGTAATGACCCGAAATGGTTGCAAAGTGATAGTCGCTACATACATTATGTCCTATATCACATATGCTAATTGACTTTCTCAAATTGAAAGAAGTCTAGGGATGTCATATAGAGTATTAACGCGCACTTTTCCGCCAGCAATCGCTCGTAAAAATCAGCCACTTGTTTGCTTTGGTTGAAGAAAAGGATGCTCAACAAGTTCGCCTGCCGTTTTTCTCATATCTGGGCGCCAGGCAAGCATTCCCTTGGCAAGGTCCAAAAACGCTTCCTTCTCTTCTCCTCTTAGGAATGAAGCCGTGTCGCCCAGTCTGCGGTCGGGGATCAGGTCTTCGTAGAGGAAGTGCCCTAAGGTGTTCCGTGAGTAAAGGAATAATTCGATCAAGATAGGAAGCCCAGTAATACCTTTTTCGTCAAAGAATGGTCCACAGAAGTACTCTTCCGCTGTCTCGCATACTCTGCCGTCTTCTCGTCTGACAGGTGTCGGCCACGGGTACTCTCGCAAAAATTGAGACCTTTGTATGATTTCCGGAGGAGGTGGACCGAGTAATGCTATCATTTCGGCGATGTGTAGTTTAGCATCGTAGCGACCTTCTTGATCGTGAATATGCCGAAATAGCTCTTTGCCTTCGATCATATCCCACAACTGGTCTGGCATTAGTAGATGCAAGAACTCTGGAGTATGTGACGCACCAGAACACCAAGATTCCAAATATCTGTAGGCATTTGCCATCCATTACCCAGTATCACCTCTGGTGCCCGATAATGGTCTGGCTGAATAGGCCAAACACCCCAGTCGTCGTCTTCCCTGATTCTGGTTGCCAAGCCAAAGTCGACAAGCTGTGGTATACTTCTCAGGCTTTTGAGTGGGCCGAAGTCATTACGGGCTAGATACACTGGTCGTCCTGCCGAATCCATCTTGAAAGGCATCGGTTTTGCAAGTTGAGAATCCATGAAATCAGCAAGCACGGTTGGATCTTCAAATGAGACCATGATGTTCTCAAGCTTTAGATCTAAGCAGCCATTTAGGCTCAGTTACCGACAAAAGTAAAAGCCAAAGATGAACCTACCTGTATGAACTGTCCTGCACACTTTATGCAGATAATCAAGCCCCGTAAGAAGAGCACGAATATACGTTTTGATGAGGGGCAGTGGCATCTTGCTGTCGTCAAAGCGTCGTTGATACATTGCCAACGACTCCCTCATAGGTGGATACACAAGACATGGATGAGAGCCTTCTGGGCCTTTGACTTCAAAGAGTCTAGTACTGTTCGGATAAGTGATCGACCGCGATGAGATGGGTCTGCCATGGAAATATGCTCTTCAATTTCGCGCTCACGACTAGTTGCATTGTGATTGGCGATTTTCAGTGTCACCACGCTCTCTGGCTCTTCGTCATGCCTGTATATTTGTTAGAGACAAGGAGAGCTTCGAAATGGACAGAGGCTACCCTTGCAGATCACGTGCGAGCCATACTGTTGAAGATACGCCCCAGCCAACCTTGACCAAGATTTGGTAACGATCCGCGAGTAACTCTCCAGCCTTTGCTGCGTAGAAGTATCTGGAGTCGTATACTGGCGAGATCTCTTCATCAACGAGTATGCCGGGCGGTAAAGGTGGCCCGGGAGAAGGCATGGGAAACGGTCTCTTGCGAAGCAAGCCGGAGAAACGAGGAATGGAGGACTTATAGTGTTCATTACAGAGTTACTTCCCGTAAGCTGATGGGAGAATGTGATGTAGGTTTTGGAGAAGAAACTCAAGGAGCGCGCAGGCATGACTCGTGAACTTGATCACGTGGCACGATATCAAACAACCAATACATATATACTGGACAATGCCTGGCATTTGAGACCTTTTTGTTGAGCCTACAGGGCGAGAGAGAAAAGGAAGCAGACTGGAACTGATCAATTGACTCACTGCGGGGGAGAGAGAAGAAGAAGAAGAAGAAGAAGAAGAAGCCTCGGGAGCGAGGGTCTATCTACACAAACAACAAACGAGGTTCGGGACGAACTTCCCACTCAACACTTTTTCCGTTTTATTTGAGTGCTCCCAGGAGCCTACTAAATAGACCCCTAGAGCTGAGACTTACAGGCTTTTTTTTTTCAGCCAAAACCCTCAAAACGACCCGGATAGACATTCGTAGCAAGAGTGATTGGCTTGAAATCACAAAACTCTTCCTTCCATTCCAAGGCTCCGACGCTTTCTAGCTTATCTTCAAGCCTCTCTTTTAAGCTTCTTGTGTTGCACGCGATAAAGGGACTGCCGACGACCTTCCCAACATGCCTATACTCGGCGCTCTCTGCGTCCGTCCAGAAGTGTGGCCATAGCATCAACTGAGCTTCTTGGCCATGCACGAGCTCTGTTCCAATGGCCCAGATCTTGAATGGAAGGTGGGGTTGACGACGCTTGAAACCATGCCGGTTACTGCCAATCCCTATAGCCGGTTCACGAATACCAATCAAATCCGAAATCTGACTCTTCAGGTCATCGGTCACCGGTGTCGAAAAGTATACCCAGAACAATTCCACATAAGAGCACGTAAACCCCTCAAAGAAGCTGGGGCCCCAATAGTCGGATTTCCTACGCCAAAATGTCTCACGATAGGACATAGCTTTGATCCCTCTAGCTTCGAGGTTCTCCCGATACAGCTGGGCGGAAGGCGAAGCTACGAATGCCCTCATCTCCGAGGCTCTCTCCCATGCTTGGTTGCGTTAGCGGGACCTTTGATTCCTGTTTGATACACAACTCACCTGTAACTAGAATAATTGTATCTGGGCGCTCCTGTACTCTTGCATACCCGGAGCTCTCGTGCCCTGGGGCCTCAAGCAGTGGCTGGAAATGTCTCGCCCATTCGGTATTCAGCTCCAGTCCCTTGGAAACTTGGAACTCGGACAAGGTTAGGATTGCTTGGTTGTTGGTGTCGTCAACCTGTGATCGATCTATAGTAATATCTCCCGACATGACTGAGGGTTGATTTGGATCTGAACATGATTTTTGGAGGGAACGACTGGGGTTTTACTCAGGGCACTAAGGGCTAGCGTTGTTTCGCCATTGGCCACTATTCCACGTTCGTTTCAATGGTAATGCTATGGTAAATAAAAGACATTCCTCAGAGTAAAATTGAGAGTTCCTGGCACACAAATGTATCTAAGGGAAACTTGAAGTACTCAGCTTTGAAAATACGCTTGTTCGGCTTTGTATGAGCTGTCATACGACGAATTGGTTCAACCCATCAAATCCTTTGCCCTAGTTAATGGGTATGAGCGAAAGGGGCAGTTTATATTAACTAGGGTAAAGGATTTGACGGGTTGAACCAATTCGTCGTATGACAGCTCATACAAACCAGGTCTAGGAAGAGGAAGCTCCACCTGTAGGGGTATTCTGGGGGACCATCGGGGGCACCATCACCGGCGTGGGCATCACCGGCGGGGGAGGCTCCGGCCTGGGGGGCTTGGAAGCGGTCATACGACGAATTGGTTCAAACCGTCAAATCCTTTACCTTAGTTAATGGGTATGAATTTTAACAGATCTAGCAGAGAGAGGAAGCCAAAATGGTCTTTTACGTTTACTAGTATGGTTGCTATGGCAATTTAGGGCTACTAGTATCAATTGGTGAGACGTCTCTTGATAAAATGTGTACGCTAGTGATGTGCACATAGTAAAACCTGATGTGCGCATATCAAGAGGGATTCCCAAGTGATTCAATTCACGTGATGAGCCTTTAAACGTATCCCTGACTGAAAGGTCCTCTCTATGTACATAGTCATTCTCACACAATTCAACGACCTCTCTGGGCTAGATACATAGATAACTTATTTTGTGAGTGCCACGACGGCAAACAATCGCATCAAGGGCCAAGGGGGCGCTTCAAACCTCCAATCTCGACCTTCCTGCACCTGACAATCTGGAAAAAGGAGACAACAGTATAATATGCTCCGAGTCTGGCGGCGGTTGGGATTCCCTTCGTCAATCATTCAACATTGTCGATTCCGTCGCCCATCTAGAACGTTATCCGACATGGGAAACAAGAACAGCGCATCTTCGCCACATACCTGGCTCGGTAGCACATCCACAGGAACAGATTCGCAAGAACTGACTCGTCGTTAGTAGCATACACTCACCGTCATTGACCAACGAGTTAATATGTTACTGACTTTGCATTCTAGGACATGATCCGCATTCGTATACCGGTGGAAGATGGCTCAATCGAGACGAGCTCGAGCGAAAATCTCGCCACGTTATGTTTGACTTCTCAGCGCTGTGTGATCGGGCTATTTCCACATGTCCAGGGGCCACCAGCGTTGTCAAATGCGAGAAGCGAGAAGGTGGATTCAACAGAGTCTTCCTTTTAACAATGGACAATGGACCTTGTGTTGTGGCAAGGGTACCTACCGGTATTGCTGGCCCGCCAAGGTTAACAACCAACTCTGAAGTTGCAACTATGACTTATTGTAAGGCTAAGCCGTATCCCCTGTTTTTGAGAGTATGGCTGGTATGCTCACTAATTTATGTCCATAGTACAATCCAAGCTCTCGCTTCCGATACCCAAAATTCTCGACTGGAATGATAATCCTTCCAATCCTACTGGAACAGAATATATTATCCAGGAGCATGTAGAGGGTGTTCAATTACATCAAGAGTGGCACAAAATGAACCCGGAACAACATATGCTGTGCACTAAAGCGCTTTCATTGACAATGAAAAAGATGGCATCACTGGACTTCCCGGCCTACGGCAGTCTATACTTCGCAGATGCGCCTCTAGACTTGGACTCAAAGATTCCCTTTGAGCAGGGCTTCTGTGTGGGACCACATTGCAGTCCCGTTTTCTGGAACCGAAATCCGGGAGAACAGGAACTCTACCGTGGCCCCAGCCCCAATTGCGGACCTTGGAGAGATCTCACAAGCTATTGTCGAGGTTTGATAGATACCGGGCTCTCTCGTTTGCCCAAAGAAGCCGTCAATAATTGCAAGCTTCTGCCATACCAAGGATCAATTCAAGATCACATCCGTCTATTGAAAACAAGTCGAGAGGTGATACAAAAGTTGACTGAAGATGAACGCATTGAGGACGCTGGTACACCAGCTCTGCTTCATCCGGATTTCCACAAGAGGAATATCTACGTCTCTGCCGAAGAACCAACTGTTATTACGGGCCTTATAGATTGGCAATCGACCAGCATTGAGCCCGCGTTCATTTATGCCAACGAGACACCGGATTTCGCTGCACCCCCAAGGGCCCCCGAGGAAGATCTACCCGAGAACGAACAAAACGAAACGGAAATTTCTAGACAAATGGAACGAGAATTAAAAGATGCATCCGTCTGTCATCAAACATATGATGTGATCATGACAGCCCTTGTTCCTAAGCTTCGTCCTGCAAGATTACTTGATCCGACTCTTTTCCGACTCTTCCACTACTGTCACACCACTTGGAGAGACTCCGCTGCCGCCGTCCGCCAAGAGTTAATTGAGCTTTCAGCTCGCTGGACGGAACTGGGGCTAGAGGGCTCATGTCCATATTCTCCTACAGAAGCGGAACTGAACCAGCATGCTCGAGACTATGAAGATTTTGAGGCTGTTCAGGCACTCAAGTCATGGCTAAGAGACAACCTTGATACAAATTCTGACGGGTGGATCCCAAATGATGCATGGGATGCTGCTCGGGTTGCTCATCGCGCAGCTTATAATGACTGGATAGATACTGCCAAAGAAGCCGAGTCCCGTGGCGAAGACATGACAGTAGCAAAGGCGGACAAGATGTGGCCATTTGATGCTAGATAGAAACCATAGTTAACCAAAAAGTCAGCTAGTCACTGCTCTAGTGTCTCAAGTGTCTTTATTATAAATCTGAACACCTCCCGCGTTGAAGGATATGTAGCGAAAGGCCGGGGTGTCTACAAGCTAACTCATGAATATAAGATACCAAACGCATGAAAGCATTATCTCCCTCGTTTTTATGAAGCAAAGCAAACAAATAGAAAAATGGTCAAAGTGGTCCCGCAGTCGATACTCACTAAGCTTAAGACCGCAAGGCACTTCCCGCGACTGTCCTGCTACCGCCTTTTTGACAACCTCCAACTCAGGACACTGGCAATGGAGCACCCTTCAAAAAAGGTCAAGCTCTCAGAGACAGATACAAATGGGAATACTCTGGTCTCCCTTCACAGAGAGATCAGTCCACCGGCGCGAAAGCCATCTTCACCCACTGCCGCCCCGCAACAGGATCCAGCGGGGCCCAATGCCACCAAGACCCCCAAGGTATTCAAATCTCCAGTTCAGCTCACCCACATTCGAGATCTACCCGAATCCAGTAATGTCGACACCGTCCGACTATCTGATATCCTCGGAGACCCAATGATCCGCGAATGCTGGCAATTCAACTACCTCTTCGACGTGGATTTCCTACTCTCAAACTTCGACGAAGATGTCAGAGATCTGGTCCAAGTGAAAGTAGTCCATGGTTCCTGGCAGAAGGAGGCTCCTAATCGAGTCCGCGTGGAGGTCAGTTTCTGCTCTGTTTCCACCCCAGGCCGAGAAACTGACATGAAGCCAGGAAGCATGTTCGCGTCATCCAAATGTTCAGCCCATCATAGCATATATGCCAGAACCATTTGGGACGCATCATTCCAAGATGATGATTCTACTGCGCCATGATGATTTGGCTCAGTAAGTCATTCCAATCAAATAGCAGATCTTGGCTTGGTCTAATTTCACGCAGGGTCATCATTCATACGGCTAACATGATCCCGGGAGACTGGACGAATATGACACAAGCAGTCTGGCGATCTCCACTTCTTCCTCTTGAGAGCGAGACATCTGAGACTCATACCGAGCCGCCGAAACGTGGCTCTGGGGCACGGTTCAAACGTGACCTACTCGCATATCTGAAAGCATACGGACCTGCAAAAACAGGCGCTCTCACTAAACAATTAACTAAATTTGACTTCCAGGCGGTTCGTGCTGCCTTGGTTGCCAGTGTTCCATCTAGGCAACATGCCAGCGACTCAAATTCAGACGAAGGCACCTTATGGGGTTGGCTTGCTCTGAAAGATCTGATGGGCCATGTCCCTACCACCGAAAACAATGAGGCATCAAATATAGTAATCCAGGTGTGTACTGGCAAATGTCCCACTAGATCAACTTCTAACCGATATCAGATCTCATCCGTTGCCACCCTCGGCCAAACAAACAAATGGCTCAAAGATGTATTCTTCAAAGCCCTGGCTCCAAATTCTACACCTATCAAGGCCCCCAAATACTCAATCATCTTCCCTACCCCGGACGAAATCCGCCGCTCACTAGACGGCTACGGCTCAGGCGGATCAATCCACATGAAAACCCAAAGTGCCGCCCAACAAAAACAAGTCCAATACCTACGTCCTCACCTCTGCCAATGGGCCGGAGACAGCCTAACTCCCGGAACCCAAATCGATCTATCAGACTCCTCAGTCCGCGAAGCAGGTCGCCGCAGAGCAGCGCCCCATATCAAGACCTACATCCGATTCTCAGACACGGACATGAAGGAAATCGAATGGGCAATGGTATCATCTGCGAATCTCTCTACGCAGGCCTGGGGTGCTGCTACAAATGGTAGTGGCGAGGTCCGGATTTGTAGTTGGGAAATTGGGGTGGTTGTTTGGCCTGGTCTTTTTGCAGAGGATTCGGTTATGGTTCCTTGCTTTAAACGGGATACGCCCGAGTCGGATACTGATGTTGGTTTCCGTATGCCGTATGATCTTCCTTTGACGCCGTATGGTGTTGGTGATGAGCCGTGGTGTGCGACTGCTTCGTATGAGGCTGTGGACTGGCGGGGACAGAGGTGGATTTGATGATTTGAATCTATATTCATACTAAGTAGTGTTAAATATACTTAAGTAGTATACTTAGTATGCTTAGTAGTTGATACATTAAAACACCAGGCAACCGGGATTAAATGTTCACTTTAACCTCGTATTTCCCCTCCGAAACGGGTCCCCGACTCAGCGCTACTTGAGCACTTAAATAGCACGTAAATTCCCCCCATTTCGAAACTCCCCTTCAAATCCAAGATTTCTTCACAATGACCGACATGGAAACAGCCATCCAGGCCGCAATAACCTCCGGCAAGATCAACGGCGCCGTAATATGCGCCACAGACACCAAAGGCCAATTCACCTACAACAAAGCATTCGGCACCCGCACCCTCCTCTCAGGAGCAAAGCAACCCCAAGCCCTAACCGACGTACTCTATCTCGCCTCAGCAACAAAACTAATAACAACAATCGCCTCCCTGCAATGCGTCGAAGAAGGTCTCCTGACACTGAACGACGACCTATCAACCATAGCCCCCGAACTATCCAAACAAGTCCTAACCAGCTTCAAAGATGGAACACCCCAGTTCGAGACCCCATCTCATCCAATTACCCTCAAAATGCTCCTTACCCACAGTGCCGGAACAACGTACCATTTCATGGATCCGCTGATCGGCAAATGGCGCGAGCAGTTCACTGATGAAACAAGTACACAGCAATCAGTCTCGGATCTTTTCTGTTATCCGCTCTCCTTCCAACCAGGTACGAGTTGGATGTATGGGCCTGGGCTTGACTGGGCTGGACTGATAATTGAGCGAGTGACCGGTGTCACATTGATGGAATATATCCAAGCGCGTATTTTCGACCCATTGGGTATTTCAGATGGTCAATTTTACCCTGTTACCCGGGGAGATTTGCGAGAGCGTCTTGTGGACCTTAATCCCCATGATTCCGGTCTTGGGCGGGCAGTTCTGGGGGGAGGGGGGGATATGAATGCGCGGACGAAAGGGGATTTTGGGGGCCATGGGTTATTCCTGCCTGGGTGTGATTATATCAAGATTTTGCATTCGCTGTTAGCGAGTGATGGGAAGTTATTGAGGGATGAGAGTGTTGAGGATATGTTTCGGCATCAGTTGGGTGATGAGGCGACGGTGGGGCATCGGGAGGCACTTGGGGGTCCGGCGGGGGTGTTTTTTAGGGTTGGAACGGATGTTGGGGCGAGGGTTGGACATGGATTGGGTGGGTTGGTTACGTTGGAGGATGTGGAGGGTTGGTATGGGGAGGGGACGTTGACTTGGGGTGGGGGGTTGACGTTGGCTTGGTTTATTGATCGGAAGAATGATCTTTGTGCTGTTGGTGCTATTCAGGCTGCTTTGCCTGTTGATGTGGAGGTGGTTTCTGAGTTGAAGCAAGTGTTTAGACATGATGTTTATAGTAAGAGGGCTGCGTGGAGGGAGCAGAATCGTGTGGGAGTGTCTGGGTGTTAGATGTCTGTTATTGTTTTATATTGTTAATCTTGTAGTTTTGAGGTCAACTGTTTGAAGCTTCAAGACTCTTGAATTTGATAAATATACAGATATAATACATTGGTGTTACAAACAAATCTCCGACAAAATCACCACATGAAGCGTTGGATCTTGCCAGGCTCCTGGGGCCACTCAAAACCCTTGTACAAGAAGACATACCCTGTGACCAGGTTGATGATCAAGAACCAGGCCATCTCCACGAACTTAGGCGAGTTGATGATGAAATCAGAGTTCCGCTTGGCTGCTTCCTCGCGGGGACGTGTCTCCCGGTGCTTGTAAAGAGAGGGCAAGGGGGGAAGATGGAGACGCCACATAACCCAAGGAATGATGAAGTAGCGGGGTTCGACAAGCGGCGCAGTGATCAGGGAAAGCGAAGTGGCCGCCAGCCAAATCAATACGAAACTGACACGGGGTGTTTCTATTGTTTCTCTCTGGCGCGTAAGAAGATGTTGCTGCACCTTGGCCAGGACCTCGGGATCTGTGGGATCTGTGCTCTTTTCAGGCACAGGATCGGTGCTCTTCTCGGCCACAGGTTGGGGACTGCTTTTCCGGTTGGGTTTGCTAGGTCTCTTGGTACCTTTTGGCGGTTGCTCGTGAGCCTGTGCTGGCTTAGGCTTAGGCTTAGGCTTTGACTTAGCCGGAGCTGGTGCAGGAGCTGGTGCGGGGGCAGCGGCAGGGGCACTGGGAGGAGAGACCGCGGGCTGTTGAATACGCACAGTACGAGGTGTCCGTTGGATGGTGGTAAATCCAAACGCGGAGATGACTGCCCACCCACAAAGGAAGTAGACCGCCACGGCGGCGTATTTGACAGCCGGATGAATGCCCAGCAGAAGACGGAACACGTAAAACACATAGTGTCGGTTGTCAGCGAGAGTGAAAGGATGCACGATGGTGTTGAAGTGGACGACAGCAAGCATCAGCGGGACCACAATCAGAGCGGCCTTGATTCTGGGGTACTTTGCTTGCTTTGGAGGGAAGCGGAGATTGATCCAAGAGGGAAGTGGCTTGAGAGCCAGAATGTTGATCAATGGTATTACAAAGAGTGGCCAAGAGAAGAACGCGATGTAAGGCCAAATATACAGCATTTGAGCCAGGTGAATTCCTGCAGTATGGAACTCCTTGTGACCTGCAATTTGTTAGTCGATACACTTGACACGGAAATTAGAGCTATTCTCACCTAGCACAACACCGTTATTCCATAGCACAAAGGCGCCGAAGGCCCCGAGAACAATCAGGTGCGGAATAACGGAAGCGAGGAGCGCAAATGGTCTTCTCAGACCAACAGTCGCAAGAGAGAGAGCTGTCTTGACATAATCTAGCGGAAGAGTGAGTGTTGTCCTAGCCATATATAAGACACGTTTATTGTCACGAACCTTCCAATGAAGCCCCTGACACAGGTGGATCATAGACCTCGTTTTGTCCACCCTGCTTCACAATATTCATCCATTTCGATGACATACAAGACTTGGAAGATCTTTTAATTGTGCGAACAGCCTGAAGGCCACCGAAGAACACAGCCACCCAAAAGATGTTGGTCTGGCGACAGACCAATGCCGACAGGGCAAACCCGAGGAATCCCAAATATTCCAAAAGCTTGTTCCGTTTCGCATTAGGGATTGCATCCTGTGAGTCCCTTTTCAGGTCCCAGTTGTATGCTTCCACCACAAAGAGTAAAGCAAGCACATCTGTGTAGTACAGGCCGGAGAAGAAAAACAGGGGCGGGAACAGACAGATATTCAACGCGGTGTGGGACAGATTAGCACCCAATGGACGAGTATTTTTGGTTTTCTGAAGGGTGTCCAGCAATGTTTGCAATCTCCAGGGGAGCAAGACCGAGATGGCGCCAATGTTGGTCATGCGAAGGACAGCCGTCGTCAGAGCCTCCGGAGTACGAAGGGTAAAGATCAGATATGAAACCAGATATAGACCCGGCGGAGTCGTGAGCTTTGGGTCCCATTGAGTCCATTTATGCGCCCAGTATGCCTGAGCTTGGGGAACGTGGAAGACTTCATCCAGGTAAGGGTCTGGAACCACGGTGTTGACACGATTCACCCAGAAGAAAGGGAATAGAATCAAACCAAAGGGAACCAGCCACCTCGCTGTCCGGCTCAGATCCGATTCTGCAGGATTCGACATGCTGAGGGGTGTCAAGAAGCATAGAAGGGAAGGTCCGGGAGCTTGGCCGCCTTCGATGCAAACGTATCAAACGTTTCTTTCGCACGCCTTGCAGACAAACCAACAATACAATGCAAGATTGAGACTCAATTGGAGACTCAATTGCATTCTCTTCGTCATGGCCTTTCCTCTCCCCCGAGGCGTAACAGCCTCGGAGATCGCCTTTCTCGCGGAGATGGAAACCGTGACAGTGGTGCCCCGCCAGCGTCTGGAAGGCCTCGAGCTACTCGGAGTATGTGAATGCCTTGAATTCCTTCAGTCCTGGGTCTGAAAACTAAACATCTTTAGGGTCCCGTTGAACCTCTGGCTCCCCCACGTCGCGCATCTCTCCCCCTCTGGCTCGCGCTGCTTCTCAAGCGCCAACGCCGCGCCAACATTATCCCACCAGCTTGGCTACACCCAGAACCATTGAGCTTGATCCTCGATGTGGAATCCCAGCATCAAGACTACCAAAATGCATTCTCCCCGCCTCCACCCCTACCCGGACAACCCAGCGTCCTAGACCGCGACGCGACAGCCTCTGCTAAACCTCAATATACCCCAGATGGCAATCGGTACTACCCAGCACCGCCATTCTTACCGCACAATACGGCGCAGACAACATCTTCGCGAGATACACCCTCTCTGCCCTTCCATTGGGTGGAAGTGGGAAGCCTACTACTCGACTCTGCGAGTGATGATCTCGTGGATCCAGATCAGATCCGGAGACTGTTGAAAGATTTGCGCGAAGTGCGGATGTCAAAGATGAGGTCTGGGGTAGAAGTGCTGGATGAAGCGGCCACTGGCGGTGGTGGTGTTGCTCTGACAGGTGTCGGCTCCATGGAACTGGGAGAAGAGCGCGGGTTCATCACGGGAGTAGTGGATGGTCTCAGGTATGTACAACCTCTACACCGACTTCCAAGACCGAGTGGTCTAATGCTGACATGCTCATAGGAGAATTGGGTCTTCCAAAGAGCAAGCACGGCGGGAACAGATGGCCGAGCAAAGGGCTGCTGGCGGGTATGACGCGACGCAAGACGAGGAGGAGGATTATATGGAGTTCTAAGCGATTTTTGATATCATTGGGTTTGGCGTTTCCACGGTGCATAAACAAATAATGCTTCCCAAAACGACTTTCATGTATATAGTCAACTATACCCTACTTTTGAACGGCTAGAATCAAGGCTGTTCCAATTCACCTAACACCATAGCATGCGATTATAAACAAAGAGGAACAGAGCCAGAACAAGAACCGAAACAAGAAAACGGAAAGGGTATAGCGGTCCCGGAAGAAGCCTGGCGCCAGATGAACATCAAAGAGAGATATACAGCAAATTTATTGTGACGGTCAATCCTGGATCATTGGGCGCCTTGGCTCTTTTGCTCCATCTTCCGCCGCGCTGCCAAGATCATGTCATCTCGGCGTTTTTGTAGGAGTCGTTGACGCTCGTCTTTATTTTGAGACCAGGATGTTCTCGAGGGTGTTTCTGACTGGTCTTCTGCCAGAGGACTGGACGCTTTCGCACTGAGGTTATACCGAGAGATCAGGTCTTGGCTATCTGCTTTGGAGGATGACGCAGCCGAAGCGGGCTGCGCTGGTGGAATGGCGGCTGGGGCAATTGGGACCTGTGGCTGGAAGGAAGGAGGAGGCTTGAGATACTGGTTAGCCAATGCTTCATTGAAGGTTAAGACACCATTGCCACCTCGGTGGTCGTAGGTAGACTAGGATGAGGGGTGAATGCGTCAGACATACTGTTTCCAAACCACGTCCAGTCAAGATTCTTTCTGTTGTTGCAGGAACACTGCCGCCATTCCGTTGCAGATCCCACATAATATCTCGGGTGTTCATCTGAGGGAACATCTGCGCGATCTGGGTGACTGACGCTGGATCGACAACATTGCCACGACCTCGACCTCGGCCACCTGCCGAGGGATTGTCATCGCGATTGAGGAACCATCTGAGCACGAAGTAGGACACTACCGCTAGCGTCAGGAGAGACGGTATGTTGAGAGATGGTTCATCGTCAGTCATCTTGCGGAGCTCGAGTCAGCCTCGATGAAGTGTCGCGGAACGGTTCCGAGTTCGGGTGAAGATACGATCCAAGGGGGCAACGGCCAAAGGTTAATCTGACACTAAGACGATGGGGTATAATCAAGAGCGCAATGCGCGGGGGAGAATGAGGCGCGTTGATGTGGTGGCACGGAGGGTCAGGTCGGAAAGCCGGGCACGTGCCTTGACGGGTCCTCGGGAGATCATCACTTCTACTTCTCTACTCCGTACATCGTCAATCTATTCACATGTACTCCATAAGGGGGAAAATATTCTCAAGTCTTCACAATGCATAAGTCGTAAGCAGAAACAATTACCATCCAACCTTGGAATAACACCGACCAGACATAAAGTCACACCCAGAACGACATGCCAAGAAAGGAACTATAAACAATCCAAAGACCTTCACTTATTTCATATCCGCAGGAGTCAAAGCCTGAACAATACTGGTACCCTCGCTGAAACGGGTGCGGAAGATGCGGTTGGCATTCTGGAACATGCCATCCTTGAGCGAGACGACGATGAACTGAGATCCCTTGAAGCGGGTCTTGATCAAACGACCAATGTTCTGCGTATGGGACAGATCCAGGGCAGCGTCAACCTCGTCGAGAATGTACATGGGTGCAGGCTTGAATTGCAGCAGGGCCATGATCAGGGAAAGGGCAATGAGTGAACGTTGGCCACCACTCAGTTCCGTCAAACTCTGCTTCCAGACCTTACCCAGAGAAACCTTGACCTCCAGACCATCGGTAATGTCTTTGCCCTCGGGGGGATCCAGCTTGGCAAAGCTGCCCGGAAGAAGTTCATTGAAAATTTGGCCAAAGTCGCCATTGACCTTGACCCAGGTCTTGTGGAGGGCTTCTTTCTTGTATTCGTTGAGGTTCATGATGGTTTCTTCGATCTTTCGCTTATCGCGAATAACAGTCTTCATCATGTTCTTCAGCGCTGCCTCTTTCTTTTCGACGCTGTCGATCATGTTCATAACCTTCGGGTTAATCTTCTTCTTCATGCCCTGAGATCGCTCGGTAAGGTTCCGTAGAGTGGATTTGCACTCGGCGATGTTCTGTCCTTCGAAGTGATATGGTGTATTCGCACGGCCAAAGTGCTCCTTCTCGTCCGCGATCCACTCATGCTCTTGCTCCATATGAGCCACGGCCTGACTAGCAGTATGTTGGTCTTTTTGGAGCTTTTCGAGCTGGTGACCGAGCTTCTGCGCTTCGAGACCATCTTCAGTAATCTGGGAAGATTTACTCTTCATGGCCGATTCTAATTCTCGAAGCTCCTCGTCAAAGCCGGTCAGCTTAGCTCTTTCATCGTTGAGCTGAGCTTGTGCGAGGTCATGGGCATCCTATATTTGTTAGAAACTGAGAACTGCAAATGTAAGGGTGGAGACTTACCTTCAATCGTGTCTGCTCACGCTTCTGTGACTCAATCTCCTCTGCTTGGGATTTAAGAGTGTTGTCTGCTTCGACCAGTTGCTCCTCAGCTGCGGATAAATCACTTCCAGCTTGTTCAGAATCAAGTCTGGAGGTCTGCAATTCCTTGTGCAGCTCCTTTACTGAGCTTGAGGTCTTGGCCAGACTCTTCTTGAGTTTGTCCAGGGAGGCCTGCAGTTCTGCCAATTTGCTGTCCTTGTTGTCGGTGAATTCGCTCATATCCTTTTCAATCTGCTTGATGTCCTTGGATGCTGTCGCTTGACGAGCCTTGGCGTCCACAATGTCGCTCTTGAGTTGTTCGATATTGGCTCTCATTTCTTCCACTGCTTGGATAATCTACTTCACGTTAGGAGGGAACAGACCGCAAGATGGAAAAGAGAACATACCGATGATGAAGAGTTGCTGTTGATCTGCTCCTCAGTGAGCTTGATCTCGTGGGTCTTCAGGTCCAAGTTCTGTTTGACGGAGCGAACTGCGTCGAGCTTCTTCTTTTCTCTGTTCATATGATCTTCTAACGTCGCAAGTTGACGCTCTTTGCTTCGCAGTTCCTTGGTAATTTCATTGAGCTTCTGCAAAGTGACGAGAACACCGCTGGAATTGGGAGAACTTCCACCAGAGAGCGTTCCGGATGGGTCATAGACATCGCCTTCGAGCGTAACACTCTTCATCCGAACTGATGGATCGAAGGTTACCCTTTTGGCGGTTTCGGCATCATGACAAATGAGCGTGTTACCGAAAACATAGTTCATCGCCGCGAGCACTTCTTCATCGTGTCCAATCAAAGATAGAGCAAGGTCTACCTTTCCTGGTGCGATGTTCTGCGCGGCCCCGATCTTCTCAACAGAGGCCTTGAAGGCAGAGATTTTGTTCAGGGGAATGATAGTGACACGCTTGCGCAACTTGCCCTTTTGAAGCAGTTGGGTACCGGTCTGCGCGCTGTCAACCACCACGTTATAGAGACGGCCACCAGCACAGATTTCAAGGGCTGTAGCCGCGGGGACTTGATCTTTGTTAAGAGTGAAGAGTTGAGCGACCAAACCCTTGACCTTGGAGCGGTCGAAGTTGGGATGCGGGTCAGCATAGTTGAAGTCGATGTTTGCTGCTTGCCTCCTGAGTCCATCAGCCCGTTGCCGGAGATCCCTGATATCTCTTTGGAGACCAGTCTGCTCCTGGTAAATTTGCTCCTCCTTGCCGGGTTCAAATCCAAGGCGGCTCAGTTCCGATTCAAGCTTGCTGGCCTGCGACTTCAGCCCTTCGAGATCATGCAGAAGACCGGAGTTCTGTTCCTTGGCCTTCTTTGCCCGAGGCTCCTCTTCCTTGATTCGCTTTTCCAGGTGGTTGATCTTGAGCTTGCCCTGCTCTTGTTCTGTGGCGGCATTGCTGGCGCGATTGCGTGCGTCTTGGAGTTGTCCCTGGTATCCGCTCTCCTGGCCTTCCTTTGAAGCAACACCTGTCTGCAATGTCTGCAGCAGTTCTTCCTTTTGCTCCACCTCCACCGACTGTGTGTCTAGGTCGGCCTTAGCGGTGTCGTACTGAGCCTGTACTTTCTCGTAGATCTTCCGTTTCTCTTTCAAGGCTTTTTCGAGATCCGCGACGGTATGGTGGATTGCCTGGCGCTTTTCTTTCTCTTCTTCCATGCTGGCATTTTTGAGATCGAAAACTGTAGATAACCGGACCAATTCATGCGAGTAGTTCTTCACTTCATCCTCGAGTCCTTGGAATTTGCCGCCCTTTCGTAGTTCTTTGTCGCGGGTTGCGCGTACGCGTTTAACGTCCTCTTCCAAGTGGGCGATTTCACTCTTCAGCTTATGCGCGTTGTCTTCGAGTGCCTGCGCCTTGTTCCGTTTGTTCTGGCATTCCTCTCCTGCAACCCGTAGCCGCTCTCCGCCGCGAATATAGTCATGCGCAACAACCAGTCTGGTCATGCGCTCGAGATCATTCTGTGTTTGCTGGAAATCAAGGAATGCTCGCTTTTCGGATCGAAGCTTCTCGAGCTTTGGCTCAATCTCTTCTTTCAGCAATTCCTCAATCTCGCGCAGCTTCAGCTCTTTCTTTCCCATTGTGCGGTTCGCCTTTTCCCTTCGATCCTCGAACATGCGTGTGCCCGCCGCCTCCTCGATCATGGAGAGAATTTCGACCGACTTCATGTTGAGCACCTTCGTGATGCGACCTTGCATAATCAGGAAATTCGGATTGTTGATGTTCAGCTGAACACTCTGGAACAGATTTTGGACAGTTTGTTGTTGCGCGCGGTGTCCGTTGATCAGGTACTTGCTCGTTCCACCGAGGACGATCTGTCGGGTAACGGAGATGTTGGCATATTCCTCGAATCCGATTGGCGATTTTGCTGTATCCGTGTTGTCAAAGACAATTGTTACGCTGGCTTTCGTGACACCCGCCTGGCCACGTTTGTAGATGAGATCCTGGAGGTTCTGCGCGCGGACCGTGGTCATGTTGGTGATACCTAGCACGAAACAAATGGCATCGAGGATGTTGGATTTTCCACTACCGTTCAGGCCGGTGATCGAATTGAATGACTCGTCCCTATTGTCGCGCGGTCAGCAAACTCCATTCCCAAGTGGCGCGCATCCACCCCGTCTTTCGTGGCTTCGCCTTTGTTGCGAACGATTGCATACCATCCCGAGATCACCGTACGCACGGCGTACGATTTGAAGCCCTGGAACTCTGTTAGCGCAATGAATTTCCCCGGTGCTTTGGTACTCACGTCTATGACAATTTCCGTAATCCTCATGGTTACGAGGCTTACTGCTCGCGCGCAGAGTGCATGAATTGGAGGAAACTGAGGGGCCGAGAATTGATTGTTTGCACCGGCTGTTTATGGTTTGCCCAATTGGGTCTGGCTGATGTCAGCGCGGGGACCACCCAGCGGTCACGTGGTATGTATTCACTTTCAACTTTTTTTCTACTTGTTCCATCGCAACATTTTGACAGTTCGAATGTTATTTCTTACAGACCATATGTGCATCTCTAGGGCTAGAATATGTGCTGTCACACTTAGATTCACGAAATGACTCGCGAGGTGTACGGGTACTAGCCACTCCTTGCATGGTTGGCCCAAGGGTACTCCATACTTGATGCACAAAGATCATCTCGAGCCAATGGCTGTCATTAGAATAATTATGTTAAGAGACTTTGAGAGAATTAGTAGATCTACCCCGTGCAATTCATAGTTCTGCTTACGACCAATGTTGGCCCAGCCAAGGCCACCACGGAGACTTTGTCGGACACTTTCTATACTTCGAACGTCATGCCAAATGGAAATCAGTCACACCAGAAGGATTCTTAACGCGATCCTTTATTATTTAATGGGCCTCGCATCCCGCCCAAATGCAATTCATCTCAACTCCACTTCATACTTTCTCATTTCTAAGCTACTTAAGGAGCTCCTTCCTGCATACCATGGCCTCCAAATCGAGTTTCCAAGCCTTCTTTAAGAGTGAAGCATATGCATCTTCATTCAAACGCGGGGAAATGGTGACTTCTACCTTTGCCCGCATGCTGGTCGAGCAGAGCAACATGATCACCAGCTCCAAGAGCAATCCCAAACAGTCTCTGGTGATCCTCGATAATGCGTGTGGAACCGGCGTTGTTTCCAGTATACTCAACGAGCAGCTTGACTCCAATTCCAAGGCGCACTGGAGGTTGACATGTGGTGATATCTCATCGGAGATACTCAAATATACTCAGCACCGGATGGAAGATGAGAACTGGCAGAATGCCGAGACGCAACTTGTGGATGCGCAAAGCCCTGAGCTGCCGAGCTCATTTTACGATTACATATTTACAGCCTTCGGTGGGTGATTTTATACACCTGCTACAAGGCAGAGTGGAACTAACTTTCCCTGTTCTTGCAGCTTACATGGCACTTCCTAAATCGATCAAGGCCCTCGACGGTAACTATGCCCTTACTTAAGTATAGCTCGAGCGAAACGGCCAAACTGACTGGTCTTCAGAAACAGTACGAATGCTCAAACCAGATGGAGTGATCGCATTTTCAACCTGGATAGAGCGTTAGTCACATCCCCAACTTTCAGTATCCAAACCTGCTAATATGTCAATAGCCGGCTGGATCACCGTTGCCAGACGAGCTATCCAACAAATGCCGGGACATCTACCTTTCCCGGAAACCACAGATCTCCTGAAAAAGCTGACTGACGGTGAATGGCACTCGGTGGATTGGATCAAGTCTCAGCTTCAGGAGCGTGGCTTCGAAGATATCGACATTCGTGTTGAAACGGCTAAAATCACACTCGAATCCTCCGTGTTTGTGGATATGAGTATGTTGATGCTTCCGATTATGATGAGATCTTTCTGGACTGAGGAGCAAAGAGAGATGTATGAGCCGAAGGTTCACGCGGCTTTGGTGGAATATGTTGAAGACGTGTTCGGCTACGGTAAAGATGTTGAGACTGAGTGGGTGGCGATTATTTCCACTGCACGAAAGGCCAATTAGAAGTTCCTCAAGTGCACCATTCTAGGGTTAAATTTCATGTTGTTTGTCTTTTGAACGGAGATACTAGCGGTGTTAATTTGGTCATATTGCGACAGAAACCCATCTGGTGCCCAAGTAAATTTGAGTCTCATTGAACAAATAGCCTGGAGATTCAATTCTGGGTATAGGCTTGACTAGAGTATGCGACGTCTTTAGAATTAGATCTATTTTCTATATCCAAGATATGACCTGAAATTGCTCGGTCATTAAACAACCGGGGATGCAGCCTAGGTAACTTTTATCTTTCCATAAGCTGCCTATCTCAGGGTACTTTCGTGCGGAGATTCTGATTTGCCGGGATCTGAAGTTGACTCTCCCTTTAGTATGACTGCAGGATCAGACCCGGTTAATCCTTACCTTTGCGGATGTGGGGATGCAAGCCGGGAGCCATATCAAGGTTCCCGAATCCACCTTCGCCTAAACCTAACCTTTGGGAACATTTAATTTTATGGAAGTCGCTACCTGTTGAGAGAAAAGTTCGTCTCAACCCTTGTTTGCCTGTTTCTGTAGATAGACCCTCGCTCTCGAGCCTCTCTCTCCTTCTTCCTCCCTTCTCTCCCCGCAGAATCGATCAGTTCAGTCCTCTTTCTTTCTCTCGCCCTGTAGGCCTCAACACTACCTGATCCCGATCTCGACTATTTAAACACAAACTTTTCCTCGTTGGAATTGTCAGACAAAGACCACTCCGTTTCGTCATTTCAAGTCTGTTGCAATATGTCGCTTAACCATCCATTTGATCCTTTGACCCCAAAGGAAATAATCAAGGTATGAAAAACAGGGCATGCTACTTTTGAATCCAAACTGATGAGAGTATTCAGGCTGCAGCTATTGTGCGCGACGAATTTCCAGCCCAAAACCCCAACTTCCGGGTCATTACCTTGAAAGAACCAGCCAAGGCTGAGATGGTTCCGTTCCTGGACCTCGAGCATCGAGGAGAGAAGACCAACAAGCGACCTGCCCGTATCGCCCGTGTGCAGGTAGTCCTTGGTGAGACAGCAAACAAGTTTGTTGAGCTGTGGGTCGACCTTGATCAAACTTGTATACTTCAGACGCAAGAACTTGTGGGGAAGCATCCCTACATTGACTCCGACTACATGCAAGCCGTTGAGAAGGTCTGCATTCAAGATCCAAATGTTCAACAGCATATTGCAAACCTTCAGCTGCCTGCTAATGCTTCTGTCGTTGTCGAGGCATGGGCATATGCTACAGATGGCCTTAATGATATGTCAAAGCGAATTACGATGGTACTTCCAACCCTCAACGTTCACTTCAATTACCAAAGGGGGAAATTTGCTAACAGACTTATAGTGCTGGTTCTACATGCGCCTAGTAGATGACGCCGATGCCAATTACTATGCCTACCCGCTAGATCTTTGCGCCGAAGTGTCGGAAGAGTTAAAGGTCACCAAGATTTACCAACTACCATCTGGTCCTGATGACCAAATCTACGAACCAAGACCAGCTGACCGTATCCACGAAAAACCAAAGCCATTTGACCGCCGCAAGATTCATGGAGCGGAAACCGAATACAGCCCTGGTCTGAGACCCTCGCCCCGGACGAGCACCAAGCCCTACCAAGTGGTACAACCCGAAGGTCCCTCCTTCAAAACACAGGGCAACTTCATTGAGTGGGAAAAGTGGTCTATGCATATCGGTTTTAACTACCGAGAAGGCCTAACTCTCCACGACGTCCGCTACGATAATCGAAGTCTCTTCTACCGCATTTCGTTGGCAGAGATGTTTGTGCCGTACAGCGATCCCCGAACTCCCTACCCACGCAAGGCAGCGTTCGATCTTGGGAATGATGGAGCGGGAATCAATGCCAACAATCTACGTCTAGGCTGTGATTGCTTGGGACATATTAAGTACTTTGATGGTTGGCACACAACTATCACGGGTGATCCAGTCAAGCTTCCTAATGTGGTTTGCTGTCATGAGCAGGATGATGGTATCTTATGGAAACATACGAGCTTCCGAACCCAGAATGCTGTTGTTACGCGCTCGCGTATCCTGGTTTTGCAAACGATTATCACGGTCAGTAACTACGAATACATATTTGCGTTCCACTTTGGTCAAGATGCGTCAATCCATTACGAAGTCCGCGCTACAGGCATCCTTTCGACTACACCCATCAATATCGGCGACAAGTGCCCATACGGGACGATCGTTGCGCCAGGTGTTTTAGCACCATATCACCAGCATCTGTTTTCCCTCCGCATAGATCCTTCCCTTGATGGCCACAACAACTCCTTACAGGTAGAAGAAACGCATCCCATGCCAGCGAACTCATACAACACCTCCGGAGTGGGATACATGACACACTCGTCCATAATAGACCACGAACGGGGTCTAGACTTGAATTTCAGAAAGAATCGCACCTTCAAAATAATCAACGAGAATGTTATCAACCCCGTGACTGGAACTCCTGTCGGATTCAAGCTACTACCAGCATATAGCCAAATGCTACTAGCACACCCGGAGTCTTATCATGGAAAGCGCTCTGAATTCGGCGCACATGCAGTCTGGGTTACTCGTTACAACGATGAAGAGCTATTCCCCTCTGGTCGGCATACGATGCAGTCAAGTGGTGGGGAAGGGATTGCAACTGCGATTCAAAACCGTGTTTGGACTGAGGAGTCATCGGTGCGAAATAAGGATATTGTTGTGTGGCATACTTTTGGGTCGACGCATAATCCTAGGATTGAGGATTGGCCTGTGATGCCGTCGGAGAAGATGGTTGTTGGGCTCAAGCCTGCTAATTTCTTTATGGGTAATCCTGGTCTGGATGTCGCTGTGTCGACTCAGGCGCAGAATCAGAGTGTTTTGGTGGAAGGTGATGATTCCAGCTCGAAGTCGTCATGCTGCAAACTTTAGAGTCAAGGGTTCCCACAGGGAGAACAAACATGTTTTTCGTTTTCGATATCGAAGTTGAAGAAAACAATAATCGTGAGATAAAATTGCTCATTCCGAATTCAAAATATGACTCCCATTACCCCAGCTAACCCATTTTCACAAGCTCTAACGGTCACCAAGCCCAAATCCAGAATTTTTGGATGAAGCTTTGCCAAATCAATGGCTGGGTCAACATGGTAGATATGAGCGTCGGATCCGCGACCAACGCAATTATTTTTTCGAGACTATCCGCGTAGTGGAAGCCCATGGTGAATCAAACAATTTGTTTTTGTAGTCTTTTCGTGTACGGGTTTGGCAATGAAGTATAGAAAAAATGACTGTTTGATGTTAGCAAGTTAACTTGGTACAATTGAGGCCCCGATGATTAGTTGAGCATGATTTAGAAGAAGCAACAGGACTCACGAAGCGGTTGGGTTGCAGAGAAAAGGGAGAAATCAAAGGAGAGAACAGTTACGGTGTAGGGCGGTTATCAATGACTCTAGAATACCAGCCCCTCGAAGAATTAGGATAGAAGCAAACACTTGAGGCGTAACTCGTAGATAGAGCTGATCATAGCGTGACGGTCGTTCTGCCCTAACAATTGACTAAATACCTCAAATAGACTCTTTCCATTTCTATGGTTTCTTGGCCTTTAGTCTCCGTTACGGAACCAGCGTCGCTCTCACCATTATACGCATTCCTGCCTTCACATCTACTGCACTTTCTCGTCTGGGCATCTACTGACTTTTCACTCGATCCTTTGTTTTCTCTTCAATCCGTTTCAAACATCAAGAAGAAGCGACGTTATACAAAGCGTCAACACGAGCCCGATGCCGCAGAATATGAAGCGGACGAGCTTCCACGGAAGCGTGCATTTATCCGCGCGCTCCGATGGAACTACCTCCTCATCCTCACTCAATACATCCAAAATGGATGAATTCATTCTGGAATTGCACCCGGATTTGACAACTGACGACCTGCTATGGACACAACTTGCGACCAACATTGGAGACAAGACCAAGAATTGGAAGTCGGTAACATGCCGTAAACTAAAGGTAAGTCAATAGTCCACAGGGACAACGCAACATCATAAGCTAATATTATATGTACCTAGCAACATGTAAATGCCCAGATTGAATGGTCCGCCGAAATGCACGAATCCGTTCCACTGGCCGATATATCGAATGCCAAGCATACACTCCAAATATTCTTACTTTAGATGATGAATCTTACCTTTCACTTCCGTTGCATGAATACTTTAAGTATTCTTTTTTTTCACTTCACTTACAAATCTACTCGAAGTCTGCTTACTGTTAACGGTGAGTCTTTCTTACTTCCCACTTCGTTTGCAAGCATACCCTAAGCATTCTTATATCAGATGGAGGATCCTATTTGTTATTCAGGAACACCACGCCAGGCTCGCGGAGAAGCCATCTTCCCATCCTGGTCACACGCACAGCTCAGGTGTCCTCATTCTCAACGACGAAATTTGTTTTCTATTTTTCTCACCAACACACTGCCAATATTCTCAAACAAACCCCAGTCGGTTTCGGATGCTGGAACATTCTGTCTAAGAGACGTATAGACTGGGGAGAAAAGCACACAAAATCGAACCATTCATGGATCGAGAATCACTCATGGATCGAGAGAGGTTGCAGAAGGCAAACTCCAGAAGGAAAATACCGGGGTTTCCGGCTATCGAAGAACCATCACATACTCTCAACAATACACACCGTTCGAGTTCAAGGCCTTGCTGGAAGAACAGATTTTGCCTACCCCGTATCTCGGTGAGTATTCGACTTTCGGCTAAAGGCTTCAGTATTAACTTCAAATAGAATCCGTACTGGGGGACTACAATCTTGCGATCAGCTTGTCGCCGAATAATGAAGCCTCGATTCGCAGCCGCATCGACGCCATTCTTCTGACAAACTTAGCTCGGACGAAGAGATATGGTATGAACCCAAGAAACCGAGTCTGTGCACATCTCCTGCGTTGGCATTTAAGGATGTGTGTCTATCGACATATAAAGGCCAATGTCGACATTCGGGCCGTGTGGGAAGATGACCTTGGCGGTGATGATATGGGCCAAATCCTCGAGCAGCCAGATGCCGGACACAGCCCAAAGCTCGATGACAGACCTCAGCAAAGCACTCGATACGCTGGACACTACAGATCCAATTTTAATACAGTTTAAAAAGCAAAAGATCGAGCTGGCCGAAGAGCTGAATCAAGCCCGCAGAAAACTTCAATCCCAAGGATCTTTTGATGTCAGCTTTTGGTCCCGACTCCCGACAACTTACACCTGAGTTACGAGATGGTATACGTTCCCTCGGAGAAACTGACAGACAAAGAGCTGATCAAGAGGTGGGGATATGACTTCGACTCCAACGGAAACGTACGCTCATCTCAGGAACGACTCAGCAAGGACCCAGCACCGATGAGTTGGGCTCATGGAAGAAGAGCATGGGTGATCCTGTCAAGGGGGGCAGTTCAGATATCTAAGCATGTAGCTCAGACAAGAACGTCGCATCAGTTGAGAATCATGTATCAATGCCATGGGATCTCCCGGAAGAAGGGAAACGGACCATCAGAGGAAACACCGATTTTAATGTGTGGTATGGGCAACCTAGATGTATGGAAAGGAATGCGGTTTCATAGAAGTGAAACGCCTACTGGATATCAACAAAGCAGTTCCTCATTGCCTCGCTTATTGTGTATGGACAAGTAGAGCGACAAAGATCTATCGTAAATTTTATAAATGATGTTGGGCCGCAGTATACTCCCGTAGCCCCAATGATGATGGGGTTGCCAGCCCCTTCTATTTCTGTCTTACACTCTCTTACTCTCCCTCTCACTCTCACTCTCTCAGAGAGAGTTCTCTAGGACGTAGAATTGAGAGCTTTTCGGCCTGCCTTTCTTTCTTCGCCTGTGGGCTTATGGTATAGTTCATTCTTCTCTCGGGTTTAGTATATATGTAAGTATGGCCACAAAGCTATCCAAAGTAACAGGCTTGGCTAGGGCTTTCTTGGCGGGGGCCATCACCTGATGAGACGCATTCTCCATCTTCAGCTGCAGAACCCTGCGTGCCCTTCCTGGACATCTGGGTATGTTTTTCATCATGTCGAGAGTTGAATTTAGAGACAACTTTATGGGGACCCAAGTGGGAAATAATCCCGGAATTGTCAATGTTCACCACCATCCAGGTACATCATCAACTCGCCGAGCCTCAAAAGCAGAACTAACAGTCTCCCCAGCCCCACCAGAAACCCCGCCAGAGCCCTGTTCCACCGTCCCATTCGGCCGTGATCCCGACTTTGTTCCTCGCGGCTCAATTCTCGAGGATATCGAAGATAGGTGCTCTTCATCAACCACGTTAATCGCCCTTGTTGGTCTTGGTGGGGTTGGGTACGTTCGGGAATGACCAGATTCAAAATCCCTTCTGACCTTTGTGAAGAAAATCGCAGTTGGCCATTGAATACAGCTATCGATTTTTTGAAAAGTCCGCGGACACGTGGGCTTTCTGGATTCACGCCAATAATGCTGCTCGTCTTGAGCTGAGCTACTGGGATATTGCCAACCGTCTCAAAATTCCTGGGCGCAAGGATTCCCAAGCGAGCGTGTTTCAGCTTGTGACGGATTGGCTTCACGAGGCAAAACGGGGCAAATGGGTGTTGATACTCGACAACCTCGACGATGAGGGACTTCTTCGCGAGCCTTTACAGGCCCACGGCAAAAACACGGCCTTGCGCAAACCCTTCCAAGAATTTCTTCCCAGATGTCCCCATGGCACAATTATTTTGACTACACGCAACAGACAGGTCGCCCGCATGGTGGCCAATGAGCGTGATATCTTTCCCGTGGAGCCAATGGATGAATTGTCTGCAGTTGCCCTAGTGAAAAAGAAACTCCCCACCGAACCAGCCGAAGATGATATCAAGAAACTTGTGAAAACACTTGAGTTTATGCCTCTCGCAATCGTCCAAGCCATTTCTTACATCAGGAACCAAGGCCAATTCTTCACAGTGCCACGTTATCTCAAGCTATTTCGAAAGGACTATCGGGTTCTAGATGATGAGGCCGGCAATCCCCAGCGCGATGGATATGCTAGTAAATCAACATTGGTGACCTGGCGAATCTCTTTCGACTATATCCTACAGATTCGCCCATCTGCAGCCGATTTACTTTCCTTGATGAGCTTCTTCGATCGACAAGGTATTCCAAAAACGTTACTCCAAGACAATTCCCGCTCCAACTCAGACACTACCGAGCAATCAGACAGTGACACCGAGAGCAGCGAATCTGGACCCGATGATGACCTTGACTTCAACAAAGATATCTTGGTACTGAAGGACTTTTCATTCATCTCAATCAATCAGAATCCAGAAACCCTTGAGATGCACGGGCTGGTACAACTCGCTCTGAGGAACTGGTTGGAGATTCAGGGGAAGACTGAGGACTTGAACGCGAAATTCATCATAATTCTCTATTCTGCACTCCCTGGGGATAGAATCTCTGGCTTGGGAAAGTGGAGGCAGCTATTTCCACATGTGAAGTCAGCGATGTCACAACGTCCAGGCTCAAGAGTGGCTCTCCTCAATTGGGCTTTATTGCTTCACGATGCAGCCGAATACGCCCAAGGAGATGGCAAATATGCAGACATGAAACGATTGGCTTCTAAATCGAAATCTGAAAGAGAGACCTTGCTGGGACCAGATGATGTACGCACTCTATGGAGCTCCAGAATATTTTGTCACGCATATTATTTTCAGGGGCGATGGCAAGAAGCTGAAGCACTACAAACTCAATTGGTCAAGAAAGTCCAACGGGTACTTGAAGGTGATGACAAACAGATAGCAATCGCCGTCATGCATGATCTTGGTCAGACTTATGCAAGACAGGAACGATGGCAAGACGCTGAAAAACTTCAACTTCAAGTCGTCGAGAAAAGCAAACAGCTCCTTGGAGAAGATAGTCACGATACAATTGCCAATATAGGTAATCTGGCGACGACATACCAGCATCAAGGAAAACTTCAGCTCGCCGTAGAGCTGCTGCTGGAATTGCTTCAAAGGTGCAAGCGAGTCCTTGGTGAAGAGCACCCCACCACAAGTGCCTGTAAATATAACCTGGCAACGACGTATATGAAGCAAGGCCGTTTTCATGATGCCGAATCCCTGCTTACGCAAGCTCTGGAGGCCTATAAAAATCTATTTGGTAACGAACATCCTGATTTCTCAATCATGATGGGCGGCCTGGCATCCATTTATCAGGAGCATCAACGATGGGGCGAGGCTGAAGAGTTATATTTGCAGGTGCTTGCGATTCAAAGACAAGTTCTTGGAGGAGAGCATCCAGCCACGCTCAGAACATTGAATGCTCTTGGAATGATGTACCAAACCCTTGGGCGATTCTCAGAATCCGAGGTCCTTCATCTGCAGGTGATCGAGATTCAGAAACGGGTGTTTGGAGAACAGCACCGCGACACACTTGTTTTTCAGAGTAATCTAGCACTGGCATACAGAAGACAGGGCTTGTTGAAGGATGCAGAGGAACTCCAGATCCGAATTCTTGAGAAAGGCAAAGAGTTACTTGGAGAAGAGCACCCCCTCACAATGAAATTCCTGAATAACCTCGCTGAGACCTACCAACTCCAAGGTCGATTGCAAGATATATTCAATGTCTGGGAAAAAGGCTCAACTGTTCACATGCCATCATTGACTCGCATACCAATTCCACATGATTCCGGGGATCAGAGGCCTGACAACATATATCACCCGACGCAGCCGAGGGACATCTTTGAGGCGTTCAGCATTCTACGCCAATGTGGTCAAGGGAGACTGCCCCGTTTCATAATCTTACAAATCTTGGAACTCGCTAGGTATTGGATTCTCCACAAGGCATGGAGAAAGGGTACTTTATGTGTTACTGAAGACGACTGTCGCGAGCGAGCCCCATATCTAGCTACCGAGCTTGTTCCTGGCTTAAAGTACCCCGTCCAGGAAATTGTCTTTCGAATTTGCTGCCATGATCAAGGTTGGAGCTCTGATCCTGAAAACCATGGTACTTTCAACGGCTCGTTTACCTGGTTCGAACTTGATATAGAACGTCCTTCAGATCCAGGTTATGGTGGACATCCAAGACACCAGTGCCTTCTTCGGAATCTGCATGCTTGTTCGCAAGTTGCATGCTACACCGTGCATTTCAATCAGTCAACTGACTGGGTGAGAAATCTTCAAGTCGGCGACCGAATTTCAATCATTCCGATGGCTCGCTATCCGGGGTGGATGAATTTCGTCAAACAAGCATCCATTGAAGTGTACACTACTTGTCTTTCGGCTTCAGGCGGATAACGGAACTAATTTTCCATACTTGGATACGCGCCAGTGTTGCTGAATGCCGAAAGGCTGCCACTTGGGCGGATGAATTCTGTAAACACGCCTATCGATGACTATTTGGGGCCGAGATATGCCTGAATTTGCCCGAGGGTGCTTGGCTTTGAACAGAAAATAGACATACCTGAAGTACCAGTACACAATTCGAAAGGCGTTTTATTGGCCCCAGCACTATCTCTATTGAAATAGCTGTACAGACAATCTGTTTCAAATACTGCCAAATATTTCTTTGTTCTCCCAAAACTAGTACCATGATAGCGAGCAAGAAATGATAGCCGTTGGCGTTGGTCGAGCTGTACAAGTCAAGCGCCTGGAAGATTTGGTATCAGCAGATTTAGAAAAAGAAAAACATAAGAATGCCTTGCACAGACGGCCCAGAGTATCAAAAAATTGGCCCGCTTGCTGATCATACCAGCTAAGGCCAATCTCATCAGAAGTCCAGCCGTTCTTCGAAACTTCGATTTGCCCATCTTCTGGGAGGCTATCAAACGAGCTCTTGATGTACACCTTGTCTTGAAAAATCACGCATGACGGGAGCGAATAGCTATCGGCACAAATCGCTGCGATCACAGTAACCCAGTCGTGATTTCCTGGTTGTAGAATCGATCATCGACCGTAGTATTCAGCTCGAGTGACCAAATTTTGCGCTGATGTGAGACCCATACGAAGCCAGTCTCATCAAACTCATAGGCATCCTCTGGTTGAATACCGTTTTTATCGACTATATTTCGGATCTTAATAAACCACTCTCGTAGCGATTTTGGGTCTTTATTCAACACTCGTTGGTAGCCGTATCGTCTTGAGAAGCGTGTAAGAAGCTCGCCGCGGCGATTGACAAATGCTAATGCCTATTTTACGCCAACAGTTGAAGTGGTAGTCGATCCACGCACCGCAAGAAGAATATTAGCCATCTCTCGCACAGCAGAGGGCCTAGGCACTGCTCCACGCGAATCCATAGAGAGAATCCATTCAAAAATTGAAGCCTCTTCTATTTGGGTCAATTTATGATTCTTTGCGCGTATACCAACTCGTGAGGTTCTTCCCGCTGCACGATTCCTTGACGTTGTATCGCTTTGCAGTGGTGTGTAACGAGTGATATTGGCCTTTTTCAAACCCTTGTAGAGCTATTAAGATCTTGCCCTCATGTAGAGGAAAGATTTCATCAGAATTAGGGTGTTTTGGTGGCATAGTGGGTAGTCGAATAAGCAAGTATGAGGAGGAACGTGATTTCGGGTGGGGTTGACCATTCGCCCGTGTGGACCACTCCTCTGCTCTCTCCTTCTCTTGAGTGTTTCCCGCCATTATTCAACCAGCTGGGTAAAGACCTCTCAGTCTTCAATACTTCTGCCCCCAAACTGTTACTTTGACTATCATTTGCGGATTTCATTGATTGTATGTCAGTTCAACGGTCGGAAAAAATCATGCTAAGCGGCAAACAGGCTTATATCTCAGACTAGACGACCACGTCCCGGTTAACAATACAATGGCTTCTGTATCCAAGAACCAAAGCAGCTGCGAAGAACTGACGAATACCAAATATCCATGTTCACTTTGTCTGGAACTCCTTCGTGACAAACGAATTTCCTTCTCCCACAATGGCAGGAACGGCTGGGAACGATTGACAGACCCGACAATCCAAAACTGTGCTATTTTGCACCCAGAGCAAGATCTGCCTTGCCATTATCAATTTAAAGATCTTTGTGGTTTCTGTGCACATCTTCGTGTAGACCGTTTGATGCTGCTTTCTGAGCCCGAACTGATGCATTTCCAATTTCCTGATAGCACCGCTCTCTGGTCTCTGGTAGTTGAGGTGCAACTGGGTACGATTTCCGACATTCAAGCAAAACAAGATCATTGTTCGTTGTGTCACAACATGACAGAAATTGCTACACGAGAGGGCCTGTCAGATGCAAGTGACCAAGTCATAATGAAAGCACGGGCGGAACACTCCATTGAGTTTTTTGTGATGGATGCAGAGAATCGGCTTCGGCAAGTCGCGAAATTTGAGCACGACCACAGTGGAATCCTAAGGTTCCGGAATTATTACCGGGAACATTTCGGCGATTTTAATTACTTCGTTTCCAATCCGCATATCCAGGGCCTGATCGATTGGGGGAAGGTCCAAGGTTGGTTCGATCCAAGCATCTCAGAGGAACTCATTTTGAGTAATCCTCCGTCAGAGTTCCGCGTGATCGATGTACAGGATCAATGTGTTGTTCAAATGTCCCGGCCATGCGAATACATCTGTCTCAGTTATGTTTGGGGCGGGGATAGTTCATTCCAAGCTACCCTTCAAACAATATCGGACTTGGAAAGACCAAAGAGCCTTGCAAGTCCAGACCTACCACGGACTATAAAACATGCTATGATTGCGTGTGCGGCACTAGGAAAAAGATATCTTTGGGTCGACAGATTGTGCATTTTGCAAGACGAGCAAAATAATCCATCCAAGTTAATACAGATTGAAGCCATGGCAGATATCTATGGGAGTGCCTACTTGACCTTTGTGGCTCTAGAGGGCGACTCAGCCAGTTATGGGCTCCACGGTGTTTCGCCCGATCTAAAGCGCGTGGCGTTGTATGAGATGTGGATTGGAGGGGAGATGTTCTATGAGGAGGTTCCAACCATGCAGTCACTTTCCTCCGAATCAATGTGGCAGAAACGGGGGTGGACATATCAAGAAGGCATCCTCTCGCCTCGGTTGCTGGTTTTTACCAAATACGGGCTATTCTGTGAGCGCTCCGATTGTGACATCCAGCATGATCATACATCCGAGGATGGTTGTAAACTCGTCAAACATGACTTTCTGCCGCAGGTCTTTTCGCGTTCGAGCGAACCACCACAATTCCTCCTGCCTCAGTCAACTACTCTTGACACACTTTCAACGGTCGGTGGTGCTATCTTCCAGAGAAAGTTTGGACATGAGGGTGACATCGTCAACGCCTTGGTTGGCATTATGGACGTTGTTTACGGCAAAGGGAATCATCGTTTTGGAATGCCTCTAGAAGGAATCGAGAGCACAATATGTTGGACTGTAAGCTCTCCAGGAACACCACGCCAGGCTCGCGGAGAAGCCATCTTCCCATCTTGGTCATGGGTCTCTACAAAGACCAAAGATCCTCCTGATTTCGACACTCACACACCCTGCAGCCACATTTCCGTCTCGATTGCATCATGGGGCTTTCAAGACAACAGCCAACCTCTTGGTGTCCGGTGGCTCCCACCCATCACCCCTTCTAATATGAGCGTCAAGAATTATTACGACCCCTTGAAAACGTTTTTGTGGAAACACGGCTGTGTATACACTGGTGATCCTCGATTTTCCGACAACAAAACAGTCTGGAAATATGCCGAACTTGCTCGATACGGCCTTAGAGCAAAGTTAGCGTTCAGCAGACATGGTCACGATTCGAACCCATCGTTCACGTTAAACCAAAACCAAGCCGCACAAGTCGACACATCCATCCTCTGTTACTCGCAGACAGCTACCTTGTGCTTAAGAGACCATACCGACAGCTGGTTTGCTTTCTACTATCAAAACTACCGGATTGGTCGTTTGAAGCTCGATACAGAGTCAGAAGATGCGACAGCACGAGAGATGGTTCAATCTGGGTCGGCAAGTATAGAAGCTCTGGCCCTATTTGCTGGATGGTCATTATACGGAGATGAAGACTCAAACTTGGACCTGGACGCACTCTGGGAAGATTTCAATCTCCCGAAACTGTTTTATTCCGAGAAATTGTATGAACGGCGGAGTAAGAACTCTGAGGAGCATTTCTATGACGACTTCGATTTAACTGTCATGGCTATACGAACGACTGATGGAATCTCGCGTCGTCTAGGGGTCGGGAAGATTCCTCTACTCGTGTGGCTGAAGCTTCTCAAGCCGAAGTTCCGCTCGATAGTGCTTCAATGATATCTGAAGTTCTAGATTTTTACAGTAAATGTGACCGGCAAAAAGCCAATGTCTTTTCACTCGATCCAACTCTCGATGTGAGGACGCGGGCCTGGCTGTATGACTGAGGCCCAACCACTGGGAATGCGGGCCTAGGCATTTCTTGTGTTGATGCAAGTGGATTGCTCTGGCAGGATGATGAGCCCACCGATGATGACGTTGGACCTCAGTCATACAGCCAGAGCAATCCGCTCACGTCAACACGAGAAATTCCTAGGCCCGCAATCATCCTCTTCTTCTTCCTCTTGAATCGGGGATCCAACGTGATCATCGGTGGGCTCATGTCCCCCTCCGCCGTCGGCTCCAGCGGCGCTGCCACCTCCACCCCTCTGGGCTCCCCCACCAATGATGACATTAGGCCTCAGTCATACAGGCAGAACAATCCACTTGCATCAACACGAGAAATGCCTAGGCCCGCATTCCCAGTGGTTGGGACCAGTATGTGTAAGTAGCAGCGTACTGTTGGGGTAACGCCGACCGCAGGAGCGTGCCCTAACATGCTTGAAGGAATATTGGTTTAAGAACTCATTTAATTTATTGTTGTGAGGGATGTTTGCCACAACCCCCGATTGTAGATAAGATCCTACTTCCATAGTCCTTCTCTCCTCTCTTCTTTCTCTCTCCCCAGAGATCAATAAATCGGTTCTTTCGATCCCTGTGCTCTCTCAACATTTATCACTAAAAAATATCGCCATGAATGTTCAAGATCGAGATTCAATGAAGAAAACAATCATCACAGCACGATCACACCTTCAAACTCTTTTTTCTTATGCAATCGAAGCAAGAAAACATCCCCAAAGATTGTTATCTTGAACTCATTTAATTCATCACTAAAAAATGTCGCTTTCTTTTTCTCGAAGATAACAATCTTTGGGGATGTTTTCTTGCTTCGATTGCATAAGAAAAAAGAGTTTGAAGGTGTGATCGTGCTGTGATGATTGTTTTCTTCATTGAATCTCGATCTTGAACATTCATGGTTGGCCAGGCAATCAAGGAGTTGCTGCGAGCAATTGCAGCATATGTCTCGACAATTGTTCGGACAGGTGATACAATGCCAGCATGTAGCATTGCACTGTACAATTGCGGACGGATCATTTCCTCAGTCAGATGTTGACTGAGGATCAAAGCAAAAATGATACTTGCTCTGCCATGTTCTGCAATCTGATAGCTTTTCAAATGTGTGGTAGGTGTGTAAAATGGAAGAGGGGAATCGGCACGTTCAGTTGTTACCAGGATGTCGACATTGTCGACATCGCCGGCAGTGAAATAAGCGGGTGTCTCCAGTGTAGCCTTCGCGTTCCGAGATAGGAAACACTTGTGTAGTTTAGCAGGAGTCTTATAGCCGAATCTGCCACGGCTACATGCAACGTTATGATGGATGGGTCTGGAGGGACATTGAAGATGGTATGCGGATATAGAAGGAAGTTGGAGACAATGAGCGATGAGGGGAGTTTGAACTGGGCCAAACTGCGGAAAGCACCCATGAAACTGTGCTGCTTCCCGGTACGCACATAATCAAAAATAACGATGTCCGCTTCGTTGCCCTGAGCCTGCTGCCGCCGAACCTGAGCCTGCTGCCGAACCTGAACCTGCTCCAGAGCATAGCGTCGGTCTTCAAGGATCGAACGTTGCTCCATGATGCGAGCCGCTGGGCCTTATCCTCTGGATCGGAAACGGCGTTTATCATCGCTTTGTCGCTGTAAAACACGTGTAAACGTTGCCAACCTGTTCCAAGTCTCACACGCCACAAGTTGCCATGGCCTGGTTGGTCGCAGCCTCTGCGCCGAAAGATTGTCAGTCAGGAGACAACTGACAATTCTTGTTATTATCACCTGCGTGGCTATGGTCCCAGCCTGTGTCGATTTATCGAATGACATAGTTCAGACTGGCGTAGGTAGATGGAGAGCTTCCCTCCCCTTTTCTCTCTCTCCCCAGTCTGAACGACAACACTGAACGCAGTGTTTCATTCGAGTTTGTTTTGTCGATCATCTCGACATATCTCGTGCTGTCGCATCTTCTGACTCTGTATACTGTCCATTGTCTGTTCTTTGTCGGTACCTCTCCAACTTGTGTGACATGCCGATACATCTTCGAAATCATGCTTAGAATCAGGAGGGTGTTGTACCCATCACTAGACTCGATTGAGTACTAGAAATCTGATCAGTAAAACTATTCTTCAAATGAATCTGATGTCCATACCGATGCGTCCCCTCGCATCTGAACGAAGACTGCTCCTCCTCTGTTGCAATGCCCGCAACAGGACAGGAGCCCAACGTTAGGGCCCAACGAATTGCTGCATGTTATATTAGTATATTTTGACACAATCTTCCTTTTTGTGAAGGTTTCACTTACCGTGGTAAGCGAGACATTGTAAGCCGTGACACTTGGCTTCAGGCTGTGACCGTTTGCTTGCTCCGCAAAGAGACCCAGCTCTCTCTTTCCCTCTTTTCTTCGTTGGAAAAGGCGTGGATAAGGACTTTCAGTCCTGTAATCTTGCTGGGCGGATAGCCAAATACACTGCAAGATCTTTCTTTACCCGTGTCTTTTGCTGTGCTTCTTACTCCCGTCGCATTGATATGCTCCTCTCCCAGCATCCCGCGGGCGCTTGGCTTCGATGGAAACGCAGTTCGTCTCCATGCATCCGGGCTGCCCATGCCATGCTCCAATCAAGGTCTGCTCTGATGGTTCACATTCCGTCTTTAGGAAGTTCCCATGGCATTGAAACATGAGTCTCAAATTGTCGGCATTGTGGGGTATGTGGGGAGGGGTCACTCTTGTCCCCAGTGCGGACGTAAAAAGTGTGTTGGGCTGATGTCGTTCTGCCTCTTCTCGCGCCTTTTTGTCCCCAGTGCGGACATCCTTCAATCTCTCTCTCTTCCTTCAGGGTTTGTCACTCTGTCTCTCCAGTGGAAATTCAAGAGCTCCCGTCCGCATTTTATTCCTTCGTCAGTACGCTCAAGAGGATGTTCCTCGATTGTGTCGTCGAGGGGGTACGGAGGATCTTTGCTCTTCGCTTGTCACTCCCTTCGTCTGAGCCAGGGTCATCCTGAAGTTAGAAGCACAGCTTTGATACAACTGCGAGCCGAAGCTTCGTTCCTCGGCTGCGAGCCTATCGTGAGACTGTAGTCGTCAAGCAAGGTTTCTATTTGAAATTAGTACTGAAAACTTTCATCAAAACCAAGACTCACTCACGGAGAAGGCATTTGGAGGTGTGGCAGGCCTCAAAGTTGTTGTGGCAGTCGAGTTTGTAGACAGCTGTTCCACTCACTCTCCCTCTCTCTTCCTCCGTCTCTCTTCCTCCGTCTCTCTTCCTCCGTCTCTCTTCCTCCGTCTCTCTTCCTCCGTCTCTCTTCCTCCGTCTCTCTTCCTCCGTCTCTCTTCCTCCGTCTCTCTTCCTCCGTCTCTCTTCCTCCGTCTCTCTTCCTCCGTCTCTCTTCCTCCGTCTCTCTTCTATCGGTGATCACAACAGATGTTTTCAGTCCGTCCGCCTTTCTCCCTTCAGCTGGAGGCTCGATGGATAGACCGGAGAGATATTCTGTTCATTCGGTATGGCTCTGATGGTTGTCTTCTTTCCCTCAATTGAATTTCCCCGGAATATGAAACAGGCTGGGGTCTGTAATGGTTCGGAGGAGCGGTCGTTCCACCGTTTATCTCTCCTGTCGCCGGCTTTTCTCCTACCGAAGAAGCGTCACAAACGCCAGCATGATGTGGATCACTCTTCCATGGAACGTGACAATGACCTTCTCATTTAACCATTTAGTTGAAGATATAGTTAAAGATAGGACAGATATCTTTCGGCGAACATCCGTTCCTGACTGTTTGACACTTCAGGAGAACACTGGTAATCATTTGAACCACCACATGTGAACGGATGTAAGCTGGGTAGAGAACAGCGAGGGTCCACGAGTGGGGACTGAGAGTGAAAATAGAAGGCAGAAGTCGGATGCAGCGAAGGTGTAGATGCGGTGAGGAGATGAGCTTTGGATTCTTCCAGTTGCAGTGGGCAATCGATCATGGAAAGTCTCCAAACAGATGACCAACGGACATTCGATGGTTGCATTGCGTTTGCTCGTTGTCTCCTGTGAGCAATGCGTTGTTTGACAACGCGTGTTTGACAAGCATGTCAAAGCTGCTAGTGTCCGGTGATGTTAGAAGAGAAAGTAGAAACAGATATAGTTGACTTACAGTGAAGTGATACTTGAGAGAAAGTGAAAAATTGGTTTCACAGTCGCCCAAGTGAAAACATGCAATCGAACGAAGTCAAGTGGGGTTTCACGGTTGTCTGAGTGAAGACAGAGTAGAAAGATATATTCGAGAAGAAAGTGACGATTGAGGTTTTAGACATCCAAGTGAGAGTAGAATAGAAACAGATGTACTCAAAGAGAACATGAGAGCAGAGGTTGATTGTCGCCAGTGGGAAGTGTGATGCACAGGCAAGATCAATGATGAATTGAGTCCTAATCGACGAGAAGAAGTAGTATGAAGAACTAGATCCCCCGCAGAAGCATCCTCTATATATACACGAGAGCGGAATTCTCCCCTTTAGCAAGCTGCATGACCGACCCGGTCGATCCTGCACGCATAGCAAATACCCCGCGGTGATCCCATCAGCTTGACTGCACTCCGAGAACTCCGCAGCAGTAAGAGCTCCCTGCCCGAATCCGCCTAGATCTGGAACTGACCTCTGTTCCCCGATTGGGACTAGCCTGCTCATTACAGAAAGTAGATCTCACGAGAAACTGCAAGAGTAGATATGAAGGCAGGAATGGACTACAGTCCACGAGTGATATTATGAAATCTACTTCAGTATTACTTAACAGAGTAGTCTGTTGCTTAACTACTAGTATACCATACCCTTGCATACTGAGTGGCTGAATACATACTTCTATGTAAAATCCCCTTTCAGCTTTTTCTGTGTCTCGAAAAATATTGATGTAATGCTTCATTGAACTGATCTGCAAGGACAGAATTGGGGGCCAAAAACCCGGGGGCCAAAGTACGATGAAGCTAGCCTTTGAAGATCCATGCACTGGAATCCTTGACATCGTTCCAAGTTTCTCCTCAATTCTGTGATCAACTGTCTAGCTGTCTGCCAATCGATTGCCACCAAATGGAAGACAGGATACGAATATGGAAGCGCGTACAGCCATTCTTCACGCGCGCACGCTACCAAGTTGCGCACACCAAACCCGAACACGAACTCGACACAGAGCTTGCCCAGGTTCAAGCCTACAGATATGCAACTATCTCCTCTTTGGGCGATGGACCAGAGCAAACCACTTTCAAAAAGTCCGCCCAAGTAAGCGAGGACATAACTTCCAGTCCTTCCATAGAGACCGGCGCGCCAAATAGCTTCTCAAAGCAAGACCAACATGCCCGTTGGATCTCGGGTGTCTATATGTGCGCCCGGTGCGCCGCCGTCGTGCTTTTAATCAATTTGATCTTCATAGCTGTGGCAGGCGGATTAGACAGAAACCACCATACCTCCCTCCAATTCTCAGGCTCCCGGGTCTTCTATGAGGGCAGTTGCACTGTGTCAAAGAGATGGGATACAGCTTTGCATTTGATCATCAACGCTCTGAGTACTTGCATGCTAGGTGCTAGCAATCACTGTATGCAATCACTTGTGGCACCGACCCGAGAAGAGGTGGACGCGTGCCATGCTCAAGGGAAATGGCTCGATATCGGGAATGCAAGCGTGAGGAACCTTTTCTCAATTGCGAAGAGTCGGACTTTGCTATGGCTAGTTCTGATGATCACGGCTACCCCTTTTCATGTACTGTAAGAGCTTGATTTCGGGGCTGGAATTGACCAGGCTGACGACGCAGGTATAACTCCATCGTTTTTGAATCGCTGAGTACGAATGAGTTTGCCATGTTCATTGGGCCGCATGACCTCACTTCTGAGAATGTGATGTCTCTGACAACACCCGGGCTGGAGAATTACTTGGTGCCGTCTCATGGCTTGGGGATCAATGACAAGGAAATTGGATCTTTGAGCTGGGGGGAGTACTCTTCTGCGATTGCGCAAGGGGATTATAAAAAGCTCACCCTGGAGGAATGTCAGAGTATTACCAAGAACAGCAATGCTGCGGGAACAAAGGTACTCACAGTTCTGGTGAAAGAGTTGTCTGTGGAAGATGGAGGAGACAGGGCGATACTTGCGACAGGACTGACAGGAGGCTTTCCGAATTCGAAAAGTAATCTTTTCGTGAACTGGGAACAAGGTCTTGCTATAGAAGGAGGTGCTCTCTCGAGTGACATGTGGTACAATCAGGATGCTGGTCTTTTCAACGAGACTTTTGGCTGCGCAAGTCCGATCTCAACTGCAGTGTCAGTATTTACTTCACAGGAGTGTCTTGAGATCTCTGCAGAAGAGAAATGCCAACTGCTTTTGAGTGCTGCTATCTGTATTGTGGTTGCTTTGACTGCTGCAGTTAAGGTGATTGCGATGTTTTTGGCCGCTCGAATCAGTCGGTCCAGATCTGTTCCTCTTCTCACAGTCGGTGATGCTGTTGCGTCTTTCATGACGAGACCTGATCTGACGACGATGGGTTTTTGCTGGATGTCAAAGAAAGACGTTCACTGTGGAGTATGGAAGCCCGTCCGCGGGTTGGAGGATTCATCTGAGGCATCTACAGAGATGTTAGGGCAGAACGACCGTCACGCTATGATCAGGTACAGAACCTTGACACGGCCCAAATGGTATATGCAAGTACCAAGCAAGCAAAGATGGGCAGCAACATACTTTTTGTAAGCTCACCCCAGTGAAACAGGCACTCAGAAATTAAACTTGAACAGATGTTTTGCCTGCATAGGAACAGCAGCAGCCATATTCCAAACCGGAGTCCTTCGTCCAAACGACACACAAGAAACACTCGACACAGAGCTGCTTGGAGAGTGGTGGTCTCAAGGCTTTGGTGCAAGTAATTACAATATCATCGGCATCCATGTACCCATGACCATGCTCGGCTCCGTCGTCATCGCCAATATACCACAACTGCTCATCACACTAAGCTACTACTGCTACAACAATGTGCTTACCGACATGCTCGCAGCAGGAGAATACAACTCCTACGGCATCACTCGGAAACCGCTACGAGTGAGCCGACCCGTCAAAGGCAGCGAGCAAAGATCTACATACTGGCTCAGTGTTCCCTACAGGTATGCACTGCCGCTGATGGTGCTGTATATGATTCTCCATTGGCTGGTCTCACAGGGCATTTTCTACGTCTTGGTGATCCCCTATGATTTGCAAGGCAATGTAAATGATGAGTACAAGGTTGACTCTCTTGGCTATTCGCCTTTGCCTGTGTTTGTGGCGATTCTCGTCGCTTCCCTTATGATATGCATATTGGCTGGATTGGGGTTGAAACGATTCAAGTCGGATCTGCCTGTAGCTGGGGGTTGCAGCGTTGCGATTAGTGCGGCTTGTCATCCGCCCAAAGGAGAGAATCTGGATACTGTGGCTCTTGGTCCAGTCAAATGGGGTCAGACGTTAGGATTGCCTGGTTGGGCATTGGGGCAGTTCCGCGATGAGGTCGATGGGCGAGGCCATTGTAGTTTTACCGCGCTGGACACGGTGAAACCGACACTGACGAAGATATATGCTTAGATCTATGGACGTGATTTATCAATATACCCCCAGGGCCTACGGGTTTACGAATACGAAATGAACAAAAGTCTCAGTAATGTCACTGTTAACATTATAGCGTTTTAGAGGTTCAAGAGATCATCACACATAATTCCCGATAACAATGTAATCCCCTCGTCTGAGCGTTGTTACAGAACAATGGAACAGACGCCAGTGTTAATTGAGGTCTTCCCCACGTCGTTCCTGTCATATTCGAATCATGAAGCATGATGCGGCACGCCGACTGGTCGGGCAACACCTCGGTTGGGATCTAAACGGTTGTCCAGATCCTCATATCGAAGAATGAATTCACGCTACGATACCAAGTTAGTTGGATGAGATCAAAGAAAGGTCAGGATTACTTACTCGGATCTTCTTCCATGTAGCAGGGTCCCAGAGCAAGTACACGCCACGCTCTGTGACACCACGTTCCACATCAACGGGTCCAGGGTATGTTTCATCGCGAGTTAACCAGCAGCGTTCGAGCTTGTGGTATCGCCATTTGCGTCCCATCAGTTCTTCGGCTACAAGCTCCTGCATGATGTCACGGGGTAGGCTGTAGAAGATGAAGAAGAGAGTCTCGTCGCTGAATCCAGGGATTCGAGACTGGAGAGGTTGAATGTTGGCAACATTATAGCAGGCTGGAAGAGAGAAATCTTGTTCCAAGGGCACAGCGGACATTGACGAAACAAAGGGAGAAGCAAAGGACGTGTGCAAAGGTCTGAGAATGTTTAGCATAATGTCGTGGAAACGGGGGATGTGAGTCTCATACTCCGCCTGGTTCAGGTCCAATCCCAATGTCATTAGGTCTTGACCGACAGCGAGACTGGCCACGTCGGGACTTTCGCTGTGAATCATACGCAGCAGGCCGGCCAGTCCAAACCTGTCGATTTCGCTCATCTGGGCAAGAGGCGGTTGTTCCGCATTTGCGGGTGCCCCGGAGACATCTTGGCTGTCGCTGGTTTCTGGCTGCCGTTGTTGGAGCTGCTGTGGATCACTAAAGTTTCGTTGGCTGGGAAGCCCATTGTTGCCCAATTCCTGTTGCGATATTAGTTTCTATAGAACAAGGGAGGAACTTTTGCGAACTCACTTCTTTCTCTTGTCCCATAATGCCATTAGGCACTTGGCTGACTGGTGATCGCGAAGGCCCTAAACCTGAGATCGCGGGTAAGCATGGGGCAAATAAGACCTGGGAGGAAAGATGATGATAGTGCAAATGGAACTCCCGGCGAACCATCCAGGCGGAATGAGTCTGGGGTGGCAGGTGTACACATACCAGATCCATAGTTTCCGAATCCTGAGCCTTGCATCAAACCACCAGTCCGTCCGAGAGGAAGCTCAGCAGCAGCGTTTCGGCCCAGAGGAGGGAATTCCTCGATGTTGCCTGTCTGCGGTTGGCCGCCTACGCCCAGTTGACTACTGATACCTTGCCCACCATTCCTGAAGTCATCGAGCCGGTTGGCAAATTGCGAACCGGAGGGGAACATATCATCATGCGGTTGTTGGGATTGTTGCGGTGTGGGGAGGCCTTGCGGTTGAGAGGAGCGGGAGGGGGCTTGCGAGGTCGAGGGGAGCTGTTGTCGTTGAACAGGTGTTTGTTGAGCGGCGCGTTGACTTGCGTTGGCCCACATTAGCTGACCTGGAGTCTGAGACTGCGACTGTTGTGATGCTCCTGATAGCGAAGGAAACTCCCTGCAATCACCGACCTTGTCAGCTCGAAGACAGACAGAAAGGTCTAGAGAGACCGGACACCACCACAATTCATGGACGGAGGGTGACTTACGAGAGATCTAGAGGCGTCGAGGAGGATTGCGATCCCCCTAAGCTCTGTGCGAAGCTCCCCATGGTTCCCATTGTACGTTGGTTGCCCGGAAGGCCAGTTGATCCACCGGGTAAGTTGAAGCTCCAATTCGCAGCACCGCCTAGTTGGTCTCAGATTAGCTTCAGTTCATACAAAGAGTCGAGCGCCCCAGCGATTTGTTTGTTGCGCAGCAGGTGCCCATGTGATATGTGCGTAGAGAATAACTGCGCAGGTCAAGCTGGTGCTTCATGAAACCGGACCAGATGCATGCAGGAGGCCTTGAGATAGAGCCAACGATTTAGCGCAATCAGCATTGCTGAGATCACGAGGCACACTGCTTCAATCAACACCACAAGCATGTGTTGCATCTCTCCACAAGAATGCCTCGGTCGCAAAGACAAGCACTGGTCGCACAAAGTATCGTTGGAGGCATGGATCTCCCCCGGTCTCACACAAAGAGACTAGTGACTCTTGAGTATCATGCACCGCCGCAGACGTAATGCTCAGTATTCAAGGGTGATCCGCGGAGGTGTACGAGGGCTCGAGGGTATCGAATTGAGAGACACTCACCAGGCCTATTCATAGTCGATGGTTCTAGCAGGAGAGTGGACTTGGATTTGGAATTATTTAGAGAATGGTCGAGAATAGCATTGGCCGAACGAGGTACTTCGGGCGACGAATCTGTGGAGGGGAGAGTAATGCACGAAGGGCCCTGTGCTTGATGCGGCGCTGCTCCGGCGAGGTGGGTGGGCGCTGATTGGCTGCTTAGGCGCGCGGCTAGATGCCGCGGATGGCGACGTGGTGGGTTCCGTTTTCGACCTCGATGACGACCCTCGGGCTTGTTTTTGCTAGCAAAGGTGGTTGCTGGCGTGTTCTCTGACATTTTTAGGCGTTTAAAGTAAGTGTAAATTGACGGTTTTGACGTTCTTTTGACTCAAACGATGAACTATGGATTGTATGGCCGCGCTTACATCGTCAAGTCACGTGACCGAGGCTGCCGCAGCGAAAAGAAAGACTATCATCCGTCCGACCAACGCAATTCCCGGGGAAACCAAGATCACAACCATGCAGGCTCCACGCATTGCTAATCGCCTGAGAGGGCTGGCTATTGCCGAATTGCCTCCTCCATACCTTGCGCCCTTCCTTCATCGCTCCGTGACCTTGTCGTCGGTCCAAACCTCCAGCTTTTCTTCCACTGCCCCCGTCGGCGCCAACCCTCGACGCGACAAGAGTAAAAACCGTGGTGTATCAGCCATCAAAAGAACCGGTCCACGAACCCCATTCGTTGCCTCGCGGTGGCCATTGCCCAAGCCCGTCGCTGAGAAAGATTTGCAGCGTCGGGAGACAAATCCCAACCACGGACTCTGGGCCTTCTTCCCTCCTACCCGGGAGTCACTGCCACTCCCAGAGTATGATAACGCATATGGTCAGTACTTTTGTCTCAACGGGGAACCTAATTCTTTGAATGGTGCTGATGGCTCCTGCAGGTCGCTCATGGGGTATCCAAGAACTCCGCGAAAGGAGCTGGGAGGACCTCCACGCATTGTGGCATGTCTGCGTCCGGGAGCGCAACCGTATCATGACATCGGACCTGGAACGAACCCGAGTCAGGGCCGGTTACGGTGATTACGAGTCTCAGGAACGGGACAAGGTGGTAAGTGTTTGTTTTTTTGTCTCATAATTACCCATCCACCTATCGGCCTTCTCAACACTTGTCAGAGGCTCTCCTGGAGTCTTCCACCATCGAGATTCCTCATTTTCCTGTCGCGGCTGTTATGGCTTCGCTAACACTTCTGGCACGATTAGATCAAGAGCACCATGAAGAACATGAAGCACGTTCTCCGTGAGCGCTGGTATGCCTACGAGGACGCTACACGCCTTTACGAACGCGGATACCGTCCTGAAAACTTCTATGGGCTCGAGGAGTCTGAGCAGGAGGCCGCAGCCCAATAAATTGAGGGACAACCCTCATGAAGACGGAGCGTTTGAGGGAGATCATGTCTCAGGTCATGACTTAAATCAAGTCTGGATTCAAATCACTATGTAACATTAGCTGGAAGTGCGCATGTCAAAATATACATACCAAGTCGTTCAATACTACCCAGCCCTGGAGTCCTAACATTGAAACAGCTATTGAATATCCTTATCAATTGGTCTCTTGCCTGTTTAAGTACTTGAACACTTGGATACCCCTGAAATATCCAAATTCCAAGCTCTAGAGCTTCAGGGGAAGTAGAAAATGTCATTAATATGTGGTGAGGTAACTAGTGGCGGATCCGTCAAATAGTTCCCCTTTCTTACCGCTTCGTTGATCCGCGGGGAGACAACTTTCTCTTCTTCTTTTCTTCCCTTCGAATATTTCCCTATATCATTTGTTCATCAATATGGATGAGATTGCCCCAGAATACGATGTTGTGGTGCTCGGCACTGGTATGTTGCTTGCTCTACCCCGCCATTCCCTCAACTGACCCTCTTTGCGCTAGGCTTGACCGAGTGTGTGTTGTCTGGGTACGTCTGGACTGAAGAACCCTTTGCGATGCCCTACTGATTGTTTTCTCTGCAGTGTCCTCAGTGTGAAGGGTAACAAGGTCCTCCACATCGATCGCAATGACCACTATGGAGGGTAAGTGACGCGGGGAGCTCACTATGACGATCGAAACAGCTAACAAGCTCAGCGAGGCGGCTTCTGTGAACATCGAAGCTGTAGGTCTATGAGTTCTGGTGGTCTCTTCTCATGTTCTATGCTGATATTCCCCATAGCTGTTCAAGAAATACGGCAACGTCCAACCCGGCGAGGAGCCCTGGAAGAAATACGGCAGAGTCAATGACTGGAACATTGACCTGGTCCCCAAGCTTCTGATGTCCAACGGAGAGTTGACCAACATCTTGGTCTCCACAGACGTCACCCGGTACCTCGAATTCAAGCAGATTGCTGGCAGCTACGTCCAGCAAGGCAAGGGTCCCAAGGCGACCGTGGCCAAGGTGCCCTCGGATGCCGGTGAAGCTCTGCGCTCGTCATTGATGGGCATGTTCGAGAAGCGCCGGGCCAAGAAGTTCCTCGAGTGGGTTGGTGAATTCAAGGAGGATGACTCCGCCAGCCACCAGGGTGAGCACATATATTCCCCCGCATGGTGGGGGTCTTTCGAGCTAACGAAGTGTAGGACTCAACATCCACAACTGCACCATGAAGGAGGTTTACGACAAGTTCAGCCTTGAGGATAACACTCGCGATTTCATCGGTCACTCTATGGCTCTGTACCCATCCGACGGATACATCAACCAGCCCGGCGCCGCCGTCGAAACCATTAACCGCATCCGTTTGTATGTCAACTCCATGGCTCGTTACGGAAAGTCGCCCTACATCTACCCTCTCTACGGTCTCGGCGAGCTTCCCCAGGGCTTCGCTCGTCTTTCTGCCATCTACGGCGGTACCTATATGCTGAACACCGATGTCGACGAGGTGCTCTACGAGGGCGGCAAGGTTTCTGGAATCAAGGCCACTATGAAGGATCGTGAGGACCAGTCGGACGCCATGAAGTTCGAGACTAAGACTAAGAAGATCATCGCGGATCCTTCTTACTTCCCCAGCAAGTCTAAGGTTACTGGATACCTGCTCAAGGCCATCTGTATCCTGAACCACCCCATTGATAAGACCGACAGCAGCGATTCTCTGCAGCTGATCATTCCCCAGTCACAGGTTGGGCGCAAGCATGGTGAGTTTTAATATCCTGTTTTAGAGAGTGATCGCTGACCTTTCCAGACATCTACATTGCTATGGTCTCATCTGCGCACAACGTCTGCCCCAAGGGCTACTATATTGCCATTGTGTCCACCATTGCCGAGAACGATGCCAACCCCCACCTCGAGCTCGAGGCCGGTTTCGAGCGCCTGGGTAAGATCGAAGAGAAGTTCATGGGACCCCCCATTCCCCTCTACGAGCCCACCGACAACGGTGAAGAATCCAACATCTTCATCTCCAAGAGCTACGACTCTACCTCACATTTCGAGACTACTACGGGTAAGCATCGATCCCATCTTCCCGTCCCGTCCCGCTTTACTGACCCTTGCAGATGATGTCCGTGATCTTTACCGCCGCGCCACCGGTGAGGAATTGAAGGTCGAGGGTCTCCGCGAGGACCAGCAGTTGGCTGCCGAGTAAAGGAGTTTCTCCCTGAAATGCTTAGATTGGACTATCTCACATTTGGACATTTGCGACCTCATTTTGCTCTTTTGCGCATAACCATAACAAATCCAGTACACACTTGCTTTCTAATTGCTCAAGTGGACCTTTCCGAGACGAACTGGTGAATTGAAATCTATATAAACATATATACACATGTCCTCTTTCTAAAGTTCTCCGTACGAAGTACTCCGTCGAAATCAAATCCTCTGATCCACCTCCGGGTCCGTATTGGCCTTCTCATGCTCCCCAACCACACAAACATCCCCATTCACCCTCTGAATCTCCGCCCGCAATAACGCCAACCGTTTCCCAACATGCACAACCTCACAGACGAGTCGCACTTCCGTATCCGTCGGCACAGGGCGCAGATACGTCACTTTCAGGTTCCGACTCACGCCCCCGAGCGCGAACCTGCCCGGCGAGGAAATCCCCAGCAGAATCGTGGTGGACAATACATCAATCAAGGTGGCTGCGCATCCACCATGCAGATTCCCCATGTAATTGCTCATTGCTTGGGTGACTTTGAAGAGGAATGAGACTGAGGCTGGGGGTCCGCGAGTCGCGGATTCGAAGCGGAGGTTACAGCTGCGTGCATCGACGTCCCAGTGCTGCTCAAGTGCAGATGTTAGTTCTATCTGGAATGGCTGGGGACAGGAAAGCCTTGTTTGGCATATTCTTGTATGGAGCGCTGGGCTCTGTACTTACTCCTTCATTCCCCAGACCCATTCGGGTTGTATACTCGTAGACGAGTTCTTCAAACTCTTCCAGTTTCCTGGATGGAGCACCTAGTGTGTATTCTGACATGAGGGAGATGTAATTCACAGATGTCCAGATAGATGTATAGACAACTTTAGAAGGGGGAAGTTCTAAGCTGAAGCTGTACCCCACAGGGACCTCGGAATTGGACCTCGGCTGCGGCGAAACGGTATCACTTTCAGGCTTTGGATCGGCAGTTCAGGCTGGGCTTCTTTCTTGGGCCTGTGTCATTTATGTATTGCAGATAGACCTGGACTTCAACTTTAGAAGTGTGCGGATGTCGAAGATGGCCTGGTTATTTTGGAAGATATATATGTGACCAGTGCCGCATTCTGGGACTGTGAGAGTTAAAACATCTATCTATAGATATAATGGAATATCTGCAGGAAATCCATACAGGAACATACATCCAACTTGAGAAAGACTTCAGGATATTTCAATATTCAAATATTCTAAACTTCTGGAGTTGATGTCTATCTAAGTGTACTTAAGTAGAGAAGTAAAGGGTGTCCTCCTTGCGCATTGGTGGCCTGAGGCCAAAATTTAGTCCGCCCGTCTGAACTGCGACTTGTAAACTTTAGAACTTCATCTCAGTGATGCTCACTACTGCAATTGACCTCTCTTAATGTGAGAGAAACTCTAGAACCAAACAGGTCTCATCCCATCGCCTATCGCATCTGGTCGTGCCTCAACACTCAGAAGCCATGCCCACAAAGGACCGCGCATCCAAGCGGAGACGCGTCTCTGGAGACGCCGACGGAGACATTCAAATGGGCGATGAAAACGACATCTATTCCGCCCCCTCATCTCCCAACAGAACCTCCCCCACACCCGTCAAAAGCGCATCTCGACGCCAATCCCGCGCAAACGATGCCACCGAGCCAGTGGACCAAACCCAGAACCAGGAGCAGGAAACACCAGCGCGGGCGACACGAATGAGTGGGCGCACACGCAAAACCCCTAAGCGATTCGAAGACGAAGCAGTGACGCCCTCGCGGAGAAAATCGACCACCACCCCTTCAAGAAGTGCCCGGGGCCCTCGAAGTGCGCCGAAGCCGAAACCGTCGCCCGCCGGTGAGCCAGCTGAAGAGAAAGAGGAGGTTCCCGAAGACGAGGATGATGAGGACCACGAACCCGAATTCGATGAGGACGACGATGACGACGATGACGAGGATGATATGGATGTGGACGAGCCATCTCCGGAGCCTGCGCGTCGTTCCGTCACTAGAACGAAGTCTCGACGAAGCGTCGCAAAACCAAAACCGAAATCAAGGCCCACCAGAAAGGCAGCGGAGCGGGTGAAGGAGAAGTCACCATCGCCTGAGTACCAGGATGATCTGGATGATCTCGTTGCGATGCAACTCCAGCAGGGTCTTCCGCAGGCTGCGCAGGAAACGCACGAGACAGCCGAAGTCGTGGAACCGCTGCCAGAGTACGCTGAAAAGCTCCAATCACTATGCCAGGCGGGTCTAGCAGAAGAGATTCGCGTTCTGTCAACTACCGTTTTGGAAAAACTGTCAGGCAGACGTCAGATTCCAATTCGAGGTCTCCAGCCGGAGTATCAAAAAGTCCACCAGCTCATCGAGCAAACAGTCTCAGTTGGCGAGGGAAACTCTATGCTCCTGCTTGGTTCCAGAGGATGTGGCAAGACGGCAATTGTTGAATCCATTATTTCTTCATTGCGAAAAGAGCATGAGAACCAATTCCACGTCGTTCGTCTAAACGGATTCTTGCACACAGATGACCGCCTGGCTCTGCGTGAGATGTGGCGCCAGCTTGGCCGCGAGATGCATACAGAGGATGATGCCGCAAAGGTCAACTCTTACGCAGATACTATGGCTACGCTTTTGGCATTGTTGTCTCACCCCGAGGAGCTCTTTGGAACCTCAGGGGATGCAGGGTCAAAGACAGCTGCCAAATCTATTGTCATTCTGCTAGATGAATTTGACCTATTTGTCACTCACCCACGGCAAACCTTACTATACAACCTTTTCGATATTGCACAGGCTCGCAAGGCCCCTATTGCGGTCATTGGATTGACGACAAAAGTCGACGTGACCGAGATGCTCGAGAAGCGCGTCAAGAGTCGTTTCAGTCATCGGTATACTTATGTCCCGTTGCCCCGGTCATTTGAGGACTTTGCAGATATTTGCCAAGGGAGTCTGGACCTCGGCGATGCTGAGGTGTCGAAGATTGCAGATGAACTGGGGTCTGATCGTGGGCTTGTGGAGTCCAGCAGATGGACGACATTGCTCGCAGGTTGGAAGGAGTACCTGGGCGTAAGTCAAATCCAACATTTGCCACTATCCATTTGATGATACTGATTTTAGAAAATAGCACATGTGGAATGATCAAGACTTCCAGTTCCACTTGAAGCAGATTTACCATCAAACCAAGTCTGTCAAGGAGTTCCTTACCAGTGCTTTGCTACCGATGAGTGACTTCCTCCAAAGTGTCATGGAAGGAGATGCTTCCATTCCCAAGGTCCCAACACCCAAATCCTTCGCATCGCAGACCCTCTCATGTCCTGACCCCCCACTCCTCCCCTTCTCTACGACCATCACCTCATCCAGTCCGTCCTCATTGCCTTTGGCCTTGCTGGTAGCTGCAACCCGGCTAGCAGCGTTATTTGACCCAGGAAACGACCAGGCACAGAGCATGGCCCCTCTGGCGCTCTCTTTCCCAGCCGCATACGCCGAATACGTTCGGCTGCTGACCTCAGCCAAGACTTCTGCCTCGGTTTCGGGAGCTGCAGCCACACCAGGTCGCGTCTGGGGCCGGGACGTTGCCCGCGAGTCTTGGGAGAAACTGCTTAGCTGGGGTCTTGTCACACCTGTTGGCAGTGGCAACGGTACTGCGGACGGTCAGATGTTCCGCGTGGAAATCAGTTTCGAGGAGGTTATTGAAATGGCTGGCTCGGGAGGTTCTCTGGGCCAATGGTGGCGGGAGTAATCTGGCCCTGCTTCTTGGCTAGCCTTCAGGCTTAACACACATAGACCATAGACCATTACCATTCTTAACCACAAATACTCCCTACCTCGAACACCTGTTCTGTCTACAATGTACTTCATACTCCGCAAACTTTAGAAATAATAAGCCAAACCACAGACCATGTCCACGCAAACACATCCCAAGCAGCCAATCCCAAATTCCCGCCGACATCAGATATATCACAATCCCCACCGAACCACAGCATGCCCCCAAATGCCGAACAGAAAAAAAAAAGCAACGCAAACTCAACCCACACTCCAAAATCCACATATCAACAAACCAAACCTTCGATGCCGATCCAACCCCTTGTTTTGCAACTGCAACCCCAACCCAAGCGGCCAAGCCACCCTTACATCAACCTCTGCTTCCAAGTTTATTCCAATGCATGCTCCCGCACGCAGTGCAAAGTGGAATGTGGACAGGGGTGTTTGCCGGGTCCATACTACAGAGCACAGGTTCCCATAACTACAGGTAGTTGCCTAGGTGAGAATAGATATCATATGATCGACGGTCTAGTGTAGTGCCAGATTGGGGCTTTCTTGGATCTGGATCGGGATCTCATCTAGGGGATTTTGAATAGGGCCAGGTGCGTTCTTCAGGCTGCGCAAGGTTGAGATAAAGGGTTAAGCTTGCAGGATGAGGGGGTTTTTTATTTTTGTTTCTTCAAGTCTGACATGTTTTTTGTACTAGTGTCCTGAGTACAAGGTGGCAATGCTAGGTTTGCAACGAATCAGTTACCAAGTAAAGGTAGTGATCTCTCTTCAGTACTCCGTAGATATTGGAGAGTTGCAAAAACACGCGGCAAATACATGTGGCTTGCCATGTGTTTAAAGTGACATGTCGCATTCTCAAGCCATTGCCCTAAATGGGGTATCCACGCTACTGCAGGAAAGTTTTACCAACTTTGTAGATCATAATACAGATTACAGAATGGTACTTGGAAAAACCATATGGTTGACAGGGATGCAAAGACTGCATCAATCCGCTTTTAGCGTCAACTAGTCCCACGAAGACCCGTGGCCCATGTGGCCCGTTGTGATGTGTGATGGACACATCCAAACAAATCGAATGGTTTCAAATGTATCTCCTGAACCTCGAGTCGAGGATCAGTACAGTGGAGACCATAAGGGCTTGCATTCGATGTGTACGAGTACAAAATATGCATCCCGTTACAAGTCTTCGAGCCGTTGAGAAGCTAACAACTAGGTAATGCTGCAAGCTGCAGATCGGTATTCTGCCTATTCCATACGCATTATTCCGTACATGAACATGTGTTTTTGTGTGCATGTATAAACATCAGATTGGAGTATGTTCTGACCTGCTGTATTGTTTCTAGATTTGTTGAGATCATGACTGGATAGTTCTGGAGCTATTTCGCCCGAGGGTCCAGACTTGAAGGCTGGTTTCAGAGTGGGTAAATTCAGCCCCGCCTGGCACGACGTGAAAAGAAATCATAGAGATGAAATAAGAAAAAGCAAGGAAAAGAGAGAGAAAAGATAGAGAAAAACACGGAGTAAAGTGTGAAGTTTGTGCGACGCGGTGTAGTGTTCACTAGCTCTACGATAGTAATATCGGGGTTTGGTGAGGACTCCATACCCGTAGTTTAGATTCTTTAAAAAACCAAGAAGAATCCGACTTTACAGAGTACAGAGTACAGAGCACAGCGAAACTGGGATATGCCGTACACCCGGAAAGTAGTCAAGGATGTTCCCGCCAACACGGCTTCATACCTAGGCTGCCGAAATGCATCTGACCCCGCTTTAGCACATTTTGACGATGTAGTATGCAGTTACCTAGTCCTCGTACGAGTAGCTACGAGTATCACTTTTCACGCCACATGCCAAGCCGGAAGACTAGCCCAATCCCACAAGGATAACGGTGAGAGTGGAGGCAAAATGACAATCTCGAATCGGAGAATTACGCCTTCAAATGAGGGGCAAGATGAAAATTAGGATTTCTTCAGGCTAAGCGAGTCGATCAGCTCAGAACAGATCATAGCGTCGGGAGCAGAGTAACTTGTGTATGTGGCTAAGTAAGAAGTAGACAGCCTGTTGACGATCAGTCTCAATCGGGCAACTTCCGCTTCCCCGCTGCCATGCAGTAGCAGTACTACTTAAGTACTCGTAGCCACGAAGATCAAACGAGAAAGACGTAGAGAAACCGTTGCGGAAATAACATCCCACGTGCACAAGTACGTACTGACAAGAGTATTTACGGAGATATTCGTACGGAATACTACGGAGCATAGATTGGATTTGCTTCTAGGCCAGTTTTAGTTAGGGCTCCTAAGTCTAAGGTTATGGATACTGAAGCGGTGAGCGTTGTACGAGTACGGAGACTGGAAATCAGGAATTGTTGAATAGGGAGATGGCTGCTTTTCGTGCAACATGACACCTGGGTATCTGCACCAGCGCCGGTGGAGCTTTTGTCAACATCGGACTTTCCTCGGCCCCCGTGGAGCGCGCTCGTACGAGTCTGTTGGCACTTGTTCTTCTGTGTGGTTCTGAGTTGCATGATGAATTGGGGATCTTCTACTTAGGGATGCTAGTTAACTGTCGGGACGGAAATATTAATTAAGTACAGTATGCAACTCCGACCGAGTGCCCATGTGCTCGGTAGAAGAGAGGCTTCAAAAGGATTTCAATTGGGAGATTCGCTGTATGGATAGTATAATTTGTAGCTCGGTGTGTACTTGTAAACATTTAAAAGTGAGTTTGCAAAGTTCCAGAGTCTAAAGTTCTCAATTGCAAGCCCTCATTAGACCTCCACATCGCCGATCTCATTCTGAGCTCCGAATGTCTCGCAATCCACAGACTCCATATTTTAGTAATATTCAGTACTCCGTACTCCATCAGTACTCCGACCCCGTAGCGGAAAATCAATGAGGCCTCAGTGAAAATTGAATATCAGATCCACATGATGCAAGTCATCTTGCGGAGGATCATAATTTCAGACGGGCACTAGCTGCATACGAGCTTGTATCTTCGTAAACACGGAGTACAGGTAGATCCGCCACGTGGTTTCTGTGCCGTGTGGAGTCGGAGGTTTTTTTTTCTCGCTCATTTTTGTGGTTTTTTTTTGTCGATCCGCCAACTGACAACGAATTACGGAGGTCTCCATTCGGAGTTCTGTGCGATAATTGGATTTCTCTTTTTTTGGTGTTGATACACAGGTACCCGCACTATTAGTGCCGAGACCCGAAGTTTGGATCTCAGAATCAGGGTCAGGAACAAAGAAAAAAAAAGGGGAGAACAATATGGAACAAAAGAAGAAAGAGACAGGGAAAAAAACAGGCTTCGATAGTGTCTCTCCTTAATCTACAGAGAGAGCATTCTCCATTTTAATCGATGGTGTCCCGCTGAACCATGGGTTACCCGAGACAGAGGCTTCTTAGTGTCTTCTAGAATGCTTCTGGAAGACTTCCTAGCCCGGACTTCGCCGTATTCAAAAGTCGATGACGTTCTCCTTTTTTTCGCAGGTCACGTGCGTATTACCGTATAAGGTTCTCGATCTTATACACAGTTCCATGGTTGAAGGTTACAGTAAGGAGGTACATACTCCATGCATCACTTCACAACTATACTCCCAAGTATACTCGTACAGGGTACGAGTATACAAGTACTTAGCAACTCGAGAATCTATGCATTTACTTTACCCTGACCCATACTCCTTATCAGGCTCGATCTTCTGCCGATCAAGTGCTTCAAGGTTATTTACGCGAAAGGGTCCACAAGCATCAGTCCATGTCGAGCCGAGCCTAACATTCGTAATCCAAGCCACAAGTTTGACGATAGTTTCGAAAATAAATCCACGGCTGCGGCGCATGAGGATCAGCTCCCCCACATCACCTCCGACAAGGCTTGACATTCCATACATCCATTTTTGGCCGAGTCTTACGAGTCCATGAGGCTCTGTTCACAATGCGCTACGTGCACCCCGGAGTCACTAGTCCCTTCGCTAGTCTTAAGCCCTGGAGAGAGAGAGTTTCTGTCATCCAGCCCACCTTTCCCTTCTAAGGTTGGGATCCCTGCAAGGCGAACCCCGAGGACGGTTGGTGCGGCTGAGTCACGGCAGAGGAGGTCTAATCGCACAGTTCAAGGACAAAGATACGAGATTGGAGGGCTCGGCAGGGAATGCTCTGCTTGTAGAGGTAGATCCGCGAGTCGCTTCGGGATTCCACGTGGCGAGCTCAGCTAGTAGTAGATGCTTCCCCCACAATTCGTCCCGCAGACTTCAAAGCTCGAAAATGTGATACATAAACTCCCGGGATTGATTTGGATCTAACTAGATCTGTCTGAGGAGGTAAAGTCCGATAGCTGAAGATCCAGTTCCCATTGACGGTTGCCCAGAGAACCCTACTCCTATCTCCGGATATCCCTTGGGGATGACGAGACCCATCTAGACCCCCAGTCCAAATGCAAATACTCGACGCCGCAGAGAGGATGTTTAGAGTTTGAGGACGATCAGCCCGGGCCCAAGGAGCATCAGAGCATAGTCTGAATCCCAATAGCCCAAGCCACATTCCTACAGAAAAGCAAAACCGCTAGTCGGATGTTGATTCCCTGGATTCCGCAGAGATCCGCATACAACCATGCAGTCTGGAGTATGTCTACCTGCTACCTGCAGGGACCCTCAAAAGGTAAGGAGGCCATAAACTACTCCGTAACCTGAGTACTCCGTAGTTACAGAGTATCCCGTACAACGTGAACGAGTTGGCCAGGCATCCAGGTATCCAGGGCCAACCGAGGTACACAAGCTTTTGCGAACTTCCATAGTTGACTGCAAAGGGTAATCAGTGATTGTCTTGGCAGCTGATAACTCCGACTGTGACTTTCTCAGCGAGGCTCCCATTTTGACTTTCCATGACTCGCGAGATGTTTTGCTTTTTTCTATTCTTAAGGTATCTCGCCACGCGTTACTTCATGTATGTACATGTACATATTTACCCCTGAATGGTCAAGTAGATTCGAAACCTGCAGGAAGTTCCCTCGCGTGGCAGTCAGGGATGTTAAAAAGTGATGGATAATAAATACCTGTACAGTGTATTTTACAAGTGTAATTAATTACCAGGTATCGGTAATGGTTATGGTATGGGGGGTTACCCGATACGATACCCTTCAACCATGTGCCAGGTCTAACAGCGAAAATCACTGGGCCGTTGGATATCTGACCGCAACTTAGCACTTTAACAGGAAAACCTCCGTGAGCCAATCTGTTAGCGGGCCTCAAATTTGGAATTCTGGCTCCACTTCAACCACTCTGGGCTCTTGCAACCACAGGTCGAGGCGGCATCAAGCGACCAGCTTATTATTTTCGGGTTAGCGTCAGTGATCTCACGCAAATGGCTATCTGATGTGCAAACACTAATATGTAAGATGAACTTAGTTCAACTAAATTAATCTATACGAGTATTTCCTACTCATAACTTGTTCCAAGGTAATGGTGCTTCATCTCGTAGCTAGTCAACCTGAGCCTAGTCTACTTTTTTTTGTCTTTCTTTTCTTTTACTGTCAATTACTTCTTAAGTTTCCTCAACATCAGAGCCGCACAGAAAACCGAGATCGGATTTACTCGGGCAGGGCTGAGCCAAGATTTAACTGGCACCTAAAGTTTGCAGACCCCTTTTTGGCCCCCAACTTTGCCACATGGGCTTTTGCCCCTGGGATTAGAGTGTGAATGGGCTCTCGGATATTCCTGATTTCTCGAGTCCACGTGGTATCGTTTTGGATCGTGTCTCGTTGTGATCGGTCTTAGGTGATAGATCTTAACCGCTAAGACATGACGTGTCGTCTTTTCGAATGTTCTTTGTTCTTTTATTCTTTTGTTCTCTTCTTGTGACCTGTACAATGCACAATGGCAATACACTATCGATCTGCGCTATCCAACTTGACGGCCACTCATGCGGGGGAGCCGATCTCGTATCCCCCCCAAGTGTAATTGCCGACCATCACTGCTCGATTTGTCTCTATCACCGTGTCTGGGCGAGCTTTTGAAACCTTCTTCATCAGATAGCAGGTAAAAGCTCTCTGGCTAGACAAGGCCGCTCGGTCCTTGGCGGAAGAGACTTGCCCGGGTTCGCCCCGCGTGACCTCTGACGGGCGCTTTGGTTGGCTTTCACTATTCTCTGCTGAAGCGCCCACTCAGGAGGTGGCTTGCTGACTTGTATGACAGTTTGTCCCAGACAAGGTGTTCCACCATTGTACTTCAGGTTGATAGCATGGTTCATGCACGGTGAGACTTTTGCTCTGCCGCGTCTTGCTGTCTCGACCGCTATTCGGTGTCGGATGAGGCTCTCTTCCCGACCGTTAGCTCTTTTTGACACAAGCCCCGTCAGACTGACATGTCTGCCCCTGCATCAACGGGCATTTCACCTCGTATTCAGCAGGGTCCTAGAGCAGTCCAAAACCTCCGATTCATGATTCATGATTCCATAATCCTGGGATTCACCCTGGAACGAGAGATGATTGGCGGTGGTAACTCCAACCCCGTATTCCAGATCCCGACACGGGAAACGGGATGTTGAAACCCGTCAATTGTCCGTGTCCGTTATCCGCCGTCCAATCTCCTAGCAGACGCGGTCATACTCGTCTGACATCTACTTCCAAAGGCCGTTTAAGTCCGCGCCTAGGGATATTCTAAATCTCACGACTATCCAAATCCAGGGGAAAGATTTGCGAGACTGCGCCCCCCTCTAAGCGCAAAAGAGTAAGAGGGGAGGTCAACGCTTAGCCGCTAAGCATCTCTCCCCACGTGTGCCCACGTGGGACCACATGGATTATGCGCACGAAATGAAAAGAACACGCTTGGAACCGCCGTGGAAGCCTTACAGGTTTTTTTGTTTTTCTTTTCGTTTCTAAGTACAGAGTACTCCGTATATTTCCCCTCCCATATTGCCCAAGGTCCCCAACAAAGAATACCCCTCCCCCCACTATCGATGTACACACAACATTGAGGATTGTCTCACGCTTCCGATCGGAAGCGCTAAGGCGGGTTTCAGGATGAAAGTTCTCATGCAACTGGACCAATGTGGTTTAGTTTATCTCCCCGAAACATACCAAACACCACAGTCTGGAAAAAGGTCCCCCACCATGAGACAATCGGTGTGAAAGTTAGAGGGGGGTTTCTCCGAGGCGGGAAGTGTGAATATCCCGTCATCGACCTCAGGTATTCTACAGTAAGGCATCAGCCGCTAGTCTCGGCATCAAACCGGACCCCATTTATCGACAACGTTAATATATTCCCCGGTCCTATTTTCCGGTTCAGATACTCAAATACTTCAGTAACTATCCTATGATAGTCAAGTCTGGAGTATCCATCGCATTTCCCAGAGCAGGATAAAGTTGACGGCTTTCCACGGTTCTCGCGAACATCGTGATTGTTCTGAGTTTCGGGAGAACGCACTACACAAGTGCGAGAATGCCACGTGGGGCGGTAATGGCCATTGTCATATTCTGAACAAGCCCAGAGCATGACTCGTACAGGTGTTCATGTCCTACTCCATACACTGGAAATAGATATTGGAGTGATTAAGGCTTACAGCCCGTCCACGGGCTGGAGATACCCGTCACAGTTTGAGTTATAGTGATATCTTTTTTTTTTATCTTGATGGCAATGAGACAGATAAGCGCGACTGAAGATTCAGATCTCCCAGAGTTTCCAGGATGTTAAGCCAGGGGGTGATTCAGGTAATACCAGTACGAAACGATCTGCCGGATGCGTTCGGGCTAAGCTGAAAGGGGGTGAGTAATGAAATCATCGCGTGGAGTGAAAGATTGGGTACTTGAGTACGGGGTGTATTGTATTTGGGTAAGTCTCCTACTTGCAGAAAATCATCGAGCACCGTAGAGATAGAGTCAGATAGAGATAGCCAGAGTAAGACAATATAACTATTAGAATGGGAAGATAGAGTATTCAAGTAGTGAGAGTGCAGAATACAGTATGAATACCGGTAATACACGATCTTCCACGTTGACCAAACTCACGCGTGGCTGTGGGTCGTGGATGACAGAACCGAATGGCTGTTCTGCAGACGCTCTCTCTTTTTTTGCCCTTTTCGATTTTTCTTTTTCCTCTTTTGGACGTTTTAGGTTGTTTTATTCGTTTTATTCTGTTTTCTCATTCTTTTTTTACCGCAAGTTTAAATTGTTTAAATTACTTTTTTTTTTCTTTTTCTTTTTCTTTTTTTCTCTTTTATTCATTTTTTCCCTTTCCTAAATTATCTCCATATTATTTGGGGGATTCCCTTTGATCCCGTTTTCCCCTTAGATTCTTCTCTATTGAAATTCCATTGAAATTAATTTTTTTTATAATTTCCTGGATCTACTGGAAAAATTTCCCTTAATTTTTTTTTTTTCCAATTTTTCGTAGGTCAAACAAGACCTCCACTTTCCGAAGTCTGGTTCACCCCGAAGACTCAAAACCATTCAATGCCAACTCAACCCGGGAACCACTGCCGAGAAGATTCTCTCCCTTCACTTCCTTCTGATCCTCTACAAACCTTCACTGGTTCTGTTGTTGGCTCTATCTCTCGTCGCAACCGTCGCTCTTTTGCTGCTCTCGCTCAAAAGACATCTAACGCCATCGCCAGTCTCTCTGGAACTACCACCCTACGCTCTTCAACCTCCTACGGCAGTTTGTCAAGAGCACAGCATTCCCCCTGTACACCGTTCGACGAACCATATTTGCAATTGACGGAATCTTCGCGCCCTTGTTCCCCGGCTTTGGTCGACACTCTCCCCGCCAATTCGCAGAAGCGTCGCCTGACTCTTCAGCGCCTGCCTACACCTGACGACAATCGGTCTTCCGAACCCGCCAAGATGCATCAAACGTCCTCAAGGTTATTGCGCATGACCGAGGATGAGCGCCCTTTCACCAAGGTAGGTTCTTGAAACAGAGTGGGGGAGAGGATGGAGAGTCTTCAGAAAGAGCATGAGAGCTGATATGCGCAGGATTTCATGGACTTGTTCTCCACCTTGATGGTCAGCTTGAAATTAGATTCTCACCGTGTCCGGTTTACGCGATATGATCACACATTCACCTCCGAAGAGGCCATCAATAACTTGGGTTCCCTCAAGTTCTCCCAGTCCAACCGCATGCCTGACCCCAAGGACCCGTCCCGCATTGTCACCACTACCACAACCACCACTTTCTCCATGGCCAAGGAAATGGCTCGATCCGTGTGCCAGCGATTCGTCGATGCTCGTTTTATTGAATCCGTGGACGGAAAGGCCCTCCCGATCTTCCCTCTTAAGGGCGCTCTCTTCCAACTCACACCAAAGGGAATCAACATCCTGCAGCGATTCTGCCAGCGGAACGGTATTACCGCCCGTCACGTGATGGATGTGTTGGAGTCGCCGCGCAACACCATGCAGCTGGTCAACCTCGAGCGAGACACCGATACCGACAAGTTGTCCCACGACCGTGCCACGATCGAGGTTATTTTCCGCCGTTTCGCTGGTCAGGATGGTCCCAATGTGAAGAGCAGTATCTCAACCTCCGACTCCGACTCCCTCAGTGATTACACCAACGGTCTCGTGGGTGTGAAGGTGGCTCGGGAACGCAAGCTCCAGGATGGCAAGATTTACAGCAACACTTTCACTGGAAAGGCGTCCGTGGATTGGCTGATGGATTGTTCGACTACGATTGAGCGCCGCGAGACCTGTTTGATTGCCGAGCTGTTCCTGAAGTACGGTCTGATCACGATGATCCAGGACGATAAATCATTCCCCGACGTCGGACCTACTGCACACTTCCAACCCTCCAAGTGGGCCATTTATGGCATCACCGAACGTGGCCAGCGCGTGTGTGGATGGATTGCTCGCGAGAAGGCACGCGAGAATAACATTCAATACGATAGCCGTGGTATGCCGCGGGATTCCAACAACGCCCGACTGACGCACATTCTCCAAGACCCCGCCCTGCGTTTGCTTTTCCGAGAGTTCCTTCGCTACTCGCTTTGCGAAGAGAACCTGTCCTTCTACCTCGATGTTTCCGAGTTTACTGCCAATTACCACAAGGCCGAGAAGATGGGTACATTCAACAAGGTGGACTCTGTGCGGGAAACCCTGGCTGCTGCTTATGGATTATACAATGCCTTTTTGGCCCCTGGTTCTCCCTGTGAATTGAACATCGACCATGCTCTCCGCAACAGTCTGGCCAGCCGCATGACCAAGGCTGTGGGAGATGACGACTCCATGTTCAAGAGCTTGCAAGAAGTGGTACACCTCTTCGAGCTTGCCCAAACATCTGTCTTTAAGTTGATGTCCAGTGATTCGGTACCCAAGTTCCTACGTGACCCGAAGTATGCTGTGGTGCTGCAAGAGCATGACGTGGATATCATGGGAGGCTCACGCTCATACTCTCCCACGCCAGGCCCGCCCTCCATCCCGGAGCGCAGTATGAGCCGCTCAGCCCGTGCGTGACAACCACAGCCCACAAGCATTGATTTACCCCGCAACCCATTCGAAGACGATTCATACCACTGTGATTCCGACTCCTCATGAGCCTCGGTAGTACCGCCTCGGTGATATCGAAATGTTCAACACGCGCAATTGAGAATCCAAGCCCTCGAGGCCCACCGTCGGATCCAACATGAAATGCGTATTACTCATGCTTGTGGCCCCAAAAAAGACACCCTCCATATTCCAGAGGGAACAAACCACCCCCCGGTCGACTTTGGGACCCGATCTCGTCAATCCCGTCATGATCGCTTCCGACCACGAACTTCCTTACTACGTTTCCTCCCACGCATGCAGTTCAACGCTTTGAAATGAGCTGGCTGCCATTTCCTCATTTTCCCTTTTTAATCTACTCTTCACGAGACTCTCCTCACGAAAGACGTTATGATCGATGGCTCATGTTATAGAGAAGGCTGGAACTGGAAAAATCTTGTAATATTCGGATTGCATTACTTTTTTCCCCTTTCTCTTTCCCATCATTCCCTTATTCTTCCCGGTTCAATCATGGACTGGAGGGATATCAAGAAACAAAAGAAAACCAAAAACGAAACCCAAAAAAAACGAATTCACATTGTATGGAATACCGGAGGCTGTTCCTTTTCTCTTGAGCATCAGACACGGCGTTTCTTGCATGTCCTTTCCTATTTTATTTCCATTTGTGCATCCGATATCTATTTCTTTTTCTTTCTAAGCACTTTGCATCTTTCTATCCGGGCACAGCGAGTGAGTTCTGGTCTTGTGTATGTCATTTATTACTTCACTCGTGAATTGCAATGGACATGACTACTTTTATATCATTGTGTTTCCATCGTAAATATCCAATACTCCAGGGTTAAGCAACTTTAGAACGTATCTGTCTGGCCATAACCCGAAGTGCCTGGAATGGCACATACTTGAAGAGCACACCATCCATATATACGACATCAGCTCGAAGCTATCTCAAGCAACGTTACTAAGTACTTACTAAGTAGTCAGACGTAACCATACTTAAGTAAATAGCTGGAAACAAGAACCGAATACTAACAAAATCTATTCTATTATCAGACTTCTATGCTATAAACAACCCAAACTCCACTTCACCAAAGGCAAAAATGCAAATGCTATGAACGCTTAACATCCTGAGGCCAAAGCATACGACGTGTCGTAACACCATAGACAGTAGCCAAACCCACACCCAACCAAACACTAACTTGAAGAATCGTCAAAATCGAACCAACCCACTTAACACCCTCCGACTGCAAAACCTCCCCAATACTGATAGTCGCAATAACGAAGCCCGTATTGGGGAAAACCATACTCCAATATGACATTGACATTGGTGCAGCACCAGGACCCCCGAAACACCGGAGCATGGAGAACATGCTTAGAATGGCAACACACATGTGGAAGAAAGCCATGCACCACATGAAGATTGCAGTGAGGGAAGCGATGATCAGGGCGATTTCGCCTGTGCTGATGGCCAATGTTCCTGAGGGGACTGCGTCTGAGATGATGTAGCGGGGAGGGAATTTCTCGACTGCGTGCTTTGCCATTCCAATGAAAGCCAGGGCTGTGAAGGACCATGGACCTGCGGCTATGAACATCTTTGGTCTTTGGGATGGTTCAGGGAGACCATGTTTGTTGAGGTAGTAGTGGTATTCGGCGTAGATGAGAATTGACATCATGATACCGAAGCCTTGGAGGGTGAGCCCTCCTACAATGATTGGCAGGGCGTGTTCGCGAGGCTGGTTGCCTGCTATGCTGGAGGCTACTGTGCCGCAGAGCATGGTTGGGAATGAGGGGAGGACTCGGGGGAGGGGGAAGTGTTGCTTTTGACCCATGACTGTGCTGTAGAGGTACCAGTTGTGGAAGATTCCTACGCACAGGGAGAAGGCAACGTAGATCCAGAAGACGATGCGGAGGGCTACTTGGAGCCAGGGGCCGCAGACATCTGTTCCGTAGGCTTCGGCGCCTAGGATGATGGTTGCTATTGCTAGCAGGAAAGTTGGGAAGAAGTAGGTTTCTGTTGGTCGTTGGAAGGATTCTTTGATCTCTGCTGGTCTGTTGCTGAAGCGTAGGGTCATGCAGCAGGAGATGACAGTGAAAAGAACCAGGTTGAGAATGTAGACGATTTTCCCAATGACTGCGAGTCCGTGGAATTGGTGAGGCGTCCTAGCAAGCAGGACTGCGATGCCACCAGTGGCCACACACATTGAATACCAGCTCCAAGTGATCAGGCATAGTCGCTCCTTGAGGGACACCTTGGTATACAGACTCATTCCGACGGTGGTGAAGAGGGTTGGTATCCTCGAGTCTGAAATCTCCCCGTCTATATGTACTCCGCATGCATTGTGGGGGGATATATTTTTTTTTTTCTCTCTCTCACACCAGGGCCAGGCTGGATGGGTCTGTTCGGCGTTGATAACAAATGATGTGCATTTTAGTGGCATCCAGGTACGCCATACACTATGTCTGTGTTTGTTTAGTCCCACATAGCTCATACTAAACTCGGCCTGGGGGTTCCGCTTGTTGGGGCTCCAGATAATTTAGTATAACTAGAATTAATACCCTGATCATTGTGAACTGAACAGCTTCCTTTCGATGCCCGTGCAAGACTTTCAGAGAGTGTAAATGGTGCGTCGGAACCTGGCCGAGCAAATGGCGTTATCAAGAAAATAGGGCTGTTTTAGAGTACAAAAGTGGCGCCGGTCCACCGTGAATGAGACCAATTCCTGGATCGCATCCCGGTGAATCGAGGAATCAGAGTTTGCCGGTTAGATCGGATATTGTCCTCCAAGCTTTCTCTTGGTATTTCTTGTTTTATGCCAAGGTGAGGTTAATTTGCACTAGATTGTCGGATCCAGGGCTGAGACCTTACTCGTAACTCTGTTGTTGCTCGTACGAGAACAACACAACTGATGACCCCTAATGAGATACGAGTAGGCTCACGAGTAAACAGCTCATTAGCTATGCGCTAATTGATAGTCTAACGAATTACTACGAGTAGATAGGGGCTCATTTGCACAACGGTCCACAGCCCTACTCGTACTCGTAGATCTCTGAACAGTCACACATCCTGTTTTGTTTCAGAGAAACCAAATGACGATTTATGCAAATTATGTGCCGGAGTCCCCGCGGAGAAATATATGATCCCCAGCCAAAGACAATCGAAACGCCGAAGACAGAGGGAATGCCCCATATTCGGAGTGATGCCAGGCTCGGATATCACCCTCGGCATCCCGAAGCGGGGCCTAGCGGCAAGCCGAACGCCGAACACGGTCCACGCAATACTCGTACTCGTAGTATTTGTACCCCGGTGTGCTCGGCCAGGATACCTCGGCTTCTCCTAAGATGACAGCTCCTTCACCGGGACGACTGATGCGACTCTATGCCCCAACACAAATAACTGCCCCTGCAAAGCGGGTTCAGGATGGAGCACTTTGTTGGGGATATACGAGTAGCTCTGGAGAGATTATTCTGGAATGAACTGTCAGACAGACCCGTTATTCAGGCAGTGCTATAGAGCTATTGATTTCTCGGCGTTATACTGAGTCGCGTGCGGGCCGTCCCACACGCTTGGCTCTTCACGTTGAGATGTAGTAGTTGTCCTGGCTGAATTTCCAATTGAAAGCCTCGATGTATCATTTAATATACCTCAATCGCAACATCTATGATCGGCATTGAAGGGCTGCGGATACGAGTGAATTCGAAAGCACCACCAGAGATAGATTGGAGGACACACGCAGGCTCCACTGATCTGCTGCGTGTGTTTTCCTCCCCGGGCAAGGCGCACGGAACCAGCCTTCGGATGTAACAAACGCGTGCGAGTGAAAGAACTGGGGCAGATGAACGGCTGCCCACTGTTCATGTTGAAGAGAGTTTTACCTCAATCTTCGTATTCGTAGTATGGTCGTGCAAGTTCAGACGATTCTCCTTGACGACGTGAAGTATAAAAAGAAGACTGAGTCCGAAAAAGCCCTCGGAACGCCCAACCCATTGGTCTCGGTATAAGTTGAATGGGTGCATCGAGCAATTCGGAATGGGACCCTGTAGAGTCGTGCAGAGAGCCATTTCGGTGGCTCCAGTGGCTTCTACCTTAATAAACCCTCTTCACCATAAATCTCAGGTTTGGGAATCTCTTCTCCTTCCATGGTCTGTCGGGTTTCTTCCTTCTGTATCAAATGGGCAATTTCTGAATGACCCCCTTGAAGGGCCCATTGTCGAGACGGTTTATTATGCCACTCGCCAATGTCGGCTCCGATATAAACGGAAAATTGTAACAGCAGTTGGACGAGCTCAAAATGGCCAATATCGGCGGCTTTCGAAATTGGTGTTCGCGTGAAACGTTGGGGTCGACACCTGTGTTCAGTAGTGACTTCACGACATTGACGTCGCCAATATCAACAGCGCAGGGGAACAGCGAATAACCGTCGGGAAGAGGCTAACCAACAGCGTGGGGTGCATTGGCGAGGAGAAGTTCACGGAATGATTTGTCTGCTGTTGCCGATAAAGCGGAGAGTAACTCTTTGTTATTCGGATAAAATTCGTCGCAAGTAGGAGTTTGGCTATTTTCAGGTCCAGGCGTGACGAAGAGTAGTAAAAAGGTGTTAGACGGCGACAATCGTGGGAATCCGGGTCAACTCTTTCAAAGCTCAGAAGCCATTGGACAAGAGTAAAGTAAGCCCCAATGGTTCTCCAAATAGAACCTCTCCACATCCTTACTGAGTTGATCCAGCTCAGTCTGCCCTCGTCCAGAGCAACTAGGACACATTTGTTGTCATCGTGGTCAGTACTGGAAAGAGAAGAAACGAAAGGGGAGAAACTGGAACTTTGGAGAATACTTCAGTATCACCTGGGCAGCAAAATTATCATTCTCAACGAGGGTACCCTGGGAATAAGAGCGAGCCTGAATCGACAAGGAACTACTTCAAGCATGTTAGCGCTGTCCACCCTGGCTAGACGCATGGCGGCGCCCTATATTCTATCGCGTTTCGCGGTGCCAATATTCAATGCAGGATATTTTCGGAGGCGCTTTATGCAGGGGTTTTGGTGGTCAGGGAATGCAACCTTTCTATGAAGATTTTGGTTGGTTTGCGTGTCGACAGCTGGTGAAGTAAGATAGATTCCATGTACAAGAGAAATCTCGAATGGATTTTCGATGACTAGCCCTGTCTAAGCATCAAGCCATTAAATACAATCACGGTAGAAGAGAAACAAAAAGACATCCATAACGCCAGAACCACGCCTTGAATGCCGTTGGTCATCATATTCAACTTGGGGTATTGAGAACGAGATGACAGGAAAGAGCACAAGAGACCAAACAGGATCTACTTGGAGCCCCAACCACGGAGTCTCATGCCCTCTTCAATAGCAGACCAAATACCCTCGACGACCTCACGATCTCGCCAGCGACCACCACCCTCGACGCCATTCCTTTCGTCCCAGCGCTCAACAGCGAAGTTGTCAACGCCACGTCCCCAGCCCTTGACTTGGCTGGGGACGTCCTCGCCGCGCCAACCGACGTAGATGCCGGTTGCGTGCTTGAAGAGCTCGGGTGGGGAGGTCCATTTGTAGGATTTGAATTGCCATGTTTGGCCGGTGGTGAAGACAGCCACGAGACGGTTCCAATATTCGGGCTTGAAGCTGGATGTGCCATCGACGATAAAGAACTTGGTTGGGCGGGTGGGCTTTCCACCGGTTCTGGAACCGATTGCGCTTGCGCTGGGGTTGGATGGATCGCTGTTGATGCGGAGTGGGCGCTCGAGCTTCACTAGGTTGGCGTCTGTTGCGCTGGAGAGGGTGGGGTGGTCTGGTGGTACGAAGATACCATTTTCGAGGAATGTCTTGACGTTCGACATGCGGATGAGAGAGGAGGCGGAGGGCGAGATCAGAATGATAGGAGCGTTGGAGGAGCTGGACTTGCGTGATGATGGCATCGATAGTCCAGCTGAGGGCGCTGGGACAACGCTCTTGCTGCCCGGTTTGGCACTTGGCTGGCCTGGGCGACTGCGGCTTCGGTCAAGGAACAGCTCGGCGCTCTTGCGGACGTGTGAAAAGTCCTATTGCGTTGGGAGTCAGATTCGCTCGGCGGGTCCGGTCTTGATAGTAGAACTCACAGTTGGCTTGATTCCCCGCAGCACGGTGTTGCGATCACCTGTCTTGCGCTCTCCATTGTAAATTTCCTGTAGTCGAGGATCGATCTGCTTTTGTGGGCGACCAGATTGAGCTCCGGTCTGTACTGCTCCTGCGGTCCCACTGGGGGCTGTGGAAACACCGCCAGTCGCACCGGCAGCAATTCCCGCCGCATTCTCAGCCTGAGCTACACCAGCAGCGGCGGCGGCAGCCTCGGCAGCCGCAGCTGCTCCCTCGAGAGGTTTGATGTGGTCGATTTCCTCAGCGGCGCCTTCTAACCAGGTGATAAGGTCGAGGCGCTCGACGAAAACCAGAATCTGAACACTTTGCTCCTTGCCACCTTCTTGTGTCTGCTTCTTCAGCTCTTCATTGAACTTCTCCGCTGAAGCAATGTATTCGGGAATGGCGACATCCTTGTTCTGCCAAGCGAACAGAATACTGCGCAGGTCGACAGCAGATTGGGTTGCCTCTGATATGAATCTTGTGACTGTGGACAGAGGAATTGTTTGAGCGACTGGTTGGGAGAAGTAGAGATGTGTGGCTTTGGCTAGATCTTCCGTGGCATGTTGATCGGAGAGCTCGGACGAGGTAGTCGGCGTTGGGAGGTTGCCAGAGGCAATTGCGCGTCGAAGTGACAGCAGCGGGTCTTGTAGCGCAGCATCTGTTGCCATTGTGTCAGGAGGAGCCCTGGTTGTGAGAGATGTAGGGAGATGATGTTGGAGGTGATCTGAAGAGCGCGCGCATTGGAATCGAAGCTCCGATCTGCCACGTCACGTGATGGGGCATTGGCATACAATATTCTTTTCACTTTTCCATCACAAAGACACATACATTCTGGACTATATGGTATTATATGTGACAAAATGCCATATTTACAATTATGCTTTACCGTTTGCACCATAAGACCAGCAACCTTCGGAGGTTTAGTCACACACTTGACAATATCAAAAACGCCAATGCAGTGCAGGGTTGACATACCGCCACATCCAACTCCATGCCCCAAGAAATGCAGTGATTCCAGTAAATATTATGAGTGTGCCATACTGGGTATCATATCCAGTGCTACCACTCAGACTACCCGAGTCACCCAGCGAGCCTGAACGAAGCAAAATCGTGCTCAACGGACCACTGATCACATTCCCAATTCCTCGCCCACCTGCCAGGAGACCAAAGACAAGTCCAGTCTCCAGAGATGGTGAAGAATCACGTTTGATCTGAGTGATGACCCCAGACCAGGTGGAGCTGAAACCTCCGGCGAAAAAGCCATATGTGATGGAGAAGACAGTAAGAAGAGCAATGGCCGTCTGGGACGAGTCTGAACCAGACGATGCCATGCCCCAGAACAGGAACACGGACAGCGCCGAGCCAATTGACGACAAAAGCATGATGTTGGTCACTGAGAAGCGGTCACATAGTGCTCCAAAAGCTATCCCGCCAAAGACAGATGTTGCGTTGAAGAGAGAGACGAGCATCGTGCCAGTAGTTTGAGATAACCCAATTGTTTCTGTCGAGTATGATGGAAGGTATGTTGTCGGTAGGAAGTATCCGAAACTCTGGATGATATTGCCTGCCTGCAGCATTAGGAACGTGCGTTGTTTCAGGAAGCTCAAATCCAGAGGTCGGGCTGTAGCAGATGATGAGATGGGGATACGAGGTTTCATGAAAGGTAGAGCCAGGAGAGTGGTCAGCAACTATTCAACGATGAGGTCAGTATTTGAACTTGTGTTCATTTCAAACCATTGCCTGGAGCGGTTTTCAAGACTCGGGCGCTAAGATATATTCGGATCATGAGTTGGAAAACGGAGTGAGCATACCGTCGTGACAGTCCAAGCTCTCAATGTAGTGCTGGATCCAAATTTGTTCAAACAAGCACTAGCGATAAACGGAAGGACGACGCCCGTAATGCTCTTAGCAGCCCACATGATTCCAATGGCGAGGCCCTTGCGGCGCAAAAACCACTGATCCAGGTATAAGGAAGATGGGCTAAACAGCAGGCCATTTCCAATAGCGCACATCACACCCTGCGTTGCAATGAGATGCCATACCTGCACCGAGAATGAGGACAGCAGGGATCCCAGGACGGTGATGACCAGACCAATTGGAGCGCAGTAGTACTGCAGACGAGGGTATCGTGTGAGAAGGGTGAAAATGACTGGTGAAAGGAGATAGAGTAGACCCTTGAGTGACAAGTCAGCTCATATCAGAGGTGTATCCCTTCTTCGTAGTTACCGTTGAAGTGGTTCCCACGGTGGCCAAGTCTCCTTTGCTTCCCCGCAGGACGTCATGGGTAGAGTAGTATTCTTGAAAGACACCAAACACAGTTGAGAATCCTAGAATGATGGGTCAACTAACATCTGCCAAGACTGGCGTTTGGTTATGACAGACCCCAGACTGGTAGTTGGATCACACAGGAGGAAGCCAACATCAGCCATGCTGCCTTGCCTTCATCTGCTGGGGCAAGAGCAGGCTGCTCAATCTCGGAGATCACATCTGTAGGTCTGTGTATGTTATTCAGCATGAAACTGTCATTCCGATTGCCTTCATTCATTCTGCAGTCAGTTTTCCAAGAATTATGCGAAAGAAGAGCGAATTGCAACTTCAGGAGGGGTTGTATAAGCCGGATCTTGAGTCATCGAGTTCAACCTATCACAATTCCCTAGACATTTACTCCGATCATCGTAGATTTTTTTTTTTTTAAAAAAAGACCACTGGTCCAAGTTGTCTCAAAGAGTGAAACAAACTACTCTCCAATTTTTGCAAAATGGTATTGTTTGGTGGTAGCTCCATACAACTACTATCCGTTGACTATGATTGGCATTATCTGATGTTAATCTATACTACTCGACTGAAGTCTTCATCTTTTCTAAATGATCACAGAGCCGATTCACTATACCATATCTAGTTTTTGCGCAGACCGCGCCTGTGCCCGTCTACTTCCAAGGTTGAGCGGATACTGATCCTCGAGAAAAGTCTCTATTCGTAACAAAATCTGCGGGTCTACCGGCCATTTGCCCCTGTCTGTTACTCATAGAGCCCTATGAGCATTCCCGACTCTCATTGCTTGACCCGGAAGGGAAAGCAGGGAGAACATATCAAATCAACTAATTATCCACGCAACTACAGAGCATGAGCAGGATACTATAATCCATTCTGAATACCTATTTATTCTTGAATTTGATCTCCCAGCAACTTAGAAGATACTAAGTAAGCCCAATTTATAAGAAGCCAAAAAAGAAAGATTAAAACAGTGATGCTCATCTACTACTATACTATGGGAGTAACACAGTGGTTCAGGAGCAATCTATAGATGTGGAGCATGACCCTGATGAGGGCGTTGGGGTCGTTAATTGGCTGTTATGTGACACTTACCCTGCCAAGAGCCCAGGTCTAATGGTATCGTATTACCCATAAAAAGTACATGTTTACTTGAGCTTACACAAGGAAAAAGTCCACGATCATAAATCATTCTCGTTGATATTCGTTCAAAATTAAACCGAAAGCCCATAAGGCAGAACCAAAAACCAGAAAGGGGAATATTATCTTGAAATCCATGCGCATGGAAGCCCAAAACCCAAGCAATCAAACAGAAAAAGACAACTTTTACCACTCAAGGGGCTCATTCGTCACCTCACCACGGTTAGTCTTAGGAACAGGGGCAGCCTGGACCATAGTGGCACCGCGACGATCACGACGAAGGTAACCACTTCCGTCCAACCAGGGTGTGTCCAGGGTACGCTTGGACTCGAAGGACTTAATCTTAGACTCCATCTGGAGAGTGAGACCGATGTCGTCCAGGCCGTTGACGAGACAGTGCTTGCGGAAGCCGTCGACGTCGAAGGAGATGATCTTGGTACCCTTGGAATCCTTGATTTCCTGGTTAACAAGGTCGACTTCGACTTCGCGGCCGGCGTGGGCTTCGTCTGCGATTTTGGCGAGGGCAGCTTCGTCGGAGACCACAACGGGGAGCATGCCGTTCTTGAAGGTGTTGTTGAAGAAGATGTCGGCGAAGGAGGGGGCGATGATGCACTTGATGCCGAAGTCGAGGAGGGCCCAGGGGGCGTGCTCGCGGGAACTACCACAGCCGAAGTTGGGGCCGGTAACGACCAGGATCTTGGCGTCGCGGTAGATACCCTGGTTCAGGATGAAGTCAGGGTTTTCCTTGTCGTCGGTGTAGCGGAGCTCGTAGAAGAGAGCTGTTCCAAGACCGGTGCGCTTGATGGTCTTGAGGAACTGCTTGGGGATGATGGCGTCGGTGTCGACGTTGGATCGGTCCAAGGGGGCGGCAATGCCCTTCAGGGTAGTGAATGCGGGGAGACCGGTGCTCTTGCCACCGCCAGGAGCGCTGGTGTTGGTGTGAGGCTCGTCATCGGCGGGCTGGTCGAGGACGCGGTCGAGCTCATCCTCGGTTTCGGGGGAGTCGGCCACGGGTTGCTGGACGTCGATCTTGGGGGAGGCCTTGGCGAGGACGGGGCTGGACACGACGTGTTCGCGCACATCGGCGAGCTTGCCGACAATGGCAGCGGTGGCGGCCATGGCGGGGGACATCAGGTGGGTACGGCCCTGGGCACCCTGGCGACCCTCGAAGTTACGGTTGGAAGTACTGGCGCAGCGCTCCTTGGGGGAGAGGATATCCGGGTTCATACCCAGACACATAGAGCAACCAGCCTCACGCCATTCGAAGCCAGCATCCTCGAAGATCTTGTCCAGACCCTCTTCTTCGGCCTGCTCCTTGACCAGTCCAGAGCCAGGAACAATCATAGCACGCTTGATGTTAGAAGCGACCTTGCGGCCCTTGACGACCTTGGCGGCAGCACGCAGATCCTCAATACGGGCATTGGTGCAAGAACCAATGAAGACCTTGTCAACCACGACCTCCTTCATGGGAGTGCCAGAGACAAGACCCATGTACTCCAAGGCACGCTTGCAAGCCAGCTTGCGGGCCTCATCCTCAAAGTCATCGGGGCTGGGAACAACGCCGTTGATTGGGATAACATCCTGGGGCGAGGTACCCCAGGAGATGGTGGGAATAATATCCTTTCCATCAAGGAATATATCAATATCGTACTTGGCGCCCTCATCGGACTTCAAGCTAGTCCAGTAGTTCACAGCCTTGTTCCACTCAGCACTACCGTACTTGGGAGCCAAGGGACGGCCCTTGAGGTACTCGAAGGTGATCTCATCAGGGGCGATCATACCAGCACGGGCACCACCCTCAATGGACATGTTACACATGGACATACGGGCTTCCATGCTGAGACCCCGGATGACGGATCCGCAGAACTCAATCACAGCACCGGTACCACCAGCTGTACCAATCACACCAATGATGTGAAGAACCACATCCTTGCTGGTAACACCAGCAGGCAGCTCGCCATCGACCTGGATGCGCATGTTCTTGCTGCGGCGGGTAATGAGGGTCTGGGTAGCGAGGACGTGCTCGACTTCACTGGTTCCGATACCGAATGCGAGGGAGCCGAAAGCACCGTGTGTGGAGGTGTGACTGTCACCACAGACGACAGTGGTGCCGGGCAGAGTGAAACCCTGCTCCGGGCCGATAATGTGGACAATACCCTGGCGCTTGTCACCCATACCGAAGTAGGTGAGGCCAAAGTCCTTCACGTTCTCCTCCAGGGTTGTGCATTGCAGACGCGAGTCGTTCTCCTTGATGAAGTCGGCGGCGTTCTTGAAGCTTTTGCGGGAGGAGGTGGGAATGTTCTAGAGAGGCAATGTTAGAGAAAAGATCCATAGCTTATAGATTGAAAAGGAATTGAACATACGTGATCGACTGTAACCAGAGTGCAGTCCGGCCGGCGGACCTTGCGGCTGGCGTTCTTAAGACCCTCGAAGGCCTGGGGAGATGTGACCTCGTGGACGAGGTGGCGATCAATGTAGATCAAGCAAGTACCATCTTCTTGCTCATTGACAATGTGGTCCTGGAAGACCTTGTCGTACAAGGTCTTGGGTTTTGAGTCTGCGGAAGGCATGGTGGGGAATATAGCAGAGTACTCTGGATAGTATATAGAGAATAGGGAGATGCAAGGGTATAAATGCCAATGAAAATAGTATAGAAGCTCCAACGAAGAGCGAGTAATTACCAAGAGACCTGGGGAATCTGGAGTCGGAATGACTATTATACTTTTCTGGCTCTGCGGGATCCGCGATGTCGCTGGGAAGCTTCTCGAGGGGCAGCGCCGACCTCGGCCGGTCAGCGGCGAATAGTGGACTTCTGATTGGCTGTCGGTGTGGCTTAGCGGAGGCCCGATGTCGGGAGCCTTTTCAATGTAACAAAACCGAGTCGGCTAAGTGCGCTTGTGGGCGGGAATTGGGGTTGGGCACTTTGTAGGTATTTTGTTTGTAGAAGATGTCGGGGGGTATTGAGAAACACAGTAGCATTATACAATTGTACAGAGCAATAGGACGTTGTTTACATTGTGCTATACTCCGTACTATCTTATACTATGAGCGCACATGCATAACTTTAGAAGCAGTGACGTAGCCCCCGTAATGAAGAGTCATCAATTGGCTGGTCTACACCGCCTCCGATCGGACCCAATTTACTGCCGTTCTATACCCCCTGCGAAGGGCTCTACACCTCTACACTGTGGAATACTATGGAGTACACAATATAATTCCTGAAGTCTGCATCTTAGTTTATCATTTGTTTATTCCAAACGCCAAAGCCCAAGTCTTAATATATCATGAAATCTCCCAGACTATAAAGAGCCCAGATCAACCACAATTCTCTTCCCGGACACCGAACCACTGCGCAGCGTTTCTAATGCCGCATTAATACCCTCCAGGCCTCCCTCGGCATGGACAATCTCCGGTAACGTGAGTGTCGTGGATTGTAGAAGATCCTCCAACCAGCAGACCATCACCTCGCCAACCGCAGGGGCAGTGTGGAAAAGCTTAATGGGGACGGTGTGATATTGGATTCCTAAAACCTGCTCTTTAGGCAGACCAGAAAGTCCAAGGAGATGGGCGTGTCCGTCTGGGTTGAGGGTCTTTTCTAATAGAGTTGCTGTCTCTCTGCCGACGATGTCAATGGCGTATCGTAGCTTGCCCTCGGTCACGCCTCGAATCACTTCCACTGCACGTTCGGGGTCTTGCCGGTCGACAAGAAGGTCTGCGCCGGATTGAAGGAGTTTGGCGCCGTGTCGTGCAGCATCTGCTACGCAGATCACGCGGAGTCCAGCCAGTTTGGCTAGTTGAAGAGCGATGAGGCCGGTTGTGGTGGAGGCTATTCATTTGTTAGCTCTTATACGGCTGTCATGGGTTCCATGAGACATCTCTTACCTCCCCAGATAGCAACCCACTCTCCAGGCTGTGGCTTTTCAGAATCTAATAATGAGGCAAAACACTCTTCTCGAATATCGACCGGGATGTCATTCTTATCAAGCTTGTTGACAATGTTGACCAAGTTCGGTCCTGGTGATTGAGTGATGGAGGAGAAGTCTATTCCGAAAGAGACACCCAGGGCCAGGACTGCAGCCACAAAGGCGACTCCCACAGAAGCCGAGGCGTGGATGGAAGCTGAAGATGGAATGCGGGCGGCATTAAAGTCAGTGGCAATAGCGTATTCTTGGAACGCAGCCTTTCTGATATCTCGATAATCCGTTGATGGCACCAGGACGACGTCGCCGACTCGAAGACGTGATGAACCCTGAGGTACCTGTAATACCAAGCCAGCTAGGTCACGACCGTTGATCCATGGCAGGCTGGGTATACCAAAGTTGAATGCTCTAGAAACCTGAGTGTCAGCGAGCTGCCAGGGGAACAGCCGAACCGAGTTAGACTTACGGTCCTTTCCAGTCGACAGGGTTAAGACCGATGGCAAGAACCTGGAGGAACCAAATTAATATCATACGACCGAGTAACTTTAGAAGACAGTGTGAGCCTATCATACCTTGACAAGAATCTCTCCTTCATGCAAGACCGAAGGAATAGCATGATCATTCACCAGTGCATATTGCTCCCGAGCCCCCTTGAGCAACAAGACTCGCTGCGTTGACTCTTCCGACCGCGGTGAAGCAGGTTCACTCTGCGGCCTTGACTCATTCGAGTAATCTGAAAGCGAGGCCGAGAACACCTCGTTGTGGAAAGTAGTGGGAGTCTTTTGGAACTCTTCCACCTGGAGACATGTAGATGTAGTAGACATGATCGGGACTAGTAGCATGACCTGAAGCTCGGGGAATTCAAATGAAAATACTCTATCTATATTGCTCTAGGTAGCAGTTTATACAGTCTCTCGGGCGAGAAAAGAAAGAGTACGCCTCATTTTAGGGCGGGCCTTGATATCAAATCCATGAGCACGTAAGGTCGGGGAACCTCCACTTCCTGGCCTGGTACCCCTATGGGGGAATTTCGTCTTGCGCAATAAGAACCCATGCTTCCGATATCTGTGCTCATTTCTATTGCTCATGGCGGGGCAGGAATGGCGTGATGGGCCGGTAGATCATGGACCCTACGGAGTACTATAGATGCTAACTAGAGGCATACCATTCCTACTTAAGTATCCAATGGATATTTATGTACAATATCTCAAATATCTCAGATTTTTATATACAATTTGAGAACTGTCAACAACAAGAACCTCTCAAGTTGGAATCGGAAGAAAATAGGATTTCTGGGGATGTCTAATTTGCTGATTTCGACTCAATTTGATGTGATCCGGGCCTGCGATGACGAAACATAGCCGTACCTCGTACAAAACCTTCCGACTTTAACTATCCGATCCTAAGAATGCAGGGCTATTTAAGACTATGAGAGGTCCAAGGACAATACTATTATCTATTTGTAATCTGTCCGGGGTCTATTATAAGTAGTTCGAAAATTATAAGAACGAGCACATACTGAGGTATGATAGTTAGGGTTCCGTAGAGCCGAAGACAACTTCAAAGGTTACAAACTTGGAACGCAAGGCTTAGAGCTACCGGATCTGTGATATTGAAAGAAGCCCCCCTGAAAATGTTATTTTATCACTTCTTCATACACTGGGACAAAGATCTGGAAGTCTTCGCCCCAGATTGTCCCACACGTGCCAACCGTCTAGTCTTGCCTAACTACGGAGTGCACATATTATGATTATTGCAATCAACTAGGCTGTCAACCCCATTAACAACATTAACAAATATTCCAAGATTTGATCTCACAAAAGTATAAGTCCTGCCAATCTACCCGTTTCCATTCCAGCTGGGTTGGGCTATAGTTGATGTGCCGCCAAAGGAGCCGTGCGAGCACGTAATTCCACCCAAGAACGGCAACATTTTAAACAATCAAGACTAGAGCCCTTGAAGCTAGACAAGGCTTAGATAGGGAATTTTCAGACGATGAAACCTTTTGATGCTGTCATTTCGCGGCAAACGTCGTTTGAGGAAGTGAAACCGGAACCTAGAACTTTCAGGGCTTCTATATAGATCTCGTGCGCACTATAACTATAGCCTGTCAAGTCCCATGTCAAAAAAGCTCGAAAATCGTTAGCCTCAGCCTGGAACTTCACAATGACAGCCTCTGAGAAAGATGTCACCCCTAACGATGAGGAGGTTCACAGCACCGGCTCATATATATCGCGCACTGGGCCCCAAAAAGGTTGGTTTGGAAAATTGCTTTCGATGGAGCACCAGCTGACAGCCTAGTCAACTTCTACCGATCGACATTCTTCAATGCTTTTATTCTCGGGTTGTGTAATTTCCTCGCCCCAGGCATTTGGGGTGCCATGAATTCCTTGGGTGGCGGAGGAGAAGAAAAGCCCTATCTCGTCAATGCCGCGAACGCCCTAACCTTTGGGTTGATGGTAGTATCATGTTTCCTGAGCAGTGTCATTGTACGATTCATCGGAATCAAATGGACACTTATTGTTGGCACAATGGGTTACGCACCCTACGCAGCAGGGCTGTACGTGAACAACCGTTTTGGAAACGAATGGCTTGTCCTCCTGGGTGCTGCCCTTTGCGGTATTTCTGCGGGTATCTTTTGGATGGCAGAAGCTGCCATTGCCCTCTCCTACCCTGAGCCGTATAATCAGGGTCGCTTTTTGGGATTCTGGCTTGGTTTCCGTGTGGGAGGACAGATCCTCGGCGGCGCTATTAACCTCGGTATCAATGCCGACCGATCCACTTCTGGCTCTGTGTCGTATACGGTCTATATCATTTTCATTGCTCTGCAGGCGCTTGGGCCTTTTGCAGGTCTGCTTCTGAGCAGCCCTTCCAAGGTCCAGCGTAAGGATGGGATCCCTGTTCGACTGGAGGTGACGAATAGCATTGGGTATGAGCTAAAAGCCACGGCGAAGCTTTGGATCAGTCGCAAATTCCTGCTTATCATCCCATTCATCTGTCAAGCCGTCTACACCGAAGCTGTGATGTTCTCCTATGAAGGATTGTGGTTCTCTGTGCGAGCGAGAGCGCTCGGATCTTTCCTTTCTGGTGTGATTGCACTGATAATTGGAAATGTTCTCGGAGCGTTCCTTGACTCGAAGAGGATATCCCTGGAGAAGAGAGCGCGGTATGCATTCTTCTTCGTCGTTGGATGGCAGGGAATGTGCTGGATCTGGGCGACAGTGGTCACAACGGAGTTCCACAAGACCAACCCGGCAAACGACTGGTCTTCCCCGGGCTTCGGAAGGGCTTTTGTCCTCTTCCTGTTCTGGGTTGCTGGGTTCCAGCTGAACTACATGTATCTGTGAGTTGTATTGTCAGGCCGATTGGTTCATTGAAAGCCCGTTAACTGGAAATGAACCAGGTTCTTCTTGGTGGGCAATCTCGCGGAAGACCAAGAAGAGGTCGTACGGATTGCAGGCTTGTTGCGTGGAACAGAGTCAGCTGCTCAGTGTGTCAGCGTAAGTATTCACAATATCGGGGGTTCGTGTTCTAAAGGCTAACGAGACCAATTTAGTACGGCCTGAGTAGTGTCAATATCATGGCGGCTGTGGGTAGCATTTACCTGAATTTTGGACTATGGGCCATCGCCATACTGCCTGCCTGGTTGGTTGTGAAACAGATAGGCGGAGTGTTCGGAGACAAAAAGATCGAAAGAGAGGCTCGGGGCCTACGAGAAGCCTCGGACCACGAGTGATATGCCGACACAGGGTTGAAGAATGGTATGGATTTAATCGGGGTTTCCTTCCCTCTTGCTTCTGTTGATAATATATACATTGAAGAATTTTTATTTTCAAAATAGACACTGAGCTTCGTAACGATGGGTTACGCCTCAAGCTATGCAATGAATCCGAACTCTCTATTGTCGTGATCAAAAACCAGTAACGCGAGGCGATGTCGGACAAATAGTCCAATGAGCCCACAGACAGTTTGCACTGCAACCATGTGCCACGCCAGATGGTCTTCACGCATTGGGCCCATCCATACCAGCCAAAGGTTCAGGATAGTCAGATTTGTTGACTCAGTTATCTGGCCTTGTTCGTTTTCCGTGATACGCACTAGCCGCAATGCATGCAATATGCGCAGTGCGGCGTCAACCATCGGTGACGGAGCATTTGCCCATTCCGTGACAGAAGCGTCCAAAAGGCCAGTAGAAGCGCTGAACTTCGGCAAACGGTGTCGCGGACAGGGGATGATCTTGAATAGCTGTGGAACTGAGTAGACAAAGTTGAAAATTTGAGGAATGAACAGCAACAGCAGGGTTTTGCTGAAATGACCCAAAATACCAACAACGGCAAAGACCATACCCGCGAAATAACAGTACGTATCTCCGACGAATACCCTTGAAGGGTACCAATTGTGCCACATCAGAGCTGCTGATACCCCAATGAAGGGCAACAGGAAGTAGATCGACAGCAAGTGGGAGTCGGTGGCAGGGTGCGGGTATGGCGTAATAGGCGCCAGGTACATCGCATCATTGAACAACAACTGGACGGCGATTACCAGCGATTGTGCAACTTCGATTCCGTTAATACCCGCCAGCATGTTGATTGCGTTGGGACAGAAGATAGCGACTGCTGCCATATACAAATAGTACAGCCATCCTAGGTCCACGGCGTCACCCAGGTAGGGTTGCAGCGGCACAGGAACGACAACTTGCGTGACACCGAAGTCAACGAAGTACACGATCAGCATGGGGATTGCCGAGAAGGCAGGAATCAGGACTTTGTGTCTCCAGCGGATATCGAATAGATCATCTCCGATTCCGAGAATGACCACCGATTGCAGGGACAAAAGACCGGAAAGGTAGGAGGCAAGCTATTGCATGTTCAAGTCAGTTCACCCTCATTCTTTGAGAGTAGTGTGAGCTCAAATCTCACCTTGCTGTGCGGGAATCGGTGCAAGAATCGACCATTCTCGATGTGTTGCGATTCAATGACAACATCGCGGTTTCCGCCGCCAGAAGTGGCAGCTACAATATCTTTGTAGAATGCAAAAGGGATGAAGACAATAAGAGCCATCAGGTAAACCACAGCGCAAACTGCACCCATAGTTTCGGGGCTGGACCTCGGAGTTAGTGACTAGACCGCATGGAAGAAGTGATACATACATCTCGGGCCGGCTTGGCTTGGCCATATCTTTGCCCTTCAAGCCCGCCTTCAAAAACACCGGTCCGAGCCATCTTATCAGACTGAAAGCCACTGCAAACACAATGGCACAAATAGCAATCGAGGCAACGAGAGGTGCTCCATCGCCTTGAAATGTAGTGTTGAGGATCGCTAGCCCGGCACCCACCAGTGCTAATAGGCGCCAGGTTTCTGAGCGTGACAGGGTACTCGGATAATGCATGGCTGGTAGATGAACAGGAGAGGTTTATCCCTGACAAACCCACATGTGCACACACACAAATCAATCCAGAGGAAGTCGCCTTGACGCGCAATCTGTCTTCACACCCGATAAGCTTATCGTGTTCTGCTGACATTATCCTCACCGCCCGAGGAAGCGGTCAACACCATCCCGTGATGCTTGCGACCAAGAAAGGTAAGGCGACGACCATTTGTTTCATACCTCATCCGTGCAGATGCATAAAATCCAAGTCATTGGCTCAGTTGTCTAATTCGTCAATTCTATAGTTCTGACAGTCTCAATGGGGACAGTGGAGCGCCCCGAGATCACGGCTGGATTTGCCGACTTCGATGCTGGCCATCGGGATCTGGTCACCGTCACCAGGTTTAACTTCTATGGCAATCGTATTGTGACAGCCTCCTCCGACCACCGGATGAAAGTATGGGATCTCAAGGACGGGCAATGGCAATTGATAGACACGTGGCGTGCCCATGATGCTGAGATTCGCGACGTACGTCTCTAAACAGCCGCTATCGGAGAGCTTCCGCTTGTTTCACTTGCTGATCATCTGTCGCAGGCTACATGGAACGGTCCATTCACAGGCCAGCATATCGGCAGTGTCGGAGAAGACATGAAGTTAAAGATCTGGCAAGAAGATGTCACCCAACCCCCGAACTCGGGACGGCGTTTCAGGTCTATCTTTCGCATGACCGCGCCGCAAAGGCATCCCTTTGTCTCATTGGATTTTCGCAACATAGACTTGGAATCTTGGCTAGCCGTAATCACCCGTGATGGCTACCTCATGATAATGGAGCCGGTCAGCCCGGATAGCCTCGCGGATTGGCAAGCCGTGGACCAGTTCCGAGTATGCACTGCACCCGAGCGTGGCGAGGAAACAAGTTTCAAAGTCCAATTTCACCAGGACCCTACCGATATCACTCATACTCTGTTGCCAGATACCGATCGGAAAAGTTTGTCGCTCATCGTGGCTGCAATGGACACAGTCAAGATCTACCGCACAGATGCAAACCGACGTTTCTACCATGCAATTGAACTAAATGGACACAGCGGGCTTGTTAGAGACATTTCTTGGGCTAATGGCTCTGTGCGCGGCTACGATCTTGTCGCAAGTGGCGGCAAAGATGGCCTGGTTCGCATCTTTGAAGTGTATACAGCGCCAGCCGGCCAGGCATTCCATAACAACGGTCGAAAGGCGGAGCGTCGTATACAGCCACAGTCCCCATCGCTTCGGTCAACATCACAATCTGGGATCGGCTCTGCATTGGCGAGTCGAGTACCAGACTCGGCAAATGACCGTCAAGCTAGTGGGGATGCTCAATTCCGACACTCATTCAAACAAGTGGCTTGTATTGACAGCAAACATCTCGATGTATGGCAGGTTCAATTCTCGTTCTCAGGTGGGCTTTCCCTTTTACTACTCGAGTAGTCGCTCTTGCTAATCTTGCTGGTAGGCGACGCATTGATTTCTTCAGGTGATGATGGAACAGTGCGGTTTTGGAAGCGCTCATTGTCCGGGGAGTGGCTCGAGTTCGCTGAAACGGACTTGGCTTCTCAATGATCGGTGGCATTTTGGCTACTTCTTGGATGTCCAACACTCATGCCAGAAAGTGCTCCTCGTGCTCTTCCAATCTGACGAATACCATAAGCACCTCGCGATCCACAGGTCTGGTACTGTAATGTTGCTTCATGGCGACATTTCGGCCCTCAACTTAATCACTTTCATTTTCAACCAGAGATACCCTTCCCAATCAATATTTCGATATTTCACAATCCACGTCATGTAGATTTCGAATCAATACAAATTTGCACTTCCATGTCAAAGATTAATACCTAGGTACGATCGGTTTTGTACCTGTCGGCGAGGTAAGGAAAGAACGATGTATGGAGATTCCTTTGCTAATTCGACAACCTCAGCACCCTTCGAGCTGCCATATCCTAAACCCCCTTCTCTTATTTCCTATAGCACTTCATTATCTATATTCATTGTTGACCCACGATGGCTATCGGTCCGACACTCGGCACCGGCCTATTCATCGGCGCTGGCCAGGCCCTCGCTGTTGGCGGGCCCGCCTCGCTACTCCTGTCGTACATACTCCTCTCGCTCCTGACCTATACCATGACTACCAGCATCGCAGAAGTCTCTGCTCACATGCCATCGCGACACGGGACACTAGTTACGAATAGTTACCTGTACTTGTCAAGCAGTGTGGCATTCGCATCGACCTACCTCCGGTGGTATACGCTCGCCCTCTTCGTGCCATATGAAACCACCACAGCAATGGTCAACCTTGGTTTGTGGAAACCAGGCAGCGCAGTCGGGTCCAGATTGGCTGTCATCACGGCGATTGTTGTGGGAAGCAATTTCCTGCCGGACAAAACCTTCAAGGCCTCAGAGCGTTTGTTCACCTGGATCAAGATCGGGACAATGGCGACTCTGTTTGTTCTCGCCCTCGCCCTGGGACTCGGGGGTCCTGATGGACAAACAGCTTGGGGATTCAAATACTGGAAACACCCAGGAGCTATGAATGAGTACTTGACCCGAGGCATTTGGGGACGTGTCTTGGGCTTTTTCCAATGTCTTCTGGACGGCTCTGTTGCTTTCACATTCGCACCAGAACTCATTGCACACCACGCTGAAGTTCCTCCAATTGGTGGTGGGGCTACCATCCTGGGTTCCGAAATTGCAGGCAAAGTCACGTCTGATGTGCTTCAAACGGCCTTCCCTTACATCATGAGCTCATTAGCGATGGGAGTCATGGCTCCCTTCAACGAAACGCGCTTGACCAACAATGGCACAGGCTCTGGCTTTTCACCCTACCTGATCGGACTCAAGGATGCACAAATTGGACTCATCCCTACGATCGCAACCATTGCGATCTTGCTCTCCTCGGTTGCTTCTGGACGATCCTTCTTGTACCTGTCTTCTAACACACTGTGCGCCATGTCAGAATTTGGCCATGCCCCTTCGATCTTCTCTACACGCAATCGCTGGAATGTCCCATACATTGCCGTTGCGACATCCAGTGTGTTTTCCGTCCTCGGCTTCATATCTGTGAAGCAATCGAGCTCACTCATAAACAATTACCTCCTTCGTCTTGTCACGAGCGCCGGTTTTATGTCCACTTTGGTATCATGTGCGGTCTACCGTCACTTCCGTGGGCGACTGAAAGTGAATCAAATCACCCACCGGTACCGCTTCGCCGTGCAACCATTCGGCACTTACTTTGGAATGTTCGTCAGCACCCTGCTTTTGCTCGGTGGCGGCTTGTGGGGTGGAGTCCAGGGCAGGGTGGATGGGCCTCGCAGTATGCGATTCCTCACGTCATACCTCAACATCGCTGTTTTCGCCCTCTTCTTCATGCTGCATCGATTCCAATACATCTTGCCGGTGGTCGAGGTTGAAAGGCCGATCGAGCTCAGTCGGCGACGATGGGCAGATCAGGATGGACCTCCCGAGGTTCGGCTGCCCAAGTCGCAGAATCGTCGACGTAATAAACTTGATGCTATTCCCGAGAATGTTGGGGCGTTCGAGTTGAGCCTGAGTCAGACTGGGTTCGAAGGAGCCTGAATTGAGTACAGCAGGATACACCAAGTGCAGTGCCGATGAAGACTAGAAGGCAAATGTGTTAGTTCGTCGTTGTAGGTAGATTATTATTATGATTTGCGTTGTCATTTCCCCTCCACCTTATAGACCTAGAAGTGGAGTCTTGAAGCCCTCCCATTCCGGGCGAATCAGACCCGGAATTTATGGTCGATAGTCTGTAAATTTCAAATTGCAAATCGCATACAAAATAATGCGGTATTATGCTGGGATTAGTTGTATCCTTTCGCGTCCACACTGACCTATTTCCCCCCTTTGTTACTATGTGGCAAATGGCTCAAAACCGACTTAGCGGAACAAGTTTCCCCCTTTCACAAGTCACACTTTCATTTTCTCCCCAGGCTCTCTCTGCCTTTTTGTCTTTGATCTCAGGTCCATAATAGCTTATGCTTGATTTACAAACTCTGGACCCCTCTTGGATACTTCTTTTTCTTTTTCTTTTTCTTTTCTTCTTTCTTCTTTTTTCCCTATTATTCGTATTCACCTCCTTGATCCTTCACCTATGCTTTTTCTGAAATATCGTCAACCCCGTTTTAGTCGGCGGTCCGGAGTACGGAGTACTCTTTGTTGGAGCCCTATATGCTCTGGGGTCCCTTGCTTCTCCACCGGTCTTTCCCGAGCAGAATTTTGACATCCGTTTTGTCTTCTAGAAAACCCCATATCAGGGGAAGACATTCCTGGTCTACAGGTCTACATCGTCCACCGTCCCCATTCATTCGATACTTGCCGGGTGTGTGGGCCGGTCTTACTGACGCAGTTAGCGGCTAATGATCTATCTCTTCCCGGAGCACGGAGTACGGAGTACTGCAGCCACTATGGCTCTTCGTGTGTTTCCAGCTCTCAATGCGGACAGTTTCGATGAGAGCGAGAGAGGCTATCTCAGCGATTTCCTCAGATCCCCCGATATTCTCTACTAACTGCCTAGATGCTCACCTTTCCAGTTCCTTGGCATTCCCCGTGACTCTGTTGCCACGCTAACCCCCAATGGGTCTAGCGGATACCGAAAACGGCCAGTTCTGGATGTGACAATACGCGGTATGAAATACCGTATGGAAACACGACTGTGACCAGACTGAGTTCCCCTTCGGCCACTTCCAGGCCTGTTCAACTGGGTTTTTTTTCTTTCTTTTTCGTTTTCAGGTTTCTAAGCCCGTTCCCATTTTTACTGGGCCTTTTCTTCCTGCCTTAGGCCCACGTAGCCTCCTCGTTCGTCTGTTTCCAGTTCACAATCGCCCTCTTTTTCTCCTTTTCGCCCCTTCGCGCGCTGCCCGTCTCTCACTACTTTCCTTCCTTTCGATCAACACACTATTTTCTCCTTTGAAACCTCGTCGTTTCGTCTCTGTTCACCTACGCGACCTCATCCTTCCCCCCTCAACCTCGATCTCTCCCAGATCTCTCCTGCACCCCCCAATCGCTGGCTCTCTCGACTTGCCGATCCTTCATCGATTCGAACACAAAGACCATCCTACTCTCGCTCGCCATCGCTGGGATCTTGTCGTCTGCGCAGGTCACTTCCCAGCACCCTTAAGGACCTCGTCCTCGATCGTGAAACGCGTCTACCGTCCCTCCAGAATCGCGTGGAAAGCCCCTTCACCCACAAGAAGACCTGATATGCGACGTGGATCGTGGGCGTTTGGTTGAACCTCTGTCAAGAGATCATCATTTTGTCTTCGCCTGAGAGGGGGTAATCTGTCGGCTATGACAGATACCTCCTCCCTCGCCATCACGCACGCCACAACGGATTCCTATCCGGTTCCCGCTTCTCGCGGGTCCCCCGCTGCCACCGATGGCGCCGTCTCAGACTCCGGTGCACCCGACGAAGAACCGTACACCATCAAGTGCATTTGCTCGTTTCAAGAAGACGATGGTAGCACGGTATTCTGCGAACGGTGCGATACATGGCAGCACATCTCCTGCTATTATCCCGGATCGAAGGTACCAGAGGTGCACAATTGCGTTGACTGTGAGCCCCGGATCCTGGACGATCGGCGTGCCCACGAACGACAACGGCAGCGGCGGGTCCGAGAAAAGAGTGAAGATGGGGACCGGAAATCCAGGCGTCCCGGCAAGACCCAGAAGAGGAAGACGAAAGAGACAGATGTGAACGAATCAAATCTTCAACGACACGACTCCAATGCTCGCGATCAGCCACCTACGAAGAAAACTAAGGGGTCTCATCGTGCTTCCGCCTCTGTCAGTGGCATGCCCAGTGCCCCTGCTGAGCAGCGAACCCGTCGATCCTCCACCTCAGTTGCGATGAGCCCCACGAATTCCGACCCTTCCATCCCCCTCTACTCGAACGAATTCCTCCGCCTCTATGACAACGACCAAAACTTTGTTGAATCAGACAGCAACCTTCTACCCACAGTACACTTTATCGATACCATTATGGGTTGGATACGCGACGGGGACAATTTGAATCGGTTGACCGAAGGACTGCCCCCCACAGAATTCGCGCAAAACTGTGTCGCGGCATACGATTCTCCTTGGCCGAAACTAACGACTCACACTTTTACGGATTCAACGACAAAGATCGGCGGGATACATCCGACGTTCAAGGTATTGAAGACTCAAGACCCAGTACGCAAGAATGAAGTCGTTGGCGAAATCTTTGGTGCGCTCGGCACTGTCGAGAATTATAAGTCAAACCCTGACAATCGGTGGGAGACATTGCAACACCCCGAACCTTTTGTCTTTTTCAGCTCGCAGCTTCCCCTATACATCGATAGTCGCAGGGAAGGGAATCAACTCAGATACATCCGGCGCTCGTGTGATGCCAATGTGATGCTGAAGATCTACATTACACACGGTCAACAGTATCACTTCTGCTTCATCGCCAAGCAGGACATTCCTGCTGACTCAGAAATCACCACCATGTGGTATCTTGATCCGACTTTGGCCCTGGCATACACGCCACCGCCCAAACAAGGATCGGAGGCTTCAGATAATATGTCCGAGATAGAGGTTGCTGCAACCTGCATTAGCAACACTCTCTCCAACTACGGTGGCTGTGCCTGTGAACGAGGTCAGAATTGTCTACTTGCCAATCTTGATCGTCGATCCAAACCAGCCATTGGCAAACAGTCCAAAGCGAGGAACAAGTCCAAGGCCAAGGCCAAGGCAGTGGCTTCTCCAATGGAAGCTAGTCGCGCGTCCGCAAGTCGCGCCGGAAGTGAGACAACAAAGCACCCTGACGAAGATGATGCCGCGACCGATACTCGTTCGACTTCTGGTTCTGCGCGAGATAGAGGCACGCACAGTCGCGATGTCAGTCCAACGGCTGCCAACCCGCAATCCTTGCCAGAACTTTCCAGCCGAGAAAGACGCAAGATTGCAGATGCCGAAAAACAGTTCCAGCAGCTGGAGAAGGGGGCGGTCGGTACCAAACGGAAAAAGCGTGTCAGTGGTCTTCAGTCAACTTCCGCAACGCATTCAACGTCTGGCGGAAGGGGCAAAGCTGATACAGAAAAGCTCGGGTTGGATGGTGATACGCGCTCGCCTTCCGTCACTTCACCAGCGACAACGGCCCCTAGCCGACAGGCGAAATCGCGGAAATCGACCACCAGACCTCCGCCCGAAACGATCAACCGCTACCAACCATCTCCTTTCCGGCGCGTCGGCCCTTATGTCGATGCCTCAACACAATTGTATCCCAACCAGGTCGAACATGATACCATTTGGGACGAACATACGAAGCGCGGGTACAGGGTCGGTGTCTTACCTCTCCAGTTCATGAACAGAGCGCGGTTCATTTCGGGATGCAATTATGAGCAGGACTCTGCCCAACAGCGTGCATGGACTTCTGGCGATAAAAGTGTCATCCCGGCCGGAGTGATTCCGTGGTGGTGCCCTTACTTTCCTTATCCTCTAGACGATAGGTCACACTATGATTTACTCCCAGAGGATGCCGAGATTATGGGTATCCCAGTTGATCATGGGCCTTTGGAATTGCCATTGCGCTGGTCTTACCACCAGTCGAAGCAGCCCGTGAGACCGGTTAACTATGGCAAAATCACCTTGGCTGGAGTGTCTCATGTCCATCCTCAGGCTTCATCGGCGCAGGACGACATTGTCATGCGCGAAGCTCCTTCAACCACCGAGAAAGAGTCATCTGTAAAGACCGATGATGCCAGCAAGCCGGGAGATTCTGCCCCATGGCCGTCCACTGTCGCTCACAGCACCCCGATCCCCAAGGCAGACCACCGTGGTGATCTCCAGATCTCGATGCCACCACCGAGTGCTTCGAATATCCAATCGGCGCTCAGTCCTGGATCCAACTCTGTGGGGAGCTCTTCATCCCCCGTTTTCAACGACACTCCTTCCTCACTCCCTTTCGTGGCAACCTCCACAGCCCCTGTTGCCACTCCCGCCAAGAAAAAGCTCAGTCTTGGTGATTACCTGATGCGACGTGGAACAATGGCCAACACCCCCACTTCGGATAGGTCTCAGGCTCCGACCCAGGAAAGACCTGCGGATCCCGTCTGGGTCACTGGGCCTCAGCACTTCCTTGCTATCACCACACTGCCCGATGACTATGGACAGTCGCGCGCGCACGCCGATGCAGACGCCGACAAGAACGAGCCCTTCAGCTCTCGGGATGTGCCAATGGAGGACGCGCCAGAACCCGCACCCACCAACACCCAGTCCGTCTCATCATGAGACGACCCACATCGCAGCAATCGTGGGCTTGTGATAAAAGGCAAATCTTCCAGATTTAACGTTTCTTACGACCCAAAATTTCTTTTCTCGTGTGACTTCATTTCGATACCTTGCAGCGAGGGGGACACAGGCGTTCGGACTACGTGTTTTCCATCTTTTTCAACTTTTTCTCCGGCTTTATTTTCTTTTTTCTTTCCGATTTTCGGATTCTCCGGATGGCGTATGGCGTGGGTTTGGGCTTTGGTTCTTGGTTATGGGAAATACCATCGGTTGGGTCAGGGTCTTTGAGATGCTCAGTACTTAAGTACTTGACCGTTTGTCGGATCTAGTTATTCTTTTGGGCCTCTGGGATGGGGCTAATAGCTTGTATGAACACTGTTGATTAATAACCATTAATTCTTACTCTTGTAGCCCAGGCACAGTAGGCTAAGCACACAATCCGACTTGAGAAGATTCAAACAAGTCATTACTCCTAGGCGCTGAGCCCCTCCCGGGGTGGTTTATATTCGTCCAACTTTAGAAGGATGTCCTTCTAAAAGTTAATCATAATCATTATTTCTAGTAAAACAGTCTAATATACAATCTTAGAAATCACGAACGAGACGCAACAGCCTTCAATCTCGGCCCATCCGCCGAACTCTCCAACCAAACATCCATCTTCCTAGAAGTGTCCTCCATCCCCTTCAGAGTGGGATCCCTCTTAAAATTTCCCTCCCCATCAACCCTCAAATCCGAAAACAACAAAGCCAAAGGCGAAGATTTCCAAATAAACTGCTTCCTCGTATGAAACACAACAACAACCAAGAACCCCATACTCAGCACAACAAGCGCACACGGCAATATCATCCACAGCCATCGAACCTGAACATACGACTGCGTCGTCCAGGCAGTGCCATTCTTCGCAGCGTGGCAGACTTTCGACCGTGCATGGATGGATAGTGATGAAGCAAGTGATTCGAAAACAGAGTTGATTTCCGTGTAATTCCCATAGTACCCATATAAAGCTTCTGCTGTATCAGAAGACCAGGATGGTCTGTTGCTGACGAAGCGGGAGCCTGTTCCTTTTAGGAGGGGGGAGAGGGAATTTGACATTGAGAGGAGGGATAGCCAGTTTACTGTGTATGTGCAGTTTGGGCTGGATGTGGTGTTTAGTCTTGAGCCATTGAAGTAGCATGTTTCTGGGGTTATGGCTATGTTTTTGAGGGCGAGGCCTGTTGATGAGGCATTGGAGGTTGCCACGTTTGATGTTATTGTTTCTGTGAATTTGCCGCCTGTTACGGCTGCTTTGTAGGTGTCCACGCAGTAGTAGAGAGCGCATTCTGTGGCGCTGACGGGGGTCATTCCGTAGCCGTCTGAGGATATGGCTGTGAAGTTGAGGATGACGGCTAGGTCTTTGGTGTCTAGCTCTATGAGGGGTTTGTTGCTTGTTGCATTCATGAGGTAGTTCATGTTGCTGGCTGTGTGGAAGTAGAAGCCGTTGGGGAGGGTGTAGTTGTAGGCGGACATGTAGGAGACCATTCCTGCTTGTTTTTTCTTTTTCAGGGATGATGTGATGTTGGCGCAGCGACTGCAGAATCCTAGGGTTTGGTATGGGGTGAATGTGCAGTTTCCTGTGGCACAGTCCATGAGGGTATTTTTCTTGTTGGGGGTTTGCTCTTGGAAGATGCCTGAGTAGATGGCGCCGAGGGTTGAGAGGGGCACTTTGTTCATGCCAGGTCCTGCGCCCTCGTCCCAATCGTTGTATTCATTTGAATCACAGATTTGGATTGAGGATTTCCCTGGTGCTTGGACGGATCGTTCTTTGATTCCCATCACTTGTTGGACGAAAGGGTCTGTAGCGGCGGCAATGACCAGCACCAGACATCCAAAAGTGACTAGATGGCTGTGATGATATGAGTCGAGCCATTCTGAATATTGATAGATGAAGACACTCACCGAGGAACAAAACGAAAGAGAGCAATGAAAGCCCCCGCAGGCCCACGACTAGCTGCGTCTAGTAGCGCCAAGTCGCTGAGCTTATTTCCTTTGCTGAACCACGACCATTTGAGTTGTGACAAGGCTTCTGTGATGATGAAGACCATGGCCGCCTTCATGACCGTCGACAAGACGGACACCAGCGCGTTCAGTGTGATGCCATATGGCCAATCTGGCATTGGTTTCCCATCGTACATATACAGTACGACAATAATAGCCGCCAGGAAAATGACCGACATGAGACAACTAATAAATTCCAGGGTCCAGCTGGAACCCCAGAAAATCGTTGACTCCAAGACTGCTTGCTGCTCTGCCGACGACAGCGGTCTTGACTTTCTTTTCTGAGGCAAGTCATCGTCAAGGCGGACATAGCTCAATGGGTATTCATCCTTGTAGTGCGCCATGGCTGGTAGGCTTCAGTGTTCTGGAGAATGCATTCAATTTCAATGTTCAAATTGAAAGGAATTGAGTGGAAATAGGGGAGAAGACTGATGAACCAACATATTTTCCTAGAGTAGTAGTGGAAGTGAAACTAGGGTCATAATGAGTGGGGATGCAAACCATTCTTCAGGCACAGACGTCCATCTATTCCTTGTTGGGGACTTAGCGTCGGTGATGGGGCTACTAATTGATCATCCTGCCCTAACGGCGTTGTTCATTCTGGAAGATGTGGGCCTCCAACGATCGCCTGAGACATTGGGGCGTTGGTTTCTTGGAACATGGAGTTTTTTATTGACTGCATTTTCATTTTATTGGCTTGACATCAACAAAACGATAACTGTTAGTACAGAGTACCTCGCAGTTGCAAATCAAGCCTCCTTAGTGCGTCAATGGCGTTGACGTTGTGACGTGGGTGACATTGGGGTCTCGGGCTGAATTTTGTGTCTACTCGTACGAGTATCCGTAGATCTTCAGCTCAGCCGGATTCTTGAAGATCGACTCCCGTGTATAAATAAGGAAACATCTTCGAAGCTCCCGGCAAAGTCCGGATAGAAGTGGGATCAGGATCAATGCTTACGAGCATCCTCGATACGAGAAGGAGGCGTAGGAAGGTGTATAAATTCACGACCAGGGGCCAGATGACTAACTTGATGCCTTGACCGGGACCTCGGGAGGTGCCTGATTTTGGGCAACAAACACATTACTCGTACACAAGCCATGCTTCACGCTTTTATCTCAACCACTATTGCAAGCTCTCCGTCACTACCTCGTCAATGGGGTAACATTTGAACCCTCAAAATACACTCCGCGGGTGATATTATGAATTTAGCGTCTGAATATATCGAAATTGACCATTCTGAATGCCTTGAATAGCTTCACTTTCGTCAATTAGTACGGGCGGTGCCTAAGATGGTATGGGACCAGGCTGTTATGACGCATCTTGAGGCATCAAGTTCATTACTGCTCAAGTGGGATCTTCAAAATGGTGCGGGAAAAGATGGCTTTGCGACAGTTTCCTTCTGAAGTAAAAAAAAAAAAGAAATATTGGAAGGATTTTAAACTAGTTTATTAAATAAAGCCTGAGATAGAGAACAAAGAATTCATGTTGCAAAAGTCACATCCCATGATAGCGGGCTCTGCCATTCTCAAGCAGCGGACGCTGAAAAATGGGTGGGACTCTTTGCTCCAAGTTTTCGAAATATTGACGTAAATGCTTGTTGAAACCCATGGCGATATTGGCGATACGAATAGACATAATCGGGGTATTGGCGAACCTTGGAGGGCATCGTGAATAGCAAGGATTTGAACAGCAAGGATTCACCATCAATAAAGAGGGTAGCAATTGAGGCGAGACAAGCAGTACAAAGTGCAACCGTTTGTGCCAAGAGTAAAAAAAGGTTTGCCATTCCATTTGGCGCGTTCCATGTAATCAGACCATAACCAAGCCCCGCGAGTCCGACGAAGATTCTGTGTTGGAGAGATGGGCGTTCAAAGAAAGAGAAAACCAGACAAGCCAAAATTTGCGAGCCTGCCGCTAAAGGGAGCCAAAGGGTTTCATTCAGAATTCGAGTGTGAACTGCATAGACGCTCACGGCACAAGCCCCCATAATGAGCAAAAGAAAGAGCAGTCGGAACTCTAGAAAATCCATGGCGGAGCGCCGAAATCCAAAGTGATAGACTTCGCTCCACGGCCGTGTTGCTCTCCGGAATGATACTGTATTCGTTCCAAAAAAGCAACTCAACCAGCGATGGCTTGTGCACGAGACCCATTGTTTTGCAATGTTCGATGGTTTTCAGTATAATGGTTTCGGTGTCTTTTGGAAGTGCCTCCTTAGGCGAGTTATTGGGCGAGATATTAGGCGAGATGTGGCTTATCATGAACGGCCACACAAAGGACCCGAAAACCCAATCTCCCATTACAGAAGAGGAAGGACTCAAAATCAAAATTGCCAACAGAGAACGTGAATAGTGCTTACGACGACCACGGCAACATTTAGCACCAGAAAGGGCATTCGGGAATCGTTCAAGCATGTCCTCCCAAATCTGGGGGAGTATCCATCGATTTTGATCCATATCAGATTGGAGGAAACGTTGTGAAGGAAGTATAGACATAACAAGAGGGAGCATAAAGTAGGCGACGATGCTGATGTGTATGGACGAAGTCAAATACAGAATCTTGGAAAGAACACTAAAAGGATAGAGAAAGGCGTTGTAACGGGACAATTGCTGCAGCGGGACGACTGGAAGCAGAAGAGGAGAGGTCAAAGGAAACGAGTTCTCGTGCGCAGGATCGGACCAAGGATGAGTCTGATACCATTTTACAGCCAGAAGGTCCAAGACATTGTGTCCATAGCCGTGGCTGAAGAATATTGGAGGGAGTAAAGTTTTGCTGATCTGGGACACTGTCCCATCCGGTTTGGTGTACTCGCCTTGTCGGCCGAATAAAAATCGAGTTGTGCCTTGAGATATGAGGCGGGGCGATAGAGCCCGATCAAGGACGTTTGTGAGTGATCCAAGCCGTTCCTCGAGGCTCGCCTCTTGGGCCAAAAGAAAGGCTGCCAGTAGAAAGAACCCCTGGTCTAATGCGTGCAATAGTGGTGGCCATACTTCGACCCCAAAACCATATCTGGGGGACGTCTGGTTGTGTCTAACACCAAGTCGATCAAACTCGTGTCTATAAACAGTATATGATGTTAGTTTACCGATTTATTTCTTTGTCGGATCAGTTCCGATACTCACGCAAACCAGATATCTTTTGAATGGACTGCCAGAACTGAATAGCATGAGAGGTACTCTCTTGGCCTTTGTAGTCTTGGCCTTTGTAGTCCTGGCCTTTGTAGCGACTTGTCTTTTGCTTTAATTTCGTTCTCTTTCGCTTTCAGTGACCATGGTCGAGTGAGCATAGCTTCAAATTGAACCATGATCTGAAACATCTGACGATCACCGAAGATAATCGAGCGCTGCAGCAGTGTATGGTCATTTTGAAAGAGAATTTGGTCAATCAGCCGCGTTTGTGTTACGTCGTCGACAGTTTCAAATCCGCTGTCAGCACGCTGCGGATCAATATGATTGGTACAAGCATGTTTATCTTTGGTACCCTGCTGTGTATTGAATTCCCCATGTTCATCAATGTACATTGTCAAGTACAGGCGGCAGAAGGCGGAATGGCGAGCATTTAATGCATGGAGTAAAGGGCTCTCAAACTGGCATAACGGCTTTTCTGAGTGCGTTGCAACTGCCCTGATGGTATCTTCAAGCCTTGCGCTCCAGAGGGGGCCGTGGCAGCACATTCGCCAAAAGACTTCTGGCGTTGACCAACCTTCTTCACAGACCGAAAGCCATCCCTGAGCTGCAGCGTCCATGTATCCCTTGACAAGTCCCTCATGTTCCCAGGGGCTTTCTTCAATGGAATGGAGCGCTGAGTTCATAATAGCGTCTCTCCACGAGGAGTTGGTACGTTGGCCTTCAGCATACCGAATGAGGAGTTGGCGAGTTTGAGGAAAATTGAGGATGGTCGCCCACAGTATCATCCGGCGCGTCTCATTTCCATTTCGAAGCTCTTTGGTGAGAGAAAGAGTAAGAAAATCATTGAGCAAAGAGGTGCGCCCTCGAGCAACCACTCGCTCGATAGCTTTCCCATGTAAGATCGGCAATGGATCCGACTCAATTGCCAGGTCCATGGTGGGATCTCTCTCTCGGCAAGATTCTCCTCTTGGAGGAGCAATTATCTCAAATTCAACTCCATGCTTGGAGAGGGCCCGCAGCACACCCGTGGCGTCCTGATCTGAGAATCGCCAGATATCATGGAGGCAGGTTTCGCCCCAAATGTTGACAGAATTGACCTCACATCCACGCCTCAAAAGAAACAGTGTGGCTCTTTTGTTTCCAACAGAACAGGCAGTCATCAAGGGTGTTTCTCCATAGCGATTCTTGCAATTGATGTCTATCCCAATCTCGTCGATCAGGTATCGCATATGATCCTCAAGGTCCCTATACGCTGCCCAATGTAGAACGCTGTCTTTTCGGTCATTCGTAGAAAGTGTTTGTAACTCATTTTCTCCACAAGCAACGATCACTTCCTCCTTGAATTGCTCGAGATCTGAGGTTGAGAATTGAATGTTGAAACGACCCAAAGCCCGTAGATCAAGGACTTCCATTTTTCTCTCGGCGTGTGATCCGGCCTCCGTGTAGTCTTCAAACGCTACTTGATGGCCGGCAGCAGCGGCTTCCAGTAGCCACTTGGAGGTATGTTGTTTCATTGCAGTATGTGTGTCATTTGCTTCGAGCTCCATCGGTGAAAGAGTTTCCAAAAATCGCTTGAAATACCCTTTCGCCATCATATTGCCCTGTTTCGCAGCCTGGAAGATATATTCCAGCGATCGTGTTGGTTTCATTTTATTGGGGTCCCCAAACTGTGAAATGTTGCAGACTCCCAATTCGTAGAGGGCCCTGGCATTTCGTGGATCGGACGGTGTTTGAGAGACATGCTCTAAACATGCTACCAGTTGATCCTGAACCGGGCCCGGAGAATGGATGAATGCCTGGTAGTTGATGTAGATCTATGGGCACGTGTTATCATCACTCGTTGTATTTAGCTTCGTGTACTTACCTCTGTGCCACTTGAATCTTTTTCCAATTTCGCCGTATCTTTGGGAGGTCTGGAATATGTTCGTCAGCAACTCCCTCTTCGAATCCATGGATGTTCTGTTATACTCCGCATGCCTGCCGTAGGAAATGATGAAAATCAAAATGAAGAGAATCAAGGCCACTTACACCGCTTCCCAAGTAGCATCCTTGCCTAGAAAGACATTGATTTCAGATTGGAGAATGCGAAGATTGCGCTGTTCTGGGTTCGCAGAGATACTAGCGGTCAACAAACGCTGCACTAGATGATGGCGCGGCAAGTTGGCATCCCCTTCAAATTTCTCGACGACCATTTCAAGAGCTACTGCAAGGCATGGAT